ATTGTGGTGGATTCTGTCGTACTGGGGGAAGAGTTATTGGCGCCTGTGCTTGAGACGGAGGCTGTAGCTGTGGCTGAATCTGGATTTGGGAGAGGGTATGTGAATGGGGCGGTGGGTGCTGATGCTGATGCTGATGCTGATGCTGATGCTGTGGATGTTGCTGCTGATGTTGGTGCTGGTGTTGGTGCTGGTGCTGTGGATGTTGTTGTGGATGTTGCTGTGGATGTTGCTGCTGGTGTTGCTGCTGGTGTTGCTGCTGGTGCTGGTGCTGGTGCTGGTGTTGTGAATGGGGAAGAGGATGAGCCTGGCCTGAGGCTGGAGCTGGAGCTCCCGGGCCAGACATATATGGCTGGCTCAGAAGGTTGTCCATAGCCGCAGAACACGAGGCGGGAACGCCAAAGAAAAATGGCGGGGGTGGGTGAGCTCTGAAAACGGAGGGTACAGCAGTCAGTATACAGGACCCCAGCGGACTCCGCTTCCAAAGTACTCTAGTAGTATACAGAGGCAGTGGTCTAAGTATATGTGCTGGATACGCGGGATCTTGCGCTGGCGGAAACGAGGTTCGTTGCGGGCGGAGGAAAGGAAAGCGAGAAAGAAGCAAGACGAGGCTTTTTAAGGGTCGTGCGTTGCCGAGAGTTCGAGCCAAGCTTTTCTGATGTCATCAGAGACCCACTCTTTAGAGTAAGTGGGGTCATCTGATTCGCTCCACTGTCTGTGCTTCTATATAATCACGTGATAGCGATATAGCCAAAGTCGCGGCTGATAAAACATCACCAGAAGCTTCTCAGCCTCTGACTTCGGGTGAGGATCTCAAGGAAATAAGCTTCCTTGAACCTAGCTTTAGCCTCTTTGCTCCACGTACCCCTCGACGAGTCATCGACGTCATAGCGAAAACTGCGAGAGAAATAAACTGTACAAATTTGATAACTCTTTATGCATTAAACTGACACGGCGCCCAAAGGGAAGTTGGCAGCAAGCTTTTAGAAGTTTCCAGCTGTAGATGGTCACTTGCTGCATAGGCCTCTATCGCCTGTAGTTTAAAAGCGTACTATATACATGGGGTCTTTTTATCAAAAGTTCCTACGTAGTCCCACTGTATGTAATAAATTGTATATACTCTAGCACAGGAGGTTTCCAACAGCGCAGTATTCTATGTAAAGTCTCTCCATGTGGCGGAGTAGATAGATCAAAGTAGCATGATATGGGTGATGCTTTGGTATATTGCTCTGATAGTCAAACACCAAGTGACGACATCCACATAGCTAGCCGTTTCAGAGCCTTTAGCCGCTAAACGCGCTATGTTTGGATACAGACGTGGGTTTAAGGTTCATCCCAGTTCCACAATACATAGAGTTTCCATCTAGAGTATGGTAATAGATATCATCATTGACTATGTATACGTGACTGCGTGACTAGAACGTCATCTGTAAAGCCATTGACGTAGGCGGCCATAAACTAAGAGTCATAAATTTATCTCAGCCACTGCTGCTCTCATTCTCTTCCTCTCTTTTTCCAGCTTTTCACACATTTCTTCACGCTACCGAAAATACGTACAAGCCACAACTCCATTCAAGACGTTCAATACGACTGTGAGCTTTCATTGCATTTAATTCTCGCATCCGATTCAACTTTACGCTACTCGATTTAAAACGTCGCCTAAGTCTCCCGTTGAGACCCCGCATCCGGCAAGCACTGAGATTCCCGTTGTGATATCTCAGCCCAAACCGACGGGCTAGCAGTGGTATCTGCAATACCATAGACAAGCTCTTGACTCGACCGACTGACCTAAACAAGTCCCGAGACACCAACACAACTTATTCAAAAAAAAAACAATCGAGGAAAGAATAAAAGAAGGGGGGAAAAACGAACAGAGAAGAAAAGCAAAGGCAACATAACCACCAAAAGCCTCACCATGGACGAAAGGCTTCCCATGGACATCACCGTCGAGAATGCCAGAAGAGTGAAGAACTGGCTGGGTAGCCTTCCGGTCAGCCCCGTCACCACCAGCTATGGATCGTCCACCTCCTCGGACTTTGCTAAGGCAGACCTCATGGACCTCTGTCAACACCCAGATTGTGCCTTCCAGGTTCGACTGATATCAGTTCATGACCATAAACACCACGACGAGCTGCCACTAGACCAGTTATACCCGACACACTGCGATGAACTGAGTGGCAGTACGGGCACAGAAACCACCTTCTGGACAGCGCAATCCCACCAAGAAGCATCGGATGATGGTTACACTGAAGTAGAGGAACCAGGGCAACCAGGAGAACCAAAAATAATAGAGAACCTAGAAGAAATTGAGAGTCTGGAAGAACTAGAGAGGTTGGAAGAGCCAGAGGAACCAGAGGAACCAAACGAACTGTACGAACTAGACCTAATCATGCAAACCAGGCTAACTAGACGAACTATACGAAATAGACGAAATAGACGAAATAGACGAAAATAGACGAACTGGACGAACTGGACGAACTGGACGAACTGGACGAACTAGGCGAACCTCTAGTCCGTCAAGTTCGCTTGGCAACAAACGAAGTAGAGGAACTGAAGGAACCCGGAGGAAACGGGGCTGGTGGATAAGAAGCTGAAGAAGGCTAAACGAACGGAGAAACCACGACAGAAACCAGAGTCCCGAGTAAGTGTCATTCCTATTATTCAAAATCAACCTCGAAAAAAAGAGCAACGTAATAACATCTTGCACTATCAGCACACACCTTTTGAGATAAACTTATACCAAGCATCCTGGTTTCACAAACTCGATATGTCCGAAGATGGCTCTTCACTAGCTGAAGAAGATCTCGACTTCCTTGCCTCAAAACCATTCGAGGCATCCACACGACAACAGTTACGACGTAGCGTCCGGCAGGCGTTCAAGAAAACCTCGATACCCATTCGCCAAAAACTAGGACAATGGAAGAAAGCGATATTGAAATGGCTAGGTGAACGGTAGCAGACCGTGGCCAATAGGAGGAGGGGATATTTGGGAAAGATATTAGGAAACGGGGTATTTATCTGTGCTTGGGCTGACTTGTATTTTTTTAAGTCCAAAGACCGGATTTTGCAAGGAAGATTTTGTGTGTATCTGGGGATGGCATGTATGAATAATATACCTAAAGAGTGTTGGTGGGCCACTTCGATTAGATTGCATGTACGGTCCATCAAAGGGCGGGCGGTGGGAATAGTGCACTTCAATCACTATTACTTTGATGGACCGTACGCAGGAATAGAATGAGTCGATGTCAAAAATTCTCCGTGTCTTGATTATCTATATTAGTTAACTACCTAGGTGCATAGGTTAACTACGAAGTTCGGCCTTGAAACTGCTTGCATAAAGGATGTAGCTGGCTTAGTCGCAGAGGGCAAGTAAGTAATGTAGATATTCTAGAGAGCATATTTCTTTTACTGTAGCAAAAGTGTAGGGTCCAGTGTATCATTCTTTTGTAAATGTTAGGGTGGTATCTGCAGTACCAAAAACCAGGTCATTAAATAAAAGAGGGGGAAAGCAAATGAACGTTAAGGGAAGAGTTAGCTACATTTGGGTACATAGGGATAATAGGAGAAGCATGGAAACACTGCGCACGAGTAAAATAGTCTATAAAAGGGGTATTAATGCAAGGAAAGAGGCAGATAATGTAGATCTTATTTTCGGTTGAGAAGCTTAGGGTGGGAGATGTTCAAGCAAATGACGGCAATGGCAATCATCCTATTCGATATATGTTAGTTGGTGGTATGAAGGATATAAGAGCGGGCTGGAGAACTTACACTCCCTCAAGGATAACAAAGGTGACCTCATCGTGAATTAGGTCTCCCTCCCAACCTTCACTGAGTTCAGCGACACGGTAGACGCATCGAGTGAAGATTGTAACAATAGCGACGGTAAATGGAACGGCGAAAGTTACCAGTCTATCACGGCTGATTGGAAGCTTTGGTCGGGCACCCATTTCCTTTTCTTGAAGAGCTCGGGACTTCATGGTACGGAAGATGAATCCGAGAGTAAGGGTGATGAAGACAACGAGGGTGATGACCTGGAAAGCCAAGCCAGCAATCATAGTGTTTGTTCCGGGCGCCTGGTCGGTGCCTTTATCGGCGGCAACTGAGGCCAGACCACCACCGGTACCCTGGAGAATCAAGCTGACAAGATCGCAAGGAATGAAGATCCAGGCATAATGCTGTGGCTTAATCCACGAGGCTTCCTCACCGAAGAGGCGGACGATATCAGCGAGACAGAAGTAAATCGAAGCCGAGAAGAAAGCGGGTGCGAGAGTAAGGCAGCAGATCTGGATCAGGAAACCATTCTGACTGAATGGGTCATCGGCGAGGAGAACACGGCCGACGTAACCGATGACTTCTGTCAGACATCCCAAGATCATGGGGATGGAGTAAGAGCTGTTCCTGAAGAAGAAATACTGTAGACAGTGGACGATGCCGGAGGCGGCGAAGATGGCGAGGAGTGCAGCATTGCCGGCAAGGGATGGCTTGTACTGATAGATACTCTCCGTTATGGGACAGGTCTCTAGAGTACACTTGTCCATTGTGAAGAGTGTAAAACGGTGACTCGAAGAAAGGTAATCGACAGAGGCTTTTAGTCAGGTGAAAGGAGGTCGAGTAGATAGAAGGTATTTCTCCAATGGGAATGAGGAGATGCTGTAGGTACACCTGGAATGTTGGTTGCTTTGATGATTGTTGCTGTTGCAGAAAATATCGATGAAGGAGCTGCCATCTTTATATGTCAGATGGCGCTGCTCAGCCCTGGGAGTCAAGGGCCTGGCATCAAAACAGAACCTCCAGATTCAAACGGAGGCCTAATGCATCAGGTCCATGCCCAGGCCACCATGTATAGCTAAAGTTTAGAAAAGCCAAGCAATAGAGATACGGCAAGGATGTCCCGCGGATCTGTGAGGTTCAGCCAGTGCAAGCCACGAGGAGGATCGGCCCCCGGTGCAAGGGCTAGGAGGGCCGCTTCTCTTACGCCCGAAACATCTGGAATGAAAGGATCTATTCTTATCAATCCAAATCACCTAAGAGCCAGTAAAAATCCATGGCTAGCCAGCGGTTAAAATTTAGGCTCTTGCGTGGTCGAAGGCCTTGCATTACCTCGTGGTGGGTATCGTGTCAGAGCTCGCCTCGAGGCTTTAGGCAGTGCAGTAGTTAGTCATTGTAAAAGCACATACGTATATCTATCTCATATCCTTATTTCGGCCTGGACAGGGTATTCATGCAAAGGAGATGGCGTCTATCCCGAATTGTGTACTCCGTAAAGTCCACTAGCAAAGTGTCTAATCGATGATACATTTGCCGACGCCGCGACGGAAGATGACTGATCGACAATTAACTCGAACCACTTGCCGTCTATAAAGCACCGTCTCGCTTCAATATTTCACCATCTCTCTTCTGACGATCATTCAGGAAAGGAGTGCCCTTACGGCATGCGAGCGAGGCACGCTGGATGATTCATCATCAAGAGTTGTCTGGACGAGTTTACCCTTGTGCCAAGTCTCGTAAACACTTCTTAAGTGCGTAAACTAAACCGCATGTGGCTTTCTCTCCATCTGTAGGCGCAGCATTTTAAACTACAGCCTTTGAACGGATTTTAGCCAGAGCTGGTTTTAGCGAAACGGAGATAACTTGAGACGTCACGGTGCAGCCAGTTATCCTGTAACCGTCTCAAGCTCTCTCTGCGAGCAGCCCCAAGGAGGTTCTGCGTTACGCGGCTCTCCAGGGTAGAATCCTTCGCTGTCACTTGGCCATAATATGTCTGCCTGGCTGATACCTGGATTTGGTCTTGTGGATGTTGGCTACAAAGGAAGACTGCATGAAGGATGAGTCTTGTCAAGCGAACGGACATGACATCTCACTTATCTTGAGCATATAGGCGTCAGTATGAGCAACATCCGTCTTTGACTCTCTTCTCCATACATACACGCCAAGTTGTAGTGGTCGTGTGAGGGCGGTCTTGGTCTTTTTATATCTGAGCCTCGACGTTAGTGTAGGTCCGGCCGATTAGGCTGGAGCCAGCGCAACACTCCGCTGAGATATGGAGAAGATCTCGGGCCAAAGCATTCATCGTAGGGCAGGAGATTTGATGAGTCTAGACCGGGCAGTCCCGTCAATGCTAGCATATCAAAGCAGTCGGCTTGGGCGATAGTAATAGTATGTCGTCTGAACCTATCCGCCATCCAACGAGACAATGACCAAAGCTAGCATTCTAGCTCTTCTCTAACAAAGAAGAGAGCCAGAGCTTTATCCATGGCTTTGGCTGCTTGTCGGCTCGCCCAGCATGCGTGTATCTCCATCCCGACATCGACATGAAGCCCGCCCTCCGCGGTAAAGATGACCTGCTGCGACTATCAGCATCTCAAGGTCGTCAAACGTCAAAAGATGCGCTAGGAGTGCGCTTTTCGATGTTGTTTTCGTGCTGCTGGTAATGGCTGCACGCTGATTGGTTGGACACGCTGACATAACCGACTTTGCCCGAAGAAGTCCCATCCGAGGTTGCAGGCGAAATGACATTCGAACATCAACCATCGACCATCGACGGCGACGACGAGCTGCAGTAGCACAGCGTGCAAGAGTCAACCGCTATTTTCTGTATCAATTGCTGGTCTCTGGTATAGCTAGAGGTTGACTGTCCCAGTTCCAGGCTCTGGTCTGCTTGCAAACACACACTCGTCGTTGGAAACGAACGAAACTTCGCTCCGTCCACCATGGCATCTCTCCGCTCAACTTCTCGTCTCTTTCGAGGCTCAAGCGCTCTCATGCGCCCTGTCATGGCCTCTCGATCGTATGCCACCGTCGAGACGAGCGCGAAGCCCACAGAGGCACCCTCCGCGGCCACCAGTGCACCGGCACCAAAGATGAAGACCTTCAAGATTTATCGATGGAACCCTGACGAGCCAACCGCAAAACCTCGCATGCAGACGTATACAATTGATTTGAACAAGACGGGTCCCATGGTTTTGGATGCTTTGATCAGGATCAAGAATGAGGACGACCCGACTTTGACGTTCAGGAGAAGCTGCAGAGAGGGTATTTGTGGAAGCTGTGCGATGAACATTGACGGAGTGAACACTCTCGCATGTCTCTGTAAGTCGAATATAGTAGTTCATCATGGGCCGATTTGTGGCGTGATACATGATGAAACTGACTGTTTGAAATTTAGGCCGCACTCCTACCGATACTACCAAGGAGACTCGCATTTATCCTCTGCCTCACACCTATGTCGTCAAGGACCTTGTTCCTGACATGACACAATTCTACAAGCAGTACAAGTCTATCAAGCCTTATCTGCAGCGTGATACTCCATCTCCCGATGTAAGTTGCATACTTGGTTGTGTTTGGAAGATACGCAATCGATTTTTAACAATATATATTTGATAGGGTCGTGAGAACCGCCAGTCACCAGCTGACAGAAAGAAACTTGACGGACTTTACGAATGCATTCTCTGCGCTTGCTGCTCGACATCTTGCCCCTCCTATTGGTGGAACAGCGAAGAATACCTTGGACCTGCGCTCCTGCTCCAATCTTACAGATGGCTGATTGACTCGCGAGACGAGCGAACCGAACAGCGCAAGGCCGCTCTCGACAACAGCATGAGCGTGTACAGATGCCACACCATTCTCAACTGCTCGAGAACCTGCCCCAAGGGCCTGAACCCCGGAAAGGCTATTGCTGAAATCAAGAAGATGATGTCTTTCAACTAAACTACAAATACCCTTGGCTACCACACCACCTGGTTATTTAACCTTTCTTATATTAACCGTCCCGACCATGTTTTACTTACCCTCTGTATCTCATAGCTTCCCACCTGTTTTTGATTTAGCATTACAAATACTATTTCCTCTGTTCAGAATTATATTTCCTTCCTGCCTGTGTACTGCCTTTACCCTCTGTTTCTTCCATGGTCCGTCGTTGCGAAAACGGCGATAAAAATACCGAACTTGTTCCCTGTACATATATGAAATTGAAACGAGGATCGGATACCAGCCTATTTCTTCTCTAGTCTCCCATATATACCTATCCAACCAAACCAACTATTCAAACAGCCTTCCCTGTTGAACCTAAGAGATCCATGCACCTCTCAACAGCCCGCTGCATGGCATCAGTCACCAATTCATGCAACTTAGTGATGGGAACACGACCAGCGAACTCCTTCTGCACCTTCATATACTCGTTGTTCATGACCTTGTTGATATTCACCTTCGACACACCGCACTCAATGCACTTATCGAAAATCTCCTTCGTCATCGGATCAGCACCGTGAAGGACCAACTTCGTCTTCTTCCCTACTGCCTCGTTGATGCTCTGTAGTCGGTCGTATTCCAACTGTATGCCTCTGGGGCCATACTCCCCATGCACATTTCCAAACGCAGGAGCTAACCAGTCGATTCCCGTATCGACGAATTCCTGGCTCTCCTCCGGCGTAGTCAGTAGTCCCTCTAGATCAGCCGTGTCAGCAACCCCATCCTCTCCGCCTTCAATACGGCCTGGCTCTGCCTCCGTGGCGATGCCTCTAGCATTGCAGTATTCCACCAATTCGCGCGTCAGAGCTAGGTTTTCTGCTTTTTCATAATGGGACATGTCTACCATGATGCTGTCAAAGGTAGGAGACATGTCGGCGGCCCGTTTGATGATTTCAGGGCTCTGGGCGTGGTCCATGTGTAGTGTCACGGGCACAGAGGCGTTGCGGCATGCAGTCGCGGCGGCCTGGACGAGCAGCCCGTCGGCGTATTCGATAGCCCAGGGAAAGAGAAGGACCATGGCCGGGGATCTTTTGGCCTCAGCAGCGCGAATGGTTGCTAGCACGCCTTCGAGATTATAACAGCACATTCCGGGCACAGCATATTTGCCTGCCACGGCTGCGTCGAGGAGGGGCAATGCCCTGTTGTCTTTTAGAGAGGGATGTGGCATACTGTAGGTGGTTTTCTTGACGAGATACTACCTGAGAAGCTGTAGGGTATTGGCTTGAAGGGTTTTATTCTAGGAATCACATCGTCTTATGGGCGACGAAGACAGTTAATGTATGTTCTCTGGCCCCTATAGGGCAGGGGATTTGGCCCGGGAATGCATCGGGATAGCTCCGGCGCATGGTCAGAGATCTGCAGCAAAGGCACGTTGGAAGAAACAACACTCTGCCACGAGAGATGCCGAGTACGGTATTTTGGCTTTCTAGCCTTTATTCATGCGGATAGTTGACTACCTAGGTACTGGAAAGTTCTTTGGATTATTATGATTATATATATATATTTATATATATAGGGGGATGATATCCGCTAACCTCTTGCTACGTTAACTACTACCTAGCTCGAATTTGAGCAATGTTCATTATGCGTCTCCCATAGCCTGATAACACTCGAGTCAGAATCCTTACCCCATCCTCTAAATTTTGCCTGATGTAATATCCCCAGAGCTGCAGCACCCAGGTGCAAAGGACAGTCCACATTTCTCGCCTCTTGAACAACGTCTGAGAGCTCGTCCACAGCTTCATTCAGTATCTTGACTGCGGAAGTCCCTGCCTGATTGGCACTGTTAATCATTTCCATAGCCTTGGATTTAAATATGAAGCTACCGCCTGCGGCTGCATTGACTAGTTCGTAGAACTGAGCCATGTCAAGGCTTAGGAAGCGGGCAAAAGCAATAGCTTCCGCAGCTGCACACAGATGGATATGACGAAGAAGCGATATAACCAAGTTTGTAGCCTTGGATTTGAACTCTGGAGTCATGGTAGTAGGAGATTTGACCTTGCTGATGGGTTCTGGGTAATACATGCGTACCATGCCAGCGTCGTCGTCTGCGCCGTAGCCAGGAGACAGACCGGCCACGTAAATTTGCTCAGCAGTGGACGAGAGCGGCACTGGGAATTGATGTAGACGTGCAGATTTGGTAATGATGGTCTGTATGTAGTTAGAACATGCGTTGTATAAGGGGCAACTATAATTAAGTGAAAAGGTGAACTTACGACATCTTTGAGGATGATAGTCAAAGCACTAACGCCTGGGAAATAGTCTTCCTTTAGCATCCTTGGAGAGCGGTTCTCATGCATCCAGCTCCATGCATCTGAGGCAACGATGGCGTTGCAGACTTCCTGTGCATCGAGGCCAAGTCGAGCAGCAAATCCCATGGCTTCACTTGCGGCAAGAATATGTATCCCAGCTAAGACCTGGTGGACCATCTTCATATTGCTTCCGGCCCCAACGCCGCCAGGGACCAGGTACAGCTTGGCCGCATCTGACATCTCAGCAAGTAAGAACCGCCCCCGTTCAAGAGCTGTGTCTGAGCCTCCTGCCATAATCGACAGGGTCCCGTTGGCAGCACGTATGGCGCCACCAGAGACAGGCGCATCGATGAAAGAGATATCACCCCTGCCGCTGGACGCTAGCTGGTCGCGTACGGACTGAGCATATGCAGCCGGTACCGTAGAGCATAGTATGAATGTTGCTCCAAAGGGTAGCGCTACGGCACTGTTATTAAGGTGTAGATTTCACAAAAACGGCAGATCACTCCCTACCTTTGAGAATGGGTTTAGCATCGTCGAACAGGATTGATTGGACCTGGGGTGCTGAGGCCACCATGCAGACATAGTACATGCATCCTTTGGCAGAGTCCTCCAACGACGCTGCCACATTACCTCCGGCTTCCCTGAACCGCTCCAATGCAGGAGCCCAGGTATCAAACCCCTTGACGGAGTACCCCTGGGTGATGAGATGGACTGCCATGCCGAAGCCCATGGCTCCTAGGCCAACGAAGCCAACAGTAGGTTTTGGAGTAATCGCCATTATCTAGCCCTAGGTGGCTTGATAGTATATATTCTGATGGGGTATAAACAGGCAACTCTTGAAGGAGGAGCAATCGTATAGTTATATAAAACAGGCCTTTATTCGTCAATCATTGAAGGAACTTGAAGCAAAGATCGGTCGAATCGGGCGTTTACCCGCAAGTTGATCTTCTTCCCCCTTAATGGAGCTACCTAACTAGGTAGTATAATGGATGTGGATGCGGGATAACCGGCGCAACCGCCGACGGGAAGAGCCGACGGAGAAAGGGCCGGTAATGCTCCGTGGTCAGCCCGCAGCCAACTCCCTGGAGAGTCCGATCGCACTTCCACTCATAGCATTGTTTTGCCATATTAATACCATGACTTTGTCGTGGTGGGAAGCGATCCAGGGATTTGCTTTGCTTTGCTTTGCTTTGCTTTGCTTCGTGAGAGCTGGAAGTTGAGGTAGATTAAGTCGTAGGCATGGGCAAAGGAGCCTCGGCACATTGACTGATCCACGTGATACGGAATATAGTTTATCCATTCCTTTAATTCACGTGATCAAATGTTTATTACATAAGTAATGCTGAGTAAGCTGATCTACCAAAAAGATCTACCTCAACCTAAAGCAACAATCAACTTTATCAAAACATGAAAACAAGAAGAAGCAGAAGCAGAAGAAGCAAAGACGAAGGAGTACGGAGATATATGGAGTACATCGCAAGATACGGAGTACTTCCTCGGAAAAAAGGCATTCCGGCTGCTCCGGCTGCTCACTCTTAGCTCGCAATGGAGAAGCTCTGAAAAGCTTGTTGTACCTAGCTTGCTCTCTAGTCACGCCACACGACGCCATCACTCTCTTGGGCTGTATTAGTTCACTGTTTGCATTCTCAACTAGACGGGCCAGCAGCGCTGTGGTGTCTGTTAGGGTTGTCGAGAGGGCTGGTAGATCGGCTCCTACACCGGTCGATCATAACTGCCCAGGTATAGTCATACTGCGCAAGCCTTGGTAGGCATCGTTGGGTGAGCGTACGGAGTACAGAGTAATTACTCTACGCTGTGCTCTATCCTCCATGCTCCATGCTCTGGACATGGTACTCCGTATCTCCCCGGTTTGCTAGTTACCCTGCTGGCTCTGGAGTTATAGGGTCTTGCCTCTCGGGCCGGAGGGCGAGTGACTTCATAGATACTTACTCCGCACCAAAGATAGCTAGCTCACTCGCTATGTAGCTTGGTGCTTATGCAGGGCGTTGCTCTTTACCTACTTCCTTCTATTCTTATGCTCCGTCCTCCCCTGCCGCCACGTCTTTGCGGTTTTTTTCTCTCTCTCTGCTTTCTTCTGCCTGTCCCCGCGCTGGTTCACGTGCGCAAGCTTGCCTAACGCCCCGTCCCGAAAGGGAAAGGCCAGCAGGAACCTGGGAAGAGCTTGCAGCAGAAGCGAAGTGAAGCCAACAACACAAGCCGCCGCTGTTGTCCGCCGCTGCCGCCTCTTATCTTCTCCTCTTTTCCCTCTTCTTCCTCCTCCTCTTCTTCTTCCACTTCTTCTCTCTCTCCTGTCCGCATCTTCTCCCTTGCTTAGACTGCTCTCTCATTGCTCTCGTTGTCGGCTTGGTAAGTAAGCGGCCCTGCGCTATTTCCTCTGGTGACGTTTCCGCCGAGTTCCGGATGCGAAGACCCGCAAATTGTACCTCAATTGGACACTTTCCGGCGCTTCCATCTCAATGCTACGCCTGCTGGCTGGCATATGGCATACATATATATACTGTTGACGATATACTGACGGCCGCATAGATATCTTTATCTCCTGTCCGTTTATAGATCTCCTTGCCAGACCTGCAGCGCAAGTCTTGTTTTCGTATGTTATCATCATTCCCGGCTGCTCCAGCGTGTGCATGGCCTCAATTGACTGACATTGCCGGCAGCGTTGGATACAAACAAACCCGCCTCTTCTCCCGTCACAATGGCCGCCATCATTTCCCTGAGGGATGTACACGCCGCATCTCACCAGCTTGCCAAGCGGAAGAACTGGGCGGCCAGAGAGCCCGGTGTTGTCCTGGTATTCTGCATCGTCTTCCTGATTGCAGTCGGCGTGCTGTCTACGTTCATCTACCGCAAGATGCAGCGCCGCAAAGCTGCTTCTGGCTCGGTCTAGATCCAATACCGATTAGCAGCAACAGGGCTTAAACAGATCCACGGATACCCATAAACGCGCGCACACACTATGCACAGATTCCCACATACTGGGTTGCAGTCAACACCACTACATACGTTCTCTTTTCCCTTGTTCTGATGATGATTGATAGATGGTACTCATGCCTTTTGAATAATATGTTTTGTCGATGGACTTTGTTACTTGTTCTTGACGTGGGGGATGGTTGCTGGCTGGCTATTCGGAAGACTGGGATAGCGGCAGAGGGAGGCCTGTAGAAGAATGAAGCAGATGGCCGGTGTTTTCGTCGTCTTTCGCTGTTGCTGTCGATGATGTTGACGAGCTTCCCCGGATTTTCTTCTCGTGTTCCCCCCGGCCTTGGCAGATGAGACGAAAGGGACTTAATATAAAATCGGGGGCCGCGCGCCAGAAAAGCGCCAGGATGGTCGCGATGCTTGTTTCATCCTCATCAACTCGTCGCCTTCTCCTCACACTCCCTTTCTTGCGTCTGTTAATACTTGCAATGCAGTCATTCGTTTAGTCGCTCTCTTTTTTCTTTCCCTTATCGCTTACCTACTCTGTTCACTCATTTAAACCACAGTACCCCGTAATTCCCCCCCAAAAAATAAGGAAAGAAGAATAAGAAAATAGGGGTCGGCGCAAAAATGGAAAACTACACGCCATCACACCCCGTCTCGCCCGTCTCGCAGCCTCCATCGTCGCCGTCAAGCCTAAAGCGCTACGAGCTGGGACTCGACCTCTCCGACAAAGCCATTGAGATTGAGGCTGCTGCTCACCCGACACCAAACCCGAAAGCACCGCGTCTCTCGCTCATAGAAGTGCCAAGGCGTAAACCTGTACCGCCGCCAAAAGCTGCGTTTGTCGATCCAACAGAGCCTCATGTCGAAGCTCCACCAGCTTATCAGAGTGGCGGCGGGCTGAAGAGGAAGATGAGAGACCTCTGGCTGCTACGGCGGAAGACGGTGCTCATCGTTGCGGCAGTGGCAGCGGTGTTGTTGCTGGCACTGATTATTGGGTTGGCGGTTGGGTTGACCAGGCACAAGTCAGTCACTTATTCATCTTTAATTTATTTTTTTTATCTTTGTTTCTCCTTAACTACAATAGTTATTTACTTAACATGCTGATACTGCTTTAGGACTGCCAATTTGCCGCTGCCAACCAACAATGGCGGGCCTTATAGGGGCGACCTTACATACTATGACCCGGGACTAGGCGCATGTGGCATATCGAGCTCGTCGTCTCAAGCGGTGTGCGCGGTGTCCAAGGAGCTGTATGATGCCGCTAGCGCTGGGCCGAACCCGAACAATAACCCCCTGTGTGGGCTGAAGCTTCGGCTGAGACGCAATAACAAGTCTGTAGACGTTACTGTCGTCGATCGATGTGAGTTTTCGTTAGGTGATCCTACGCCGCCCATGCAATTGCTAACCAGGAACCCGGGGTTTGTAGGTGTTGGGTGTAAACCGACAGATATCGACGTTTCTATTGCTGTATTTGAACAGCTTGCCCTTGAGGCTCAGGGAAGAGTCGATGTTGAATGGGCATGGCTTGACAAGGCGCCGGTGAATCTTTAAAGCATCATATATACATGTATATGTATAGAGCTGCTCTTTGGGTTGTTTCTGTTAATAATCTGGAAACTGGGGGTCAACGTCTCTTCTCCATGAGTCTAAGCCACCCCGGATATCGCCGATAAAACGGTTACCATCTTGACCGAGGCCAAGCTCCTTCAGTATCTTAACTGCAGCCTGAGAGTCGTTGCCCTGGCGGCAAACCACGTGGATAGGGGTTGCGGTATCGCTGTCGATGATACTCGCGGGAAGCCATGCCGGAAGCTTCCCATTTGCTGCTTCAGGTGATCTAGACGATCTTAGGACGTCTGATATGGGCACGCATATGCTTCCGGGCAACGCACATATATCATACTGGATCCGTTCGCGTGCATCGAGTAGGATACCCTTGTCCTTGTCGTCGTTTTTGTGACTATCAAGCCATGCCTTGTAATCTCTAGCGCTGAGCCGTTCATTCGGCATTAGGCTGGACACCGGGTTGAGCGAGCCACAGAACTGGACATAATCCATGGATCCGCTTTTGAGGGATTCGAGTGAGACCGACGGCTCTGTTCCGCATGCAGCACACTTCGCTCGTCGTGGACGCAGCCGAATAGTACGAAATGGCGGCGTGGAATAAGCGGAAAACAGATGGAGAGACGGGACAATGGCTTCAGTGCTTGGCTTGCCCTCCTCAGACATGCTGGTTATCACCCGTATCGTCTCAAGTGCCTGCATAACTCCCATAACGCCAACCACTGGCCCGATTATCCCTCCGTCTGCACAGCTCGTGACGCTATCTGCGGGAGGAGGAGTTGGAAAGACACAGCGGTAGCATGGGCCTCCCGATTTATCGCCTGGTGAACGGGGAGGATGGTTGAGTATCATCAGCTGTCCCTCTGTTCGCAGCGCCGAAGCGGACACAACCGTTTTCCCAAGCAATACTGCAGTGTCTGAAATGAGATACCGGGTTGCCGGGTTATCAGTGCAGTCTAGTATGACATCAAACTGGGCGAATATATCTGGCGCGTTTTGTGGGGAGAGATGGGTTTGAAACGGTGTGTAAGTAGGGTGAGGGTTCAGTCTAGCACAGGCAAAGATATATCAGATATGGCCTCCCAGAGAATATACAAAACATTTCTTTAACAAGCAAACACTTACTCCTGTAGATATTCGATTGCGCTGTTAACTTTATACTTCCCCGTGTTACCTGTGCGATGTAGGACCTGGCGGTGCAGGTTTGAGCTCTCGACCTGGTCGCCATCTATGATCCCTAGTCTTCCAACCCCAGCGCCGGCAAGGTATAAGGCTGCTGGACAGCCTAGCCCGCCTGCCCCAACGATGAGCACAGCTGATTTCCGTAGCCGAAGTTGGCCTATACATACGTACATGGTTAGATATAGACTGCTCTGCTCTGCCTAGCCGGACTTATGTGACTTGTCATCAAACTCACCAGGCAACCCAATCTGCTCGACTATCATCTGCCTTCCATATCTCCTATACTCATCCTGGAGCAGAGGCCATGGGCCTGTTGGCCTGTCCCTTGAAGTTGCTTCCGGCGGCTGTGGTGCGGGACACTGAGCATCTAGATCTGCAAGTTCCTGCTTCAGCTGGCAGAGCTGCCGCTCTGTTGCTGCTATCTGCTCCTCCAGCTGCCGGCGCAATTTCTCTCTATCCTCCATCACAGGCAAATGCAATAAACATACGGCGAATAGCTGGATAGACGGTCATCTCGTCTTTCACCCGTATACAACTGCGCAGACGACATCCCACCCTCGAGATGCAAACAGAGCAAACATCCACATCGCCAGTCACTTTTTTTCTCCTGTGCATATCGCAAACTGAAAACTTGATTAAATGCACCACTGGAACCAGGCGAATATCAAAGCTCATTATGGTAGGCCATTCTAAGTTATTCCTCCGGTAAAATAGACATGCGCGTTAATATATACATATCCGTCTACGCTGTACTAGGCTCCTGTCCGTCCCGGTTCCAAAGCCAAAACGGCCGTCAAGACCAAATCTCATCCAGCCATCGCAAAGGCTAAACCCACAAGCAGCTTCAACGAGAGCGCAACCTCCGAATTCCCGAGTTCTAAAAAGGATAAACGACTGATAAAACACTCGTCGTTCGTCTCGAAGATCGAAAAGTCCCGCAAGAAGACACTTAAGCGACGGCGGCCTTCGAAGAAACTGATCGCCAACCTAGACTCGCTTGCCAGTGCGCTTCCTGACGCCGGGGATGGCGACGAAGCCGTCTCGACACATATCATCGATGGAAACACTCAGGTCAATGTGATTAGGCACAAGAGCTTGAAGCACCGGCCTGGTGCCATGAAGAGGAAAGAGAAGCTTGATCGGATGGAGAGAGACCGGTTTGCAAAAAACATGGGACAATTGGCTGCAGGGATCACGACTACTGATACCGATGCGGCTATGGATGTCCAGCCCAGTGTAGAGCGTGGTGGTGATGCTTCTTCTACTACTGCTGGAGGAGGCTCAAACTCTACATCTGCTCGCTGGGCTGCTCTACGGAGCTTTATCTCTCAGACCATGGACCAGAACCCGGAATTCAAGGACGTCAAATCGTGAAGTTTGGATTAAGTAGCTATTGAACGAAGGAGGAAAAATTTCATCTGGTCAGGCGATATATTGCATTCACCTGGGTTTGTCTTGCAACAGATGCCCTCGGATCTAGCTGGCATGGAAGAATGGCAGCTGCCTCGCAGGCAAGAGGCGATCAGGGCGACGCCACGAGAGCTTGGAAGTCAAGTAGTTACCCGAGGCATCATCGCCGTCTCAGCTACGGACAGGCGCACAAGGCAGAGATGACGAGACGGGCCGGCCGAAGCCGAAAAGCTGTTGATGCAGCGCAGAGTCTAGACTGTGTTGATATTGATTTAGTATTGAGTGTTGAGCCGGCGGCTCTGGCTCATATGTAGTAGTTAAGTACCTAGGTACACGATCAATTAGTTAACTATGTAAACTGCACTGGTCTCTCGACTGCTTCGACGCCACAGATGACGTTAACAGGGAATCGCACAGGGTGCATCAATACATAGCAACTAGCAACTCCAGTACAATAATCAAGCCAAGGTTCAGGTTCAGGGCATCGCACCTTGTGCCTGACCTGTCCCTTGCCATATGCCAAGTTTTGGGCGATAGATATGGCTACCTAGGCATGTCCGGTACCTAAGACCTTAACTAGCAGCTGTAGATAGCGACCTAGTAAACGCCCCTGAAGGCTCCTAGCGCCCATCGACCCCTAAGGCTTGCCCCTAAGGCTCGCCCCCTAAGCCCCATGCAAACCCCACGGTGGCCCCGAGATAACGAAAGACGGCCGAGGTCGCGGAGAGCAAGAAACGCAAAGAGCAGCAGTTGACTTTTTACTTGCTGCTTCTTTTGCTTTCTTTTTTCCTGCTTTGCTGTGCTTTTAACTAGCCGTCGGTCTGCCTTTCCCCAATGACGTGCAGATTGCGGTGCATCCTCGCTTCTCCTGTTTCCAGGCGGTTCTTCCTCACTCCCCACCACCAGCACCACCAGCACCAGCGCCTCCAAACCGCCTTTATTCCAGCAGCAAGCAGCCCAGTCTTCACGCAGATACCAGCATCGAGTCGCAGATACACAATGACGAGACTCTCTCCGTACACGAAGAAGCACAAGGTGACCGTCATAGGGTCGGGAAACTGGTGAGAATGTGTCCCTGGTGAAGGCACGCGATATCACAATATCTATCACAAGCCGACTGACTGACGCTGGCTCTAGGGGTTCCTCGATCTCGAAGATGGTCGCCGAAAACACGGCTGCTAACCCAGATATATTTGAGAAGGAGGTGAATATGTGGGTGTACGAGGAGAAGGTCGAGATTCCCAGGTCGTCGAGGCACTACAACGAGTCCTCGCCACTGTGCAAGGGAGAGCAGAACCTGACCGAGGTCATCAACCAACTGCACGAGAACACCAAGTACCTGCCAGACATCACTCTGCCAGATAACCTGCGCGCCAACCCTTCCCTGGTCGACTCTGTCAAAGACTCGTCCATACTCATCTTCAATCTGCCCCATCAGTTCATCAGCGGGATCTGCAAGAGCCTCAGGGGCCATATCCTCCCCTATGCCCGCGGCATATCCTGCATCAAGGGAGTGTATGTCGACGAGGAGGGCGTCAGTTTGTTCTCAGAAAGCATCGGCAAGCAGCTGGGCATCTACTGTGGCGCCTTGTCCGGAGCCAACATTGCCTCTGAGGTCGCAAAGGAGCTCTACTCCGAGACCACGGTTGCCTATGACCCTCCTCACATGGACTCCAAGGCACCCACGCCGCTCAACGGATCACCATCCTCATCTGCCGTCGACCTGGCTGAGTTCAAGCACAAGGATAGCTCAGGAAACCTTTCCAAGGTCAAGCTGCGGCCCATTCCTTCCGAGTTCCCACCCGTCGACCACTCCCTGCTGAAGACCCTCTTCCACCGACCTTACTTCCACGTTCGTGTCGTCCATGATGTTGCTGGCGTCTCTCTCGGTGGTGCGTTGAAGAACATCGTCGCTCTTGCTGCCGGTTACGTCGACGGCCTTGGCTGGGGAGACAATGCCAAAGCAGCTGTCATGAGAGTAGGTTTGCTGGAGATGGTGAAGTTCGGCACCACCTTTTTCAAGCACTCTGTCAACGCTGAGACCTTTACGGTTGAATCGGCCGGTGTTGCGGACCTGATCACCTCGTGCAGCGGAGGCCGTAACTTCAGATGTGCCAAGTACAGCGTCGAACGCAAGCTGCCTATCGAAGAGGTAGAGAAGCAGGAATTGAACGGACAGAAGCTGCAGGGCACCTTGACGGCCGTGGAAGTCAACAGCTTCCTCAAGAAACAGGGACTGGAGGACGAGTACCCTCTTTTTACAGCTGTCTATCGTATGTTTTTCTCCTCTTGCAGTCTATCGTCGGCGATAAAAGTCCTATATGCTAACTCATGAACAGGTATCCTAAAGGGAGAGGCCAAAGTCGAGGACATCCCTGGTCTCATCGAACCGAAATAGGCCCCTTTGTCTTAGCATATCACATCTACTACTAACTACCTTTTAACACAAGAAAGCTCAAAAATACATCTTCCGTCGCCGGGGCAAGGAAATGCATCGCAGCAATCCCTATCTACTTTCTACTATTTCACTTCTGCATACTACTAAACGAGTGGTCAACGGAGCTTGGGGGGGAGGTAACTCTAGTTAGCTAGCTACAACATCACTGCTTACGATCCTGTCAAACGAGTCACAAATAATCACGGGCAAAGTAAATAACAACTAATATAGACATCTAATCTATATAATATATGATATATATAAATGCTTGTCCTCCCGCCCCCCTTGGCCGCCCCCCTTGGCCGCCCCCCACTGCCTGTCCGTCCGCCTGTCCTGGCCTGGGCGGAAGAAATGACATCAGCGTGCATGGCAGGAACCAACTTTGGAACATCTCGCTCCCTCCTCGCTTCCTCCCAGCTTCTTGTCCAACCCGGGATACCGCGGGTGTTCGCAGCAGTATATGTATATAAACAAGCCCGCTGGACGCTGTTTCAGGCATGCGTCGACCGCGGTAGCTAACTAACCCACCAGTTATACCGATAGCAAGCCATGGACTCGAGCAACCCGGAGCTGGTGTATGTGGTGCACCTGAACGACAATGGCTCCCCGGACGCCCACCACAGCTACGTCAACCTGCCCCCACCGACGACTCCGGCGTACAGTCTCCGCCTACAGTTCGAGGGCAGCAGTCCGCTGTGCCGATACGGGAGTCTATGGGTGAATATCCCTTCTGTGGGCGAGGAGTTTCGGAGGGACAAGTACCGCGAATACAAGTAGGCTGCCCATAGAAGAGTAACTAGTCGCGATCTATAGAACTGACAGGCGACCCACAGGTTGAAGCCGGACTTCAATAAAGACATTAATGTTAATATTCCTATCACTATATCCGGCGCTTTCAACTACTACTTCACCTACCGTCAGCTGCCCGAGCTGTTTGGGCCAAAGTCCGGCTCCGATGCTGGAAAGGAGACCCGGTCTGAGACTTATCACGTCAATGTTCGCCCGGCTATCACGCTCAAGGGCAAAGACTTACCACTAGAATCACTATCTGTTTTCTCTGTGGTGTCTAAGTTCATGGGCGAGTATCCCAAGGACTGGAACAGACATCTACGTGGGATCGGGGAGAGAGGGTACAACGTTGTCCATTTTACTCCCCTCGTTAAGCGAGGCGCTTCGAACTCACCGTATAGTATCTACGATCAACTCGAGTTCGAAGAATGTTTTACCAACGGGCAGAAAGATGTGGCGGAGATGACGGCGAATATGGAGAAGAATTACGGCCTTCTTGCCCTGACGGACGTTGTTTGGAACCATGTTGCGCATAACAGCAAGCTTCTCGAAGACCACCCTGAGGTAGGCTATAACATCAAGAACGCCCCATGGCTTGAAGCTGCGTGGGAGCTGGACACAGCCTTGTTGCAGTATGGTAACGACCTTGAGAAACTGGGGTTGCCTACGGAATTCAAGACTGAAGATGATATCTCGATCGTGCTGGACAAAGCAAGGGCCAACGTCATTGATAAGATAAAGCTCTGGGAGTTTTATGCAATTGATGTTGAAAGGGATACTGCTGCAGCACTCGCTTCGTGGAAATCAGGCAAGGTAGGAGATGCTGACCTTGGAAACGCGGAAGAAATCCGAGGATGGTCACTGGAGAAGAAGGCCAAGTTCCTTCGTCGGAAAGGGGTAACCAATGCCAACCGAGTCCTCGGACGGTATGGTCGTAAAGTTGACCCCGAAATAGCAGCTTCTTTTCTCACAGTTATGTTTGGAAGCCATGCTGAAACCACGACTGAAGCATCCAAAGTCGAAGCTGAGCTCCGGAAACTCCTCGATGAAGTTAATCTTCCTCTGTTCACGGAATTTGATAAAGATGTTGCCTCCATCCTTGATCAGCTCTTTAGCCGGATAAAATACCTCCGGATGGATGACCATGGACCAAAGATGGGGCCTGTGAGCAAGGATAGCCCCCTTATTGAAACATATTTCACCAGGCTCTCCCCGAAAGGCAAGCAAGACCCCAGGTTGCTTGCGCTTGCAAACAATGGGTGGGTATGGAATGCGGATGCAATGAGAGACAATGCTGGCCCAGACTCTCGTGCATACCTATTGCGAGAGGTTATTGTCTGGGGAGACTGTGTTAAACTAAACTATGGAGCATCACGAGACGACAATCCTTTCCTCTGGGACTATATGGCGGATTACACCAAGTTGATGGCCAAGCACTTCATGGGCTTCCGCATAGATAACTGCCATTCAACGCCCATTCTGGTGGCTGAGTATCTCCTTGATGAAGCCAGAAGGGTCCGGCCTAATCTAGTTGTCTTCGCCGAGTTGTTCACCGGCTCAGAGCAAACTGATTACATATTTGCTAAAAGGCTCGGCCTGACGGGTTTGATTCGGGAGGCTATGCAGGCTTGGAGCGCTGGTGAGCTCAGTCGACTTGTTCATCGCCATGGAGGGAGACCCATCGGTAGTTTTGAGGCAGACCTCCTATATCACGCTGATCATCGGGAATCTAACCAGATTGTTAAACAACTGCCGTATACACCTCTACACGCACTCTTCATGGACTGTACACATGACAACCAAATGCCTGCCCAGAAACGTGAAGCAAGAGATACTCTTCCTAACGCTGCATTGGTTGCCATGTGTTCGTCTGCTATCGGTAGTGTGATGGGATATGATGAAATATATCCCAAACATATAGACATGGTCAATGAAACGCGCCTATATGCATCGCCTTCCTCTGATAACGGAGTGAAGTCAAAGACGGGTGAAGGGGGTATTGGTGGAATCAAAAAGTTGCTGAATGAGCTCCACACCAGCATGGCTGTAGGCTGCTATGATGAAACACATATTCATCATGAGGGCCAATACATCACTGTCCATCGTGTCCAGCCAAATTCAAGGAAAGGTGTTTTGCTCATTGCGCATACTGCTTTCTCTGGATCCAAGGACGACCATAGCCTAGATCCGATAGTTCTCTGTGGAACTAACGCGAAGATGATTGGTGCATGGAGATTGGATATGATTTCTGCCAACGGGGACGGAAATATGAAGAATGGGCTCATAATTGGACTTCACAGCAAGGTTTCTGATGTTGAAGGAATCAGCATTGATAATGACGGCAACAACACAATGATTCGTGTGCCAGCTGACTTCGCTCCTGGATCAATTGCACTCCTGGAGACCTGGCTGCCGGAAAACAATTTGCTAAAGGATCTGAGTACCTTCATTACTTCTGATGCAGAAGCTGCGTTCAAGTCCCTGGATCCAGTTGACCTGAACTTCGTCTTATACAAGTGTGATGCGGAAGAAAAAGACATTAGCCATGGCTCGGATGGCGTGTATGATATTCCAAACTCCGGTCCATTGGTATATGCTGGGCTTCAGGGGTGGTGGAGCGTTCTCGAAGAAGTTATTCGCAATAACGATGTGGGTCATCCTATTTGCGATAACCTTCGAAAAGGACAGTGGGCTCTGGACTTTATCGTCCGGAGAATGCACAAAGCAGCTTCCGATGAAGGGTACGAACGACTGAAGGAGCCAGCCGAATGGCTTCAGGGTCGATTTGATGCAATCAGAAAATTACCTTCGTTTTTGTTGCCCCGATATTTCGCCATTGTTATCAAAACCGCATACGACGCTGCTTTAGCCCGAGGTATCCAACTCCTTGGTGTCACTGTTGAGCATGGTAAGGATATTATACACGAACTCGCAATGGTAAGTATACAGCAGGTGGGATTTGTCAATTCCGCATCTCTATACCCGACGAAACGTATACCTTGTCTTGCCGCTGGCCTTCCTCATTTCTCAACAGGCTGGGCGAGGTGTTGGGGAAGGGATGTTTTTATCTCTTTGCGTGGCCTCCTCTTGTGCACGGGGAGATTTGACGAAGCGAAAGAGCATATTCTTGCATTCGGAAGCGTGCTGAAACATGGTCTCATGCCGAACCTGCTTTCCGATGGAAAGGCGCCGCGATATAATGCTCGTGATGCAGTATGGTTCTTTCTACAGGCTATCCAAGACTACATCAAGATTGTGCCAGATGGAACCTCAATACTGGAAGAGAAAGTTCGTCGTCGATTCTTGCCATATGATGATACATGGTTCCCCCACGATGACAGTCGAGCATATCGCGAGACCTCAACAGTGTCAGACATCATCCAAGAGATACTCCAAAGACATGCTTCAGGCATCTCTTTCCGTGAGTATAACGCAGGCCCTAACCTCGATATGCAGATGAAGGATGAGGGTTTCCAGGTAGATATGCATGTCGACTGGGAGACTGGTTTGGTATTTGGAGGAAACCAATGGAACTGTGGCACATGGATGGATAAGATGGGTGAAAGCACCAAAAGCGGAAATAAAGGTCATCCGGGAACACCCCGAGATGGCGCAGCTATTGAGATCAACGGGCTGCTTTATAGCATTCTCTCATGGCTTTCATCTCTCACAGACCAAGGGAAATTCCAATACAAGGGCGTTGAAGTTGATTCTGGAAAATCAGTATCTTATGCGGAATGGGCTGCAAAAGTTAAATCCAACTTTGAGAGGTGTTATTATATCCCTGAAAATCCAGCTGACGATGGCAAATACGACGTCAATAGCAAGATTGTTCACCGACGTGGGATTTATAAAGACCTCTATCGTTCTGGCAAGCCATACGAAGATTACCAGTTCCGACCCAACTTTGCTGTTGCGATGACTGTCGCCCCCGAGTTATTCGCCCTGGATAAAGCACTCCAAACGCTCGAACTGGCTGATACTGTGCTCCGTGGGCCGATGGGTATGGCGACCCTGGACCCCAAAGATCTCAACTATAATCCATATTATGTGAACTCCGAGGATTCTACCAACTTTGCAACTGCAAAGGGGAGAAATTATCATCAAGGACCAGAATGGCTGTGGCCCACTGGGTATTTCTTGAGAGCACTAATGAAGTTTGTCCTTATGCGAAGAGACAGCCCCCAGGACCGTACGGATATATTCCAGCAGCTCACGAATCGGCTGGAAGAGTGCAAGAAGGCACTTCGAAGTAGCCCTTGGCGGGGACTAACAGAGCTGACAAATAAGGATGGCGAATTGTGTGTGGACTCGGTGAGTCGTTGCTTCCTTCCGCTAGCCCCCTATTATTCCTTCTCCCTAGTTAACTTACACTGAACGAATGAAATAGTCTCCAACCCAGGCATGGTCTGCCGCGTGTCTAATTGATCTCTATTATGATGCGTCGCAGTTGAGGAAGCTGGAGTGATGTATCGAGAATGTTCACTGCATTATCTAGCATAGGTTGTCCGTAGCAGTCTTTCATCTTCAAATCTTCAAATTTTTACCTCCATCTTCCCTGTACTGACAGTAACGTCATCGCCTGCAGATCGCATGAGGCAACCAGCAAGTCACATGACTCTATCTTGATTTTAACTTCTACGCAACTTTAGTTAAGGTTGGGACAAAATATTCGGGCATGAAAACAAGATCGAAGGCTGCGTATAAAAACCAACATAGACAAGACGCATCGATGCGGAAGACGAAGCCAGGACTGCGCTTGCTAGGTGAATAGCACCGTCACATAACTTCTCCCTTTGATTTGCTGTGCTGGGCTTTGCCAGGCGCAGGTTGCAATCCGTCTGCCCGATGACGTCTCAGCTGCCGCTGCCAGCAGCCACCACTACACGCGCACTGGTATACGCCTTTGCGACTAACCAACCCGATGGGCCAAGGTATCAGGACCAGACCCGGGGCCAGCGCGATCTGCTCACTCAAATCGTGATCAGCGTCGGCTTTGGGCTCAGTGCTTTCATCACATTTTGCGTATGTCTACGTTGTCAAGTCTCAATCAGTTGCGTGAAACAGAATGGCTGACCATGGCATTTGAACCCTCGAACAGTTTTTACGGCCAAAATGGAGTGCGCTTTATGCAGCGAGACGGAAGATGAGGACCGCTGCGTCCAGGCTACCCGACCTCCCCGATTCGTTATTTGGGTGGATTCCTGTGCTATTCAAGATATCTGACGAGGAAGTCCTCGCTTCAGGGGGGCTCGATGCATTCGTGGTATGTCTCTTTATGCTACATTGGATACTGGAAGTTACAATTCGAGCTGACATTCTCTCTGTCTATTATCGAAATATAGTTCTTGTTATTTTACAAATACTCCATCCACTTTCTTTCCATCGTCTTTTTCTTCTCTGTCGTCGTGATTCTCCCTGTACGGTATTCATACACAGGCGAAAGAGGATACCCGTGGGATGGTGACCGCGGAGAACAACCTGGTGGTGACTCGGATAAGAAGCCGAAAACAGACCCGACTTTCCTCTGGCTCTATGTGGTTTTTTCATATGTATTTACCGGAGTGGCCGTACACCTTCTCATCAGCTACACAAACAGAGTCATACAGATAAGGCAGAAGTGTCTAGGCGGACAAACCACCATGGCAGATAGGACGATTAGGCTATCCGGAATTCCAGTTGACCTACAATCCGAGGAGAAAATACAAGATTTCATCGAAGGGCTCGAAATCGGAAATGTTGAAAGTGTCATGCTTTGCCGCGACTGGCGAGAGTTGGATAGGCTAATGGAAGAAAGAAAATGCACTCTTCAACGTCTTGAAGAATCATGGGCCAAATATCTCCGTTATCGAAAGAGCAAGCCTCGTGGTGTCTTGCCAAGTCGGGCAAACAGGATATCTCCGCAGATTGATACAGCCGATACTTCAGAGAGTGCTCGGTTGCTCTCAGATGAACCCAATACGCATCAGAATCATATTTTCGAAAACCCAGGAGCTCGTCCTAGAATCAGGATATGGTTTGGTCCGCTGAAGATCCAGTTTAAATCCATCGACGCTATTGACTACTACGAGGAGAAGCTACGGCACTTGGACGAGAAGATCGAAATTGCTCGCCAACAGGAGTGTACACCCGGAGCTCTAGCGTTTGTCACTATGGAATCTATTGCTGCTTGCCAAATGGCAGTCCAAGCTATCCTCGACCCCTGGCCGATGCAGCTTGTTGCTAATCTAGCACCTGCTCCAGCAGATGTTGTTTGGCAACATACCTATATGTCTCGGACCGAAAGGATGATACGAGGCTGGACTATTACAACAGTCATTTGTGTTTTGACTATATTTTGGTCCCTATTACTTGTCCCACTTGCCTATCTTCTCAACTTGGAGACCTTGGAGAAAGTGATTCCCCGGCTTGCAGAAGTATTGTCAGAACATCCATTGCTCAGATCACTGATGCAAACTGGTCTCCCTACATTGACGCTGTCTTTGCTCTCGCTGGCCGTTCCATATATATACGACTGTAAGTTTATTACCTCCTTTCTTTTTTTCAGAATATGTACCTAACTTTCTCCTTATTACAGGGCTAGCCAACGTGCAAGGAATGACTTCGCAGGGAGATGTTGAACTCTCTGTCATTTCAAAGAATTTCTTCTTCACGTTCTTCAATCTATTCCTTGTGTTTACCGTCTTCGCGACTGCTTCAAATTTTTACGGGCTTTGGGAAAACCTTCGCGATGTGTTCAAAGATACAACTACCATAGCTTTTGCGCTTGCTCGATCCCTTGAGAAACTTGCTCCTTTCTATACCAACCTGATCGTTCTACAAGGTCTGGGGTTGTTCCCGTTCCGTCTTCTAGAGTTTGGAAGTGTATTCTTATATCCATTCCAACGGATGTTCGCAGTCACCCCTCGCGACTATGCTGATCTACGGAAGCCTCCCACCTTCAGCTACGGCTTTGCTCTGCCTCCGACTATCCTCATTTTCATTGTCTGTCTTGTATACAGTGTTTTCCCCAGCTCATGGCTTGTCTGCCTTTTTGGATTGATCTACTTCAGCATCGGCCAGTTCATATACAAATACCAACTTCTATACGCGATGGACCACCAACAACATTCTACTGGGCGAGCGTGGCCGATGATCTGTAGCCGGATCATACTCGGATTAGTGGTGTTTCAATTGACGATGATTGGAAGTCTTGCGCTTAGATCAGCGATTACGCGGTCCATCCTAATCATTCCTCTCCTTGCCGCAACGGTCTGGTTTTCTTACTTTTTTACACGAACTTATGAACCCCTAATGAAATTCATCGCTCTCCGAAGCATTGATCGTCACCGCGATGCCGATAATGATCAATCACCAACTCCCAGCTCAAACTTTTCTCCGCCTTCACAGTGGGATAGAGATGCCATTCCTCTTCGACTACGCGGTCGAGATATCACGCCTCGACTAAGAAAATATATTAACCCAAACTTGGTTATCCCTCTAGACTCAGCCTGGATTCCGGGACAGCCGGAGAATTACGACAATGACGTCACTTCATTTTCACAGAATGGAATCTCGGTGGTAGATCACGAAGCAGTTTAGAGCTATTCTCCTACCTCCTTTCCTACCCCACTTCCTTTACCTCCTTGCAATACAAGACCTACTTGATTTTAATATAATTGATACCCCCACGACATTTTAATGCTGCCCATATGTTCTTCTTTCGCTTATAGAACCGTAGTTTGATCTCTTCGGCTCTTCCTTTGTCTATTGAAATCTGTTTACTCCTCCAAATGTTCATTATCGATATATTTTCTCCAACAAGTGATCCCTGATACCACGAGAGCTGTGATCTACAACTCGCCATAGGAATTTGGCATCCGAGCACAAAATGAACCGATTACGCAAGCAAGAAATAGTACTGCTGCCACGAAAAAAGGGAGGCCTATAGCCATTCCACCGATATTTAACCCCATGCTGAATGTTGCTGCAATTAAAGGAGAAGCAGCTAATTCCCCTATGATACTAATAACGGCAAATGATGCATATAGAGTTGCCACATCGTTTGGCGATACCAATGAAGCGGCATATGACTTTATTGCAGGATGGAAGCCGAACGAGAAGGTGAACAATAGTAGAGCTTCGACAAGACGTTAGCAAACTATGGATAACACGCTTTAGACCTAACGAAAACGGTGACGTACACAAGATTAGAAGCCCAGGGGATGGCGAAAGGCCCATCATCAGAGACCCTATAATGCTGAATATCGAGCTTACTCGAGCAATCCACAAGTCCATCTGTGTAGGTTGCATGCCTCTGTTGGTGAGAAACCTAGTTAAGACAGGAAGGATGACGAGAAATAGAACAAGATTGACGGCCGCTCTGAAAGATATCAGGTAGTTTGCCTACCCCAAGTCAGTCAAATGCTCACAACACATAGCGAAGGCTTGTCATGTTGGCGTACCTCGGCAAGAGTCCAGCCAAACCGTTTGGAAGTGTACTGGATTAGGAACTCCAGCATATTACGTCCTAGTGACGTTACTAGGAATGAAGTAGCCACAACGAGGATGTTGCGGTTGGCTTTTATGGTTCTCCAGACAAGTATAAACGGAGCAATAACATGCTTAATGCCTGTCTTCACGACAGGCCAGAAGCTAGATATGCCCCTCCCAGCATCACTGGCATCGTCGGAAGCCTCATTGAGCTCGGGATCCTCCCTCTCCTGTATCCGTTTCAATGTTTCGGGGATTATGAAAAGCACGGCACCCCCAATTAGTTCGAATACCAAGCCAAGGCCTAGAGGAGCATATACACTCCAATTCTGCATCAGCACAGAAGCTAGAACAGGGGCAAGCATTTCTGTGATGAGAAGGGCAGATGCTAGATATAGAAAAGCCTGTGCTCGTCGGTCTGACGGCACAACATCAGAAAGCAATGTATGCCCGACAGCTGAAATCACGATTCCTCCGCCCCCTGCTGATTTGAGGACGGACGATAAGTATATCGATCCGTAGGGAATTGCGCCCCGAGCCAAACTGACTATCAAGATCCATACCTCGGACAGCATCTGGCCTACAGTCCCTAGAGCGAGAACAAAGACTCTACCCTTTTGGTTTGCGAGGTTTCCAAATGGGATTGCAAGCATTAATGCTGTTACACGATCATTTCAGTACTTGGCTTAGAGAGCAGGTTGGGTGGGTAGAAGGTAGTAAGATAGATACCGAATATATTTTCAATGATTTTCAGACGAGCTTTTAGGTTGGCTAGTCGGCTCTGAACCTCACTCCCCTTGCACGGGTTGTTCATGGCGCTCTGAGGCATCATACTAGCCAGGTTACTGCCGTAGTATTCGTTACATATTACTGTCTCGAATAGCTGTGTCTTGGGTGTTAGGCGAACTACATCCGCCATGTCCACGGCCAAGGCGAAGGCGTAGCAAAGTAAAGGGATTTTCCATATTTTATATGCTTCTGCTATCCATTTGTTGCTATAGGGAGGAAAATACCACACACGGCGGTTACTTTCTGAGGAAGAAGCACCGTCGAAAGCTGTAGTACTGCTATTTGAAGTCTGTAGCAGGCTTGTCCGTTCATCCATAGTGAGTGCAGTTAACAGCTAGAAGTAATTGACTATTTTTAAGAAATTTTTATCAAGTGAACCTCACCCTCAAGAGAGTTGTAATATTATTGACGTGAGTTCAGATACATTTGCTGACAAGAAGGATGCAAAGATATATTGCTGCCTTGGCCAGCTGATGCGGCTGAGTTGAACCCTGGCAGTGCGTTCACCCGCCAAGTTCATAGTTGGTCACACCCTGCCAATATGCAACATCTACATTGAAATGGTGATTGGCCCTTACTTTTGCAATGACATCAAAGCCGAAATATTAAGATGATTAAAAAGTGAAATTGAAGTGTCAATGGTTAGCCGACAGAATTTATTCACCGGCGTTACCATTTCGCATGGACTGCCTCTGCTTGACTGCCTTAGCAAGCAAGTCAAGAACAGACTCGGAATCGGCCCAGTTGATACAAGCATCAGTAATACTGACACCGTATTTTAGACCTGCTTTGCCTTCCGGGGGAACTTTTTGGTTCCCTAAGTTGAAATGGAGGATGTCAGCTAAAAAATGACGAAGTCGACAGGAAATGAGGGCTTAGTAGGTGTATACACAACGTACCTTCATTGATGTTGCTTTCAATCATGACTCCCATAATCCCTTCCTCGCCGGCGGCGATCTGTTCAGCAAGAACTGCAGCCACCTTAGGCTGGTTCTTGTGGTTCTTTTGGGAGTTTCCATGGCTGCAGTCAACCATGAGTCGTTGAGACAGACCCTTCTCGGCCAGCTTCGACTTGGCCGCTTGTATGCTCTTTGCATCGTAGTTGGTTCCACTCTTCCCTCCACGAAGAATAGCAAAGCAGTCTTCATTCCCAACTGTTCCAACAATGGAGACTACACCTGGTTTTGTGACAGAGAGAAAGTGATGGGGGTGTTTGACGGCCCCAATCGCATCTACAGCAACGTCAAGAGAGCCGTCCGTGCCATTCTTGAAACCAACGGGGAAAGAAAGTCCACTAGCCAATTCACGGTGAAGTTGAGACTCTGTGGTTCGGGCCCCAATCGCGCCGACTGAAAGCAGGTCAGCGAGGAACTGGGGCGAAATAGTGTCCAGCATTTCACTGGCAAGGGGCATTCCTTTCTCCGTCAAGTCAACGAACAGTTGCCGGGCAGTTCTCAGCCCCTTGTTGATCTGGAAGGAGTTGTCGATATCGGGGTCATTGATGAGCCCCTTCCAGCCAACAGTTGTTCGGGGCTTTTCAAGATAAGAGCGCATGACAATCATGAGCTGATCCTCGTGCTTCTCTCTCATTTTCAGCAAACGATCGCAGTAGTCTAGAGCAGCTTGAGGGTCATGGATAGAGCACGGTCCGATGATGACGAGGAGGCGGCCATTGGCGTCCTCGCCCCTAACAATGGCTGCAGCTTCTTCTCGAGAGGAGACGACTGTGCTCTTTGACATGTTGGTTTGCGAAATCTCATGTTGGAGGAGGTTTGGTGGAGTGAGGGGGTTGTATCCAAGAACTATCAATCGCATGGGCGAACAGTCAACTTGGAGTCCACAGGACATAGACTCATTCGTATCACTGACCTCTCCAGTCCTCTACTTGGTTCTTCTTGCCAACATTGGGGTTCTCTATATACCACTGTGACTGCTGGCCGTCGCATCAGTCTATAGATAGCTTGATCGTGGGGAAATTTTGCCCGCCGTGGTGGGATGACTCACCGACATCGCAGCTGTCCCGACTGTGTCTTGTGGACAAACAAGCCAAGCAGGGAATAATGATATAACGATTAGAGGTGAATTAACCCTAACTATTCAGAGTATCTGAAGCGTTCTCTAAATGCTAGACCTTATTATTTGTTAGGGCGAGGCGTAGGTTAGGTATTGCACTTCAAAAAGTGGGTGACGATCTATAGTTACCAGCTGCTATGAACTCACTGTTGGTTAAGTTCCTCGCTAGTTAGTTAACGGTAACTAGGTAGTTACTGATTGGCTCTCGTGAATAAAGCTTGCATTCAATAGAAACACCACGTAATATATCCTCGCTTGACCCCCACTGCGACGATTATACTATTGCTTCTTATAGTACCAGTCTGTTAACTAGATAAGTTACTTAGTAAAGCGGCATACTGAGTAAAGGGGTATCGGGATGATATAAGGCTTGTCAAGGTATTAGAGAGATAAAGGGGGACTGTGTTTGTATTACTAGTTAGTTAAGTATTATAGTTAGCTATAGTTATACTTCTAAAAATCTCAAGAAATATAATAAATTCTAGTACCTGGACGATGATTTTAAGAATAATTACAAAGTCTCTGATTTTTGGGATGAGGCTTAGAATTGAAGAAACAAAGTCAAGGACATCTGCAATATCCCTAAGTGCTCGGAGGGACTTGCTTGTTTTTAGTTACTGTCTGTTCTAGATAATCGGAAGGCCTCTTTATACCATTTAGGAGACATTCTCTCACACGAGTTGAGAGCATGTCCACCGTTGAAGCTGACTGCCATCATCATGCAAACACTGCAAGTCTGCAAATATCAGGTATTTTAATGGCAACCAGCCGCATATTATCGGGCTGTAAACATAGTTGAAGGTTCATTTCACATGAATACTTGTGTAGAGAAACTCACCACAACATGGTATGCTCTTTTTATTCTTTTTTTTTTTCAATAGTTATTGGTTAACTATATTATAACTAACTACCTAGGTAGTTGACTGCCTGCAGATATCTCTGGCCAAGCCTCTGATCCCTGCTTCCAGCCAGCCAGCCAGTGCTAGAAGGCTGTAGGTCACTATTCTACTTCGTCAACGGATTAGATTATTTGACGAAGCACCAGGAGGGCAAGGTTTCCACCCCAGTTTGAGTGAGATTTTACTGCAGAGAGGAAGTTAGAGAGGCATTGCGAAAAAAAAAAAAAAGGATCGGAACTTGGTAATTGGAGAAAAGGATGAGGCCGTACCTGTCCCGCCATCAACGACATATTGACCATCGTTCGCAATGGGGCCCGAATTATCCTATAAATTGGTCAACCAAATATGAACAAACACCTGCAATGAGTCATATGGAACAGACGTAAAAGTACTCACAAAAACTTCAGCCTCCAAGATACTACCGGCTTTGAGGGTGGCTGAAAAGGAGCGAAATAGTAAAGAAGAGGGTGTTAGTTGCCTCGTATAACAGTGAGTACCATCATATAACACATGCAGGTTTATTGTCATTTACCCAATCTGGCATACAAAGATGCCGTCTTCAGTTATCGCACTTATCTTCCACTTCTCGCTTCCCCCGGTGCACCGGTAATTAAAAGTGCAGGTTTGGTCTCCCTGTTTCCTCGTATTAGTCGGGAAGCGCGGTATGAAGCACAGTTAACATAATTACCAATGTAATTGAGACCGTTTCCGGTGCTCCAACCCCGAGATCGAATTCTTTTTCAACTGCAGACATCATGTAGGGGCCAAGTGGCTATAAGCAAGGTGGTTGTAAACGAGGCAAGAAGAGGAGAAAAGCACAATTCGTATGTGCGTGTGTGCCTACTGCCCTTTTTTATAGGTGTTTCTTCCCAGCCCGATAGAGTGAGTGGCTGGCTGAAGCTGGCAGCGGGGTGAGAATCACATGGGAATCGAGGCAGCAGCCAGATCTGCATCAAGAATGCTAGAGCTAATCGTGCCTTACGCGCTACCAATTGGCTGGGGTATACGGGTTTCTAGGGGCACAGCATGGTTATAGAATTTGATGCGACAGCGTGGTGAAAGTGGCCTTCCTGGAGGAAGCCATTGTTCGAGTTTGCTTGGTGACGACTATCCGCACACCTAAAGTCCACAATGGCCACTGGGGTTCTCCTTGCCGGTTTAACAGAAAGCTTGATTCACGGTTATTGCCCCTGGAAATCTTCCCTCAGTCCTTCCTCTCCCACCAGCATAAGGAGAGCATTGGCTGGAATCTTTCACCCTGCGCAGGCACTCTAGCGATAGGGGCAAGTTGGCCACTGACTGTATTCGACGTTCCTGATTCTGCCAATCACTAGCTCATCAAGCTGGATGCGAGAAACTGGCCTTTGGTGAGACCGCGGCCCCGCAAAAATGTACAGATGGGAGGGCGACGATGGGGCTGTGGACGGCTTTGGCGCCAAAAGTGGCATCTCTCGAGCGTTTCCAGCAACCCGCACTGTGGACTCGGTGGCCGACCTGGGATGAAACCACCCGGTCTAGTTATTTCGGAGCATCCTGGACTGAGGTTTGTTCAACTTTGTTGTGACTCTCAGGGAAATCTAGGCTGACTAACTAACTAGGTAACTAGTTAACTAACCAAGTTAGTTAACGAATTAACTAAAACGGAGCCTGGTTAGTAACCAACTGTTTGTTTGCCCTGTACGGAGTAGAGACTTGATCTTATACTACAATCATCCTTCTGCGAGGTGCAGAGGAAAGACATCCATGAATAGGGCCACGCACACGGAAAAAGAATGCTTTAATCACTGAGCATCTTTGAGTTTATTTTTTTGCTCACTAACCCCTGGCTAAAGAAAGCCGAATGGACAGCCGCTCGAAACGGCCTCGCCATCCCTGACAATATAACTAGTTACCTAACTACATACCTATTACATGCACTGTGTGTGACCGTGTCACAATCTGCCGATAGCCAGCCATCAACCCTGAAGCTGCATTTGAACGCCTTGGTATCGTCGCGACCAACTTGAAGAATAGTAATTACTGACTACTCCTAGATGGCTCATCCTATTGCTCTCTCTACACGGAGTGCAGTGTGTTGACTACACAGTTGAGACAAATATTTCCCCAGATTCTATGGCGCATTCATCATAGTTCCCTTCCAGCTTGAAATCGCCCTCGAGCTCCACCTCAATGATGTCATCATGCTCGTCGTGGAGGCTCCTCGGGCCGTCATATCTTTTCCAACATGCTTTCTTTGCAAGTGTCATCTCGTCCGCTTTTTTGCTCGAAAACCATCTCCAGGCAACCTTGCGATATTGCACTGCATATATCTGCTCACCCGGCGCTTTGAACAGTCTGTACTCGTGTTCTACACGGCTACAAAAGCCACCGATCCCAGAGTCCACGAAATTGAATGGTAGAACCACGCCGGATGCTGCCAATGCCGTCGACGCTGGTATTGCCATATTTCCGCCAGCAGCGCGATTCCCTCGTAGCTGCTCTTGTATCTGAGCGCCCACGAGCGTGTGGTAAGCTACAACAACATATATGTCTTCCCCTTCATCGATGGTTCTCTCAATCCACTCGCGAGTTTCTTGAGATCTCACTACTTCTCGAAACCATTGGCCAGCGTTGTTCAAGTAGTACGTCTTAGCTTGATCGGCTGTAAGCCAAACTGTCGCATTGAAGCGTTTCGAGAATGAGGACGATAGGAACGAAGCAAGCTGTGACGCTACATTTTGATGTTTGGCGGAATAATAAATGCTGCTGTACTGATCTTGGACTTTCTCAGCGCAATCGGGGCTAGCATTGCTCGTGGGATCGTGAAAATCTTGGAGAGGGTCATCGAGGTTGATAACAAAACGTCCCAGGCTGACAGCCGAGCGGGGAAGAAAAACCTGCGGAAGGAGAATACTTCTAGGCATTATGCAATGAATGCTGGGTAAGCTAAACGGCTGTGAGGGAAGACTGATAGGATTAAATAGTCCCTTCTCCCCTGCGCTGAGGGGCAGTCCCTTTTCACTCGGATCCCGGCCGCGATGTGGTCACAGAACCCGGTTCGGCAGGCCACGGCCATCAGCTGCGCCACGCTCATCAGGCTGAACTGTTGGAAAGTTCACAATCTGCTGGAGGGCAGTATATATCAATATAATTACTCCGTAGTGCAGCTGCCACATTCCGAGTAACCATCGCCCTAACCAGCCTATTGCTTTTCGAGTTTGTCTCGCATACCTTCGCCCTTTGAATATAAGCACCATGGATGATGACCCTGAGACTTTTCTACTCAAGAACTTTGAACATACCCTATCTCTCGTACCCAGCAACGATAATAGCGTCCGATCTGAGCTATGTATGTATTATGCCATCTTAAAGCATCAGCTTTTCCAACGCCACGGACAAGTGAAAGACCTCAAAGAGGCGATTAAGCAGGGGAGGAACGCTATTTATGAGACGCCAAAAGATTGCGATGAGAACGCAGAAAGGCTTGACATCTTTGCGGACATGCTAGAAAGCCAATATTATCACACAAAAAAAGTGAAGGATCTCGAAGAATTGATTCGAGTAGCGCGGCAGGCGGTCGACATCACACAAAAAGGCCATAAAGATCTTACAGGAAGACTAGACAAGCTAGGAAGCAGACTTAGCCTTCGGTATGAGCGAACAGGAAAGATAGAGGACCTCGAAGAGGTAATTCAAATGACACGAAAGGCAATCAATATTATACCCAAAAACCACCTTGCAGACTGGCTAAGTAAGCTAGGAAGTAACCTTGCTTTTCGATATAAACACGCAGGAAAGATGGAGGACATTATAGAGGCAATTCGAGCAACACGACAGGCGATTGATATTACACCAAAAGACCACTCGGATATTGAAGTAATGTTAACCACTCTTGGAAACAATCTTATGCTTCAATATGAATGCACGGGGAAGATAGAGGACCTTGATGAGGCCATTCAAATAGCACGGCGGGTGGTTAATATTATACCAAAAGATAGTCCACATCGCGCAGCTTCATTAAGTAACCTAGGAGGCACAATCGGAAAGCGATATACATGCCTGGGAATGATAGAGGACCTCGAAGAAGCTATTCAAGTGGGACGTCAGGCGGTCGCCGTTACACCAAAAGACTCTCCAGATCTCAGCACCTTCCTCAACAACCTAGGAATGTGCCTTGGCTTTCGATATGAACGCACAGGAAAGCTAGAAGACCTCGAGGAGGCGATTCAAATAGGGCGGCAGGCAGTCAACACTACGCCAAAAGGCCATTTGAACCTCACGATATTGCTAAGTAACCTTGGAAACAATCTCGGAAGCCGATACAGACGTATGGGCCAATGGAAGGATCTCGAAGATGCCATCCGGGTAGCGCAGCAAGCAGTCAATATTACGCCAGAAAACCATGCAGACCTTGCAGGAAGGTTGAGCAACCTAGGAGGCTACTTCGAACTTCGATATGAACGTACGAGAAAGATAGAAGATCTTAAACGCGCTATTCAAATAGGATGGCGGGCAGTCGACGTCACGTCAAAAGATCATTCATATTTTGCAGCTTGGCTAAATAATCTTGGAAGCCGTCTCTATATTCAACACAATCACACAGGAAAGCTAGAGAAACTCGAAGAGGCTATCTCTATAACGCGGCAGGCAGTTGATATTACACCAAAAAACCATCCAGATCTTGCAATAAGACTAAATAATCTGGGGAATAGACTCGAACGTCAATATGAATGCACGGGGGAGACAGAGACTCTGGAAGAGGCAATTCAAGTAGCGCGGCAGGCGGTCGATATTACACCAAAAGACCATCCAGATCTCGCAATAAAGCTAAACTGCCTGGGAAGCAAACTCGGCTTTCGATATGAACGCACGGGAAAGATGGAAGATCTCGAAGAGGCGATTCATGTAACCCAGCACGCCTGGAAATGCGAGAACGCTACTCCCTTCGTTCGCATTGAGGCTTGCATCCAGGCTCTCCGCCTCCTTCGGCGTCAAGAGAACTTTGAAAGCGCTTACAGACTCTCAGTGGAGGCTATAAGGCTGCTGTCTTACGTTCACCATAGGTCCCTCAGTCCCCAGGACCAACAGTTCGTTGTTTCACATTTTTCTGGATTAGCTACGACTGCCTGTTCTCTTGCTCTTAAAATAGGAAAGGAACCGGCAGCAGCCTTAGAAATTTTAGAGCAAGGGCGCGGAGTGATCCATCGCCTTCTGATGGATGACCGAAGCAACATCTCTGACTTGAAAATCGCCCATCCAGAGCTGTGTGCGGAATACGAAAGACTTCTATTTGAGATAAACAAGTCCATCGCGAACAATACGGATAACCAGACACGCATGGCCGCTTTAGCAAGCCGGGTGAAAGCAGTCGCAAAGCTTGAGACGTGTATACGGGATATTCAACAGCTTCCTGGCTTCAGCCACTTCCATAAAGCCCTTACTGCCAAGCAGATGCAGAGCTGTTCAACGGCGGGCAGTATTGTCGTCATAAACATCACTGACCTCGGGAGCGATGCCATTATTGTTACTGTCGACACGGTGAGGGTCCTCCCGCTCCCCGGTCTAAGCGCAGGCCAAGCTAGGGACTGGATCAATCAGGACCTCACCACGACTACGTTAAGCGACCGCGGTCGAAAGAATAAGAGGTACCTTGAATTCTTGTCGTGGCTATGGCGCGGGTGCGTGAGGCCTGTGTTAGAAGAGCTTCACTGCGAAGTGCAGTCTTCGGCAGACGATCTACCAAGGGTCTGGTGGATCGGAACTGGTCTCGCGAATTCATTCCCCTTCCATTCCGCCGGCGATGTCTCTGCTGGAAAAACGGAAAATGCATGTTACCGGGTGATTTCGTCCTACACATCAACAATCAGAGCCCTGCAATATGCCCGAGAACGCACCAGCAAATCTCCCAGCATCCCATCTGGTCGCGATCCTTGGAGAGTAGTCATCGTTACCATGCCTGAAACCCCTGACGCAAATGACCTCCCTGGCACAAGAAGAGAGAGATCTGAGATTATAGCGGCTATGGGCTCTTCTACCTCCATAGTGAGCCTTGAGTACCCAGACGCCGCAAGCGCTATGGCTCAGCTCCGAGAATGCAGCATCGCTCACTTCGCCTGCCATGGGGTATCAGATTCACGCGATCCTTCCAGGAGTGGTTTGATACTGCAGACGGCTAGGACGGCGTCTAAGCAGCCGAGGCAAGACGTGCTGAGCGTCCGTGAGGTGTCTCAGGCCCGCCTCTCACGGGCAGAGATTGTGTATCTTTCTGCCTGCTCCACCGCGCAGAACCGTGCGCTAAAACTTTCAGACGAGGTGCTTCACGTTGTCAGCGGGTTTCAGGTTGCTGGATTTCGGCACGTAGTTGGTTGTCTGTGGCCGTCAGACGATACAGTATGCGTGGAAGTAACGAAGCTATTCTACTCCGAACTTGGTCGAGCCGGAGCCACATGGTACGGCACCGATAGATCTCCTGCGTTGGCACTGCACAAGTCTCTTGTGAAGATTCGGGAAAGCAGAGAATACTGCAAGCGGCCGCTACTCTGGGCGCAGTATGTGCATTTTGGAGCGTGATTTAGAGAAGAGAAGAGCACCTCCCGTCATGCATAAATAGGAGGCCTGTGTTGACCAGATGGTTCTCATCTTTGTTCTTCTCCAGCTTATGACGATTCACCTCGCCGCTACGTATCCCGAAAACGAATCAATCAAGCAGTCAATTGTCAATCAGAAGGGAGGCATATAGACTTCATTATTCTGGCAAACCTCTGTAGTGTTTATGAGTTATATAGCTAGTTAGCTATCCTGTTATCAACACCACTCCTAGGATACATATGTTGACCCATGTGAAATTGTGAAAATGCACTTTGGACAACTAAGTTAGGCACTACCAAGCTCGTCCGCAAAGTAAGCTACGAAGACATCTCCCTGGCGCCTCGGTGCTGCCACTTTCTTCAATCGCCTGTGCGTTTCACACTCAGTATCATAGAAGTTCATGTCATCGAGATTGCGGAAGGTGGTTCTGACGGCTAAGGTGTAGCCTTGAGTCCGCAAGTCGGGGAGAGTCCGGCCTGCTTCCACCGAGAGAATGTACGGCTTGGAGTCCTGGTAGGGAATATCAGTTGGTCAGCATCATGCGGGAAGGACTTCGATTGACCGGGCGCTCCGTACCCGCTTAGCTTCTTGCTTTAATGCCCGATATTCAGACACCAGGACATCAATGTCATCTGGGTTGGGGATGTTGAAGAAGGTTATACGGTGGATGGCCATTGCTGATCGGGATTTGATGGACGGAGGAAGCGTACTGGTCAGTGGTTCCCAATAGTTAACGCTTTGATTGAGCTTCTCTAGAAAGATATATATTAATTATTTAACTAGTTAATAAACAAACCTGCATCACTGGGGATCTGCTTGCGGATCTGCTGGTTCGTTAACTAGTTACTCTAGCCTAACACTGGGATACCCAAGACCAGGTATACACCACCATCAAGCTATGGGCTGGATCCTTCACACGCAGAACGCAGAATGCATTAGTTAGACCAGCAGGGATGGTTAACTAGTTATTTAGTCAGCTCCCTTAACTAGTTAACCAGACCAGACATAAGTAACGGAGATGGGATAACGAGATCCCTTGTCTTATTAAATAATTAGCTAAGTCAGCCTTCGGCATCCCATCGAGATCCCTTCAGCAGGCATAACTAACTAACTACCTACCCAGTAACTAGTTAACTGGTTAACTAAGCAACTGAGATGGGATAACGGACCCTCGCTATTCCAACCCTGGTCTCAGTACCGTCATCCTTGGTCATCTCGTCCGCCATCCTGCCGGCATCCCATAGATAGATCCAGGAGGGTCTATAATCGCTATCCCACCGCTATACCACCCACCCATGCAAGCTGCAGATTCTTTGTTATAGTAATACCTCTGTCAGGCTATGGCTCGAGAAGTGAAAATCAGCCTCCTGATTTGTAAAACCCGTTCTGGCGAGTTACAAATCGGCAGCTCAGATGTGCAGATTGGGCCATGTCCCTTTCGATGGGATTCCTTATCCCTTTCGCTTTTGCACTACTGCCCTGTCTTTATATCTAACGACGATGCTCTTCTCTCTGTCTCTACAAGAATTGCACTGGCCCAAGCAACAAGTTAAAAGAAACCCAAACACTGACTTGATAGCTAATAGTTATCTTTTCCAGTGACCAGTCTTCAATAGTCACAATATGGGTGAGCTGACTGGGTTTGAGGATCCTGAAGCAGGAGCTTGTCCTGCTCAAGTGGTCAAACCAACTTGCTTGGACTTCGAAAAGGCCGACGAGAAGAGTCCAATCTCTTCCCCAGAGCGGGATCAATCCCCTTCGGGCAAGGAAGTGGGAACAAGAAGCATTACTGGATTCAAAGCGAGTACCGCGCCTCTCTACCTGGTTTTGTTTGGCTGCTGATATCTGAGCTTAGTGGATCTTGGTGGTGACTGCGATTCTCTCAAGCCATATGCTATTCGCTCTTGACAACACTATCGTTGCAAATATCCAACCGGTCAGTGCTCAAGGCGCCATACATACCTATATATTGCTCTGCCTCTGATCGAGATACTGGCAACTTAGGCTATTGTCGATCAATTCCTGGAGACTCAAAAGATTTCATGGCTATCCGTTGCGTAAGTATATTACTCTCTCATTCTAGCATTATGCTCTATATTTAACCACATTTCTCCTCTAGGTTTCCTCTTTGTTCCTCTGCACTGGTGTTACCTTGGTCCAAGGCCTACGCTACCTATAACGCCAAGTGGCTCTACATCGGGGTGAGAGCATACCTAACTTGGCCCTACCCATTTCTTCAATACTAATGCTTCAATAAGTGTGTGATCCTGTTTATGGCTGGGTCGGCCCTATGTGGCGCTGCCCCGAGCATGAATGCGATGATCGTAGGTCGGGCAATAGCCGGAGCTGGGGTAAGTTTGCTCTAGACTTCTATGTTTGAGTGATACTTACCCACTCCCTTTTAGGGAAGTGGAATGTACTTTGGTGTCTTGACACTTCTGTCAGTCAACACCACTGTGAATGAACGCCCGTTTTACATCGGATTGACGTAAGTGGCACATTACCCCAGGCCTTACTTGATGAAGTGACCGTGCTGAACGTCTGCCTTAGTGCTGTTTCCTGGGGCATTGGAACTGTCACAGGCCCTGCAATTGGTGGAGCATTTGCTGAGAGTGCTGCTACATGGCGTTGGGTAGGTTTCTCATACCTCTTCTTATATTTCAAGCTTAATCTATCAAAGGTATTTACATATAACTAATATCTTTCCGTCTCTAGGCATTCTACATCAACCTTGTTATAGGGGGTGTCTTTGCCCCCGTTTATCTTCTGCTGCTCCCTTCATTTGAGCCTCTACCCAACTCCACACATAAGGAAAAGGCACAGAACATTGATTGGGTTGGAGCCTTGCTCTGTATTGGTGCGTTGGCTACGATAGTTATGGCTATCGACTTTGGTGGGTCTGAATGGTCGTGGAACAGTGGCCCATCAATTGCTCTGTTCGTGGTGGCTGGCGTCCTATTCATTGTGTTTGGAGTTCAGCAGACTTTTTACATTCTCTGCACGGAAACGAATCGACTTTTCCCGGTTCATTTCTTGAAGAACCGCTCATTATTTCTCCTTTTCATTCTCAATAGTGAGTCCTCACTAATCGTACCCAACTGCGTTTTTGGGATAACTACTGATATCAAGGGATTTTTTAGCCTGCGCGAGCAGTGGACTTTTTATCTCGGTTTATTATATACCCCTTTACTTTCAGTTTACCCAAGGTGATACGGCTATTAAGGCTTCTATACGCCTTTTACCCTTTGTGCTGATCCTTATTTTCACAATCATATTTAATGGCCACATGATGTCCAGGTTTGGTTACTATTTTCCATGGTACCTGCTGGGCTCCGCGTTCGAACTGATCGCTGCTACCCTCATGTGTAAGAATCCGTTGCTAGGAGCCCTGTGAGAATCCGCTAACTTTATTAGATCTTGTCAAACCCGATACATCCGCCGGCGCTATCTATGGATACACTGCTCTTATGGCGCTGGGCGTTGGCGCCTTTAACCAGGCGGGGTATAGCGTTGTGCAGGCCAAGGTTCAACCAAACGAGATTCCCTGGGCCCTTGGATATATGATGGTTTGTAAGTACTCATAACTAGCTGTTAAATGTGTTGAACAAGCTCACTAACGTTCATAAGCTCAACTCGGAGGCATTGTTTTGGCCCTTGGCATAGCCGGTGCGATTTTTGTCAATAAAGCAACCACCGGCCTTCTCTCGCTACTCCCAGATGCTGATCCTGAAGTTGTTAAGAACGCCATTGCGGGAACAAGCAGCTCGTTTTTCAAGTCCTTATCTGATTATGATCAGGCCCGGGCATTGGGTGTCATCGTTTCAGCCATCGATCAAGTGTATGATTGTCTCCATTCATTCTACGAGATTTCGAGACTGACCCAACGTTTCCTTTAATAGATACATCCTGTTGATCGTAGCAGGAGCCATGGGTGTTGTGCTCTCTGCTTTCCTAAATGTTAGTGTTCACATATCCTTGAAATTAGCCCTTCAGCGTTTGAATTTACTAACTGGGCGGTTGTATAGCGCGAGAAGCTCTTCCTGGAGGTAGCTGCTGGTGGAGCATAGCTGTTAGCTATACAATACCTGTATAGGTTTAGATCGAGGAAGAGTGGCATCTTGTATGGAAGACTCTACACCCGTCCATACAGTGATCAAGGCCTGGTGGGGTGAAGCTAGTGGTGTAATCAGGCCGTGGCTTGGAATGCATCGTTGGACTCAGTCACACACACACACACACACACACACACACACACACTTATAGACATAGGAAGTTGATAGTACTTGCTACGCTCGCTATTCGTTGGAAAGGTGTAAATCACTATTGGCTAGAGGATTTTTTCATATACCTCTATTTCTGCTATTTTAATTAGTTGAAGTACTCTTTTTAGACCTACCGTCAACCAATAAATGCCACTAATAATCTTTTAGAATTTATACCTCTCTAATTAACCAATAAACAATACTAACCCCTTACACTTCGAAACATAGTGATGTAGCTTGGTTGATTGGACAAGCCCAATTTATTTAGTGAGAAGATGATTAGCTAAAAAGTAGCGTAAGGGGTGGAATAATTCAACCAACCAGGAGGGCCCAATGCAGATATGGAGAGGAAGAAGGTTATTACTGGTCACCTGATATCTGAAAATGACCGGAAGACCCACAAATATTATTCGTATATAAGGAAGAAGTGAGAAGGAAGATATATAAAGGCGATACATAAAGGCGATACATAAGGGAGATACATAGGGAGATATGGATTGTGACTACAGGTAACCTGGTACCTCCGAACTCTAATTCCTTACGTTGCATCAGAGCACTAACGGAGATAGACCCATCATCTAGACAATCACAGAATAGAAGCTACACTGCTTCTTGAATGCGCCATCATCTTCGCCAGGATATCCGCATAGTTTTCCGTAACACGCTCAAACTCCTCAACAGGATAAACTCGAGGGTCAAACTTCCACCGGAGATTATACCCTGCTAGGGTTTTAGAAACCTCTAGATGCAAGGCATAATCAATCGGCATCCGGACTTTGCTCAATCCCATTACCATCCACCGCATATGTTTATCGATTAGGTTGGCCGTGGGTGCAGGTGCATCGAATGGCTGGAACAGAAACAGCGCGCGCGCGGTGCTTTCTTCCCGATTTTGCCCCAAAGACTTGTAAATGTCGTCCAGGCTGACGTTCCCGTTTTCAGTCGTCTCCCAGAACAGCGACTGAGTCCCCCTGAGTAGCTCTCGTACACCCGTCGTGTCCGCGAAGGTACTCCGGAAAGGAAGGAAATTTGCACATGTCCCTGCGATTGTTTGCGCGTTCTCCAGCTCCAAGTTTCGACCGGTGATGAGGTTGTCATAGGTGATATCTGTGCAGCCCACATTGAGCCGAGATAAGAGCAAGGTGAAGGCGGTCTGAAAGACAATGGAGACGGTGACACCACAAACCGCCGCAAACGAGTCTACTCGGCGGTCCGCAGTAGTCACCGTAAGCTTGGAGGCGATCGGGTTGCTCACCGTGGGAAACAGGGCTGTATTGCCTTGCAGGAGCCCTTTCCAGAAGGACATGGACTTGGCCTTACTCGTCGAGTGCATGAAATCCACGTAGTCCCTGAAGGAGACTGTCGGTGGGAGAGGCTGTCCCTTATATAGGGCCTTGAATTCGTCGTCAAATATCCGCAGGAGAGTCCCATCGTACATGGCATGGTGGATCTTGATGAGTAAGTCGCGCGTCCCATCTGGGAGTACGAAAAGTCGATAGCGGATGAAGGGCTTGCCGATTTCAAATCTTTCGTTCCATGTACGGTCAAATTGTGCTTGTTTGTCCTGCTCAGAGCTACAATTGATGATCTCCAGGTCTAAGGTCGGTTTCTCCATCACCACCTGTAACCAGGTGTGACCTGACTGCAGCCACATTGAGCGAAGAATCTCGTTCCGCGCTGTCAGCTCGGTTGTGATTTGGATCCATCTGTCAAAATCCAAGATGTCAGGGAGCGGCCTCACTGTTTGGCACTGCCAGAACTGCTCCTCCTTGGCACCACGGGTCAGAAAATCCTCCACTCCAGGAACAGCAGGGTATATGACTTTGATTTCTGCCGTGGACACTCCAGCCCTGGCTAGGGTAGCATATATGCTATCGGGCACGTCGTACTGGAGTTTCTCAACGGTGTTTTGAGCTCGGCTCACTGGTCTCATACGAGCTGCCATGTCCTTCAGTGAGGGATAAGCAAGGACGTCACTAACCGCCAAGATATATCCATGGCCCTTGCACTTGCTGACCAAGTTGATTGCGGAAATCGAGTCTCCCCCGTGAAGGAAAAAGGGGCTGACGGCGCTAATCTCGGTGATGTCTTTATTGAGCAGGTTTGCCCACAGTTTCTGCAGCAATTTTTCTTGGTCAGAAACTGGATGGACAAACTCACCTAGAGCATCCGAATTCGAATATTGCTGCAGCTTCGCGCTATCCATATTTTGAATCCACTCCACAAGTTTCTTCCTGTTGACTTTGCCTGATGGGAGCAGTGGCATCGCTCCCACGGGAATCCAGATGGTAGGTACCATATATGGAGGAAGCGAGGTCAGACCAACACGGATGGTGATGAGCATATCCAGGTATTCCTCCGGGTGGAGGATACCCTGACCCTTGGTCGGGTCCGCGACACAAAATGCTACTAGGTGCATCTTCTCCTGGATTTCAACTGCACTAACAACGGCTTGCTGGACGCCGGAGCCTGTGATAATGGCATTTTCTATCTCCCCTAGCTCAATACGATGCCCGCTGACTTTTACCTGGTTATCCTGGCGGCCAAAACACTCGATGCGATAATTAGGAATCCAACGAGCCAAGTCCCCCGTTCGATATACCCTCTTATTATCGCAGACCACGAATGCTTTGTCTGTTACGTCACGGCGGTTCAGATAGCCGCGCGCAAGCTGGGGTCCACTAAGGCAAAGCTCGCCCACCGCGCCATAGGGGGATAAACGCATACTCCCAGGTTCGAGGATCATGGATATGCAGTTTTTTAGGGGATGCCCGATGACCTTGGAATTCATGCCGTGCTCAATCGTGCCCGCTACAGCAAGAATAGCTGCCTCGGTGGGCCCGTAGCAGTTCATGACATGGCAGTGGGGGGCCCATGTTTCAACCAAATCGGGGGTTACTGGCTCTCCAGCAAGATAAATTCCCTGCACTCCAGGAACTTCTTTAGGCTGAATCAGCTTGGCCACGGTTGGAGTCAGAAATAATCGGTCCACCTTCAGTTTGTTGACGATATGCGCAAGGTTGGAGAGAAGCGACTCCATGGAGGCCATGCATAGTATTGCACCGGTGCTGAGAGTGCAGAAAATATCTCCCACGGCCACGTCAAAGACATAGTTGGAGAATTGTAACACACGCCAGTTTGGCTCCCAGTGTTCTGCAGTGATGATACTCTCAATCCCCGATGCAATAGAGCTGTGAGAGACTAGCACACCCTTGGGCACACCAGTTGATCCTGAAGTGTATATCGTGTAGGCGAGATGGCTGGGTTCTAACACCTCCAGCAAGAGGTTGGTGCTGGGGTAGCACGATACATCGATGTTGTACACATCCTCCACCTGCACTCCCCTGTCTCTTGCCTCGTCAAAGATATCAAGCAAGTGCTCATTTGTCAGCACGATCGCAGCGGAAACATCTCTTACAATGAAATTGTTTCGCTCCGGCGGATTGTCGGGATCGAGTGGGACAAATGCCCCCCCTGCTTTGAGAATAGCGAGGATTGAGGTTATCATCTCGATGGACTTAGGGAGGCAGATGGGCACTAGACTGTCTGGGCTAACTCCTTTGGTGACTAGAAATCTGGCGAGTTGGTTTGCACGGGAGTTGAGTTCTCTGTAGGTTATGTTGTCACCGTTCTCGAATTCTATCGCAACACGGTCTCCGGTGGAAGCAACGATTGCCTCGAAGCCGTCATGCAGGAGTCTCGCATTGCTGGAAACCGGCTGGGACAAGGTACGAAGGAATGCCGACTCTGCACTGCCGATAATTTCCATCTCACTCAAACATATGGCATTTCCTGACGCCATATCTTCAAATATCTTGCCCACTTGATCAATGATGAAGTCGGCCCGCATGGGGTCCAGTTGTCCAGACAATCGGAGCTCAAATTGCCCTAGCTCGTTTTCTTCCACTTCGAGCGATGTATAGCCGGTATTCCAGATCGGGCGCTCTGCATATGGTTGGAAGACAGCCTTCTCCTTGTCTACCTCCCTTTTCAACAGGAAGTTCACCATTGAATTGAAAGCCTTCGGGCTCTGAGAGGCCGCCTGCAGGGCCTTACGCAATCCAAACTGCGAGTGCTGAGCCACTTTCCATATCTCTTTTTGTACCATTCTAGCTACATCGATCAAGCGCATTGTGCTGGGCTGCAATTGAACCCGAAGAGGAACAACAGTGAGAGTCGGTCCGCTAAGGGTTTGGATACCCTTGATCGGAGTATCTCTGCCGGAGAGTGTAATGGCAAAAGTTACATCTGTATTGCCGGTATGTTTCCATAGGATGATAGACCAGGCGGCGTATACGAGCGCACCAATCGAAACGCCGAGAGTTGTAGTCAACGCACGCAGATCACGATTGAGCATGCGGTTCACAGCGCTGAACTCTTCACCTGCGGTTAGGTGGGTTGGACCTGCCTCCTTTAGATACCCAGACCAGAAAATAGCAGCGTCGGCTTCATGTATATTCTGCTGGAGATGACGCACGAAGACATTGAACGGAGGTCGTGATATACGGGGTTGGCCGTGATATTCAGCCGTCACATCCTCAAACAAGAACCTCGATGACCAGAAATCGAACAGAGCGTGGTGCATGGCCACCACCATGACATCTTGATCGAGAACGGCGGCACGGATAGGCGGTGCTGTAATATCAATATCATCTGTAGGATGCTGCGAGATGTACTCCTCTGGTGAGACACCACTGACTACATCCCAAGGAAGTTCAAATTTTTTGTGCACCATCTGAAGGAAGGCCGCTCCGTTTCCTTTAAAGCTAGTTCGGTATATCGCATCAGTCGCAATGACGGTCTGAAATGCGCGTCTCAGGCGGTCAATATCAACCCCCCGAATTCGATATATTCGATGATAGACATATCCGCCAACAGTCTGGTGGGCAGAGAGAATACCTTCCTGGAGGGCGGTAGCTGGGTATATATCCTCATATGTGTCGTGGTCAATACCTCCAATGTGGTCCGGCAACATACTGTATGCGGCAGGGGCAGCATCAGTGGTTGTCTCCCCATATCGAAGTCGCAATGCCGCTGTCGCAAGAGAGTCCGATTGCAAAATGTCGCCCAACTCGATAATATAGTTTGACGACAGCAGCTCTGATATTACAACCAGTGCCTTGAGAGAGTCTCCCCCAAGTGCGAGGAATGACTGAGTAGCAGTGACAAGCTCTGTGGGGATCTGAAGAGCCTTTGTCCAGGCTGATTGCAGAATCTTCTCCTCACTAGATAGCTCTCTGTCATCACCAGTGGAGCTGGCACTGGAGGCTACCAGCTCAGCGCGACTCATGGAACCAACCTGCTCACGCAGCTTCATTATATCAATCTTCCCACTAGCATTAACTGGCAATGTGTTGAAGGAGATCCAGTACGCCGGGGTCATGTATCGCGGGAGGTTGGATAACGCTGCCTTCCGAAGTTCTCCCACAAGCTGAGACCAGGCCAGTGATGCAGTGTTTGGCGAGACACAGGCGACTAACGCCTTCTCCCCTTCTACTGTAACCGTGACGACAGCAACATTGTGCACCCCGTTCTGCTTTCTCAACATAGCAGCGATTTCATTGGGCTCGACACGCTGTCCGTTAATCTTTGTCTGAAAGTCAATACGGCCAATGATCTCAACACTTCCATCTTCCAGACGGACGGCAAGATCACCTGTTCTGTAAAGCTTCTGGCCTGGCGTGAACGGGCTATCCACGAAGGCCTTGGCCGTGAGCTCGGGTCGATTGAGATATCCACTTGCTAGTTGGGGGCCTTGAAGGCATAGTTCTCCAGGCACCAAAAATGGAGCCATTTGGAAGGTTCCTGGCTCTAACACAAATGCTGCTGTACTGTCTGCCGGGAATCCGACGTTGTGGGGGGACATGGTCGATGCAGACATAACCTGCCCCCAGTTTAGCTGGGTGCACTCACTGAGGCCATAGTTGTTTCTTAGTTCCACGGAGGCCGCCCATCGATCGATTACGGACAGATTCGGCGCCTCTCCCGTCAGTGTTACTCTTTTTAGCGTGGGGACATACTCCGGGTTGAAGCGAGTAAGGAAAGATGATGTTATACCGAGAGTGTCAACCTCCATTCCGTTAATCTGGTCCGCCAACGACGTTTGCAGCTTGGATCTACTGGCCAGGCATAAACAACCACCCTTGGCCAGGGTTGATAGAATGGTCCGTTGGGCAGCCGAAAATATGGGGTTATAGAAGAGTAAGCTGCGTGTATTGGCAGAAGTCGGCGCACAAATGATGCCTATTGAAGCTGCACGGTGGCTCAACACCACCCCCTTCGGGTTTCCGGTTGAACCAGACGTATAGATCACATATGCCGGGCTTTCTGTGTTGATGACAAGGTCGAGGTCAGTGTCCTCACCGGAGCTACTGACCAGGTCCTCGATGAACAAAGCTGTAACACCAGGGATCATGTCCTGGTCTCCCAGCTGAGATATGTAAAATGGAGCGCCTGTGTCCTGGACAATGTACTCCTTTCTAGCCGTGGGTTGTACGGGATCAAGGATGACATACGCGCTACCGGCTTTAAGAATAGCCAGCAGCGCGATTATAAAGTTGATTGAGACATGCATATGAACAGGAATAATTGATTGGCGAGGCATTCGCTCAAGCAATTGCCGTGCGACACGGTTTGCGGCCATGTTCAGCTGAGAGAAGGTTAGATTCGCACTCTTTTCAAATTGCAACGCTATGTCGTCTCCTTTAAGGGCGACCCGTTCCTCAATGAGATGATGGACCAGTTGGGGGAGGACACCAGATATCGTGGGCTTAAAACTCAAGAGGGTGGATTTTTCAACTTCGGATACCAGATCAAGGCCTGAAAGGGGCGAAGTGGGTTTCACAGTTAACTCTCGCAATGCCTCCCAGAAGTGCTGGAGAAGGATCTCAACTCTGGCTGCGGGGATGCACGATTCATGCACGATGGTCACTTCACGATGGCCGGACGCAAAGCGGATATGGATGACCGCCGGAGGGCAACAGTCGAGGTGCCTAGGAGTATCAGCTTCCAACACTGTAATCGCCGTTTGGAGTAGGGCTTTCGCGCTGCCCTTGCCACCAATGATCTCGCATATCTTCTGGCCCCCGATATATGAGTACTCTGAGGCCTTCTTCTCTTCATTGCTCAAATAAGAGAACAAGTCGAGAGCGGAGCTCTCCTGTGAGAGCCTAAGCCGTACCGGGGCGATCGCCCCCAGGGGCCCGACAATATCGTGGACCGGGCCTACTCCAGACGCCCTAAGGTTGGTATAAAAAGCCACGTCATTGGATTCCAAGTGTCGAGAAACAGTTATAGCCCATGCAGCAAGAAAAATTGTTCGGCTCTGAACAAAATTTGCCTGAGCAAACCCCTCGACCTGCGTTAGCAGACTCAAATTCAAGGGAAAAGTTGTGTCGACCGTTGAATCTGTCAAAGCTGCTGAGACCCTCAGTAGGTCCCTAGGCTGATACCCGTCCAGATACGTTTCCCAAAATGCTTCCGCCTCGGCGTGACTGGCCTCTATGATGGTCCTCGCATATTCACTGAAGGGAATCCGGGTTGGAAACGCATAGCCTCGAAAGAATAATTCAAAATCATTCCGAATCAGGATGAGAGACTTGCTGTCTAGCAAGGCACGGTGGTAGTGAAGGGTTACCGAAGGGGCCGTTTGGTACTCCTCTTGATAAACCAAGTACGGCAGTGTTTTAGGATATGGGTCCCTGGGTCCAAGTCGCATAGGGCAAATTTGGGGAACGACAAGCTGCTGGGCCAGGCCTAGATGACCTTGGGGTGAAACGATAATTGTTCGAAGGATTGGATGATGGGCAGCTGTGGCTTGCCAAGACATACGCAGTCGATCGATGCTGAATACCATCTGTTCCGGTATGTCGAAAGTAAACGAACTCCATGCAGCTCCCGATCCGATGGAAGTTAGAATTCCTCGCTGCACCGGAGTCAGGTCAAATCGTTCGCCTTCCCATTCAGAAGCCTCTGGCTGCTTCAAGTGACTGAGAGTCGAGTCGACCCATGGGGGATAGGGGTGGCTTTCCTCCCCTGCCTTAGCTTGGCCCCCCAGAGAAAGGGGATAATGTTGAAGCAAGGCCATACTGGTAGAAATCAAAGCGGGTGGACAAGGTAACTATGTACAAGGCTTCTAACTTTCAGTCCACGAACAACGCTATCCTGGGAAAGTTGGTCAACAATATCGATAGAAATTTCACGTATGCTTCGCACTGTCAAATCCAATGCGCACTCCCATTCTTCTGATGGCTCTTACAGTCTATTATCAAGCACTTTTTTGCCTCACCAGATGCACATTTCTTTACCTTGTCCACGATGACGATGAAAATATTCACTTGCGATCCCTCATCAAGCATCCAAGCTCATCCTTCTCTACGCTCCTGTTGGGTTCGTATCATGGCTGACTGTGTTCAGCCAGGTATAAGGATCCCACAGCCATCCTCCTAGGCCATTGTGTTATCGTGGGATGACCGGGTTTCGTCAAAGTACATACATACCAACGCTCTTTCTGACATGCATTAGGGCTGAGTCAGAAACTGGGATACCGAGTTAACTAACTTCCGTGCTCATTCCCACGAGGTGCCATGACGGTTGAAAGTATCACCAAACTCCCCTCCTGTGCAGTAAGACGGAAGACCCAGAATATTCAACGCCTTTCAATTGATGTATAATCAGTTTTGGTGGAGAATATTTCGTGATGGCCGTTCGGAGTTCGCTTTGAGGGCGCGGATGGAAGAAGGCAGCAACCCTGGAGAAAGAATATATAAATGCCTTCAAACACTCGGATACGAATCCATCAATAGCACATCAGCAAAACCACAGTCAATTTCACCTCTCCTATCAGCTTAAATAGGTGCAACTATCTCGCACTTCATAGAAGTCAAAATGCCTACCATTGAAGCAAACATCGCGACTGCTGCGCTCACTTCTCCTACCAAGGCCAATGGCAGCGGTTATCCTAGCCTTCCTACCACCACTTATCCGAATCAACGAGCTGCCTTCCCCTACGTGGACCCGAGCAGGGTCGGCACCGAGCTTGCGGAAGCCTTTAAAGTCCTTCCCTTCGAACGGAACGTGCTGAAGCTCCTGGCGCACGCAGACGGGTTCTTCCCTCCCATCTCCAGACTCCTGGGCACCGTCTTCCGCTCCACTCGAGAGCTTCCCACGCTGGAATGGCAGTTGGTTGTTCTGCGAACAGCTGCGCTCATTGGCGCACATTATGTCTTTGAGATCAACACCCCAGTCGCGCTAGTCAACGGCATGCCCAACGCCAAACGTCTCTTGATCGCATTCGGCAAAGTCGACAACACGGAGTATTTTACTACGCGCGACCAGATACTCCTGCGATACGTCGAGGAGCTCGTCCGCACCAAAACCGTCACTGATGCGACACTCGAGGATCTGAAAGCCAACTTCTCTACTCGTGAGGTTATGGAGGTCATTGTCATTGTGGGGCTGTACAGCATCTTCGGGAGTGTGGCCAATGTCAGCCGCATTGATGAAGACCCAGAAATTCCCGACCTGATGGAGTCCTTGACCAACCTCACTGGCCAAAAGGACCGTGGAGAGTAGTAACTGCAGGGGATCCTGGCGAGGGTCACAGTTTGTGGTACCTACATAGAACATAGTACAGAGATGCAGACGAGGTGAATTAACTACATTACTAAATACTGAATTTCCTAACGTGCTTCTCCCTATAATTCGGCTAGTGAACAGGCTAGTTAGTTAATTAGGTTGGCGGCTCTACACTTTAACCTAACTAGAAGCTAGTGATAGTTAACTTTGCGCCTAAAAACGCTTTATTCTTACTCCGTTCTTACTTTTACAGCTCTCGCCTATCCAATGGTTATAGATAGATAGCAAGTCTCCTTGAGGGACGCCAAATGAGAGTCTGACTGCAATAAGGGACGTCTGACACGATGGACACGGCTAGGGACCCCCCAGGGATCTCCACTCCCACCAACACTCTATCTCTTAACGACTCAACGCAGATCTGATAGAAGGATGTAATGGCTCAGAAAGCAGGACTGCAGCGATGGGCTGGATCGATGACGTGAACACGCTCGCATCTAGGGAATCAGCAACTGCTCGACCTCGCGAGGATACATTAGATCTGTCGAAGGGATGCCGAGGGGATGCCGATGAGATGATGAAGGATGGCTTATTTTGAGACATGGGCTGGAATAGTAAGATTTCGCTATCCCATCTCACTTACATGTATCCTGCGTTCTGCATGCGGGATTCAGGCTGTCGCTGGCCGTGCAGGCATCGCTATCCCACCATTTCATGACTGCATCGCCATCCCATCAGCCACCAATATAACTAGTTAATCTTGTTACTAAGCTGACTAGCCAACTGTCAAAATATAGAGCTTAGTTAGCTTCCATCCGTTTTAAAGCTTAAAATCTCTATATAACTTACTATATAAGCTTGATAACTATTATTAATAATATACCCACTAGTCACACACATCCCTACACTTTAGTTAACCAATCATCTTAACCTTTTGCCTTTGTCCAACCTCGAGCTTTTAAATGTATTCTTTTCTTGCGCAGAAGAGCAGCTATGTTCAGAACTATCTATAAACCCCGTCCTCAACTTTTTACACAGGCCTCGCCTACAAAAAAGACTTAATTTGCAATTCACATTATTCTCACCCGATCACTCCTAACTAGAGGATAGCTATTTACGTCCATGGAACGCCCAAAAGCCTTGTTTCATTGCTCCCACCCTGGATGTAACCGAAGCTATCAACGCAAGGAGCATTTAACGCGCCATGCTACTGCAAGCCACTATCGAGCAACCGTAGTGGAGTGTCCATTTTGCCCGAACCACCGTGTATTTGCAAGAAAGTAATGACCCCCTCTTCCAATCCCCGGGTGATAAAAGCGGTAACACTGAATGCTTTGTTCTAACTACTATTAGCGATACTTTGCGTCACCATGTCCGGCTTCATCACCAGGAAGAACATCTGGCCCCTCAGCGCGCAATTAGTGCCTGCGATTACTGCCGATCACGAAAGTCCCGATGCAAGGGGATCGGTCCTTGCGAGGCGTGCACTGAGCGTGGTATTTTGTGTTCTCTGACATGGTCTTCACAGCATCAGGACAGACGGCTAGTCGATACTCGTGAAATAGATGCAACAGGAAATCCACATCTATTCAAACAAACTACATCGAAGCCCGATAACTATCTTGATGATAGCCCGGTGCATGCTATCCCCTACGTTGAAGCATATTTTGACAAATTTCACCCCAGCTGGCCGTTCTTGCACAGAGCAACTTTTGATCCGGCTTATGAGCCCCCCATTCTATTACAGTCTGTCTTAATGATAGGCCTGTGGGTGGCCGGGGGCCGAAAATTGCAACACGCAGCGATCGAACTGCACGAGAAACTGACGACGACCATTCACTCGCAACGGGTAAGCCAGCTGCCGTATTGCCATCCTCTTACTGGAATGATCGTGCTCCTAAACTATTTCTAATATTAGCACAAATGGGGAATACCCGCCACGAACCATGAGACGAAACCCTCGTGGCCAATCGCCACATACCAGGGTATCCTCCTACAGATCATCTTCGCCCTTTTGAGAGATGGCCAGAGCCCCCTGCTTACCCGCAAACTTCCCGAGGTACCTGCCGCATTACTCACCTCGCTTGTGCATACTTGCCTCCACCAGGGGTTGTTCTCTTATCCGAGTATTATCGCCCAGTTCAAACCGGGTGACGAACCTGACGTTTTCATCTGGCTTGGGATCGAAGAGGTAAAACGGTTTGCTCTTGCGCTTTACAAAATATCTAAGATATACTATACACTAGGCGATAAAATCCACGATCATGGTCTAGAAGCTCATCAACTGAGGGAGAAACAGCCAAATAATTGTTCCAGCAATGCTCCAAACAGAGTCCTTTCTCTGACAGACCTACAGTTTGGAGTACCTGACAGTGATAGCCTATGGAATGCTACTTCTAATTTAGCAGCAACGCTAGCAGCCAGAGGAGTAGAAGTCAACTCAGCGACTTATAACGATAAGAACATGGAGGCGAATTGGATTTCAAACATAGCACAGCCCCTACAAAGGATTGATGTCGCACTTTTTTGGCTATGACAGCATGCCTCAATTACATCATCCGATATTCGTCCTTCGTGACAATGATTGCTAACGACGCATGGGCGGATGAGCCCATCCTTAGCTAACTAGCTAAGTTGTTGCTACAATGTCTCTTAACTACTTGAAAACGGGATCTGGAGGCCGGAAGAATGGCCGATAATCTATGTCTTCAACCTGGAACCCTTGCGGCACCCTTGCAGAACCCTTGCGGAACCCTTTCTCTTCAATCCTACATGGTTTTTCATGCATTAGTTAATCCTCCGAATTAATTTGAAACTACATCGAACTCGGGGCCGCCGTTGAATAGTACTGGTTACCTGACCTAGGCAATGCATATTCACAGCGTGTATGTAATATTTTACGAGCTCTTAGCCATTAGTTACTTAACTTGGCCTAGCTGCCATTATCGTATCTCTTTATACTGCTTGATCACAAACCCACCCAAGTACCTAGGTAGTTGGGATCCTGGTATCTGATATAGTTATTACTAATTTTCTACGCCCCGGGCAGTGGATACATCAACGCGGTACCCTTGTTTATGGATTCAGTCAGTGCATATTTAATGTGTTGTACTTCCTCCCTACTTCCTTCTGTGGAATTACTTTTTTAGTTTGAGACCTCCGGGACAAGACCAAGATGATATCTCAGGGGCAGGCTCAGTGGACTATTGACAACGAAGAAGATTGGTCTATAATATCTGACCCTATGTCGAGGAAGAGAATTCAAAATCGCTTGGCTCAGAGGAACCATCGTCAGTGCTCAAACATCAAGAACTAATATAATGCTTATCCAGCTGATTTTGAAAGGGAAAAAAATTAAAAACCGATTAGAGGAACTTGAGCATCAAGTAGCCGCCTCTGCAGCTTCCACAGCACACATATCGGCGCACACGGACGAAATTTCCGCCTTGGATACCTTTGTCACCACGGGAAACAATCCTTCCCAGCAACCCTTTGTTCCAGACATAGACAGCTATCTATCATGTCACCATGACTATGGGATAGGTTGCTCTCAGGCAGATGCCGCACAGAGCTCCCACCTTGTGAAATACCCTACATTCAAATCCAGGGCTCATGAAGGTATTGTTTCACAGAACGCAGGTATGAAATTCTGAAACTCAAGGAATATTTTGTATGACTAATTTCTGTGGCTCCTAGATATTGGAAGTAGGTCCCAGATTCATATCAATGGTACAAACTCCCCAGAAGCTCTAGGAGCTGGAATGGCCAATTCAAGTACGTGCTTTTGTCTTTTAATTTAAAATCTCATCTAATCCCTATTTCTCTATAATGTATTCAACTTCAATCTAGTTAATGTTGAATTGTCCATGTGCAACACTGCTCTAACAGCTAGCTTATCGACATAGATCACGACGTTGAGCCATGGAATCAATGGAGCACCTCGGAGTGTATAGATTCAAAGACCTTATCTAACCCGAAGACCTATGGCCGAGAGGACCGGAGATATGTTGCAGACACAAGCTTGTTAGCTGCCAGCGATCAGAACATCAACCCACCAAATTTACTCACGCCTCAAGATATGCTTGACGACCTTCTCTCATCAAGTGTTCCCATGCAAACAGGGAGATATGAACTTTCCGGAAGCATTCAGAGGCCTTTGGAAGGAACCACGAATCAAAGCAACCGCAACCAAACAACGCCCCTGGTGCAACTTGAGAAGGCTCTCCAATTGATATATGGTTGTGGCTTCAAGAGCCTTGATGATCTAATTATACAGTACTATACCTGTGATTTGAGTGGTTATCCGCATTTTGAATCCATCCGGCAGTTGAGCCGGGCTCGCAATCTTCCAGTGCTGCTAGCATACATCTATAATAACTCCACCAAATGGACCGCATGGGAGACCAAACGATATAAAGAAGAGATAGTTCGAGAAGCAGAAGAAATTCTCATGGCAGAACGGGTACAGCTTCTACAACATCAACATCTTCAAAGGCTTTTGCGACAAAGAAATGTGGAAGATACAATACAGCAAATCATTCAGGATGAGGTGAGCCCTTGAATTATTACAGAGATAAAGTAAGCTTGCTCATTACTAACTGTATTTGTGAATTTAGAGTCCGAATATATGGAGCCTGGTTACATCTCTTACTATAGATAGCCACCCACCCTTACATACTGGGCGCTCATCGGCCCTCACCGTCATGGCGATTCTTGGATTTAATACCCATACAACCACTACTGGGGTCTGATTATATGAATGGGATAAAATACGGTTTCTAGGCTTTTTATGTTTAATGAATAGATCAAGTGATTTTTTATAGTCTCTCACGTTAGAATATCTCTCTATAACTACAAGAAGACTTTGGAACAAAGTCAGAGAAAACATACTGCCTGTTTATGTAAGACAAAAGGGTCAATGGGAGGTGCCCCTAGCAAATATATCACCCAATTCCCTCGCCGAAACGGTTGGGTCGACGTGTCACACGAGCACATCAATGGAAAGCAGGTAGGCTTTAGTGTTGGAGACTTTGTGACGTGGGAATTAAATTAGCAAATTGACTTAATGAGGGCAATATTGGTGCCAAATACGAGAGAGAAAATAGGGAAAGAAGAATTATGTATGCCTTTGGAGAACTTTATTCTTGTCTTGGTTCGAGTGAGGTTTTGCTTCAAATTAAGCTGCCATAATTTCCTTGAAGCTGGCAGCGTCTCCATCCCAAGCGCATAAAATCTATGCACAACGGTGTTAATGAAACAATGCCTTGGATATTCTACCTCCAATCGATCCGACGGGGATGCTGGCTCCTGGGAATAAGGATAAACTGGTTGGCTGGGAATGGTTCATAATGCGAAGCATCTGCGGCTGCTGACGTCTCAAAGGGGCAAAGAAATAAGCTATAAATTTATTAACGCTACCAAACTCAATGCTTCCCATCGAATATCCGTGCTGCCGCCGCGCTGTTGCTTCCAGGTGCATACTGAGGCGGAGCAAACTTTGGTTCCTTGCCGTAAGGAGAAAATACCCGGAAATGAGAGGCTAGGCAAACAGATAACTAGCTCTATAATGGAGGCAGCTATTCAATACACTCCAATATCTACTATTAGTATACTGTATATAGATTCCAGTGCATTCTTATTGGAAGCTATAGAAGCGCTTGGATATCCGCATGCGAAGCCCACCTATCCGGAAACTCTTGTCCTTATTGGACAGTGGTGTAGATCATAGCGTAATCAAGCTCTCGGAGACGGGAAGCTAAAAGTCTTTAGCCGCCAGAGTTCAGCTAACCAGTAATAACTTTTGAGCGGGGAAAGGCTAACGTCCCGTCGTCCAATATATTTCTATTTTCACTCTGCTCCCTTTCAGAAGGCCCCAGAGGTTAGCGATAGATAAAATTTAGATCTTTATTGAATAATAAGACTAATAATAGTACTTATTTTAGAACTACATTTTTCTAGGCTATTTTGTTAGTTAATTTAGTAGGTAGTACTAGGTAGTTCTAAAGCCTACATTGCTCCTTTGTCATATAGTCAACATAACTGCCTATAGAATGTCGTAGCGTTACTTAGTCAGCTTTGCTGACTAAGCTGGTTGATTATCGCCAGATTAGTAAGGTATCGCCAGGTGATTAAAAAAGGAGGTTTAGTCATTTATGCCAAGGCGCTTATACATAATTCAGCAAGGAGCCAATTAGAGAGCTATATTTCAACCAATAATATTTTTTATACAGATCCACAGTTCTGAAATTCTTGAACCTCTTTTTGGGATACAATTGATTCTCAGAGCAAAGCGAAGACAATAAATAGTTAAATAGTCGCTATCATCCGCTGTAGAGGCTTTTATACGCGAGGATCCTGCAAATTAATTTCAGCAAGGCGAGTACGGAGTACTGAGAACTGCTTTTGCAGGCGGCTTGTTCATGCATAACTAACTATGCACTGTGCGACTGTGTCACAAGTCGCCGCTGGCCAGCCAACAACCCTGACGCTGCATTTGGGCCCCTTGGTATCGTCGCTACCAGCTTGAAGAGCAGTAATCACTGACTACTCTTAGATGGTTCATCCTATTTCTCTCTGCACACGGAGTGCAGGGTGCAGAGCAAGGAATGCTTGATAACTTCTGGCAGAGGCTTTCTTCAATCAGCCAAATGTCCAGCTGGCGTCCGTGGCTTCGATAGTTAGGCTTGTCCGGGAAACGAAACGCCACAAGCGTTCCCGCCAGGGGGCCGCTCCTTGCACAAGCTGGCCTGAGTCCTGAAGCGCATATGGCTATGATTACACGTCGGTGGGCGCACACAGGATATATAAAGAGGCCGTGCCTGGCTTGAGATTCCACGGAATGCGACCCTCATTCCGTCATTCACTTTCTCACGGGCTCCCTCTTTTCGATTCGAGAACGACCAGTAACCATAGTCATACAGCTATATAGTTCTAGCATCTTAAACATGTTCAGGCTGGGAAGCATTGCTGCCAGGCTTCGCTGCCGGCCTTCTTTCTCTTGTGTCCTCCAGCAAGGGTCACAGCAAACCCAGCTGCAGAAGAGCGCCGGCTTCTCCTCGGCGGCTTCACTACATCAGAATCAGAAGGCAGCCAGCGAGAGCGAGAGCGTATGGGGTTTAAAGAAGAACAACCCCGATTACTGGGAAGGGTACCTGTCCACACGTCCATCGTATGGCGATGAATTTTACAACCGCATATACAAATACCATGCCTCGCACGCCGGGTCATCGCCAGCCTCGTTCTCAGTCGCACATGACGTCGGCGCCGGACCAGGCCAGGTATCAGCCCAGCTCGCCCGCAGATACTCCCATGTTGTCGTGAGCGACGTCTGCGAGAACCACCTCGAGTATGCCCGCCACTATCTCTCTGCGGACGCCGGCCTGCCGCCGTCGCAGTTCACATACTCCGTCTCAACAGGCGAAGAACTGGGTGCCAAATTCCCGCGTGCGTCCGCAGACCTCATCGTCTGCCCCCTGATGTTCCCGTTGATGGACCGAGACGCTGCCCTGGAGAGCTTCCAATCCCTTCTCAAGCCCAACGGGACGCTCGCTGTCTGGTTCTACAGCCGAGCTCACTTCTCAGAGCCAGAGTATGCGCAAACATGCCAGCCCCTGCTAGACCGGATCATCAACAACCATTACGCCCGGGAGATCCAGGGCAACGGGCCAGAACACTCGGCCAAATGGAAGCCTGTAGCAGACTCGATAGCAAGCTGGCTGGACGACATCCCCTTTGTAGACGGCCAATGGCACTCCGTCGAACGGTGGAAGTGGAATAGCAGCTGGACGAACATGGGATTCTTTACACAGGATGCATGCGACTTCAAGCTGGAGCCGACGAGCAGTGTAGGGGAGAAGGACAAGGTCATTAAAATCGAGGACAGGGGTCTCTGGCGGAAGGATTGGGACGCCGGCCAGCTTCGCAAGTTCGTGCGCCATCTCTGCCCCTTCAGAGACCTGGATGAGAAGCCGACGGAGCAGACATGGACGGAGCTGACCAAGGCGATGGGCGGCGCCCAAGCCAAAAGAGCCTTTTCGTGGCCACTGGTGCTTATTCTCGCATCCAGAAAGTGATAGCAGTTACCGAAACTCTCCTAGTCAGCCTCAATATTCCCCGTAGATCTGGTTATCGGGAAGTAACTGGTTAGTCAAGCTCGCTGTAGTCAACCGTTTACTTACTGCCTATGTTCTAGTTAGTTATATCGACGAAATGACAAAATTCAACCAAAACATCATTATTATCGTCATCATCAACAATCAATCAGGACTCTATAAAAAGCCACGGCGCTGGCTAGCGGTAGTCAACAACCATGCTCGTGCCCATAGTTACGGGATCAATGGCTGCGCAGCGGAGCGGGCCGTCCATGCCATTGGCAGCCTGGTACAGTGGTCGGTTCTATGCTGGACTGCTGTGCTACCCCTGAACGCGCATTTGGCCCCCTCATTACATCGACTAGGATGCACTACTCGCTAGAGCTGAACACATTCATAGCAAGAGGGGGTAGAGATGCAGCTCCTAGTCGCTGAGAGTGGCACGTCTACGGAGGTCTCGGAATGCTCTATATTACACCACACCCCTGCGCGATTCGTCTAAGATGTTTTGATACCCACGCTGGATCTCGCTCTGTTGGCGACCCCAGACATAGGGTACTCCGATCAAGGGACGCCCTCCCATACATATGCGGCCAAGACTCTATCATCTACGGCTATCAGGGGTAATCGAAGTGTTTGACTTTGGCTGGCCATGGCCGACTTGAGTGGACACCATTCATGCATTGCCTGCAAAGAGGAGAGACGTACGCTGCCCTTCTGAGGTCACAAAGACATGCTTGGCCTTTTCTTCACACTTGCAGCTCGCAGCTTGCCTTAACTACATCGCATATGCCTAGTCAGCCTATATTGCGAAGGTTAAGGGGAGCACGCTGGGATTCTAGATGCTGGTTTCCGGATGCACTCTACCTATCGGACCTCGACTAGGGACTACCAGGCTACTGCGCTACGCTCTACGCAGCTCCCAGCTGTACCTCCCGCGGCCTCCTCTGAGCGCTCAAAGATAACCCAGCAACCTTCGTTGATTCGGTTAACCACTAGACTCCATGTCCGGCTGTTCGTTATTTCATGCAAGGGTACGGACAGCAATCGAGAATGCTATGGAAATAGGTTCCCCTCAGAAGCCTGTCCAACCTTCCACCAATTTCTTACTATATCACCATGGCCGGCCCCCTTTGATCGACGACGACAACAGACGTACGGAACCCAGAGTCCGTGAAGTAGCCTCTCATTTGACGTCCCCTTTATTCTGTGGCATTGCTCGTGTTAACGATCTCTAAAGCAACTTAATATCAGTCGAGTACTATGGAATTCTACACCGAATGGCCCCAGTTGGGTGCGATTCTGATACTTTCGTTCCTCGTATCCATATTCCTGATCTACCGGGTGTTCCTATCGCCCTTATCCAAAGTTCCGGCGGCACATCCCCTAGCTCCTATTACTGGGGCCTGGATCAAATGGCACAGATGGCGTGGCACCTCTTACGAAGCCATAGCGGCAGCCTTTGAACGATGCGGTCCGTATATTCGTCTTGGGCCTTCTGAAATTGCGACCAACTGCAAAGAAGGGTTTGACAGCGCTTATGGAGTTGGCAAGAGGAATTTCGACAAGGCATCTGTCTATGACTATTTTGTGCATTTTGGGTAAAGATACTATACTACAGAGGCAACAATGTGGTTATGCAAGGAATACGATCAATAAGCTAACCATCTCTAGAACTCCGGCTGTGTTTACTTCGAAGATGGCCAACCAACATAGCCTTATTAGAGGTCGGATGGCGTCCGTATATACAAAGACACATGTACAGTCTTGTCCTCATACGCGAGCTATACTTAAGACTGTGTTATTGGAGCGATTGATACCATTATTCGACCAAGCATCGCAGACCGTCTCTGGGGCCGTGGATGTCCTCCCACTGTCCTATGCATATGCGTTCGACTTCTTGTCCGCCTTTGTATTTGGGCTGCCAGAAGGGGATAGACTACTTGAGGACCTAGAGAATAGGGAAGAAAAGCTTAGCCTATACTACACCGTCTTCATGTCGAATGCCCCGATCCTGTTGGGTGAATTCAAATGGATCACTAGGGTATTAATAACCTTTGGAGTTCATTTGCTTCCAAAGGACCTTTCACAACTGAGACAGCGTAGTGAGGATTGGACAAGCCAGAAGGTGAAGCGGGTTGAGCAGAGAATCCAGGCGCACTATGCTCAGGGTGAGCCATGGGAGCTAGGGAACCTCCCTATCCTCTATAGTGCTCTTAGGAGCAGCGTTGCTAGAGAAGCTGGTGTTGAGGAGACGTTTACTCCTAAGGGCAAACAATTGTTGGAGCTAACCAGCGAATGCCTCGATCAAGTAGGTAAGGTATTGCCCAGTTACACTCATATTGCTGAAAGCTGTATGCTAACAGTATCAAAATTTCCATCCAGGTCCCACGACAGATGTTAATGGTATGTATATACCACCCAAGGAAGCCTTATGCAAGAAAAATGCTCACTTCTACGTTTTAGCCATGGTATTGACATACCTACTCTATCAGCTTTCTCGTCACCCTACCCATCAGGATGAGCTTCATCGCGAACTTTGCTCTTTACCAAGTCCGTTCTACTTGGATACAAATGAAAAGTGGTCACAACATGGGCTACCATCTGCAGGAGACCTACAGCGTCTACCATTCTTAAATGCGATTATCCAGGAAGGCCTCAGGTTACGAAATACTCCCCCCGGGATGGATTCTCGGGTAACGCCTCAGCAACGTCTATCTGACTTTGGCCCATATAAAAATCTGCCACCTGGTATTCGTGTCGGTGCTTATGTCCACCTAATTCATCGTAGCAATGAATATTTCCATGACCCTCTTGCCTGGGACCCCTACCGTTGGCTCACCAAGAACGGTCAGGGCCAATCCATGGGAGCCAAAAGACAAGTCCTTCTCGCCTTTAGTGGTGGTAGTAGGACATGTATTGGCCAGCACCTTGCGCTGGAATGTAAGTGGTGCCCTGACTCCATACTCGCTATGTTTATGATAGCCTAATCGCTGACTGCCCCTAGTGATCCGAAATGCTATAGCGGCCGTGTACACAAACTATAGAACCACGGTTTATGATGAAAGGGAATACCCCGGGGACAAAGGATTCCTAAGCGGTGATCTGAAAAAAGAAAAGCTCTGGATACGGTTCCAAAGGATAGTACCACGAAGTGATGAATAAGGCTGAAGTTGGTAGAAGATATGGCCCTTCCGCATACAAGCCTTTAAGTATTGAAATCAAGTATTGTTACACTACAAATATATGCTCTAGAGGAAGACACTTTATCAAATCCTTACAGTTTTGCTGCTAACTTTTTCTCGGCTATGAGCTTGTGAGAGGTGGATATATGGTATCATTATCAAAATAGTACAAGAGAAGTCTAGGTATATATCTTACACGGCACCAAAAGGCATAAATCCGCGTCAAAAACAAGTAATAATACATCCGCTTTATTTTGCGAGGAAGGCTTGGAAAGCCTTATGATCGATAACAACATTGCCAACTGCCTTTAGGCGTTTCCTGCCTTCTTTTTGCTTCTCTAGAAGTTTCTTCCGTCGCGTGATATCACTGGCATGAAGTTTGGCTAGTACATCTTTCCTGTACGGCTTGATCGTCTCTCTTGCCAAGACATTACGCCCAACGGCAGCCTGGATAATAACTTCAAACATCTGCCGCTCAACGTGTTCTTTGAATTTAGTCACCCATTGACGGCCAAGTCGGTTGGCCTGGCTTGAGTGGACGATGCGCGAGACGGCATCAACTGGGGTCTTATTGACAAGCAATTGAAGCTTGACAACGTTACTTTTTCTCCACTCAGATTCCTCATAGTCTATGCTGGCATAGCCCTTGGTTGAACCCTTGAGCTTACCAAAGAAATCATCGACTAGTTGTGCGAGTGGGAGCTGGTATTTGAGGATAACTTGGGTGGCAGTAAAGAACTCCATGCTGACCTGTTCACCACGGTTGGCCTCGCACAGCTCCATGACGCGACCAAGATATTCTTCCGGGAAAGTTATGGTGGCCAAAACATATGGCTCTTGTAGTTCAGCGACTTTGACGCGGAGGGTATCTTCGTCAGGGAAGTGGCTTGGGTTGGAGAAGATTGTCTCCTTGCCATCCTTCCATATCACTTTGCATGGCACCGTTGGTGGCGTAAGGATGATGCTCGCACCGTGTTCCTGACGAAGACGGTCTTCGAAGACAGAGCAGTGTAGCGTCCCTAGGAATCCCAGACGAAAGCCTGCACCAAGGGCTTCGGATGATTCCTTTTGCATGGTGACACTTCTGTCGTTCAATAGCAGCTGGTTGATACTCTCTTCGAGATGGTGAAAGTCATTGGAGTCTACGGGGTAAGCTGCAACGAACACCATGGACTTAGGCTCTTCAAAACCTGGTAGAGGTTCGACCTGGTTCTCGTACCCGACTTTTGTGAAGGTATCACCAATCTTTGCCTCCTGACTTCGTTTCATGCCAGGATTAAAGTAGATGTAGCCCACTTGTCCGGCTCTTAGGACAGTCTGTGGGGTTTGATTTGGGTACATGATTCCAACTTCGCCAACAGTGTACTTCAGGCCGGTAGCAAAAGAGACGAGTTGGTCGCCAGCCTTAACCTCTCCATCAAAAACCCGAGTAAGAATGATTACTCCTTTGTAGCTAGAGTACCAGGAGTCAACTAGGAGCAGCCTAGGGGGCTTCGTAATATCACCAACAGGACTAACCGACGCTGTTAGCTGAAAGTAGCTTTTGGTAAGAATGTGCATTAACGTATGAGAACTTACGCCGGGATACTCTCAACAATCGCAGGCAACAGCTCCTGGACATTCAAACCAGTCTTCGCAGAAACCCTAACAGCTTTGTCCACGTCCAGTTCAAACGAGGTTTTCATCTGCTCTAAAGCTCGCTCTGGGTCGGCAGATGGAAGGTCGACTTTGTTGATAACTGGCACCAACGTCAACCCCTGGGCAAATGCAAGGTAGAAATTGGCAACCGTCTGCGCCTGGATTCCCTGACTTGCATCAACAAGAAGTAATGCTCCACCGCAGCTGGCATAACTGCGAGAGACCTCTGTTCGAAAGTCGACGTGTCCGGGAGTATCGATGAGATGGAGCAGATAGTCTTCCCCTTTGTAATTATATAGCATCGTGCACGTCTGCGCCTTGACTGTAATCCCTCTCTCACGTTCAACGTCCAGCTTGTCGAGTACCTGCTTGTTCTCTCCTGGTTTGATCGTGCCTGTCAGTTCGAGCAGTCGGTCTGACAGGGTGCTTTTGCCATGGTCAACATGAGCCACAATGCAAAAGTTGCGGTATCGTTCAATGGGAATGGCATCTATCCGCTCCTCTACGGGTGAAAGAGGCTTGTTCGACTGTCGAGACCGGAACACTGGCGCATTGTGGAACAACCGTGGAAATGATGGTGGTTTATAGCTGGATTTATAGCTGGAGGTAGGCAAGGGTAGTCGAGGGTAGGAGAGCGGTGGCCGCCGCAGGGTAGCTGTGGTCAGCCATCTGGCCGGTTGCAGACATCCTCGCATCGGAATCCTATCCGCATTGAAGAAATATCTGACTTCCAGAGGGTTGTCTTTAGTCGTGGTATGGTCAATTCTTCGTTCTTTGGCATACAATTTTTTGTACCTGGAGGTTAGATTTTCCGCTGCCGATGGCCGTATTCCGGCGTGCAAGCCTAGATAGATCTCAGGCTAGCTACCATATCATCGTCAAGAGGATAAAATAAACCTCAAGGGTGCGAGGGATGAATGCCTTGGGCCTGCTCTACGGCTGTCCCTGTAGTTGAGCTGGCCGTGGAGCCGTAGTATAGCAAAGCACTCATAACAACTGTGTTCAGCCAAATCATACAGTCGCAAGACGATCGCAGCAGTAAGCCTGATAGATCTCTAGTTCTATTGAAATCATAACCTAGTCGAGGTCGGCAGCGGCTGATGGTTATATTTGGAATCGTTATTAGGACTTCGTAGGTGTAGGTGCGGTTGTAGTTGTAGTTTTAGTGACATCTTGACTAGCAACGACGTTCAACAGACAACAACATCTCCGCGTAGAACGCACGAAGAACAACGACAGACAAAAAGCAACACACGCACGCTCTACTTCAAAATGGCACCGGAAAAAGAGAAGTCGAAAGTACATAAACTGTCTTTGAAAGGTAACACTGGCCAGATACTCGAGATGGCTTGCGGATGAAGCTCTAACCGCCTCTTCCACCCCTCCAGGCTCTGCAAAGCTGGTCTCCGAATTTGTACGTGAACTTCACTTCTCTACGCTCTCTGCTGCCAGATACTGACTATTACTTTTGTGTTGTGCAGTTTGAATACTCCATTCACTCCATCCTGTGGGTTTACATCCTTCCACCACATACTTTTCCGTGGCTGACTAGACATTGTCTATAAGTTTCCAACGCGGCGTATACCCAGCAGATGACTTCACAGCGTGAGTGACTGGTTTCTGGCATAATCCTCGTCATGGACTCGTTGACAACCTCCCAGAGTTAAGAAATATGGCCTCAACATGCTCGGTTCGCATGCCCTTTCGCTCTACGATAACCCGTCCCGCATAGACTAATCCCAGTTGTTCGTACGCTCTAGTGTCCGCGGACGACCAGGTCAAGGCGTATATTAAGAAGATAATGTCACAGCTGAACAAGTGGATGCTGGGAGGCAAGATATCTAAGCTTGTTATCGTCATAACGGACAAGGACACCGGAGAACACGTCGAGAGATGGCAGTTCGATGTGAGCAGCCAGATATCCTACAGACAAGCCTCTACCTGCGGTGCTAACCTGTGGCTCTAAGGTCGAAATATTTAAACACTCAAAGAGCAAGTCTGCCAAAAAGGCGGCTGATAATGAAAATGCCAATCCCGGGTAACACTTCACCTGAGCCAGTGTACCAGCCTTGTCTGGGATTTTACCTGCTAACCCGTTTTTAGGACGCAACCCGGCAGCTCTGCACCGGCTGAAAAGTCTGAAAAAGAGATACAAGATGAGATTCAGGCTATATTCCGCCAAATCACAGCCTCTGTCACCTTTCTACCAATGCTGGATGGAAACTGTACGTTTAACGTACTAGTCTACGCTGATGCCGACTCCGAAGTGCCTCTGGAATGGGGCGACAGTGACGCCAAAGAGATTGAGAACGGAGAGAAAGTCCAGTTGCGCAGTTTCAGCACGAGCAACCATCGTGTTGACACCATGGTTAGCTACAGGTATGTTGGGTGGTACCCTCGAGTGACTCTATTCTCTGCCTCCAGGCCTAACCTTTTGTATAGACTAGCAGAGTAGCACATTGATCTATGTGATCTATATAATTTATATCATAATGTTCAATTGCTAGACTCATGCAGCAACACAAGCTATGACAATCAGATAGTAAATGACATTTTGGGGCCAGAAATAAGCGACCCAGATCGCCGTTAACACAGGCATATTTTCTGGCAAGCACCCAAAAAAATAAACCATTGAACATGAGTTCTCACTCTTCCAAGTAACAAGGATATAATGCCACCAAAGAAAAGTAGCCGTCTGCGATTTAAGTAGCTGTTGGCGCGTAGAGATCATAATAAAAAGACAAAAAAGAAATGCCCACACACGGATTCGAACCGTGGATCTCGTCATTACTAGTGACGCGCTTTACCAACTAAGCCATATGGGCTAATTGTTCAGAGTTTGCAAGATGTGTCATTAAGTCGTAATAGCGGGTCGTCGATAAAATAAAAACTACCCTCGTTCCTGTCACTAGTATAGTTACCTACCTAGTTACCTACCTAAGGTACATATTATCATTATTATTATGGTGAATCCCGGATGGCTCAGCACAAACCATGTTAGAGACTTGTAGAGGAGGAGAAGGTTGCTATATGTATATTTGGTAACTACGTAGGTACCTAGGTAGGTATAACTACTGAACGTTGTTATCATACAAGGGGTGAGAGGTGAGGCCCTACGAGCTGTACAGAACGTGGTAAACAAGGCTTGGGAGGTAGGATTACTCAAGATGTCGATCATATTAGCATCTATAATAATAACAATAGAGTAATAGTAGTACACACGCCGATCGGAACACCTGTTATTCTAATGGGATGCAGTGCCTCCACTCCTCCGCCCAGACGCCATGGACTGAATAAAGAATGCAGTAAAAGGGAGACCATTAAACATGTGTATGTGGGGGTTGAAAATAAAGAACAGGGGTATTGGTAGAGTTCAAATGGGAAGTAAATGAGGGGGAAGTATACAGATGTAGAAGAAAAAGCAGCGCTTTGCAAAGTTAAATCGATGAACAATGAGAAAAGGGGGGAATGATAGACGGTAGCGTAGGAAAAAGACATGTCTTAGGTATCCAAAACTCCATGAGGGGAAACAAACAGAGAAAGAAAGGACATTTGCCGCCGCCTTTCTAGAAATGTAAGATGAAGAGCGCAGATGAGATGGACCCTGTCAAAATTGCAATACACCATGAACAAAAGGAAAGGCGTATAGAGCGTCGGCCGGAAATGAGATGAGAAAAAGGCAAAAGACAGAAGGGCTGGGTTAGTCCAGAGGGTCATGCCTAAAGGTGCATTCGTCTCCCTTTATACATTTGCCCTCCTTCCAGTACCGGCAGGGGACCAAGCCTGCTTTAGGCTGTTCACCAGTTAGTTGATATCGCTATCGCCATACAAACCATAGGAGAATAGGATAAACTTACGTGTTTCTTGATCTTTGCGCGCTTGTTGTAGTCGTAGGAATCATCGCCCTCGTAGCTGCGCTTGTTATCCCCATCCTCATAAAAGGTCTGGTTGTATGATTGTGAATCTGTATTTTGGCCCTGGTTCTGCGGCTGTTGCTGCTGCTGTTGCTGTAATTGCCCAGCTGGATTCGAAAGCTGAGAAAGAAGAGCAGCTAGATTAGGGGCCTGAGGGGTAGCTACTTGAGGAAAAGCAGTAACCTGTTGCATTTGTTTCTGGGCATTCATCACTGCCAGCAGCTTCTGGAAGTCCAGACCTTGTGCACCGGGGACCTGCCCTGGCTGGGAAGTCTGTTGCAACTGAGGCACCTGTGTGTTGGCTGTGAATTGGGCAAGCGTTTGTTGTAGATCAGGAACATTAGGAGGCAGAGTGGATTGTTGTTGTACCGGCTGTGGCTGCTGGTTTTGTTGGAGAATTTTTAATAACGACGATATCTCCACGGGAGCCGGGTTAGTTGGCTGGGTTCCAGGAGTAGCTTGGGGTGCCGCCTGGACTGGGGGCGAGCGGGAATCAAAGTATCGCTGCGACCGGGCTTTGACAAAGTGATCTGGTTCTCCGAAGGGTACGAGAGGGCTATAAGGCTCATCGTCATTGTCCGGTGGTGGAGGCTCTTTGGGGGTATTTGGAACTTCGGATGGAGAAGTATAGAAAACACTAAGAGTAGTGGCCTCTCGCTGGTCCTGGGCCACTTTCTCAGGGCTATCTGCATCCTTGGAACCGCCAGTCTTAGTAAAGTTCCTTTCCCGGTCTTCTTCCAGAAGATCACTGAAATCGATGGTTGATAGGGCCGTATATGGTGCTAAACTCTCTTCGTTCCAGCCCTCGTCCTCGTCATCAAGGTCATCCAAGCCATGGTGAAGCTTAAGCGTCCTTCCCTCCCCAGCGACATCGCCAACATCACGCATCATACTGTCGTCATAGCCAATCTCTTCCTCAGGATCATGTGTGAACAATCGCACTTCTGTGAGACTGCTATCTGGCTTCCAGGTGACTCGAAGTTTCCTCCGTTCTTCTTTTCGAAGCCGCTTCTTGCGTTCTTCATCAGTTTCAGGCGGGGTGTCTTCTTCCAATTTCGATGGACTACGCTCTCGGGGTTTATTCAGATTAGCCATAGTCTCAGAGAACGAAAATGCAGGCTTTGCTACCGGCGGAGCGGCCGGCTGAGTCGTCGTCTTCGTCTCAGAAGCAACACTACTAAATGTTAATAAGGTTAATTAATTGGTACAATGATTATGGTGGAGATTAGATGTAGGGCATAACATACGTTGGCTTGTCCTTTGCTGCTGCAGCCGCTGCAGCACGAGCAGCATTTGACGTCCCAGGTTTCTTTGACGCTGACATCAAGCTGCTGAAAAGACTCGGTGTCGGCTTAGGTATGACAATATTTGCTTTAGGTTTAGCGGACGCCTGGGAAGCGCCATTAGTAGTTGATTTGGCATCCTTTCCGGCTGCAGGAAATTTCTTAACCGCCGCGGCGGCGGCCCCAGGAACAGCTCGAGTGGTGCCCTTCGCAAATGAGGGAGATACCACCCGTTTTGTCAACGTTGCGCTGCTGTCGTCTTCCCTGGCGCGCTTACTACCGATAACAGATTGAGACGAGTTATTCGTCCCTTCTCGCAGCTTTCCTGATTGAGACGTTGATGACCCTGAAGAACCACCGTCCTTGGCTGAAGACTTCGCTGCTTCGGCTTTCTTCTTGGTAGCAGCCGCAGCATTGTCCATAATGGACTGGGCTAGCTCCTTGATTGTGGTTCCCCCTTTTTTTATGAATCGAGAGAGAATCTTATCGTTTTTTGTTTTTTCCAGCATTGCAAGGTCCATTGTGATAAATTTGCCCATTAACTATTATGCGTGTTAGTCTGACTGTAACTATTTTGCTTTATAAACGTAGGTAAAGGATACCTTCAAAATGTTGACCGTTAGGGGGCCGTCACTATCTGCCGCAGTATGACGATCCAGCAGGAAAGAGTAGAATGCCGCAACAATACTAGGGTGTTCGCCGAATCTATACTTTATATATAAGTATTCAAGAGCATTATATTAAGTAGTGATTAAAACTCCCCCTAGCGTGGAAAAAGCTAGCAGAGAAGTAGTTTTCGACATCAAGGGGACGAGAAGGGGAAGTTTATCGGGTAATAGCATTGTCAGCGTCAGCAGGAGAGCTCCCTCCAGAGAGAGAGACACACTTGGGCTTGCAGGGCCTATGTCTATTTCAAAAGGCCAGGGCATGCTGAGCAAATTACCACGTAGGCATTCGCCGTATGCAGCAGATGATCTTGCCTCTTATTAATCGAGGAATTGGCCACTGCTTCTAGCTCTTGGTGAAACAAGGCATATATGGTGCTGGAATCTCCCAGGTGCCCTCTTAACATGGCTACATAGAAATGCTATCCACTGACTCAAGCTTCTACAGGGGAACATAGGGGAAGCTAAATAGGAGAAAAAGTTGAAGACGTACCTTCTGACATATGACGGGTGACCAAACTCCAGGGTATTATTAATGATCAAGTCTAGCAATCGTCTCTGGAGAATCACCTCCTTTTTGAGAGACGGGATTTTTCCTTCAAGGTTCTGATTTTCTGCAGCTTTGAGGGCCTCGCTACGAGCCTTCCAAGTATCACGCACCCCCTTAACAAGGTCTGAGAACAGGATCATAGAATTCCTTACATCGGCCGCTTTTGCGTGTCGATTTCGTGGAGCCCAAACGACCTTGATGGTGTCATACCTAGTCTTACCTTCAACATCGTCTGGTTGCACCTCGGGGAGAGGGGAAGGCTCGGCTGGCGGTTCTTCTATCTCGAGGCCATCGTCTGACTCGTCGCTGCTGTAGTCACTTGAAGACTCGCTCTGAGTTTGATTGACCGGCTGCTGTACGGCTGGTTTAGAAATGAATTTGGTCAAGAGAGTTTGCCCTTTTTGATCGACGCCTTTCTTTTTTCGAGGCTTAGCAGTAGTGGAGGGTTTCGGAAGAATTGCCTGAAGACCTGGAAAGGGCGTTAGTGTGACGGGAAGTTGAAAATAAAAGGCTGTAAAATATTTACCATTAGAATAGATGGCAGGAGCAGGGCCAACAGGCCCTGTCGAACCGTGAGATATCACAGTTTGAAGCCCATTCGCTATTTGTAAGTTGTTGGTTCTAGAATCATGGTTAAAATGGATTTGGGCGGGATGATCGGCGAGAGGGGGACTGACTTGAGAGTTGCCGGCCGCTCTAGCTCTGCAGGATTGATTGCATATAGCTGTTGAGGCTGTTGCTGCTGCTGTTGCTGCTGCTGTTGGTCGGGTGCGGAGAGGAAGTGAGGGTCGATGGTATTGTGATACGGGGAATGGGAGTGTCGGGAGGTGAAGTCTCCCGAAAAATTCGCTGGAGCCCCATGCTATAAAAGATATCAGTCAGTTGGATGTTTCCAATGCACGTAGGTCAAGTCCGGGGTATTACCTGAAGTCCCAGCTGTAAAGTACTTGGTACTAAATATGAGGACTGCTGCTGTCGATCGAGAGTGTTCGCTGCAACAGGAGAAGGTTGAGCCACTCGCTGTGTCGGTACATTTGCAGAATGCTGATCATATGCGTTGTGTTGCTGGACTTGCTGCTGGGTTGTGTAGAAGGTCTGCGGGTCATATGTGTAGGTATGGTATGAGGAAGCCGCCTGCGTGGCATCGAAGGTGGGAGTTTGTTGTGTATGGTAGGGCGACACTCGATATGGACTCGACATAGAGAACTGCTGCTGTGAGTCGAGAGCTAGAGGCTGTTGCTGTATTGGCGTTTGCTGCCATGACTGTAACTGTTGTGGCTGTTGTTGTGGTTGGGGCTGCTGTTGCTGCTGTTGATGTTGCTGCGGCGGCGGTTGCTGGTGCGGTTGGGGCTGTTGCTGCTGCTGCTGCTGTTGAGGTTGCGTCTGCTGAGGAATGGCATAGATACTCTGGTTTGTCTGAGGAGAAGGTGAATGGGGGCTAGGGCGGAACACAGGATGATCCCACCCAATGCCGAATGGCTGGTCGTTTGGCTGGCCAGTCCCATATAGAGCACTCATCCCGCCCCAAAACTCGCCATGGAAATGGCCTACACCCGGATCCGACGGCGGCGGCGGATTGGGATCCGTGGTTGAATCCATGGTCGTTCAAATATCACAGGCCGCAGCTCGAAATATAGAAAACCGAACTATATTTGCGGCGAAAAGTAAATAAAGTAAAAAAGGTCGCCGGCAGGTACAGGTCACGTGTTTTGCTGGGGCGGTATAAAGTTGTGGCTGCTTTAATGCTGACAAAAATATAGTTAGCCCGATTTGGCTAGCATAAGTGGCGTCGTGCCAGGATCACGTAAGCTTTCCGCTGCCGCTTTTTTGCCTGTACTGAAGAGAGCGGCTCTTTTTCTTAACGCAGCGTTGTGTATAAAAAGGCTGGGGATGCGGTTGTGCGCGCACGATGCTCTGGAACCATTTGCCAGGTCGAGAGCAGAGAAGCCAGGAGAGAGTCTGAGCCGCTGGGCATGAACCGTCTCCCTTTTCCCCCGGAGCCTTCTTGTTGCCGTGTGGTGACGCTCGGGGTGCCGTCTTTATAGAGATCCCAGGGCTGTCTTTTTTTTTGGCCCTCAAAAAACAAAGAGAATCCCCCTTTTTCGCGCAATTTTAATATACCCAACTCCAAAATGGTCAGAGGCAAAACGAGAGAAAGAAAAAGACAAGGAAAAAAGAAGAAGAGTACACGATCTTAGGTTGCTGGTCGTAAATGCAGCAGTAAAACAGTTGCCTTCTCTCAGTAACCCCGTCTCTCCAAAACCAATAACCTGCTCTCTGTTAACTTTGTTTTTTAGCGCCAGATGTGTAGTACGGAAGTATCCTTCACAGACAACTATTTTTCAGCAATAGAATAATTCGGTCGTAGGCGCCGGCGCGTGGCGGACGGGTGGAAGGAGGTCGTATGATATTACTCTGAGGCTGGTGGCATAGCGACCTTCTTTACGGTGGCGCGGTATGCGATGGCACAAAAGACAAGACAAGCAATGTACAAGAACGAAGCCACCAAGCAAGGTAACGCTGAAAGGCGCCCTGATGAGTTGGAGGTGGTTGGCGATGCAGAGGAGGTTGGAGTTGACGTTGAGGAAAAAGGCGACGTTCAGGGTTTTGACCCTTTTGTTAGGCGTTTCGAAGCTTACGTGATCACATCATGTGGTTTCGGTCCGTTTTTTACCCTTTATCACGTGGATAATGCTTACGTAAGTCGACTACGAGCTTCTTCCTTCCAGGTTGTCAAGATAACCAAAGCTGCGATGGCATCCAAAGGAATCATTCACGGATTGATATATTACGAGTGCAGTGACGGCGCAGAGCGGGTCGATACGCACAGTGGACCAGTTTAGCTTACGCTGCATGGACACATCCAGTGAAGAACCCGCCCAGTTAAGTAACTTGTTTTACTGGACATATACAACATAAGCGATAAACTAGATGCTACAATGGCATCTAGCCCCCTCTCCCTCCGGCAGCGGCAGATTGGTACGTTCTCAATATCCATTATTACCACCTAGGATAGAACGCTGACCTGCTCCAAAAGCTGCAATTGAACACATATTAAACCTGAACCATGAAATCCCACCTCAGAATGAGCTCCAAGGAGACTCCGCCGCAGGGAAAAATGGTCTTATACCTCGAGCTGCTCCCCTACTAAATGAAGACGGCGACCCAGTCTGGAAGATACTTGTCTTTGATAATCTCGGGCGTGATGTCATTAGCAGTGTCCTTCGGGTGAACGACCTTCGAAGCTGGGGTGTTACCATCCATCTGTTTGTGCTTTTTTGCCCCTAAATACGCTTTGTTACCATGGCTAACCACCAAATAGTAATCTGAACTCCCGGCGCTACCCTATTCCAGATGTGCCTGTTATATACTTGGTTGAGCCAACCGTTGAAAACATCAAAATTATCACCTCAGACCTATCCAAGGGTCTCTACTCCCCCGCATACGTGAACTTCCTCTCTTCTGTTCCCCGACCTATCCTCGAAGACTTTGCTGCTGAAATTGCCTCTACTGGAACAGCAGATAAAGTGGCCCAGATATATGATCAATATTTAAATTTCACAGTTGCAGAGCCGGAACTGTTCAGTTTAGGCATGGGGAAGGATACATACTGGAAAATAAATAGCGCAGCTACCAAGGATGAAGAGCTGGACACTGTTGTGGACCGAATTGTCAGTGGTCTGTTCAGTGTCAGCGTCACGATGGGTAGGTGATGCACCCCTCAATCCGTGGCTAAGGTTGTTACTAACAATCTCTCATCCAGGATCTATACCCATTATCAGATGCCCAAAGGGTGGAGCCGCTGAGCTTATAGCCGCAAAACTTGATCGCAAACTCCGAGACCATATATTAAACTCCAAAGACAACTTATTTTCTGGTGGTTCTCAAAGACAAGGCGCTACATTACCCTCTAGCAGGCCTGTTCTGATAATCGTCGATCGAAATGTTGACCTTGTCCCAATGCTTTCTCACTCATGGACATACCAGTCCCTTATTCACGACGTTCTGAAAATGCATCTGAACCGCATAACTGTACAGTCACCCATTGATGAGTCTGACCTAAGTAAAGGGACAACGACAAAATCGTATGATTTAAATGTCAATGACTTCTTCTGGAACCGGAATGCAGGGGTGCCTTTTCCTCAGGTTGCTGAAGACATTGATGCGGAGTTAACACGGTATAAAGATGACGCTAACGAAATCACGAAGAAAACAGGGGCATCTTCGATTGAGGACCTCAATATTGATGCGGGTGCGTCTGCCCAGCACCTCAAGACCGCTATCACACTGCTCCCTGAACTACGTGAGCGGAAAGCCCTTCTTGATATGCACATGAACATCGCGACTGCCTTACTTAAAGGCATCAAAGACCGCCAGCTCGACAACTTCTTTCAGCTTGAAGAAAATATCAACAAGCAAAACAAAACGCAGATGCTGGAGATAATATCAGATACTGAGCGTGGAAATAACCCAGTTGACAAATTGAGATTATTCATCATCTGGTTCTTGAGCACAGAGTCAGACCTGTCCCGTGCCGAACTGAACCGTTTTGAAGAAGCGTTGAAACAGGCTGGATGTACCGAGCTCAGTCCTATAGCGTATGTGAAGCGCGTACGAGAAATCACGCGAATGACAATGATGTCGACGTCGACGTCAGCCGCACCTCAGCAGCCATCTTCCGACCTTTTCCGTGGCTTTTCCTCTCTCTCGAACCGGTTGACGGACCGCATCACAGCCGGGGCCCTTGGCGCGAACTTCGACTCGCTTATATCAGGCGTCAAAAACTTCCTTCCAGCCAACAAAGATCTAACCATTACGAAGATTACCGAATCAATCATGGATCCGTCAGCGGCATCCAGCTCAACCATTGCACTCACAGAGAATTACCTTTACTTTGATCCACGGAGCGCCAATGCCCGGGGTGCCATGCCGCCTTCAATCGCATCCACTCGCAATGCCCAGTCTAGTGGATCTGCTACGAGCGGGACAAGTGCAACCTTTGGACAAAGACGTCAGGCGTTCAACGAAGGTATTGTTTTCACTGTCGGCGGGGGCAGTATGGACGAGTACGGTAATTTGCAGGACTGGGTGCATCGGACTGGGGGCGGACAAGCTGGTGCCGGAGTTTCTGTCGGAGGAAGCGGAGCGAGTGCTGGTGTCGGTGGCACAACTAACACTTCCGGGCTTGGCCCAGGCAGACGAGTTGTATACGGCAGTACCGATTTGTTGAATGCTGATGACTTTTTGACTGAGGCCCTTGGGAAGCTTGGGCATGAGAGTTGATAAACAGTGTCAAAGAGTTTAAGCACAGCTTTAATGATAATAGTCAATATATTCTCTTACGAGCTAACTTTTGGCAGACAGACCATATAATCAATATGCATGCGATGCGTCCTTTCACCCCAGAAAACTAGAAGCAAAAGAAGAGCTATAAAACCGAAGAATGGTGACAAAAACAAAAAAAAAGAAGCACCCCCGCCCGGACTCGAACCGGGATAGTCAGATATCAGAGCGCGTCATCTTTGCGGGATCACGTGGCTTAGAAGTCTGAAACGTTAACCATTACGCCACGAGGGCTATTTGCGCTTGATGTTCGACCCACGAGAATCAACAAGAGGCACAACTAGAGCCTGTGGCTACCACACAAGTTGTCCGATATACGTTACTTGATACTTGGAGTAATCCTGCATACCATACATATATCTTGAAAACGTCGCTCGTGAACAGACAAAAATAACAGTTGAAAATGTATATCAGAGCAGTTGTTATATTGTTTAGCCGCCTGATTCCGTAGGAACCACAATGCAACTGCTGGCCCATTGCTCATTGTATGCCCAACTAAAATGGCACTTGTCCATTCATTTCACTTTCTCCTACTTATTTCTGGCGACCGTCCTAAGGCGAACCTAGGTTTCTTGGCGTGGGTGGATGGCCAGAAGAGTTGATAGAACCCTCAGGGGAGGATGACCGTAAGGATTTGAGATTTGGAGATCCCGCAGCCAATGGGCCAGGAGTGAACAATCTTATTCTCGCTTGGTCCGGCACAGATACATTCTGACAGTGGTCGCATATGTATGTATTAAAGCCATTGCCATTGCAGTCCTTGCATTCGAATTCTCTGTACAAGCTTGTTAGCCCATGGGCCACTAGATGCACAACCGGTCAAGTCCGAGGGGATATACCTCCTCGTAAAAGGTTCATTGTCTTTGCTCACCTGGGTGGGTTGCCTGCACAGGATCTGCAGGTAAGAAAAGTCATACCATTATTGCAGAAGATGTGTTGTGGATCTAGGTAAATAGTTGTACGGTAGTCTTGCGGTTGAGCCATATCAACCGAATTTGTAACTCGTCTAGGAAGTGCTGTAATACACTGCAGGCTCTGGAAGTCTCTTGAAGGTGTATTCGTAAATCCAGAACCTCAGTAAACACGGGGGGCGATGTTGGTTTGAGCTGTGATTATCTAGGATGCCTGATATTCAAAAATAGGTATGTTTACTTCGTGATATTTCTGGCGAAGAAGGGGAGATAGTAGAGATGAAAAGAATTCCTCACCCTCTCAACGAACGACGCACCCACTATTTATGTAGTAAAAGACAAGGTATCCAATGGAGCGGGTATTGATTCCCTTGGTTGCTTGTGACCGCTTAGCCGGGGTAACATACCGATACATGTCTTTGTGCATGTACGGCAACCGAAAATCACAGGATCAGCTCTCAATTGCCGTACGGAGGTACGGTACAGCTTTATAGGGTAAAAGTCGGCTATAGGAAAGGAACATCGGCGTATGAGCCGGAACAGTTCAGCTATATTTGGTTTCAATTGCCGTAAATTAAATCTTGCGCCTGCGTCAGAGGTTATACTTAGCCCCTGTATCGTTGTTGATGCAGCAGAAATAGTATAAAACGCATGCTTAGGTGACACCAGGGCAGACTTAATTGAACACAGCCCGCCCTTGATGTGCATTCCCCGCGGTACCTTCGTTCAAAAGTGATTTCAGAAGCATCTAGAGAAAGCAGGACAGTGGATATCGCATGAAATAAGGGTAGAAAATGTGTTATAACGGAGCGTACATGGATCAAGGACGCCACTTTTAATGGGAAAGTATGCACCAAGCGGATATGTAAAGCGTCTTACTCACACTATTCACGAGATATTCAAGAGGGGGGACGTATTGTTACATGCGTATTGGAAAGAACAAATCAAACGCAAGAAAAGGGGGGTTGGATTCTCAGAGAAGCCATGCTGGCAGCGTCGAGTACAAACCGAGAAGTTGGTTCGGGTGTCAAATGACGAGGGGCCCAACAGGCTGGCAAGCCCCTACAGGTGCGTGTTTGCAGCCGTGTAACTCAACGGCCTTTGATGGGCCCAGTACCTCTACACCGCTACCTGTTACGGTAGCATCTGCACCAAGTATTTGTATTTCCATTCCCACAATATCACGTTGTCCGATATTATTCCTTTGAGGATGTATAGTAGAGCAGCATTGTATTTACCAGAGACATACAGGGTAAACTTGAATGAAGCCCGCTCCATTGTGCAATCGGCTGATTCAACGTCCAACCTTGAGACCCAGGGGTAAGGGCCAAAGCCCATGTCAGGGACGTTGTGTAATCAAGATGGTTTGAGAGCTTTATGATAGGATATCTAGGCGCCAAACTAGGTGGTGCTGGATATCTTGTGAGTGGGACAGGAGTAAGGAAATAGGCGAGTAATCCTAAGATAAGGCTGTGCATATCTGGTTGGGCCTTGTCATGCATCACTATAGACATCCCCCAAAGAAACCATTTAAACTGGAGACATCGGAGGTGCTTGTCCGATGTTTAGTAAACTAAATGCGTGGGAAACCATGAGTCAAGCAAATTGAATGCCTGTAGCTCGTAATTCCATTTCCTGGGTAGGATTCGGGAAACAGGAAACCGGATATGGAGCAGATCTTGGGTATATTCGCGTAAGTCGGAAATGGAAAAGGAAAAAGAGTGTCCCCAAGCAAAGGGTGGATAGCGTTGGTTGACAAATTCATCACAAGCGAAGAAGCCGAAAGGTATCGAAGCGACTGTTGCACAGGAAAAAGAAGGTGACTACCAAAAACACTTTGTTGCATGAAGTATTATTGATCGGTTATTGGCCAGTTATGAGTAAAGAGAAGAAGGTGTGAGAAGCTCAGTTCTCTCCTTGGCTACCTTTTAGTGGCGGAGGAAAAATGGCATCGAATCATATCGACTTTAAAAGGTCGGCTTCTTGACTTTCTTTTATCTTTTCTCACTTTTCTCCTCACTCCTCACTTGTCACATAATTCTTTTCTTTTTATCTCTTTTCTTTCTTTTATTCCACCTCTTAATGATTAAGAAGGTATAATAATATTCCATTCATGCTTGTTAAAGGGTATTATATGACAGTCCAGGCGTCGTATCCCTTAAATATTCTGTAGGTCAGAGTAAGAAAATTCCGATAGATAATTTTTCAGACCAGGGAACCATACTCATTCCAGGTTGTGCACTGGAAGGGGCAGGAGATATATATAAAAGGGAGAAGGAAAGGAAAGCCCGAGAGAGAAATTGAGTGTCCACTCACAATGGACAGCCACTCAATGATAAAATGGCGTTACGCGACTCAATCGGGTGCAACCTGGTCGATGACCAAGCTCGAGCCGAACCAACTAACTACACGAGCAACCTTCTAGCTAGCGCTGACGATCGCTGATAGTTGACAGAAAGAGCGCTGCAATACGGAGTATGGAAATTGGATCATGTTCAGCTGAAAATATGGGATACTATGATTTGAAAATTTGGAAAAACGTATGCAACTATCCGCGCCTGTGTCACCGTACTGCTGAATAACTAATTCAGAATCAACCACTAAAAACGCAGCCCTCTCACCCGTCACAATCGCAATTCTTTGAGGGGCGATACTCCACAGGGCCACTAAGCACCTGTTGGATGCCAGAGGCAGGATTCATTACCGTGGAGTTCCGGGAATCCATCCTGATAAACCAGAATTTGGTTAGCTGCGGCATATTTAACTGTATTTAGCCAAGCCAAGCCGGCGGCAGCGAAAGGCTCTTATCATACCGCTGGTTTTGAACGCAGGTAAGTATCCAAGGTATGACTGATGTTGTGGTCTGACATAACGTTGATGTGGTTGTTGAAATAAACTTGGGCAAAGTCTAATGTTAAAAGTGGTCACGTAACTAACTAAATGGTAACTTAACCTTGGAGAAACGTTTTAAGTTCTAGCACCAGCTGATCGAACTGAATATTCCATTGGACTTACGGAGTAGGTATTTATACATTTAGGGATATTAGCCCGGGATAAAAAATGGCCAAGATTCAACGGGATAACTTATTAATGGGATAACCACCTTAGAAGGATAAATCCATAACATAAGTAGTTAACTATTAAACAACTGAGCGAGACTGAACAACCGGTGAAGAAATTACTATCACTGCTTGATTAGAGAACAGGCATAATTATTACCTGAGCCACGAACCCCATAACCAGCGACATGAATTGGTGTCCGTGGTAAAGTAAGATGAATAAAAGCCCTCTGAGACAAGTCGTTAAAAAAAATATAGAAATAGCAAATAGGAACCCTCCCATGTCCACCACGAACTCCGTTTTCCGGCGCCACAACCCTAGCCATGCGTCGTCAAGAATTAGTAGAAAAGAAAGATTAAAAAATGGTGAGGTTTATAGAAACCGGTAACATCATGACAAGATGATAAAGAATAGCCCAATGGATCGGGTGTCAAAGGAAAAAAAGATAGTAAAGTGAAAGCCGGTAGCTTAGGAAGTATTGGATCCCGTGTACTTTTTAATCAAAGTAACCTGGTGGCAGAGAAGCAAGGGCAACCACAGTACCAACTCCACCAACAATGGCTCCAGTAATAGCCGTGGCAGCATAGCGAGCATAAACAGCAATGCGAGAAGGCTGATGAGGATTTGAAGATTTAGCTCGCTTTGGTGGAGGACTAAATTCGTTATTCGTGGCTGTATCGGTGGCTGGGAAGGTCTCTTGAGGCTGGGCATCTGGGAGATCCTGGCTGTCTAGATCCTTGGTATCACAAAGATTCCCTAACTTACGTTTAGTACCGCAAGTGTTGGTGCTGGTTGGGAACGATAGAGTAGGTTCGACCTGGTCTGTGATTGGCTTTTCAACGGCTTTCATCGTCATTGTAGAATGATCTGGCGCGTTAGCATTAGGGGGTGCCGGCTTAAGTTCGTACGTGTATGGATTTGGAGGAGGACATTCCATGAAGTCATTGCTAGTAAAACGCGAATACCAAGGAGTGTTGGATGTTTCCGTTACTTCAGTCTGGTGATTCCTCGGGAATGGAGTATGTAACTGAGCGCCGATCCCTTGGGGTTTTTCAGTTCCGGAGTGGCCCATTGAATGAGGATAGCTAAATGGTGAAGCACCTGTTGGTCTTTCATCAGGCGTAGGGTAGATAGCACTCCCAACTAATGCCAGGCTAAAGTCATCTGGAAGCAAAGCCTCACAGTCGTCATCGTCACCGGCCGGGGAGGAAATACTTTCTGTCTCGGGCTCAACTGGGCCTAAAGATGACTTGATGGATATAATTTCTCCATCTAAATTCAACTTCGACGGCGCCTCTTGCCACGGAAGGAATGGATCGTGTTCGACGTCAATAATGTCACCACACTCGTCTCCGCTTTCAACCTCACTATCTTCCTCATCTTCTGGAACAGTATAAGTATTTGTAGATGGTAATTCACAGGAGGGTATAACCCGAGAAGGGTTCTTCCAGGTATATTCGATACGAATCTTGACCGGCTTGAATGATTCTATAGGGTCGGACAATTTAGTTCTGAGACCTATGAAAATTGCGAACAGCAGTCCATGCTTACCCTCTCCTCTGTTGACTGTGGCTCCAAGGGTAATTGTGTCACCATTTGAGACTAACACAGACTTCGATGTCAACTTGCTGTCGTTTAGCCATGTCCCATGCAAAGAGTAAATATCTTTAATATGGATTTCCTATAGAGTGTCACGGTTATGGTTAGGGACAACGGGTTATCGAGCAATAGCTGAATTGACTCACTTTACTCTTGGCATCTACAACTAATTCAGCATGGTTTCGAGAGACAACACGATTATCAAATCGAAAATTATCATTGCTAGCTTTTAACAGGCTGTTCCCGGATTTCGAGGACCGGCCGATGATGCAACGATACATAGTAGCAGTGAAGGTGACATCCCGTTCTCGTATATCATCACCTCCATCGAGAGTAACGGCGTGCAGGGTCACTATGGAGAATAATTTTCATGTTAGCCCTTGACCTGCAGATATGATATTTCGTGATTTCTCGAGAAATAGGCAGGGAAGACTCGGATGAAGCTACCTGAAGCCATGATCACAAGATGCAGGGGCGAGCAGTCGAAAGTACTGAAGTAGTTGTCAAGTTAGATGCGATAGCAGACAGTGATTTTTTTCCCACTCCTGTTCTCGTCAGTGTGGTGAGAATGTAGCTGTGGCTGTTGCGGGGTGCAATTAGAACGGAACGTCTGGGCAGTGACGTAACTGGCAAACAGGCGGTTAGTGAGCTAACTAACTAGTTAGTTGACTAATAAATTTGTGAGCCCACTAAGAAGTCGACTTTCAACGAGTAAATACAGCTAGATAAGAGGAGGGTAGGAGGGGCTGGATTCCAGTATCTTGATGGAGATGAGACCATGCAGCGACAGGCAGAAGGGCAGCAAGAGAACAGACGAGCAGTCGAGATGAGAGACGTCAGAAGATGCGGCAGTTACGGCGTCTGCCGGCTGAGAGTGGGGCAAATCACCGAATGAGGTCGCTAAGCGCCACGTATCTCTCCACCAAAGATATGAGACAAGATACCTCGGCTAGTTAAACTTTAACGGAGCCCGTTCTTCTACTTAAAGAGGTGGCTTTGTGTGCTTGAGATTTGAACATCGAGACCAAGATAACCGGAGGAAGCAAAATAGTAGGAGAGCATGATAGTATACATTACGCGCAGTGGAAGGGCATCAGACGGCAAAGCAGCTCCCTTTGCCAACGGTAACCGCAAAAGGGGAGAAAGAAAGGAAAGCAAGTGATCACTACTTATTTACAGTACAGGAAGACATGGGGACAAAAGGTGTAGTAGTAAAACAGAAGTAAGTTAAGAAAGCGTACAAAGTTCAATGAGGCCAGTCAGGCGGGTATCATCCCTCCTCAATTCCTCACCTCTTTTTAATAGGGCAGTATTATTTATTTTTTTCCCCTTGAGTTCGAGCTTAGAAGGTACCAGGAGCACCAAGTCCTGCTGCACCGCCCATCTGTGCTAGCCTGGCGGCAAGTTTGGGGTACTTCTCTTGTACCTCAAGCTGAGCGCGAGTAGCTTCCGCGTATGAGACGGCATTTATCACCTCTGCCTCTGTTCTTGCTAATTCGGCAGCACGTTCGAAGTACTTCAAGGCCTGAGAAACCTTTCCTTGCTGAAGGAGAAGCTGGGCAAGGGTAGCAATAGCGATATCGCAGTCGGGGTCAACTAAAAGAATCGGTTAGCAGGTGTCAAAAGGAGTCTAAAAGACGCATCATGGGAGACTAACTGATAAGAGCCTTCTGGCAGAGGTTTTCAGCCTCTTGGAAATCCTGCTTCCACTGGAAAATTGCAAGAGCTTTATTAATTAGTGGCAGAACGTTAATGCTCCAGGGTTTGTTAGATTTCTCTAGTTCAACGGCACGGTCGAATTTCTCAATGGCTTCGGAAAATTTCTGCATATCAAGCAGAAGCTCGCCATAATAGTTGTAAACCTCAGCTACGTTTTCGAAGTTCTTGAGGGTCCGCTTGAACGTAGCCATTGCCGATGCAACGGAGCCCAACTTGTACTGAGTCACGCCGAGTTGGATATGTGAGTAAATGAAGTCTCGGTCAAGGTCAATGGACTTTTGGTAGTCTTTAGCAGCCTCTCCAAGTTCGCCAAGGATAAAATGAAGTTGTGCTCGATGGTAATAAATGTCCGGGTCATCCTTGTTCTGGGTTACAGCTAAGTCGAAGTCGTCCTGTGCTGACTCTCTGTTTCCTACAACGCAAAATCTAACAGTTAGTATTGACACAATATTGTAATATAATGCTGCCAGACATACCCATTTCCAAGTATAAGCTGGCACGCTTGATATAACTCTGGACAAGCGATGGATCAAGCTCAATACTCTTGTTGAGGTCAGTCAGCGCTGCAGCTGCTTCGCCAGCTAGGTAGGTGAAGGTTGCGCGCATATTCAGGGCCAAGGCTTCAAGCTTTCCGAGTTCACCTAGCTCCAAAGCTTTCTCAAACGCTCGCGCGGCCTCATCATATCCGTCTCCAGTTGACTTGGCAACTGCCAACAATCCCTTTCGGAGCTGCCCTAGACCGCTGTCTTCTTTCAACTCAACGGATTCATCAAGCTCTTCAGGGGTCGGCTTTGGTCGGAAGCTCTGGAGATAGTTTGAGACGAAAGTGGCGCTTGGCAACTTCTTGCCCTTACCCTCAAGGATAACACGGCCCTTCTCCTCGGCTACTTGTTTTAGCAGCCTCTCGACGGCAGCTTTGCCGGTCTCGCTGGCGAATCCATCAAGGATACAGCTAGCAGTGTAATCGAGCAGGGCCTCACTGTATTTGCCGAGCTTATCGTATGCGTTTGCTCTCCTGTTCATTGCCTTGATGTACTCATCGTCCATGGCTAGTGCCGCAGTTGTGTCCTCTACCACCTTCTCCCACTCTCCGAGAGCATTATAACAGGCAGCGCGGTTAGAGTAGTAGACAGGATCAGGTTTGCAGAGGATTGCTTTGCCGTACAGCTCGATTGCTCGGTTGTAGTCTTTTGACCCAAACGCCTTGTTTCCAGCGGCCTTGAGGATTCCAGCATAGCGTTCTCTTGTCTATTTGGGAACGGATCATTAGCATTTAGTGTTAGAATGTGCCATTTATTCAAACTTACCTGGGCAGGTAGGCTGTCCACATTAGACTCATCAACGTCTGGGAGCTCTTCGGGGCCCTGCTCTGTTGCCGCCTTGGACTCTAGACATATCTCATATTAGCAAGCTTAGTGTCAACGTGCGACAAATAATTTCGCTCATACCAGGCTTTTCCGACGTGCCAGCTTTCTTTTCCTGCTCTGCCTTCTTTTCCTTTCGCCGCTCTTTTTTGCTCTTGCGCTTCTCTCCCGATGGACCGGAAACCTGGGTTGGTCGACCAGTGTCAGACAGATAATATACCACACCAGCACTAGTCACGACCACCGCAACACCAGCAATTGTGTAGACTAGGGCCTTGTTTTCTGACGCCCATGTTGAGATACGATCCCAAACTGAAGGTGAAGATGAAGCGGCCGTATTCTCGATGTGCTGCTGGATAGTGGATGACGGCAGAGATGGGACGACTGGCTCAATAGGTGCCATGGCTGCGATGGAATTGTCTAATGAACAGGGTAAACAGTGACTGGCACCGGCGTCAAATCTATAAAACAAGCGTTATCCTCCCGATGAGTATGCCTCGATAAACTGCTGGTAACGACTCTGGATGGAAGAGTGAGCCGGTAGTTCTTTGAATAATAAAGTTGTGAAAGCTGAACTGCTTAAGAGACCTCCTGTGAATTACGGAGATGGAGGGCCAAAAAAAGAACACGAATTAAAAAAGAACTAAAGAAGCCTCCAACGGGCAAATGAATCAGGGATACGGGAAACGCTTCGTGAAATCTATCGGAGCGGAAGATGGGAAGAAGAGTGGAAGTTGAAGTGCTTGCGAGAGAAAACATCGTGAAAGTTTTGGGATATAGAAAATTTCTGGGAAGCTTATGTAATCTCGTATACAAACATCGAACATCAACAACAACGACAATGGCAGCGACAGCAGCCAGCTGCATCTCAACGATATCTGCTACAGCTCACGGTCCCAAAGGGCCTCCGTGGCTTAAGAAATAGTAGACAACAGTACTGTGATCTGGATTCTCGCGCAAAGCCTTGCATATTAATACCCGCAAGTAGCTAGCGACGTTGTCAGAGGGAAAAGGGACAAAAATCATGGCGGGCATCTATGCTGATTTCCGCGTTATATCTACCCTACGGTACGATCCAGAGCTCATTAGTGGGATAACGAAGCCGCTCTCGTACCCGGAGCCGACTTGCTCCTCCTACTACCTCCTTCCATACCACTGCGGACGGCTCCTGGATGCTGCGGTAGACTTCCAGTGGACGGCTGCCGTTTCGCGAATGCAACGGACTGGTTCAGTCGAGCAGTTTGCAGAGTCCCTTAACACCTTCTTGCCGGACAAATCTCGGCCATGGCGCTTGCGTATACTGCTGGATCATGAAGGCGAGCTGGCCGTAGAGGCTTCACCTGTTGTCTCACCTTTAAGCTCTCATATTTTCTTCCTTCCGCTTCGGCCTTCATTCTCATCCCTGTGTACGCATAATAAGGATGTCGTCCGCTGGAAACTACGACTGGATACACAGCCCACGGAGCCGTCTCTATTCACCAGACACAAGACCACTGCTAGGGACATGTATAACGCCGCCCGGACGAGGGCCAACCTACCCTCTTTGGCCGCCCCGATTGAGGTTCTGATGTACAACCTTAAAGGTGAGGTCACAGAAGGCAGCATCACTACCGTTTACTTTAAGAAGAGAGTAGATGCTGCAACATATGATCCGACAACTGGAGATGGTGGGTGGGTTACACCTTTACTCACGTGTGGTGGAAATTCAGCAACAACTCGACGTTATGCTCTTGATAGTGGTATCTGCTCCGAGGATATCATTCGAATTGACACACTCAAGGCCGGCGAAGAGGTATGGCTAAGTAATGGTGCAAGAGGTTTTATGCCAGCTACACTAGAGCTGTAGTAGAGCAACTAAATTAGTCATTTTCTATGCTGAATGTTTACAGTTGGCTATAATTTGCCTTCTGTCGAGGATCGACACGCAGCCGCATTGGTCTATTCCTTTGGCCTTTTGTTAGCATGCAGGTCGGCAACACCCCTTAGTTATCGCCTTGAAACACTAAAGAGAAACACGCATGCGCAGGCAAAAATTCACATGAGGAGGGAAGTTAAGCTCCCTTCCCAAGGAGCACCAGATTAGCAATGTTCATAACGGTGATAAAAAGCCACACTAGCCCAGCGATGACAGCTATATACCATGAGTTAGCCATCTTTATACTACCTTCACCTGGGTTTGCCGCCTCAATGCCTGGAGGCGTGTTCCGGAATATGCCTTCGTTGGGCGCTAGACAACGTGCACTCCCCGGCTGAACCGTCATATACTTGTTGAGACAAGTAAAATAGATCAAAGGCGCCGTAACGAATGGCAGGACAATACTCAAGACGACTTGAGAGGCATTCAGTGTTGCGTTCAGTCCCTGACGTCCAACAGCTCCTGCAATTATGATGCTTGGGATGATACTGATGCTTCGAGTTACTAAGCGTCGTAGCCAAGGGCGAAGCTTCCAATTCAGAGCGCCCTCGCTCACCATTTGGCCAGCAATAGTGCAAATAACACCAGCTGAGATTCCGGAGAGCAGCAATGCCAGTGCAAAAATCGTGCCCACCGCAGGGGAAATGGATTTTGACAGAAGTGCATGAATTCCGAATATGTCCGCCTCTAGGGCATCCTTATTTTTGTATAAGGATGCACCCGCAACGATAAGAATTGCCGAGTTGACAAAGAGGGCGAAGGAAAACAAAGAGACTGTCAGTTCAGTGATAGAGGCTTTCAGCGAGTGTCGAATAGCGCGGATGGACGGAATGTAATGCAGCTTATCCTTGCTGGTTTCTTCGTTGATAGAAGAAGATGCTGACAATAGCTCTGGCGGTAAGAGTTTGCTTTTCTCATCATACTCTCGGAGCCGTGGCTGAACTATTCCCGACCCCAGATAGAGACTATGTGGCATAACCGTCGCCCCAAGAATACCGCATGCTTGGTAAATTCTATTATCAAGTTAGCCAGGTTTCCGGTAGAACACTGAACAAAAGGGGTGTATCTTACGCTTGTCCCTCAACCAGTTGCGCTGATGGCAAATATCCCCTGAAAACCTCTCCTACACTAGCGTTTTTTATGAGAGAAAGCTGAATGCAAAAACAAATGACTACACCCAACACTAACGACATAATCACAACCTCAAACATACGCAGGCCTTTCATGGAACCATCCGGGCGGTAGAAGAACAGAATGATCATAACATCAAAAATTGAGATTGCACACCCAACAATCAGCGGTATCTTCGGGATCAGGAGATTTAAGCCGATGGCAAATCCAATTACCTACCTTAAGTTAGCAAGATCGTCTCAAGGGGATGAATTTAACAACGTTACATACCTCAGCAATGTCTGTGGCAATAATACCCACCTCAGCAAGAACGTATAGCAGGATGTTGAGCCACCGTGGGAGAAAAGCTCTGCATGCCTCTGCTAGATTGAGCCCACTCACAGTCCCAAGCTTAATAGCAAGAGACTGTAGCAAAATCGCAAATAAATTCGCCATAAGAATAACAAACAGCAGCCTGAAGCGATAGGATGCTCCAGCAGCAATCCCGGTTGCATAATTACCAGGGTCAACTAAACGGAACGACTTCAGCCCTGACATAGAAAAGCTCAGAGATGGAATGGAGAATATTTCATACTGTACGCCACAGATACCATAAACCCTGGGCCAATGAAGGAACAGAATTTAAGCAGGATATTCTTAACCCGCTCAATTGGAGTATCGCGGCTATTCCCTGGGTCACAGGGACCAGCCGCCGCGGAGGTAACAGTAGCTAATTGAGACAGGGGAAGTTTGTCCCCTCCTCTTACGAGCTGGCCAGTCGGTGGACTGGCCAGCGAGCTGGAGGCATCGCCTTGCCCCATCCCAGAATGAGTGCTTGCATTCTTATCACGGTCGGCATTCTGCGTTTCGCCGTGTAGAGACTGCGGCTCCTCCCTCTTCAACTCCCTCGAGTTGGCCATGCCATTCAGGGCTTCGTTGGTAACCAAATCGTTCGAAAGAGGATTCGGACTTTGATTGTAGCCATCGCCTTCATACGGCTCATCAGTTCGGGAAGTCTTGTTCATAGTGACTGGTCTTGTTAATCAGCTATGTAACTATTCTGCCGTCGAAATGCAATCGAGTATACGTGCAGGCCAAGAAGAAAAACGACTTGCCAACCTCCCGATCATCATGCTTATTTATTATTTACATTAACTCGTTGTGGATCTCCTGTCTGATCGACGTGTTACGTAACCCCGGCTTCTTCTCGCAGCTTCCTAATCCATCCGAGGCCCAGGTCCCCATGTCAAGAGTCAGGTGACTACCATGTGGTAAATAACCTTGTCTGTAATTCATTAGTAAGCGAACACTATTTCAACTTAATGAATTATTTTCAAAGGTTTGCACGGAAATATCTGCCCGAAAGATGGGTGTTATTATTCAAGTCTGGATAAGGCAAAGAGAAGGCTGAAGTAAGATGAGGCTTCATTGTCTCCAACGTTAGATAAAAGAGTAAAGAAGGTAGTCTTGGTACATTTAACATGTCCAAGATGAAGCAAGACTATGTGCATAACTAATTGGGAAGTATGTACATCAATCAACATTCCGGCCACGGCACGCGTCATATTGATCATAAATTCGCGGTAGCACCCTATACCATTAGCTTGGAGCTAGTGAGGGGGCAAACCTAGAGGGTAAGTCCTCTATTGTCCGCTTCCGTTGTAGAGGAGACGGTTGGTGGTGCCAGTTCCTGGGTTTCTGATAACAGCGTTGGCAATCTGCTTCATGCGGTTGCAAACCTGAGCCACGCTAACACCCTGGGCAATCATGGCGGCGCCGACACCGCAAACATGGGGGGAGGCCATGGAGGTTCCAGACAGGGTGCGGGTACCACCTCCTGGAGCGGCGGAGAGGATGCTGGAGCCGGGAGCATAGATGTCAACTACATCCACGTGTTAGTCCTAGAGAAGGAGCAAAATTTAAGTCAGGAAGCCGGGGAATGACTTACTAATGGTACCCCAGTTGGAGAAGGAGGACTTCACGTCATCAATGGTGGAAGAGGCGGCAGTGCAGACGGCTGGGGCGGAGGCTGGGGAGGAGTTCTTGGCATCCCTCTATATCATCGCGAATTTGATTAGCATCTTCATACGGGGAAAAGACGAAAGAGTATGTGAAGACCTACGTTGTCGTTTCCGGCGGCGACAGCAACGAAAATACCAGCTTCCTGGGCGCGGGTGACGGCATCGTTGTTGGCCTGGCTGAAAGAACCGCCCAAGCTAAGGTTGAGGGCAGCCTTTCCGAGAGCTCCCTTGGATCGGGCATCAGTAACACACCAATCAATACCCTTGATCACACCAGCGGTAGAACCAGAGCCACCAGCAGAGAGGACCTTGACGGCGACAATGTTGGCCTTCTTAGCAACTCCGTAGGTGGTGCCAGCGAAGGTGCCAGCGGTGTGGGTTCCGTGGCCGTTTCCATCAGTGTTGTCGTTGTCAACAGTGTTGGTTCCCCAGCGGATACGGCCGCGGAATTCAGGGTGGTTGATATCAATACCGGTGTCAACACCGTAGATGGTAACACCCTGGCCAGCAGAGCTGTCGTAGACGAAGTCCTTGTTTCCCTTGGCCTTGTGAGACACTCTGCCCAAACCCCAGGTGGGAGCGTTTGGCTGAGTGACGAGAGCGGCCAGCTTGACAACGCGGTCATGCTCAACATATTTGACCTATGCCTATTAGTTAGAATAGTTCGTAGGGAGAGGAACGGAAATGAAGATGCAGAGGGGCTTGTGACTGACCTTATCGTCATTGAGGATAGACTCGATAGTGGCCTCGTCGAAGTGGCCGTTATAGCCTCTCCATCCGTTGATGTCGAAGGAGTCCTTGTGTCCGGCAGTCTCGGAGCCACGCTTAGCCTTGTTGAGGTTGTGGGTGGCAGAAACAGAGGAGATATGGGACTCGAAGTCCTCAGCAGTGACGCCATCCTTCATGACGACGATGTAGGAGTTTGGGATGACATCGTTGCCACCACGGTTGTGGAAGAAAGCGCGAGCATCGACGGCAGCGACGGCCGCGAGGAAGACGGAGATGACCTTGATGCAGCCCATTGTGAAGGAGTTGCTAGATAGACTGTTAGGAATGTTGATGAGTTGCTGTCTGGAAATTCCCGAATTGATGGGATCAATGGCCCCCTTTTATATTTGTCTATCCCTCCTCCTCCAGCTCTTCACTTCACCCCGGCTACCCTAGGGAGACCCGGTCATCTTGCCAGCCCTTGATTCATGAGAGGGTGTGCGGGACAATACTCCGCACCCCTCGGGCTCTTAGACATACTCTTTTTCTCCTAAGGTATGTAACCATGTAGTATTGCCGGCGAGTTGGATACCATGTCCCTATCTCTGACAAATAATGACGGTGCAGGCACAAATATACCATCGGCAAGATGCGGAGAGGCCTGGTAAGCCCAGAAATAGGAGTGTTTAGTGCCAATCCGGGGGAAATATATTGGGGAAGCAATATCGGACAGTGACCGTATAGTCTCTGGTGGCCCCAAGCTTGAGATCGCCATGTTACAAGCCTGATTATAACGGGTGGCCGCGGTAACACCGCAGGTCCCAGGGGCCTGAGGAGCGTGAACCTATCTTGTGATGCCCCTACCCCTGTTGACGCCTGGGCTGGCAGAGGCTGACATTCGCGAATATTCCACGATCCATCCAAGTCGAGATGTGATCTAAACAAAAAGCTCTGACCAGCTTGTCCAGGACAATGGTCATTTCGACGATCTTTAGTGTTGATCATAGCAAAACACATGGTGATAGCTATTAGAGTGAGCGGTAGATCTTCACGACTAGACGGTGTTTGTAGAATGAGCAACACTGTTCCAGTCCCACATATGGCCCCATGCTTTGCCGCCCGGCGCAGAAGTACCAAAGCCTGGGGTTCTTCATCTGGGGTGTCCAAAGGCAAAAGAGAAAAGATCAGGATGGCAAAAAGGGCGTGCTCTCCACTCACGCCATCGATACGAAGCAGATGTTCGTGATAGATTAGCTACTTCACCGCAGCCAAGAGTGCGGTGCGTATTTCAGCCAATATATCGACTGGCGCTGGGTATTGGCGATCAATCGCGGGGGTGCAGAACCGTCTATCCACAACTAAACTTTCAGGCAAAGCGGGAATTCCATATATAGCATCAACACATGCTGTTGGCTTCCCTTCTTCAGCCAAGGTGGAGGAGGGTGGGAAGGCTTAAGCATATCGCTCCTGAAGTGACATTATCCGACCCCTAGTCTTGGAAAGTGATATCATAATTTCATTTACTGTGGCATCGACGATCTCCCCAGATCTACATGTCAATCCCCAGTATTTCACAACAGCGGTAGCTTAGTAAACGGCTATATCCCCAGTTGCCCATCAGTAATCGACACTGCGATCCGTCCCTTCGATCCAGGAAACAGGTCGACATGCACGGCCCAATGATGATCGGATTGCTGCTGATCAAGGCTTAACCTAACAGCAGAGGATATCGAATAATAAAAAAGGGCGGGAACGCCAGTTCTTCAACGCCGGCAGCTCGACGGTTGATGCGAAGATTTCGAGATGGCGGGCCGTCCGTCTGGCAACATCGACAAGTTAGCGCTGTAACTGCCCTGCCCGAGCGCTCGTTTGTCCTCTCGCCACCCCTGGGATTTAGGCATGACAAGGCCAGCGACTACTACTTCAGCCGGGATGGGAGTGGTTAGAACGGGCGAATATTGATGAAGAACCCGAAGTCAAGAAATGCGGCCTGACCAGGGGGGAGAGAGGCTGGTGGTTCATCTCGCTGCCATTTGTGACGTCGACCTTGCGGGCAGGATAATTTTGGCGGTTCCGGCACAGCACCATACACCCATCATCCGGCCGGCCAGCCAGTTATATTGCGATGCTGCAGACTGAGTTCTCTCAACCCCGGGTTCCATGCCGGCACCAAAAAGAAAAAGGATACCTTCTTGTGCGGAGTACGGGGTACATGATAAGAAGAAGACATCCACATGCCAAGTAAGGCACGCTCCGTTCAGAGCAGGTAGTGATTGACCTCTTTCGTGCAACGCACCTGTATCACCATAGATCTCGGCTGACACCTGTCGTTTGATTGACAAAAAGGGGCCAAAGGATCAATATTTAGACAATCGATGGGTCACGGATGCCCAGTCTCTGCAAACCGGCCAAAGGTTCGGGAGAGGGAGACAGTGTTGTATGGAATGCTCCGTGAGGAACCAGAAAACCTGAGCAACATTGCAGGGATGGGGATGGTAGAGGAAAGAGTTAGATATCCTTGCTGTGACCATTTTCTAATATGCTCCCCTCCCCTCAACCCTGGCGATATTGACTACTCGCACAACTCAGCGGCAAGCAGCAACGCTTGGTTACCATCCCATGCTCGGGCGTGCCCGATCTTGTGTGACCGGCTTGACTCGCTGGAGACAATTTACTATGGCGGGAGCGCTGGCTCGCTGCTTGGCATGTTGAGTAATAACTAACTAACTGCGCATGAACTCTCTCCAGCCAAAGCGAGAGCAAGGCAAAGGCTTCTGGCTTCATTTTATGGCACTCCAGGTGCATCAACACGGGAGGGTATGTGGGCATCATGCGGTCCGCACAACTATTTCATTTAGAAATGAAGCTTCAGCCGTCGATTCAAGGTTGCTTGTTGCTCCGGCATATTTGACAAATCAAGCCGCCTTCCGCATGTTGTTGGCACTATAGGCCGAGGATATATTATTATGACCAGCCAGGGATCGAGAAAGGATGGTCGATACGCCAGAGGGACACGGTGTTAGTACAACCCGCTTTTTTTTCGCGCATAGTGAGTCCATCATACTTGCTCCGAACCATGGCGCAGAGGCAGCCTTTCCTCAAGACTGAGGTCAAAAGACTTTCCCAGCTGTATCGACATTGCGTTGTGGTACAGCCATAACTACTGTCACGCTCCTTGTCAGAATGCCAATATCAGCCCAACGATGGTGGCTGTACGTAAACTTAGCTAGGTAAATATCTAGCCTCTGGGAGCCTCATGCGAACGCATGCAAGCCACACAGTCGACTTGATGTCATCCGGACGCAATTGAAATGGAATTGGGATGTTAGACTTTTTGCCAATATGAAATATTCTTGTGCCTTGCCCCGGGACAGATGGTTGTCTGCTATTAGCCGGAGTGACAACATCTGTTCCGGCCCAGGGTAATTACTTGTGCTCGGCATCAGGACTCAGCTTATACAACAACCTGCGTCCTGCTGCGTATAACTGAGGAACCATCAGTTAACGAGTCAGCTATGGAGATTCTGCTAGCTGCCGGAAGATCTGGATTTTCTCCCCGGCCCCTGGGTTCCGGATGGGTGCGAGTTGACCACCCACGGTCGGCCCATTTATCCTTCCAAGACACGCTGGGTACACCACGCACCACGGCGTCGTCAGGCTGCTCAGTCATGGTGCCAACAATGTCTTATTTCTTAAAGCTACCTTCGGCGCCATTTGGCCATGTACTGCTCTGAAATAGCCGGTTCCTGTATGGCGTCCATCAAGTCAGTGAATGAATATTCCAAGGGTAACAGGACGGCTACCGATACAACCATCGGAGAGCGCAGGGGTTATTTTACCGATACCAGGATACCATCCCACCATTGTTCTATCTTCAGCTATTGTCGCACTCACGTAGACTTGGTGCTGATGTAGGTCGAAATCCGGATGCTTATACTTACTGGTGCGCGGTGGTTGAGGTGAGCTTGTTATTTTGTTTTTTCCATGTTGAGAAATCACTAGGAAGGATATCCGCCTGTCGTCCAACAGCACAGCAACAGCCTTTACCCCGGTTACCCCTTTTTGGCTCCTTTCCCCCTTTACCCTCCCTAACCAACTACGTACTGTCAGACTCTAGCGAAGAATCAGCCAGGTAATATTAAAGCGTGAACAAAGATCCAGGTCGTAAAGAAATTACTATTGACTCATGCTTGCTACCTAGTGCAAGGGAAATACATCTAGCGGAGAAAAAAACTTAACCGTTCTAGCGAAAATATTGTAGACTGACAGCCAGCAAAAATGTCTACTTCTCGCTGCTCGTAACTCGTTCATCATGGGCTACCTCATGCTGGATCTCCTTCTCAACATCGTCCCGCATATAGTTCTCGGCGTGTCCAGCACCGGCCGTCAATTCAGCTCCTTTACGTCCAATGACATACCATGGGAGGTTGAACATCTCGTCCATGGCTTCGAGGGACTTTCCTGCGGTCTCTGGGAGGAAGAACCACATCCATACCAGGCCAAGCAAGGTGACGGCAGCGAAGAAGAAGAAAGTACCTTGAGGCTTCATGGCAGTATCGAGAAGCATAGATGGGACAGCTTTTGAGTTACCACTATTATAAAGAGTTAGTCAATACTCGTAATAAGCAGCACTAGAGTAGGTGGGAGACTTACTATTGATTGGCAAAGTGGAAGCACATAACCATCGAGGATCCGAGGGCTCTCACTCGGAGAGGGAAAATCTCGGCGTTGATAAGATACTGGATGCTGTTCCATCCAAGGGCCCAACCGATGCCCGAGATATAGATAGCAACGATAGCACCCGTTCCAGCGCGTTTGGCATCTCCCATAGGCTTGAAGTGTTCCGTGATCTCTGGGACAACGGCGAGATAGATGGCCACATATAGCATGCTCAAGAACTGGAGGATGATACCGTAAGTGAGGGCTCGTTTTCTGCCAAGCATGTCAACGAGGAACAAGGCGCAGACAAGTGAAGCAATAAGTTTCACAACACCGAAGATAGCGGTTGCGAATAGCTTTTCAGATTGACCGGTGGTTCCAAGCATAGCGAAGAAGGTTGGTGCATAGATGGTGATACTGCTTGCGCCAGACCACTGTGACAAGAGCTGGGACAACAGTCCAAGCATGATGCGGTATCGATTCGAAGGGGTAATAAAGAGTTCCTTTAGCGGTCCCATCCAGCCGAGTCCCATAGTGGCTTCTTTCTCGCGCTCCACTTGATCAAAAATATCCATCATCTCAGTCTGTACATATGGGTGATCTTCTGGCAGGTTACGGATCTTTGCCATGGTAGCAGTGGCTTCTTCCTTCCGGCCCTTGCTAGCCAAGAATCTAGGGGATTCGTGAACGCCAATGGACAATAGAAGAATAATGCCACCAAAAATCAGATGGAGGCTGGTTGGGACAATCTATTTGCGTAAAGGAATCAGTATTAAAGGTCAGGCAGTATAAGGTTGGAAAAAGTGAGAACACATACCCATTGGTTCTGCGAATGGCTGCTGATATGAAGGGCAGCTCCCCAGCTGGCGAAGTAACTCAGCATGATACCGAGATACACGGAACCGGAAAAGGAGCAGATGCAAAGGCCACGGATAGCGCGCGGAGATATTTCAGCCAGATATGTGGGAGCAACGACGGCGGTCTGGCCAATCCCAAGACCGGCAATGAATCGGCCAGCGTACACCTGGCCAATCCTTCCATTGGAGGTGATAAAGATAACGATTCCAGCAAGCCAGATGAAGCACAGTTGTCTAGTTGCCCATATACGACCAATCTTGTCGGTGATGAGGAAAGCACTAGAAATGGTTCGATGCCGTAAGCACGAGTACAGACACCGCTAACTATAGTTAACCTGGGAAATTGGGAAAGCATACAGCAAAGCACCCCCTATACTTCCAATCTGGACCATAGCAGTGATATTTCCGAGCAGGTTGGCCTTTTCAGACTCGCTTAGGAGAGGGTCATTGAGATGGTATTTTGCAATGAACGCTTTCTGTTGGACTGTGCCTGAGATAAGGCCCTCGTCGATACCTTAGAAGAAAACACGGTCAGCATGATTTGGCACTCTGGACAACCCAGTCAGTCCCTCGGCCATAAGCTCACCTCGACTAGCACCCATTAGCCCAAAACACAAGATGGCATATCCTAGCCTCCAGTTCAAAGCCTGGCGAGGGGTCTCGCCCAGATTCTGGGTGAATATATTCGGCATGGTGACGGTAGTAGTCCTGCTGCAGGCTCCTTAGATAGCAGCAAGTTCCCACAGCGGTCTGCCCACAACCGCGCAACGATTATGCGGATATTGACAATGAATTCCAGCGAGCTCCCCCTGGTCAGTTTCTCTCAGGCAGGAATGGCAGCATAAACAAAACCTGTTCTCTGGGGGATGGACAGCCATTTAAATATTCGCTGTCCATTCGTTGTGTGTGCGCCCCCGTTTGATGCATAAGTGCCCGTAATGCCCCCCTCTTTCCCCGACCACTCCAGTCTGTGGAGAAAGCTTTGAGTGACCCCATGATACAAAACATCACGAAAGCGTTTCTGTTGGTGGTCAGCGCCGACTGGGATTGATTGACCAGGATTGACTTGGGTGGGATGTTGTAATCTCCACCTAGCGAGAGGAAAGCCGGACATGAAACGACCGCTATTCGCTGGCGATGCGTATCTCCGGCCACTAACGCGCAGGGTCTTATTAAGAACTGAGCTGGGTCCAGAGACGCCACAGACAAGCCGAGGACCTGAGTTTGGCTATCCCAAGCTTCTCTTGAGGCAAAGCTTAGCCTCCTTAGCAGTTACCAGAACACGACGAGAATCACAGCATATTGAGTAGCCAGGACAGTCGCCACTCCACCCACGGTTGTGCACCATATGATAGACAGAGATCCAGAAAAGTGGGATGGAGGCAGGAGTAGTTACCCGTAGAATCTGAAGGAATAGTTAGTTATCATCAAACTGAGAATCCGCTTCAAGTTGACCCAGAAATGCTCCACCAGAACAATAAAAGCATAATCCCCGTTCTTCCGTAGAGTAGTTACTCCATATAGAAATTCGGCAAGTAATAAAATCCTACTCTTGATGCTACTGCTCGGCCGTCATTTTTGCATCCCGCCCCGGGGATACCGTTAGGCGAGGTACGGAGGAGAAATGCAACGGTCAGGGAAGGCAAAGGGCGCCTTCTCGGAGGGCTCCGGCAAGCGACCAAGAGTGGCTAAGCCAGGTCGAGTTGCAATCGCCATCGGCAGGCAAGACGCGCTCGAGCCTGTGTTGACAATCACCAGTCGGAGATGTCCCGATGGCGTTTCTCAACATTCCTTGTGTGCATTCGAGAACGAGCTAACTACGGAGTAGTTAATTGACTAACGTAAGTGGCTCGACGAACATTGACTAGCATGATGTTGGTTGTTAGCTGGCATTCAGGGATCCCCAGAAACACTTCCATCGAGGGAGAAGACTATGTAGACGGCCTAAAGGCAAGCGAGTCAACGCATGGCATCATCCTGACAGAGCGAAATGAATAACAAAATAAAATAATAAAATAAAATTAAAAAAAAAAAAAAAAAAAAAAAAAAAAAAAAAAAAAAAACCAAACCTGATGTCGTGACGGCCATGTGGTGGGTGAAGTTTTTCTGTTTGCTGGATCCACCGGAAAAGCAAAGCTATCAAAAAAATCAGCCCCTATTTGCTTCTCCCTTGCCTATTCCAGAACCAGCCCCGGTTTCATAGAAGGGATACCCCGTCATAGTTCCTGGATGGAGACAGCGAGGAGGGTAATTTAAGACGAGAAACGGGCACATATCCTCCGCGTGCTCTCCATTTGGTAATAACTAGTCGTTCCTCTCTGTTGTTGTATATTTGGAACCATCGAGCAGGACGGGGTCGTAAGAAAGATAGTTGCATATCTTCCACACAGATCTGGGGTTGCTTTCGAGCCGCTCTAACTTAACAGCCGAAGACCGATTCATGAAATCCGGGGGAAGTTGGAGAAAGGCAAGATGCGGCCAACTAGGCGGAGATAGAGTCCTGTCTCCCTTCAATTGACGGTTGCCGTTGAAATATCCGACTCTGCATGGAATGCCTCTCGTGGGGTCGAGAGGATGGCCCTTTTCTGAATCGGTACTAGCTAGCCAAAACGGTGGGAGATTCCAGCATCCACCACTGTGTCAGTATTTGCAGACGAGCTAGCTGTCTCTGAAGCTGCAGATGATCTTCGAAGCTTGATTGACTCTGGCCCAACACTGCTCAATGATCTATCCCTCTTTCTGACATTCAATCTCTGTGAAAGCAGCGGGTGTCGCGAATGTGGCCCCGAGGGCAGATCATCGTGGCTGAAATTGTCATGTCTCTGCCTCATTCAGAAGCAGAGTAAGATAGGTAATGGTCTAGGGCAATAATGACCTGCTCTCGAACTGCCGAGATTTCCTGCCATAGTGGATTGAGCAGAATGACCTTGTCCTTTTCCACATAAACGATCCATGGAGTAGGTAGTAAGTATCACTTTCATTGCAGTCATCAAAATTCTCTCTCCTAACGCCATACCAAATAGCCACCAAATACGCGTTTAAGTATTTATTATAAACAAACAATGATGGGAAACCAATACCCAGAACCAATTCCGTGCTTCCAACTAAAAAGAGCGGATCGGGACGATCATACGAACGCCGGGTCCGTGAAAGAATCCCTATCCCTTGTCCCATCATACCGAAGATAAAACCGAATAATGCACCGCTCCCGCTCCAAAAATTACCTCACCCACGGCTAGAAAGTATGGGAAATGCCCAGGGATATCATGAATCACGCATACGCGTTTGTCGCTTTGCCGTGCCTACGTGGGTATTTTGGACCTTTGCAGCAAACTTCAAGCTAGTCAGAGTCTCACTGAGGTGATCCTGCTGCGGACTCACCATGACAAACATGAGTGTTTTGGAGTTGCCTCCCAGGGAGAATTGGAGAAGGTAGGTGAGCTATTATCCAAAATATTAGCATCAGGTCAGGCCATCGCAATGTGGAAAGGATCGTGGCCAAAGTTGCATACCTTGCTATTTCTATACGGAATATGAGTGCCCTCCTTGCCCTGTCCCAAAGCACTGATGACGTCTCCAAGACAACTGAGGCTTTTATTAATATTCTGGGTCTCCTTGAGTCTCTCTCCGGTACTGCCACTGTGGCTAAGACGTTCACTTCCCGCAAGATCGACCAGGTTTAGAGTTCCTTCACTGTGCTCTCCCGTTATCGAGTTGTCACCCACAAGCCGGAGGATGAAGACGGAGTGAGAGCGAGACGAGCGCTCATTAGCTTTGGTGGCAGCAACAGACCGGTTTGCCCAGGCTCTCTGAAGGATAGATTCCACTTTCTCAGGCGAGTCAAGGCAGACTGTGTTGACATTGGTAACGGTGGTCTGGCATTTTTGGAGATCATGCCTAATTTCGTGTTTCTTCTTATCAAATTCTTCAGCCCTCCCCAGAAGATCATTGATATTTTCGTTATATACTTCCACAAAGCTTCCCTCCATTGTGTACGTCCAGCCCTTGTCTTCGAGGCCACTGGCAGTGTCGTAAATCTGGCGAACCGCACGGGGTATCATACCATCTTCCGAGGACATTGTGTGCGTTTTACCGCTTCCTGTTTGACCATAACAGAATATGCACACATTATAACCATCCAAGGCGCTTTGAACAAGTTGGCTGATTTCCTCAAACACCTCTGCATTCTGTGATCTTGGTCCAAAGACATGATCGTACGCAAAGAAATGATTCTTGGCACTTACTAGGCCTAGACTTGATTTTTCTTCCGGCCCTTGAACCATGATCTCTCTGCAATCGAGATCTTCATCAGGAAAAGATATCTTGGCAATGTTTTCACTCGAATCGTTGGAGAGCACTGGCCGGACTCGACAAAATACCCTGATATTTCCTTTTAGTTCCTGAATTTGATTATGCAGTCTCCTTCGAAGAGTTTCCTCCTTGCGTAGCTGTGCCTTTGTGGCAGTAGTCTCCTCTAGTGCCTCACGAAGTTCTTTATCCAGCTTTGCAAATGCATCCGATTGCTCCTTACTCCCGGATTCTAGAAACTCGATTTTTGCTTTTAGTGCGCGGATGGACGACTCCAGGGTAGCAGTGTTGTTAGAATTTACAATAGAATTTTGTTGTAATTCCTTGTTAAGTGCATGCTCCCGTTCAAGATCATCATGCAACCTCTGCCGCTGAGCTAGTAGGTCCTGTATTTCTCGGTCTTTGTTGCTTAGATCAAGCTTGTCGCGCTGTTTTTCCAGGAACGACTGAGCAGCGAGTTGTTCGAGTTCCTGTGCTCTCAGTTGCCGCTCTATAGCTATTTCGGCTTCGAATCTGCGTCTTGTCTCGGCAAGCTCTGCTCTATGCTGTTGCCTGAGTGCGACAACCTCCGCCTGGGCATCCTGCCGTATAACCTCGGACTGGTTTCGGTGCTGGGTTGCAAGCTCACTAAGGGCGATTTCTTGCTCACGCGACAGCTCTTTTAACCTTGATTCAGCATTCGCTAATGAATTTTTCGTAGTCTCGAGTTCCACACGTAGGTCCGCATTTTGGTGTAAGAGCTTTGTTTGATTCTCCTCTAGCATCTGGGCTATTTTTCATTATCAACGAGGTCAGCCATGAAGCGTAGAGTGTACAGTTAACATAAGGTGTTGGGCCTACTGCGTGATTTGTATAGGTCGGTGGTTTCTGTCATGGCAGCGGTTTGCTTGACCATCTCTTCGACCATTTTTCGGACGTGGGTCATGTTATCTGAAATTCTTTGCTCCTTTTCATCTTGATCCCAAGCTTGGACTTCAGTGTCTATAGTTAGAAAACGTTTCGCTCTTCTAGGGGAGCGTTGCTTGCGAGTCTTTTTTAGTATAAAAGGGGAAGGGGGAAGGGAGGAATGAGTATATGATGACAGCAGGGGGCGGATTGGCGTAGGAATTTTGGATGGTGTAGTGAGCTGGAGTTGTGTTCTCGGCTTCATAGTGTCGATGGAACGCTTGTGGCTAAGGGATAGTAACTGCATAGCGGTGCATAGTGATGGGTTGCGAGAGGGATGCAGAACTGGCGATGATCTCAATTGATTGGAAACACAATCAACTTGGGAACCATAGCTCTTGGATGAAATAGATATATCAGGGAGTTTGGGTTTCAGTGAAGGGGAGGGATGAGCTGAAGGGGTAGATGACTTGATGGATGAGGGCTGACGCGCACCATTTCGGCTTGAGCCAGCATCCCGGCCATCCATAGAAGTTGCGGGTCGCGGGATTGATCCTTTCTCCGAGGTGAGATGACCTATCGACGTCTGCGGACGAGGGATGTTCCGTGTGCCTGGCGGAGGCTTGAGTCTCGAGCTGTTTGTGGGTGCGCGGGAGGCACTCGTCTTGGATACACCCAGGCTCTTGGGCAGTGCGGTTTTCGTAGATCCAGTAAAGGACCTGGTCCCTAAATTTTCTTTTTTCCTCGGCTCCCCTGCGCGTTCGCTCAGCGTTTTCCTTTCTAGATATCGTGGGGTGGAAGAATTAGCGACGTCATCCAGTACAGATAAGAGCTGGGTATCAATTGCGTACTTTTATCACTGCCGGCGCCCGAAGCAGCCGTTGCCCGGCCTCCCGCATTATTCACAGCATGCGTAATATCTTTCAGGCTTTCCGGCTGGGCGTATGAGAACTTCGGGCGTGGGATGTTTGAGACGCTCGAGGCAAGCTAGATTCCCATGGTTAGCAACCCAACCGACTGGGCGTGAGGCAACGGGGGACGGGCAGCATTTTGACAACTCACTCGGCCCTGCGTGTCGTCTTCATCCATTTTCACCGTGTTAGTCTCCGCGCGCTCTCTGTCTATAGCGGCCGTGGTTCGTGGTATCAGCTTGTCTGTCGACCGTCGAGCTGCGAGATAACATCACAGATTTCCTAAAGCGGATCGAAAGTAAACAAAAAAGACTTGCTTATGTCATATATCACGTGATCTTATCTTGATGACATAAGAATGTGCTGACTAATGCGGAGAGTTCGAGATCGCAACAACAAACAACAACTGAAAATAACGAAGGCTTTCCGGCCAGGATTATGAGGATACAGGACGGCATTTGACGGTATACAGTGCAAAGCCTTACCCAAGTGACAGGGCTATATCGTATTTGGCTGCTGTGGTGGGCTCGAGGCACCGGTCAGTTGTGTGCATTGACACTATAACTAGCGTCGTCATTTAACTAAGCCCCCAAGCTAGTTAGAACTGTTAATCTCCGTGCCGTTGAAGAAGACGTCTCAGCCTGCGAAACACCTACATACACCTACATACCTCTCCCTTTCTTGCGCCAGCAGTATAAGCCGCTTGCTATAAGGCATTGGCAGCTTGAGCCATTGGACCAGAACACAGATTTCCATCGCCATGGCCGGTCGTTTTGTCCGTTCGTCGAAGTACCGTATGTCTCTCACCCCCCTCGTTTGGCTATCTATCGTGTGCTTCCTCCACCCTCCATGTATAGTGACTGACACAACCGCTTCTTTGCAATAGGACACATCTTCGGCCGTTCCACACGAAAGGTACTTCCATAGACGTCAAAAAGACTGCCCGATAATCTGACTTCCCGAGTTTCGTTCGCCCTGTACTCATTCCAGCTGGGCGTACTAGGACCAATGCTACGACAGCCTCCGGGTCTCAACTAATGCATGGGATACCAACCTGCTAAAGGTCAGTGATATCTGCTATGTAGCTGAATAAAAGGTTCCCGGGGCGAAATGGACGGCTGATAGTGTCGTAGGTCAACCCAGAATTCATCTCCGTTAACTGGGAGACTGCAGGCGGTGGAGCTTTCGCAGTCATTCCTCTCCACGAAAAGGGCCGACTTCCAGAACGTATTCCACTCTTCCGTGGTCACACATCAGTAGTTCTCGACACAGACTGGTTAGTAATACTCACAATGGCAGCGAGAAACGAGAACTTATTAACCATGCCACAGGAACCCATTTAATGATTCCCTAATTGCTTCTGGAGCTGATGATGGAAAGGCAAGTGATAAGTATTTGCTTTGTTAGCAGATTTCTAGCACTATGTCTTACATTATAATCTTGTAGGTATTTCTTTGGAGAGTGCCTGAGGGATTTACTCTGCACACAGATGCAGAAGAGATTCAGGACGTTGCTCCAGTCGGCAGACTTCCAGGTCATCCTAAGTAAGCATGCCCTTTTTAGTTCACTCTCTGGTATCCAAACTAACCCGAATACTAGGAAAGTTGGCCATGTTCTATTCAACCCTGCCGCCGAGAACGTCCTTGCCTCTTCATCCGGAGACTTCACCATAAAGATTTGGGACATCGAAGCTGGTGCATCTAAACTCACCCTTAATATCAATGAAGTAATACAGTCCATGTCTTGGAGTGCAAATGGCTCCTTATTAGTCACGACTTCCCGTGATAAGAAACTGCGCATTTGGGATGTTCGACAAGAGAAGCCAGTACATGAAGGAGCTGGCCATCCTGGTGCTAAGAACAGTCGAGCTGTATGGATGGGAGAGCACGACCGCATTGCAACAACCGGGTTTTCCAGGATGAGTGACAGACAAATGGCGCTGTGGGATGTTCGTGCTGCTAGGGAGCCTATCAACGGCTTTCAAGTACTAGATTCCATTTCCGGTGTCTGCATGCCATTCTGGGACCAAGGCACCCAGTGTCTATACCTTGCAGGAAAGGGGTATGCCTACGCTCACACACGCCTTCTTCACGACTTATCACTAACCAACGTCTGCTAGAGATGGAAACATTCGATACTTCGAGTACCAAAACGACAAGTTTGAATATTTAGCCGAGTATAAATCTGGTGATCCCCAGCGAGGGGTTGCATTTATGCCAAAACGAGGCGTCAACATGCACGAAAACGAGGTCGTAAGAGCCTACAAAACGGTTAACGATGCATACATTGAGCCAATTTCATTCATTGTTCCCCGCCGTGCAGAGGTGTTCCAAGATGACATCTACCCCCCCACTACCGGTATTAGTCCTGCTATGTCTTCTAGCGAATGGTTTTCAGGCAAAGAAGCACTCCCTCCTAAGATCGACATGGCTAGACTATACGAAGGAGGAGTCATGACTGAACTCCCTGCAGATGCAACGACTTCTACAATTCAGGCCGAAGTGAAGGCACCTGAGCCAGTTAAGCAGGCAGAGCCAGCTCCAAAACCAGCGCCAGAGCCCACCCCTGCACCAACTGCGGCTGAAATTCCCCCTCGCGCCGGTATGAAAGAGCAAGGCGCCTCCATGGCCGCGGCCGCATCAAAATATATGGATAAAGATGAGGATGAGAAAGAGACGGGTGGCAGCTCGAGTTTTGATGCGCCTAAGTCCCAACCACAAGAGGTACCCTCCATCTCTGTCTCTCCAGTACAGGCTGAGGCATCTCAACCAGCCAAGCAGGAGCCAAAGGTGCGTCATCTCATTGAGGTGTGTGTATATACCATCTAGAGTTTCAACTGACAACCGCAGGAATCAAAGCCTACTCCATCAGCGGCAGCACCAAGCACCTCGGCACTGACTAGCAAAAATGCCGATTCTACAGCCTCAGAGCCGTTGTTAATGAAAGAGATTGAGGCCATTAAAGATGTGCTAACCGAACAAACTCGCACTATCACCTCTCAGGCCGAGGAGCTCAAAGCCCTCAAATCTGAAGTTGCCAATCTCAAGTCGAAACTCGGATAGGATAACATATGATCCCATGCCCCATTAACGGTCTACTTATTCATTGATGCATACATTGGATAAAAAGATAAACATTCCCACTGTCTTGTTATTTAGCTCTTGCGAACCTGTTCATATAAATACAATCCAGCATTTTTATCATGCCTACCACATACATATATATTGCCCTTAAAAATGTGAGCTTGGTCCGTTTTCCTATATGTGCCTTCATCTACAGCTCTAGGCTCCCTCCGGTATTTCGCGTTTAGCGGATGGACCCGAAAAGAGGCATAGAAGTTGTTTCAAGTTGCCAGAATGATAGATATGACTGTGCTATTGGTATAACTGATACAGGGTGTTTCCTTGGGCTTTCCGGCCAAGAGGCTTTAGGAAGCTATATATCTAGGCATTGCTCTTGAGGGAGGCACAGCGACTATGAATATTAGTGTGTGATACAAAACGTTATATAGTTGCAGTCTATTTATAGTTTTAAGCCTCAAAGGCGACGCCAACAGTGACTTGACCCCTTGGTTCATTGACTGCATAGCTGTTGATATTGCAAGCACTCCGTAAATATGAATTCCACAGCGGGTAGAGCCGCCATATTAACTAGGAGACTAGATACAGGTAGCCTCTACTTATGACCACAGATCCAACATAGTTTTCCAGTTCTCCTTTCGACTCCACGGATAATCAGCATACAGGACGGAGTTAGTGCGGGCCAGAACGGAGTCATCAAATGTATAACTGTCTATCTGGTTCAAGTCCATCGAACAGATTCACGCTCCCGTTCATGGTCACCCAGTTCATCTTCGTATTTGTAACTCAGTTTCCTGCCCAGTATGTTGCGATCAAGCTTGGAATTGCCGTCACGACGACGGCCGCTTCCCTTGCCATCACGGTCTGCATTGACGGCTTCTCGTCGCTGCTGTTCCTTCAGCAAACGTTCTCTGTTCCGAGCCTCTCGTTCAAGGGTGTGCGGATCTTTTTCAACATCAGCTCCTTTCCTCGAAGAATGGCCTCCTGATCGAGACTGATCTGTAGCTTTGGTTTCCTGGGTTTTACCAGCCTGCTCATTGTTGTCTTCGTGTCGAGGCCGTCTTGAGCGGCGGTCATTGGATTCATCTTCATCACGAGTCTCTGAGTAATCTCGACGAGACCTCTTACGGTCTCGTCGATCTCTATCTCTGTCCCTTTCTCGCTCCCTGTCCCTGTCCCGATCACGGTCTCTATCACGTTCCCGCTCCCGCTCCCGCTCCCGTTCTCGTTCACGATGGCGGTCACGGCCCTTATCTCTCTGTCTGTGGCGATCCTCCCCTACAGCATCAACATCTTCACGAGACCTACGCTTATCCCGCCGACTTGACGAGCCTCCCTTTATAGACAGGCCAGGATCACTTTTATCAGAGGCATCAACGGCCCTACCATCTCGTCTGCCTGGGCTGCGACTACGCCGTCGACGAGAGCGCTTGGAAGAGCTGTCATCACGATCTCGGTCTCTCTCACGGTCACGTCTACGGTAAGAGGACGATTTAGTGTCCGTAGGAGAAAGAGAACGGGGTCTAGACGTTGGACGCTTATCGTCATTAGCATCGGTTTCCCTATCATTGTCATCCCGGCGAGCACGCTTATTGCGCCGCTCCCGTTTTCTCTCGTCTTCACTTTGCGTAGGTCCGGCCGAAGGGCTGCGGTAGCGCCGCTGACGAGACCTATGACCTGAAGGTGACTTAGATCTTGACCTTGATCTGGACCTAGACTTAGACCTAGCTCTAGAGGCAGGTACATCCTGCTCAGCATCACGCTTTACCGGGGATGAACTAGAGGTAAACATCTGTTAGTGAAACCTAATAACGTAAAGATGTATGCAATGGAGACAACGCGCATACCTTCGAGATTCCTTGATAGATGGCTGGCTTATCGACACCGTTCGGCTGTGACTTTGAGCAAAGTTCCTCATGTTACGAGTACTTGTATTGGGTAGGCCTTCCCTCATCGCCCTTGGCGCAGCTGGAGCTCCCGCAACTCCGGGACCAGGAGTGAGGCCTGTTGCCCGTACGCCACCCATGGCCATGGGACTACTGTTCAAAGCCATTGGGCCACTTGGTATCCCATTAGGCATTCCATTCATATATGGTGTAGACTGGAAGCCGGGGGGATTCCCATGATATCTGCCCCCTCCGCCAAAGCCCGGGGTGCTAGAGTAACTAGGAATGGGGTTTGTATGTGCAGCGACGGTGGGCGACGAGGTATCGCCAGTCCCGTTGGCTGTAGGCGTTGCTGTAGTATTGACTGTAGTATTGGTAGATTGTTCCGTTGATTGGTTTGTAGCTTGATCAGGCGTTGAGCTTGCAGCGGTATCCGCTGCTTCACCGTCAGCAGGCTGTTTCTGTGCTGGAGCTGCACTTGGCTCTTCCTTGGGCTGATGCTCTTTCATCTCCTCCTCGCCCCCCGGGTTGAATTCGTCGTTCATCTGGCCCGAAGCACCATTGAAGAGTTGTTGCTGTTGCTGCTGCTGGAACTGTGGCTGGTTATGGCGCTGGAAGCTGCCCATGTTAGGGGATAGATGGTTACCTTGAAAGCCGTTAGCAGCCTGATAGCCACGGCCACGTCCAGTAGGGCCGAATCCTCGCCCTCCTCGCCCGGCAACAGGGCCAGCACCACGGCCGTAGGGACCATATGAGTTTTGAAAATCATTGCTAGGAAACTTCTGTTGCTGATGCAGGTGAGGAAATTTTTGGTGAGGCTGTGACTGTGACTGTATCATATTATATCCACCAACTCCAGGAGCAGGGCCAAAGTCGGCACCCATGCGATTAGGAAATGCAATTCCATTGAAGTTATCTGGACCACCATTCCACATGTTGTTCTGACCATCCCATGATCCATACATTCCTTGCCCAGCACCGGAATTCATCATCATGCCCATGTTATTGTTCATCCCATTCATATTCATCCCGTAGCCAGTAAACATTCCTTGAGCCGCGGTCATCAGATCCATGCCCATACCAAACATACCGGGAGCACCTGTATAACGTTAGTAATCCGTATTCTGCCAGTACATCACAGGGGAAGAAAGCGGAAAAAACCTTACCCATCTGATTCTGGGGCATCATCATCCCGTTTGCCATGAATGGCATTCCCTGGTTAAAGTCTGCGGTTCCGTTCCAGCCCATTTGGCCGAATCCATTGGGATATCCTCCTTCTGGGAGATTTGCATTGTCCGAGGGTGCGAGAGTACCGCCTTCCACGCCAGCTGTGGAAGCCGTAGGAGCGGTTTCCGGTTCGGTGGTAGCAGTTTCGGTTGCATGTGTCTCGCTCGCCGCCTTCAGGTTGGCATCCTTGGGGAAATTGTTAATATTCGAGTAGCGTAGATAAAACAGATGTCCAAATCTTACCTTGTCGTTGTTTGTGTCATTTTCGGTCTGTGACTCCGCGTTCTCGCCACCAGTGGGCTGTTGGCCGGTATTCACAGCATCCTGCCCATTGAGTGCTGAGGTGATAGGACTGGCGGATATAGGGTCAGCAGTATCGGTTTTGATACCGTCAGTGGCCTGAGCCTGAGCCTGAGCCTGTTCCGGTTCAGCGGGAATGGGAACAGGTTCTGCCTCAGCAGGGGCCGAGACCGCCGGAGCTGGCGGGGTAGGTTCTTTCACAGGCTTGTTCTTCTCGCGTTTTTTTTCTTCGGTGCGTAGAAATGCTTTGAGTGTAGTGCGCAGAGCCTTGTTTGGCTTGCAGAGCTCGGCGTCAAGCGGGCTGTGATCACACACGGGACAGCTAGAAGGAAGGGATGCTTGGCCTAGTCATATCAAGCCCAGTCAGCTAAGATCAGGTATATTTATTTTCCATTAGATTTCTGAACGTACAGCCTTCGCATATTGCTTGGTCACAGCATGGCAATCTAAAAGCGTTCCACGCGAGCTTGCTGCAGATGGCGCACCGCAGTTTGAACGGAATCTCGTCTTGGGAGAGCGAGCTAGATAATTGTTAATACCGCCGTATACCATACTATACTGCTTGAGAGCCGTACCTAGCAATGTGATCGAGGCCCGCCATGACTGGGGGGCTGGTTCGCGGTCTTGGTGGGTAAGAATTGTGTAGTGGTAGCAGGCGGCTATGAGTCGCGAGGGCGTGGTATAAATGTATTCACGAATTAGACAAAGTGACAGACATGATGCAAGTCCATGTTTTCACCAGCTCTCGCCTGTCTGTTTACAATGAATTATTTATTATATCTTCTTCTCTTCGGCTTTTCTTCGTCCTCGTCTTTGTCTTTTTCATGAAGTTTCGCTTTTTTTGGAGGTGACGTCGGCCCTCGGTAAAATCTTGTTCCACTATGTACACGTGACTATGAATTTCTCCAGCCGTCGAGTTGATTTCATGAATGGACAGGAGTAAAAGGGACAGAAGAAGAGCAGAAGTAGATAGGATATGAAGAAGAGTTAGTTTCAAGATGTGATTAGATGCTATCTAGGGGTTTGGTTGCAGCCATTCGTTATGTTGAATTCACCATCTGTTTAGGACACACGGTCTGAGGAATATACTCATTATCTCCAACAGACTCTATTTGACAGCTCTGGCCAGCCCTGTACTTCCCATCTGCATCACTAATAACCCTATTCCTCTGCTCTTTGGCCCAGTCCCTGGCATTGCGATACGCAGTCAGACCTTGTCGAAAGCTCTCTGCATTTCCAATCATGCTCCAGGCGTTAAGCTGGGTCATAACGTACTCTAGTTCATTGTCCTTGGGGCGCCAATTTCCTTCTCCCGGAATAACTGGATGCACAGTGCACAACCTAAGATGGCCACCGTGATACGTTGCTGTAATAGTGTAAGCCTTATTATCGCATATATTATCTTTCCGGTTATCATGTATGTAAGAACGGAGTTTGTGTATTCCTCGAGCTCCCAGGACACCATGGTAGCAGGCCTGGCGTGACATAACAGCAAAAGATCTATCAGCCTTCCTAGCCTGTAGAAAGAAATTGGGAACCATGAGGCTGCTCTCCTCCGACGGGAGAATAAAATCACTGAGCTCCTCGCGGAGCTGAGGACGAAGCTGTTCCAGACAAGCACCGAAGTAACAATCCGGCTTTGCAGTCGCTTGTATGTCATCAGCGAGGGGAGCGAGTCCATCAAACTGGAGACCGTATTCCATGCACCGGTAGTCCGGGGTACGGCCCTCGATATCATGTAGGACATCGTTCATTGACGATATGCGGGAGGCAGCATCTCTATATTTGAACCGTCGAAACTCGTTATCTATACATCTTGAAGGTGAAAGAGAAGCGCGTCGCTGGGAGAGTCTCTCGTTTATTTCGTCCAGGTTATCCGGTCTGGCCGTTCGCCCAGCGTATATGTGTTCGTCCGGGTAGATGCCATGCTCGATCAAGGTCTGCTCAAAGTTCCCATCGTATATGCTGCTAGTTGCTCTTGTAATGCTGCTGTCATCGCTATCATGGTCTTGAGAGCGTCTCTCGAGATCTGGATCTGCCCTGCTAGGGTCTGGGAACTGTTTTAGCACAGCAAGTCAGCGTCAAATCATGGGCAACCAACTTCACTTCCCGCGGTGTTTATGGGACCTACATACGTTCCTCAGGTCAGACAGGTCAGGCCCGCCCTGCTGTGAGAGCTCCTTAATCTTGAGAAGTTTAGTGGGCGAGCAGCGGTCTGCAAGGTCGCCAGGGGTTGTGCCTAGCGACTGCTGACTGGCTGCTGAAGGCCCTTCGCTGTGGCGTGAGATGGCTCTGTTACGCCTATCGAGCTCCTCGAGGGCATCGTCTGTCAGCCAGATCTTCGACAGATTGTCCCAGTACTGTGGAGAAGGCCTGAACCGCGCCCTTTTGTGCGGTCTCTCTTGCATCTCGCCAGATAGCTGGTGTTGTTGACACTTGGCGGTTGTTGTTAGTTGAAGAGATGATTCCAAGGTTACCAGTAACACAGCCGACAGTCACTTTATATTTCTCTACTATTATATCAACCGTCAAAGGAACCTATCTCTCAAAGAAACACCGTGTTTTTGAACATGCATGCTAGATACACAGCCATCGAGGCAATCACATCAAGGCCAAAGGAAAAGGAGGTCATTCAGATTAGATCAAGTCAACCCTTGTTAAGGGTGTCAGCGACGCGGAAGCTGTCGCCTTGACGCCGGCGATGCCTTTTAACGGCTTCATCCTGGGCCAGGGACACACGTCTCGAGCTCGGAGTTATCATCATCGACCGTGATGTTGGGATAGTGTACGGAGTAGGGTAGTGGTGATGGCTTAATACGCGGAAGAGCGCAGGATGTGTATAGGAAAAAGGAGAGCCAGCTGTCCTAGCATATGTATACTATCGCCTAGTATACCATTTGTACCCTCCTCCATTCCATAATCATCGTCGCCATCACCATCATCATCTTCTTCTTATTCATCCTCTTCTTCATTTAATATCGTCGTCGTCGTCGTCGTCGCCGCGTCGATATCAAAACTTCGTGTGTTTTCCTTCCTTTGTCGAGAAAATAAAAATTGAAAAAAAAAAAAAAAAACCCCCCGAAAGAAGCCTAGACCATCACGTGATGAGGGGCTCTTCCGCCTTTTGGGTGCATAAAAGGGAAGGAACGACCCCGCGGGAAAGTTCGAACGAGGAAGAAAGGAAAAAGAGGAAAGAGCAAGGCTTAAACACACGCACTCCTTATTGACTCCGTTAAATCCACGCGTTTTGTTCGCTTTCCCACCACCCCTTGCGCTAGTCCTGTCCTGGCTTAGCGTGACGTAGGAGCTTGGGCCATCGTGAAGTGAAAATAAAAAAGAAGAAAAAGAAAAAGAACTTTTTGTCGACATCGAACAAAAGGTCGAAACGCGGCGACAAAGCGGCGACGAGACACGAACAGGCCCGAGTCCCTGGCCACCGAGAACGAGAGGACAGTGGCTCGGTAAGGGCCAAGTGAAGACGCGAGTTGGGCTTGACCAGGGAAGACGGATAGACTACACTCACGCTCGCCCGGGCTGGACCGGTTCTCAGGTATGGCTCTGCGACATATACATCCACGTGTAGTTATCTACATCATGCCTATCTTATATATACGCACGCCTGCACATATACCCCGTCGCTATATCTATACTATATATAGTTGTATAAGTATCGCTAACCAGCCCTAGAATGACAGACCAAGACAACTCGTACAGACCGCGCTCGCCTGATTTTTCGGGTTTCGCCGGCAGCGTGCCCCCGTTCCACGACTACGGCCATCACTCCTCCTACGCCGCAGCCTTCGCGACTCCAATCTCACCACAAGCCTCCTACGACGCTTCTCCTTTCTTCAGCCCACAACCTCACCACCAGCTGCAGACCCCATACCAGCAGTACCCCCCACAGTATCAGCTGCAACACCAGCACGAACACGAGCACCAGCACCAGCACCAGCACCAGCACCCCCACCATCAACCACATCCACACTCACACCAGCAGCCGTACATACCCCAACTCTACTCCCCGACGGACGATATGGCTCCCACTACCCGGTCTAGGGCCCAGGCCATGCAGCAGCCGCAGCACATGCTCGAACAGCAGCAGCAGCAGCAGCAGCAACAACAACAGTACCATCACGCTCAGAGCCTCCAGCACCAACAGCACCAGCTTCAGCAGCTCCAGCAGCAACCGCTCCAGCCACTGCCACCGCCTCCACCGCCACCACAGCAACTGAACGCGGTAGAGCAGCCGCCTATGGAACCACCCGAGCCAGAGCAGCCGAAGGAGAAGAGCTTAGGCCCCTCTTGCGGTATAGAAGTCAAGACCAAGTTCCCCGTTGCTCGGATAAAGCGTATCATGCAGGCAGACGAGGATGTCGGCAAGGTCGCCCAGGTCACTCCCATCGCCGTCTGTAAGTGGCTCCTCCGCACTTGCACAAACTTAACTAAACACGCATGCTAACGCTAAAAACAGCCAAAGCATTGGAACTGTTCATGATATCCCTAGTCACAAAGGGCGCACAGGTGGCTAGAGACCGTTCATCCAAGCGTATCACTGCCAACCACCTCAAGGAAGCCATTGGCAAGGACGAAGTTCTTGACTTCCTCGCAGACATCATCTCCAAGGTCCCTGACGCCCCCGTGGGCAAGAAACACGACGAGGACGGCAGTGACGGGAACGACAAGCCCAAGAAAAAGGGCAGCCGGCGGAAGAGAGAAGACATGGATGACGACTAGTCTCGATGTCTTCGTCGTTTCTTCCCCTCTCTCCTCTTGTTTCTACACTGGCTTGGTTACATATATCATTTATTTACTCGGGTTTGGGAGCGCAGACTGTGGTTGGCGTTGGCGGTGGTTTGAAGCATGCATCCTTTTTCTTTCTATATCCTCGTCCTATATATCTTCTGCTCTCCATGAACTCTCTATCTCCTGGCTTTATCCCTCGCATCAGCCATGCTTCATAATGACTTAATGCGTACGGTGACGGGTTAGAGAACAAGTTTGTCAGCCTAGAATTTGTTTCAATGGATCTCTATGACTCGACGTTTACTACCCATGGCGCCATTTCTGCTCTTTCCTCTGTCATTCCATGTATAGTTTTCATTAAAAGCTTCGTCAGTTTTCAGCACAGAACATAGGACTGAGGCAGCTGCCCCTGTACAAACGCCTCTAGGCTGAGTCCCATGAAATCTCCAACATCCGGAAAGTGGCCCTCGAAATCCGTCTCGCAATGGCACATATTCGAGCTTGGCTTCTCATACTTGCACACAAAACCTGACAGGAACTTGCAGCCTCTAACGTGTTCCGAGCAGGCCACTACACGTGGTGACTAAGCAGAAGATCTTCGCTTGATTTGGTCTCACTTTCTCCCTTTTATCTCCACACAAACACACAAGCGCTTCTCCCCATTTGTCCGTTCGACAGCCATGTTGAGGTCCTAGGCCAATACGAGCGCAGAGTTACAAAAACAAGCAAAGCAGGCATGGATTCGAGCATGAACGCTGAGGAGAGGCTCAGCAAGGTCCGTGAAGGGTTCCCTTGCACTTTCGGAGGCTTCTTCAAAGACGAACGCGGGTCCACAAAACGCATGGCTTCTTTTGTGACGAATTCTCCCCCAGACATCCAGCGAAACGCACGAATTCTTGCAGTCTGCGGCATCAGCGATGGATTTGATAACTTAGCCAGCCCAAAGAAAGATGGGTGGTTCTACTCAGATTTTTTTGCATTTCATACGCTTCTTCATGGACAGGGCGCGTCACAGAAATGGTGTTGTAGCGACCAGCCATCTGCGCTACTTCAGAAATATGGACCGTATCTTCACGGAAACCCCTATACACAACGCCGCGTGGTTCTAAATCAGTATCTTCTCGAAACAGAGCTCGATGACGTATGTGTGATACCTTCGCCTAGTCTCTTGTCGGGTTTCCTTGATATCCTACGGGAAGAATCTGCTTCAGCCCTACAGTTAAAACAGCCACTCATCCTCTTCATCTTTGCCCATGGCGACGAAACAACCAAGTCCGTTACTATTGGAGGTGAAGCTAGTAGTGATGAAGATATGTCGTACTCCAACGAGTCCGAATACGACATGAGCATATCAACAGTTGCCAGTATCGTTGATCCCAGCGTCGACCTAACCATAATTTCAACGGCTTGTTTCTCGGGTGGTTGGGCAGTTACATCGATACTCGACGCAACTGTGTTATCAGCTGCTGGAGTAAATCGACCTAGCGAATCCTGGGCGAAGAGTTCTTCACTCTCTCGGGCCTGTGGAAACATCTATGCCTCAGCTTTAATCAAAGCGCTCGCAATGGAAACCTCGGATGAACAACAGCTCGCTTCACAGCCAATCCCCCACGATATTACTACTTCTTCTGCCCAGGACGAGACTTCCACTCCAGATATGCAAGCAAAGACGTTTTCTGAGTTTGCTCGGACAGTGCATAAACTTCTACTGACTGGAATTGATAGATTTGGGCATCACCATGACATTCGGTTCAGTGCGCAAAATGACGACTGGGAAAGCCATTGGCGCAAGAGAACAGGATTTCCTCTAGCTGATTTCCAGTCGAAATGGGACAGTTTGGAAATGGTTGAGGCACGCCCAACAACAATTTTGAATCGAGACCCCCTTGCTGAAGATACAGAAATAGACAATGCCACACTAGTGGACATTAGAGGCCAATATGGCTCTTCATCATCGTATATGACAGGACTCCGCCGACTCGCCAGAAAATACCTGCAAAGTTTCCCTGGCCGGGATTCTCTTGCTCCCAACTCCAGCCTACATCAACAGTGCGCTGATCTACTAAGAAGAAAAGAGTTTAGCAAGGGCGCACTGAGCCGGATTGAGTCCGCCCTACAATACCGTATGGGTATAAGTTTTTTAGCGAACCAGCTTGTTGTTGGCTTCTCCTTGCCCCTTCCGCACGGCGTATTTTGCGAGGAATGGGACGAAGATACTATATTTACCTATAATTCACAAGAAAGGAGCAGACTTTTCCAGAGGTTACTCTCACTATTTCCATCACCAACCCGCAATCAAGGAGTTAAGGGCTGGGTCAAAGGGTACTGGTATATAGTCGCCGCACTAATCGAAGCTGACCTTTCGCCATCCCAAATGGATCATAAAATTCAGCAACTCTTTGAAGGTATGTTACAGAGCTTTAAACCCGTTCAACTTATGTTGCTAACCGTCGCTAGCTGTTGGAGAAATACAGCAGGCGCAAGAGGATTCGCTGCGTCGACATCCTCAAGTCCAATCAAAACGAAGGCGTTTGCTCAGTTCATGTGGAGGGATTCCACGCCGACCATCGCCGTCAAAGAGAGGAGAGAGGTCGATGAGCCCACAACGTCCTAAATCAAATAACCAATGAACGACAAGCTGCCGACCTCGTAAGATGATAGCTTTGCCTGGGAGGACGATTTAGTTGCTTCGATCTCATCGGCTCAGGTCCCGTTACCATCACTTTCTCTCTGCTCCTTGAATATCGCTTACCCCTTCAAGCTCTGTTGCATGTAACAGTAGTTAGTTAGTACTAGGTAACTCCTTGAATAGACAGACGCCTTCTACTCTTCCGCATACAACATGTTCGATATGCTAGGGAGAATATTTCTAGACAGATATAAAGATCGTAGCAGAGTATTACAATAGCATAGATTGTTCCGTGGTCCGCATGCGTTATCTGTAGAGCGCCCGTTGTTTTTGTTGCTTCGCTGGCTCGCCTAACTAGGTAAACTAGTTATCGATAACTAACCAAGACGTCGGCCTCAGCGAGACGAAGATCTCGATGTCTCACCAACACACACGACTATGGAAGAGACAAAGCTCGGCCGCGCCCTTTGAAAGCGGACACGAAGACATGAAGAGCTGTCATGGACTTTGTAAGGATCCCTCCTCTGGCGGTTACCTGCCTCTGCTGACGAGTTTTCGATGCCAGTGGTCTCGACTGATAGGCGGCGCCGCCTCCGGCTCGTCCAAGGCCATGCGCAAGAACCCGACTGGAAAACGACTGGCAGCATTCAAGCACACATGCAATACCCTCTACGTACGTTTTGGTTGACCCGGGATGCTGAAATATGAGACGTTTGGGCGCTCGAGGTCGGTGGGATAACTGACTAACTGACCGTGGTTGGTAGCAAATATGGCGGAACTCGCCCTCGCTGTCCCCTGAATCGCCCTCGATCCCCTTGATTCGAAGCTCCCTGAACCGCCTCAATGACATCCTTCGGGACGAGTCTCGGGGCCCGTCGCCTCACCCATGCCACTCAGACGCCGCTACGTCTCAGGTATACTTGACCGTGACCAAGTTGGCGTTGGCCACGCACGATCCGGCCGTGGTCTCGGCTGCGGCGGTGCTGTTAAACACCCTGATCGAGTCTGAGGTTGATGGGATAGTGGACAGCACCGTCTTCGCGCGTGCCCTTGTCGACCTGGTCTCGCATGGTAATGCTTCCACCTGCATCGACCGACATGATCTTGAAGACGGAGAGTCGAAGCTGGTCGAGCTCGTGTTTGGCGTGGCCAACGTCATCCGTCTCCGGCCAGAGATACTGCCGGCCTGGTTCTCGCCTGAGGAGAAGAAAGATGGGTTCGACGAGCCGCAGAGGATAGATCCGTCGTTGAGAGCCGGTAAGGAGTTTGCGGGTGTGACCAGGAGAGACGACTTTCCGCTTTTTTACCTGTTGGTGGATTACGTGCACTACGAAGGGAGGACGGGGGACTTTGCCCGAACGGGGCTGCTATATATAATCGAGACTGCGTCCAAGGTTAAGGAGCTGGAGAGATGGCTTATCGAGAGTGATATGGCTACTTTGATGGCCATTGGGCTCGGGGCTTCCTACAGCCAACTCAGCCGGTGTGTAGATACCCTCTTCTACTAGCGTTTCTAGAAGAGCTAACGTGGTGGACAGGCTCCTGATATCAACCGACAGCCATGAAGATATCCCGGCTATCATTGCCCTGTCGGATCATACTGACCTAGATAACACCGTGCATCACTCGCACCAGGGCCAGCTTGACGCATTTCTCTCCTACCTTTTATTCTGGCAGGATGCCATTGACCATTGCAAGTCACCCGAAGTAACCGACACGCTTCTCGACCACTTCCAGGTCTTGTTCCTTGAGCAGCTTCTGTAAGTGTTTTTATCTACTTTAAACCCTCCCAGGAGTCTTAACTAACGGCTAAAGGTACCCCTCGCTGCTGGAATCATCCGACGTAGCAGGCGGCTCTACGTCGTCAGTAATCACCTACCTGAGCCGCATACTGGAGTCCATCTACCAGCCAGTCCTGGTCAACCGGATATTGAACTTCCTGCTCGCCTCTCCAGCCAGTGAGCAACAGCATATTGGGCTCAAATCCACAAAGAAAAGCCGTATGTCGCTGAGTCGGCGAAAGTCACTGGATATACTGGCCTCATTTGCCGAAGCAGCGGCCAAACCATCTCCGACTCTCTTCAACCTAGTCGATCTCATCCTCATGGGCATACGGTCACATAACCGGCAGACCGTGGTGGCAACGCTGCGACTGATAACAGTTGTGATACAGCACCACCACGAGTTTGCAAATCTACTGATCAAGTCCGCGAGAGACCAGGGTTCACATCCGACAGAGCTGCGTACGGTGGCTGCACTCAACGCAGAGGTGCAGCGATTGTTTACTTTTGCCACAAACCTCCTGGATGACCCAGGAATTGAACCTTCGTATGAGAACTACATCTCTTGCGCCTTGTCGGTGCTGTACCAGCGGATGCACAGCCAGAGTCATGTATTGCCGTGGCTAGTGGACACCAGGGGAGGAGTGTTTTCAGGGATGTTGGACCTGCTACGGAGGTTCTTTACGAACAGCGTGGTGACCAACCTGGCACTGACGAACTCCTTTTCTGCTCTGGCTTCTTCAGACCTGATATCCCTGGACGGCTGGCTGCTGCCTTACCCTGAAGAGCATGCTGCCAACGGACAGACGGAGGATTCTGCTGCCGCCGTTGCTGCCGCTACTGCTGCTACCACTGCTACCAATATCGAGACTGAGCCGGTGCTATCAGCTATCCTGCAGCAGCTCGTCCAACAGGTCGAGAATTGGCGCACCGATATCTCAGACTTTGATCTCCTGCTTGCTGCCCGCAGGGAACTGCTGCACCGTGAGGACCAGTCCGAAGCCACGGGAACAGCCTCTCAGCAGGCCAAGGACGAGCAGCACCAGTCCGTCTCTGCCACGGATGAACCAGACACAGAGTCAGCAGCCGCAGTCACAGCCGCAACGACAACGAATCCAAGAGAACCGTCTCCCACAGCGCCCCAGCTCTCAGCCCGAGTCAACGTCCATCCACCGGCGGAGTCAACCTCGCCCTCAACAGCCTTGCTGCACCCACTTTCACGGACGCCGTCGTCCTCCCTACAGGTTGTCCACGAGACGCCAGGCTCCAGCACCGCTCCCTCTGAAGCCGGAGAGACAGAAGCGGCCAGCGAGAAGGAGGATGAGGCCTCGCTGAACCACATCCTGACCAACGTCGTGATACTGTACGAGTTCATCCTGGAGATTACCGCGCTGGTACAGGCCCGCGCGAGTGTCCTGCAGGACGTCCGCTTCTAATAGCTACCTACATCTTTAATACTTCTCTTCTTCTTCTTCTTCTCCTTCCTTTTCTTCCTTTTCCTTTCTGTTTCTTCTCCATCTTCCAACGGTCTGGTCTATATAGAGTGCATGCAGGGCCAGGGGTGCGAGAGTATATCTGCCGTAGACTCAGGCATAATCAAACAATATATACATGGATAGACCTGTGTCTATATCTATACGTCCGTCCATCCATATCTCTGTCTCTTCTACCGGCTCGCATCTACTCTTACTGCTCGTCTGCAGCGTCTGCCAATATTCCATGTGCAGCGCTGCCTCTTGATCCCTGCGGACAGGGAAGATATTAATAGAGAACCGGCGTACTCCCATCCCATCTTCTGCAGAATCTACTGTATCCTGTATCCCTTCCATGCCTTCTATCCTCCTTCGATATCTTCATCTCCAGCCTCCTCGTCGTCTTCGCTGTCTGCTATCCTCGCTGCCTCGCTCGCTTTCACTGGCGCATCCTTCGCTCAGCCTTCTTTTCTCGCTTCTCGTCATCGTCACTCCGTATAAGTAACTAAGAAAGAAAAAAACGCCCGCCAGCCTTAGCCATCTTCACCACTACCTTCACCACCGAAGACCGTCTTATGTCCCATCCTCGCTCGCTCGCTGATGGACTGTCTGCTACTGTCCTGTCGCCATGATGCTCTCTCGCAAGCACCGGCCGGCGCCCTCGGTCAAGTCGCTGCCTATCAGCCCTCCGCTGCCCTTCCCGCCCGCCTACTACCAGCACCCGCATGAGCACCGCGCAGGAGACGCAAAGCAACCGCTAGACCACGCCGAGATATATCCCCAGATGGCGCCGCGCGACTATCCAGACTATGCGGCGATGCCAGACCCTGCGTCGGGCGTGAACCTTGCCGTCGAGCAGTCCTACTTCGACCTGCGCGGCCAGCACCAGCACCACCATCATCTTCACCATCACCACCACCACCACCAAGAACATCCCGAACACTCCGAGCAATACCCCTTCAGCCCAAATGACTACAGCTACGAGTTCAACAACTACAGTGCGCCCCGACTGCCGCCCTCGCCGCCGACGTCTCCGCCCTATGCGGCTGCCGTGCCCCAGGAAGACCACTACCCGGCCTCGCTGCCTTCGCTGCCTCGCTCGCTAAAGAGCGCCGGCCACAAACGGGGCACTCGCTCGATGGGTAGTGCGACGGCCATTTCGCGGCCCTCGCGGCACAGCAGAGGCGGCAGCGCTGCTACGGACGTTGGACGGGCCTCAGATGTATCGATAGACCTGACGGACATGCTGTCGGACAAGCTGGACGAGGTCATCAACCATATGGACATGCAAGTCTTTAGTGGCCGTGAGAGAGACCTCTGTATGTTTCATCATTATCAGACTTCTTTATGCCTACGAGATTTATATACTGACTGGTGTAGATCTCGATGTTGATGCTGGCCCGGTCGGCCCTGATGCGGCCACCAAGACCAACTCCAGCCGCAGCTTTCTGCGCTCCTCCTCGTCGGCCTCCAACAAGACGAACTACTTTGCAAAGGCATACCACTACGCAAACTCCAGGCTACCCCCTAAACTCACCCCTCTCAATCTGTGCGTTCCCCTATTGGCATTCGTGCTTTTACTAAGTGTGCACCAACCATACTGACCGAAGACAGGTTCATATCAACATGGCCGCTGCTGTGTCTGGCTGCCCAGTCGTCCCAGAGCGCCTACAACCGTCCCTCCCCCGTCGAGCGGGAGACTCAAGTCGAAGGAGACCCTTACTTGGGCACAAAGACCATGGTCATCAAGTCTGTTGCCCTCGACCATATGAATCTCATCGTCTTTGCCGTCAGAGGCACCACCCGCTCCTCTTTCACGGACTGGGCTACCAACATGAATGCCGAGCCTGCAACTCCCACAGGCTTCCTCGACGACCCAGGTAATCTTTGCCACGCTGGTTTCCTCTCCGTGGCCCGCAAGATGGTCCGTCCAGTGGCCCTGCGGCTCGAGCAGCTTCTGGTCGAGAACCCTGCTCGCTCAAAGTTCTCTCTTGTCATTACAGGCCACTCCGCCGGCGGTGCGGTTGCTAGCCTGCTGTACGCCCATATCCTCTCTTCCACTTTGCGTTCGGAACTGATATATCTCCGTGACCGCTTCAAGCGCATACACTGCTTCACCTTTGGCTCTCCGCCGGTATCTCTGCTGCCTATTAACAAGCCGTCGGACCCACGCTACGCCAAATGGCTCTTCTACACCTTTGTTAATGAAGGAGATCCGGTTTGCCGCGCAGACAAGCCATACATCCGCTCTCTCATCTAGCTCTACAAGTCGCCAGTCCCGTCAATCAACGGCAGCAGGTCTCGTTCATCTACAACCAACAGCAAGCCAAGTAAGCTCGGCTTCCTCAAGGACCGTCGAGAGAGCTATGATAGACCCGACTTTGAACAGCAAGTCAGCTGGCCTATTCCCTCGCCCACACTCACCTTGCCAGGCTGCCTGATCGTCCTTCGCGGAGATAGAACTAACCCCAGAGACAAGGATGTGGTGGAAGCATACCTGACGAGCAACGATCAGATGGCCGGCGTTGTCTTTGGAGATGTTATGATGCATATGATGACCCTATACGAGCGGCGCATTCAGCTTCTGGCTACAGATGCTGTCACTGCCAGGGCTGCTCGATGATTTCTTTCCTTCTTTCTTTTTTTTCTCTTCTATTCATGATATACCCGTTCAATTTCATTTTTTTTAGCGGTTGGCTGGCTGAAGAACAATCTGGATCAACGGACTATTTTCTTGTTTCTTCCTTGATACCCTCACATTCATTACGACTTTCTTCTTCTTCTTCTTCTTCTTCTTCTTCTTCTTCTATCTACTGCTTTACTTCTTTCCACCCTCCTCTGCCTGGTGCAAGAGTGGCTTTTTCAAACTCTACTTACTACGGGGATGGAGTTACACGGACAAGGCAACTGCCAAATGACCAGAAATGACGTGGGGATCGAATCCTGGGATATTCTCGGTACGGTGCATATGCGGGATTCTGGGATCTATTTTTTCTCTTTCTCTTACAATCAAGCTCGCGTAAATAGCTAGGGATAGCAAACGCGCTCATACGCATAAACATATGCACACAACCCAATCTACACATGCAATAAGAATAGAAATGACCAAAAATCCACTGCTAGACCGGAATAGTATACATTTTTTCCCTTCCTATCAAGCTTTAAACGGCCTCCTTAAAAACTGTCTGTTATACATCCGTGACTAGCATCTTTGACACACCTGGCATATTTGCCCAGTGTGCCTCTCATAGTCAACCCCGTTGGCCGGCCCTGACCAGCTTGCTCGCGAGCCAGCCACTTCTCCCTACGCTGCGCAAGCACGTCCTCTGCAACATCGAGGTCGAGGAGTCTGTTCTCGGCGTCGATGGTGATCTGGTCGCCGTCCTCGACGAGTCCAATGGGACCACCCACCGCAGCCTCAGGGACGATATGGCCTATCAGAAAGCCGTGGGAGCCACCGCTGAATCGTCCGTCCGTTATCAGGGCGACGGAGTTGCCAAGTCCTGCGCCCATCAGTGCAGATGACGGCTTCAACATTTCTGTAGGCATGTTAGTATAAATGTATGTGTGTAGGTAACTTATACAAAAAAGGGTGTATATGTACCTGGCATGCCGGGGCCACCCTTGGGGCCAGTGTATCGAATTACAACCACGGTTTTCTCGTCCTTTTTGATCTCCTTGTTCTCCAGCGCGGTAATAAAGTCATCTTCATGGTCAAATACTCGAGCCTTACCGACGAAACGAGTGCCTTCCTTGCCGGTGATCTTGCCCACGCTGCCCTCAGGTGCAAGACTGCCACGTAGGATCTGTAGATGGCCCGTTGGCTTGATGGGATCAGAAAGCGGTCTGATAATCTTCTGGTCAGACGGGAAGTCAGGGAACTTCTCGACGTTTTTAGCCAGTGTCTGACCGGTCACAGTCATGCCAAAGCCGTCGATTAGACCCTCCTTGAGCAGGAATTTAATCAGGGATGGGGTGCCGCCGATATTGTGTAGATCAGCCATGACATATTTGCCAGACGGTTTTAGGTCAGCAAGGAAAGGAACCCGGTCACTGACGGCCTGGAAATCGTCTATGGTCAGCTTGATGCCAACTGAGTCCGCAATAGCAATAAGATGTAGCACAGCATTAGTGGAGCCTCCGGTCACTGTCACTAGGACCATGGCGTTCTCGAAGGCCTGGCGGGTAAGGATATCCGACGGCCGTATATCTTCAATCAGCAGGTTCTTGATGGCGCCTCCAGCAGCCTCACACTCGAGGAATTTGGCCTTGGACTCTGCTGGGTTCGAGGAAGAGCCCGGCAGAGTCATGCCCATCACCTCGATGGCCGAGGCCATGGTGTTGGCGGTGTACATGCCACCACAAGCACCGCCGCCAGGACAGGCATGCCGAATAATATCAAACCGCTGTTCCTCCGTGATCTCGCCCGTCAGGAACTGGCCGTATGCCTGGAACGCAGATACGATATCGATATCTGCATTGCCCTGCGTAGCCGCACAGCCAGGACGTATCGTGCCTCCGTAGACCATCAGACTGGGCCTGTTGACTCTTCCCATCGCCATGACGACGCCAGGCATGTTCTTATCGCAGCCTGGAATGCTGATATTCGCATCGTACCACTGTCCTCCCATGACTGTCTCAATTGAGTCAGCAATCAGGTCCCGGCTCTGCAGGCTGTACCGCATCCCCTTGGTGCCCATGCTGATGCCATCACTGACTCCAATGGTGTTGAACTGGTATCCGATCAGACCGCTCTTCTGCACGCCAGCACGCACTCTGTTGCTCAGGTCGAGCAGGTGCATATTGCACGGGTTGCCGTTGTACCAGACGCTGGAGATGCCGACCTGCGCCTTGGACATGTCTTCCGTCGATAGGCCGGTGGCATACAGCATCGCCTGCGAGGCGCCCTGCGAGATAGGCTGGGTGACATGTCTCGACACGCTGTTGAGCTCGCTTTCGGGCTTCTTCGACGAGGACGAGGCGCTGCGCTGCGTCGTCTGTCTGTGAATCGAGCTGTTAGCTGGTGACTCCGACTTCGCTGCTGGGGGACAAGGGTAGCTCTGGAGCTTCAAGACAGGCGGGGGGGAAGCTTACGGGAGCAGAGAGAGCAGAGTCCTTGAGGACAGACGCCCGGCACGGTGTATTCGAAGCATCTCGACGGGTTCTCGCTGGCTGTGAGATGCTTCGTCGGCGTCTTCAGCGTGTTCGACTTCTTGCGGTGGTTTTTGTTCGTCTCTGCGCCAGCGATTATTTTATGTGGGCGTTGATAGGCCGATCTCGCATTTAGAGATGATTCATACAAAGGGCGCTTATTCTTAGTGTAGAGACATCAAGACGATGTTAGAACGATGTTAAGAAGATTAGAAGATGTAAATAAGTATATGATAAAGCAGGAGTAGATATGATGAATACGGAGTATATACTGGGTTAAGGGTGTCTGTATGGTGATGTCGACATAGAGCATCGGTAGATGGCACCTAGTTATTAATCAGAGAATCAGGCTGTGGCTTAGGGTCATTAACAGATGGAAATCGATTATCCAGGCAATTCTATAGTTAACTAACTAGTCAATTATTTTAAATCATCAAGAGTGTTAGGGAAAGTAGGATGTATATATGGTGCTGGTGCTGGTGCTGAGGGCGGCGCTTTACCCCTGAGCAGTAACTAAATATCAAGACGAGCAACTATCACGCAGCCTACCGGCACTTCTTGATAATATTCTGGACAAAGCCATCATTCTTCACGAATGCGTCTCCAAACTTCTTCAGATCTCCTCCATTGAGACCCTTTCTCACAGCCGCTGCATCGCCAAACGCCTTGCGTGGACCCTTGGCTCGCACTCCCGCAGCTCCAACCAAGAAACCCAAGACAGCAAACGGAGCTGACTCGGGGCTATCCACGATATCCACGATCGAGAGTGCCGCGTTTCCTGCCTCTCCGATGATGAACGCGGCTCGGGCAATAGTTGCCGCACCGCCGAGGGCGGCAGCAGCCTCGCCAACGAATGGGATGACGGCAAAGACAATCGAAAGGATGCCTAGGATAAGCTCGCGCTTTTTCGCGGCTGCTTTTTCCTCAGCCTTTTTGCCAATCTCCTTGATCTTCTTGATGTATTCCACTGCGTTCTCGAGCATGAAGACGGGCATGCTAAAGGCGCTGACGACATCCGCCTCCTCTGCGTCGAGGATGTTGAAGCGCATCTGCATGTACGTCTCCATCATCAAGTTGGCTAGGTCCTCGGTGCTGGGCACAGCTTTGTCAACGAGCTCCTTGGGATTGGCTATCTTGATCTTGCTCTTGTCGTCGATTCGTCGGGGAAAATCGTAGTAGTAGAGAGTGTTATCAGGGCAGGGGGGACAGTTGGGAGGTACCGGGCAGTTGTTGGGAATGCAGGTTGGATCCCCTTTGATGTATAGTTCGAACTTGACCCAGTCCTTTTCAATAGCGTACTTTTCATTAAGCGCCTTGTAGAAGCCCTTCTCGTCTCGCATCTTGAAGGTGATGCCGCGGCGTCCTTGATGCTGGTGATCACGGCCTGGGACGAGGATATCAACTTCGGTGCAGGGGCCGCTCCCTTCGCCCGCTGACGAGAACCACTCGCAGTCCATGTACTTGCGGCCCTCAACCTTCATGAACTCCTCGAGAGTCTCATCGATGTTATCTTTCGTCCATTCAGCGTACCAGCCAAACTATTACACCGTCAGTACCATGAAAATGCAGTATCCTGTATTGTGATATGATACTACATACCTTGTCTTCGTATCCGTCGGAAACCTCCTTATACTTTGTGACTGCCTCTTCGAGCTGAGGAATTAAGATCATCATAGCAGCCTGCGCGCGGCAATTTTCAGGGATTGTATCAATCTTGTCACTCAGTCCTTGGAGGGTTGTAGGCCAGGTGGATGGAATGCATTCTAGCGCCTTAGGTTTAGATCCGTCTCCGTCTCCATCGCCATCCCCACTGGGTCCTTCGAACCAGCCCTGCAAATCAATGGCCCAGTCAGTGGTTCCTGCAAAGTTAAGTCCCCTGATCCAGCTGACTCGCTTTGCCTTGGTTGTCTCATCCATGTATGCCGCCCAGGTGGTGGCTTTGCCTTCGGTTCCATAAACGATGATATCCGAATCGGACGCATCATCGTGCCAAACACGAGCGGTGTACCCAGGTTCTTTTTGATCCGCAAGCTCAATAATATTGAAGATTTCAGCGTTGGAAATGTAACCTCCCGTCAGAGTGCAAACACCAGGTTCGGCATTGGACTGTGTGAAACTGCCAGTAAATGTGCATTGGGGTCCAGTACAGCTGGGATCGGTCATTCCAAAGCTTCTGCCGTAACTGGATATACCAACAACCACCTTATGAGCTGGAACACCAGCCTTAGTAATCATGGCAAGTGCCTCGTACGTTTCCGTTTGGTTGACGTGGGATCTTAGGCAGTTACCGTTCGGGCACTGTGGGCTAGCGAACTTGTTGCCGTAGTCTATAATACGGTCAGGATGCCGATCACAGCAATTATCTTGTCAGTAAGGAAGAGACTCACCCCATTGACCATGGAGATCATAGGTCATGTAGACGAAATAATTAACCACCTCAGCCATCTTCGCGACAGGGAATGGCTTAAGGTACCAGTATGAGGCCGGCAGTGCAATTGAGAGTGATTTCCCCTTCAGTTTCCCTTTCATGAGCTTTAGGAACTCTAGATAGTCCGTGGGATCCGATTCGCTTCCTGGAGGGACTCCGGGAATATCAGTCGCGCCGGGATACTCCCAGTCAAAATCAACTCCTCCCAAACCATGCTTATCCAGGAAAGCAGCGACATTGTTAGCAAACTTATCTCTATTGGCGGGCTTAACGGCATCACGATATCTTTGGAAAGTTCCGGGCTCAGTAGACTCCGCCCACCCACCGAAGGAGATGATTTTTTTAAAAGCGTACTTCGTTTTTGCAAACTTTTCGAACTGTTCATTCACACCATCATCGAACATGATATTGAAATCAGAAGTGAGGCTAGCAAACGCAAAGTGGACGTGTGTAAGATCTTGGAAGAGCTTTAGTTCACTGGCATCCATGGTGAGACAGTCACGCTTAACGTTGAAACCCTCAAAGTATCCAAGGCGAATAAAGCCGGCAGGAGTCATCTGATTGTTAACAATCTTAACGCCGCAGTTTGAAATGCAGCTATTTGTACCAGGCTTCGAAGTTCCAGGCGCACCGGTGTCAGCAGGCGAGACAGTGCAGAATTCCGACGTGATACCGCAGAATCCCCATCCAGAGCAGCATGCATTAAGCGGGCAAGGATTGAGCTTCGCCAGGTCGAAGCCAGTGAAACTTCCGGAAGGCGGTTTCGTTCCTGGCTTCTGTGGTCCGCAAACAGCACCATTAACAGGGCTGGGCATAGGGGTGTTTCCTTTGCTTAAGCATATGACTTGACCAACTTGGAGAATACTACAGCCAGCCCATCCCCAGACCTGCTTGTTCACTTCATTAATACGGTCAACGGTAATACCATAGTTGTCCGCGATGCCCCAGCAGTCATCTCCTGGCGAGATATGATGCACGGCACAAGTACCATCCGGCTGAGGTTGGGGTGTCTTATCGGGCAGCGTTCCAGCCGAGCAGCAGACCCATTGTTTGGGCTTGAGGGTAGCACAAAAGTTAGGCTTGTTGTTAAATTTTGTGAAGTCAGCACCTGGGATGCCGCAGCGTGAGGCTAAAGCACCACAGCTATCTCCGGAAACAACCTGGATAGCTCTGCAGTCGCCTCGAGTAGAAAGATCATGGAGTCGCGCAGAAAGTCCCTTTTTGGCTTCTTTAGCGGAAGATAGAACACCGAATTCAATATCAGAGTGTAGCTTCCCTCCTTTAATGTCGAGGCACTTGCCATCAGACCATGAACCAATAGCCTTCTGCATTGCGGAGAAATCATCAACAGTATCGACAGCAAAAAGTCCAACGGTCTGTGCCTTTTTTGCCCTGTCATCGCACACCTGGAATGCCTGCGAGCCTTTCATGATGCCCTCGTTGAATCCATCAATAAGACGTGAGACACTCTTTTTCTCAACATCAGCCCCAACGTATAGGGCTGCAAGAGCATTGCCAGATTTCGCAAAGATAGCTGTAGTACCGCAAGAAGCACTCCCAGAGGCATACTTGGCTAGAATTCCAGCAGCAGCAGCCACATTCTTAGCCGATTTTAAGGCACCGGCCGGCCCAGTTGACAAACTAGATTTGGTACCGGTGACCTTTGCACCACAGCTTTCAGAGGTAGCAATAAGTCTCTCGATACCGTTGAGGTTGTCAGGTTTGATGTTTCCGGCCGAAGACAAGTTTGACATTTGAGTGACCTGTCGCCGAGGGACGTCACCTTCAGCGGTACAGGTTCGTATGGTGGGAAACTTGGTTGGTTCATTGTGGAAGTTGAAGTCGAAAAGGAGAGGAAGTTTGCAGTCCACCAGGTCAGCTTGATCATGAACATGTGTCCAATTGGCAGGGTCAGGACCAGTTATCTGGCAAGTCGCCGGACATCCATCAACAAGGGGTGAAGCATATATATCACTAGCTCTCGGTTTTCCCAATGGAGTGATGGGTTGGACCGGTTTAATCGGCTGTGAAGAATTGAAAGCCACAACAGTGGTAGAAGTAGAACAAAGGAAAAGAACGAGTGTAGCAGAAGAGAACAACATTGTAAAGAGTGGGTGGAGGGTAAACCCTCCAGGTGAAAAGGAAAGACTGGTATGATATGAGATCAACGAGTAATTCGGATGTATCAAATGATAGGGTCACGCAGGGAGGTTTTTATACCGGTGTACTTCCTCTATTACCGCACCAATTCCCCTTTCTTCTATTGCAGGAATACCCATGATTCCATCATTGCTCTCCCTGTCCAGTACAGGAAACTGCACAGAGATCTTGGCATCAAGGTGAAGGATCAAGCTAGCCATGGCCATCTACCACCTGGCTTTCTTTTCGACTGATCAACATGGTGTTCGGAGATGCAGGGGATGGTCCATCACTTGACCAAACGGTTGTGTCTGCATGATCCTACTCTTTTTCGTCAGGCTATGAAAATATGTAACCATATCCACGTGTATAAGCAAGTCCGAAGCTATCCATGTATATAACGTTCGGGAACAAGCCTCAATTATTTCATCCAGGGGTATTCATGCGGTTAATTTTGAGATAATATTTCACTTGAGTCATGGTGTTCAACTCCACTATGATGGGCCTAGCACGGCCCACAATGCTAAATGACCGCCAAATCCTTCTAGTCAGGGGCTCCAGGCTGCTTAACGGAAAATCATGAAGTCTGATAAAGCCTATATGGCGACTTAGAGTAAACGGGGTAGCTCCGTGTAGTTATGTGCATGCAGCATTAACGTACGCCGCCCGGGTTGACTACTAGGTGCTTAGTGAAGCCTCGACGAACAGAGCAGGGCTTGTAAGAAATAATCATGGAGGATTTGCCCCTCCACTCACTGTGCTGGGACCATATGCCCCCACTATAGTCACAGATATGCCGGGCTGTGGTCGAGGTGAAATTGCATACTCTGTACTCCATACAGAGAAGTGCATTGCTCCTTAATGGCTGGTTCCTGCAGCAAGGTGGAGAGCCAGATATAAGTCCTATGTCGAACAAGATCTTCATGAGCGGATAACCGGAAGAAATAGGGTGCTGCTCTATTGGCCACGAACGTAGCCTTGTATCACGGTTTGCAATATTTGTTGAAATGGAATGATATTATGTTGATGTCGAACACTTAGGTCTTCGCACCATGTGGTTAACCTTCACTAATAAAGAGGCCAAATCCTGCAGAAGACATCTGGACCTGCAGGTGAAGGATCTAAGATGGAACGCACTTTGCGCCCCCGAGTATTATCAGGCCCTCTTACGTCGTATAGATACCAACCTCCTGGCCTGTCTGCTCGCTTAGATCCTTTGCTCGTTGTCTTTGATGTCGTTAAGATTAAGTTTTGAACGGTTGAACGAGAATCCTTGTTGCTTAGTCATCTTAGCGACGAGTTAACAATGGGATGTACTAAGTTACCTCGGTTCTCAGTTGACTACTATGTAGCTACGCTGTACCTGCGTAGTCAAAAATGTACCGTCTCGTATTTTTAAGCTTTTGTGATTGATAAAACAATAAACTACAATAGTATGCTGGTTACTCTAATTTACACGTTCCCAACTCAGCAGCTGAGAGATTTATCCTGTGCTCAGCGTCCCTCCAAGTCACCAAGGTGCGGAAATGCGAGAAGGCTCCGGGTCCGAATTCCACTTTTCCAGCATACTTGGGATCTCCAAAGCGAGTAACCCAGTCCGTTACGTCCTTTCTGTTCTTGAATCCGGCGTTCTTGAGCTTTTCCTTGTTGGCCTCGTAGGTTTCCTTAAAATCGATCTCCGGATATTTGTCTGCACCCGGGATGGTGGAATCTTTCCATGTGAGCCTGACGTCGATACCGAGGCCACCGTCTGCTACTGGAGCAGCGAGTTTCTTCGCAACGAAGTCCATTGTCTTTTCAGCACGGAGTTGGACAGTTGCCTTGCTGCATGCTTTGAGGTTTTCTATATGTTTGTCGATGACGGCTTTGTTCTTGTCATCGAGGCGGTACTTTGACAATGAATTCTCGAGTTTGTCGAAGAGAACTGTATACGGGGTTCTGTAAGGGTCTTTGGGATCATAAAGAGACCTTGATCCGCCGTTGGTACCTGGCTTCTTGCCCCCACCGCTCTCTGGGGGTTTGTTGTAGTTCTTGCCTCGAAGACTGGGGTCAATGGTGATGATGTTCAATTCCCCAGTGACTTTGTTCTTGATCAGCTCGGACACAGCATCGGTGACGCTTCTGCCATCACCGGGAGGTGTAAGCTTGCCAACGTCCGGTGGGAGTGGCTTGTCATCAAGCCTAGTGATGAACTCGGTGTAAGTGAGCATCTTATCGGGGCCTGTGCCTTTGTTGTTCTTTGACTCCTGGCCCTTTTGCGTCTTAAATGGAAGGATGCTTTGCTGCTTGTCTGGTCCTTCAATGGCACTGGATATGACGTTAGTCAACAAGACATCGCATTACAGGGTACAAAAGACCATCTCACCAGGCAATTTGATATCTCTCCCAGAGCCATAGCCTCTCGTAGGCGTGCGAAAGGAAGTTGTCTGCCTGAACGGGGGCAGCCAGCAAGACTAGCCATGCGAGTATAAGGGGAAGTACGGAAAACCGTACGATGGTGCTTAGCATTTTGGATAATGGCCCGTCAGATAGGCCGATGGGGAAACCTCTATTAGCTCAGGCTGGTGGGTTGGTGATTGAGAGAGACAGGATTGCCGGAAGGGCAACTCTCCTTTATGTCTCTTCAAAAGCAGAATAATCCCTTACACCAGATCTAGATAGCACCATGCTCTTATTTAGTCCATATTAAGCTACGTCTTCCGTAGGCACATCCTTCAGCGCTGTACCTTCCCCTCGACTCTTCCCTGCCATGCCAGGAGGATCCGAAATCCGTCCTCCCTTGCTAATTAAGCCTCCACCCTAAGACCCAGTCTCCAGCCCGCACGGAGTCTCCATTAGATGGAGAGCAAGATATAGACTTGGGTATATTGTAACTAGTCAAGCATGTGGAAAACTCCTTCCTAGTTGACACTAGCCTTTCCAGTGCATGTTACGGATAGGGAATACACAGTAAATAACAATCATCGTAATTAGTTAAACTGCATATCCGTTCAATTTCCTCTGCCCGATATCTTTCACTCAGCGATTTCATTCGATGTTTGTTTTCTCCCCCTTTCACCCTAGCTATAACTACTTACCTAGGTAACTAGTTACATGGGAAGAGTGTAGAAACCCATATCAAAGTAGAAAAAGGGAGAAAGCGGGAAGACTTGCGGTAAGGGAAAAGCGTGGGTATGCAGAGCAGAGAAATAATATAAGAAGTCCTTTAAGCTGATTGAAGGTGTCTATTTTTTAGAGCCCACACGTAATTCAAGTCAAGCAAACAAATTATGCACTGGGCGAGCTCTAGGATGTGTAAGGATATTTGCATATGGATCATCTTCAGCTGATTCGAAGTTGCGGCAGAGCTTGTAACTACGACTCTGGGTGGTTTAGTTTTTCTATTTTTCGTGGGGGCGACGGGCATATCACTTCATTTACCCATTAGAGAATGCGGATACTTGTGTAGTAGGCTTCTCTCCTGATTTATGAGATCTGGTTATAGGAGAGGAAATCTTTCTAGGAAATGTGGGGGTGGTTTCTAACTGAATGATAACGGCTGGTTAGTTATTAATTTCGTCTTCGTAACTAGTTAGTTAACTAATAAAAGTCTAGTGAGTGGGGGATCACAAATAAATAACCATCAGAATTCTACCACTACACGGAAAGGGGTGAGCCCACACTGATAGTGGGCGGATAACTAGCAATTGAAGTTTGACAGTTAGTTATTTACCAGACATTATTTAGTTTTTAGACGACGTCATCGCGTATCGACGAACACAAACGGCTGCAAAGTCCCTCAAGTAAAATGAATGAATAGTTAACTAGTTGTTTCTATCTACCTTGAAGGATCTTACGGGGCTCGGGAACAAAAAATCTCATACCAAGCATAAAAACGATTCACCGCTGAATTTCTCACGCAAATGAAATACGGCCACCGCCGGCGAAGCTCTCTCAGGCCTGTCTTCCGAATTAACTTACATTGCTACTACACTTCTAAAGTACTGAAAATCAACCACGCAGGGTATCTCTTCGGCTTTAAGACGGCTTCAGCTTGTTATCAGAGTCAAAAACAGCAATACCAGTGACATCAAAGAATCCGAGTATGGGAGATGCGGGACTGTCACCCACGGCTTGGGATTCCCCAGAGCAGCAAGAACCGGAACCAGACCCGGAGCTAGAGCCAGAGTCAGATGCATATTCTGACCTAGACGGACGTCCATACAGTTATAGGCAGTGCGTAGATGCCCTAGAGGCTGAAGGCGTACCGATGGACCTTTCCTCCGACACTGCTCGATGGTGCGTCGTTCGAGGAATACGAACTTCCTACGAGTATGCAACCAGCCCAGAAGTGACCCGGATATGCAAAGATATGGACATACCCCAGTTTGCCCGCGCTCGTAATGCACGGCTCATTATGAGCAACGTTATCCCTGAAGAAATGGAGGATGCACAGGTCCAGCCATACTGCATATGGATTCCGGGTTTTGCTTCTGCAGAGACCTATCGCGAGCTTGTATATAGGTATCCTGCCATGTTATACCAGGTTGGCCGGGCTTGCGGCGCCGCTGGATATGTTGACTTATACAAGGAGCTCGTTAAGGGTAAGAGCATTGTCCTCTTTGTATAACTAAGTTTTATGTTGCAGGGCTAACATCCTAGGTAGAATTTAAACTGCTCCCTGAAGTGTCTATCGCCGAGGAGGCACGGGAGGGTGGAACTGACGGTGGCCGTGAGATCTACCGTTTAATCTTGGAGTCGCCTATCAAATATGCTGTGATGGACGACAACACTCGCGGTATCAATGTTGATAATCCTCGTTATCCAGCTTATCTAAACGGAGATACTGCTGTCCGCTGGAAGGTAGAGCCTCGTGAATATCTGCTTGAGGACGGAGAGTATGATCAAAGCGACAAAGATATCGAAGAAGATAACGGGCTCGCTGTTGCAAGCGAGTACTTGGACGATAAATACAGGGGTCTGTCCGCCGATGAAGCCAAATGGCTCTATCAGCCCCTTCCACCTGATATTCCAACGGTAAAAAAAGAACTCCTGAGAGAAATGGCAGCATACGAGGGTAATATAGATCGATATTACCGACTAATGGACTCCGAGGAAATGGAATACACGGAATTACATTGCGTTACCCGCGGCATTTACCATAATTCCATGTTTGCACGGTGGTGGATGGACCAGCTTGAGACGAACGCAAGTCGCATCCCCAAGGGTGAAGAATGGAGAATACGATCAGCCATCAATGCCCGCCGGATCATGATAAACGATATCGCTGGCTTCCACGATGAAATAGAAGGCAAACCATATCTCATCTGGTGGCCTCTCAGGCCTCATCCACGATGCCTCCAGGCCCTCGCCAAGAAGTGTCCATCAATGCAAGAGCAAATTGCAATAGCATGCATATTCTGCGATTACGAGGATGTCTATAAATCCATCAACCCCGTTCCGCACTGGCGTATTCGCCTTGCCGCTACAAAGAGTGTGAACTCTTTTTATCTCGCTGACGTGGATAAACGAGCATCGGAACAAGGCGTCGACGTCACGGAACGTCGTGGCGAAAGGGATGGTAAAAAGGACAATTTGAGTAGTGATCTCGAACCCACTTCGCTATGGGTAACATCGTCTATCAAGAGTAATGCAATGGTTAACCGGCAACCAGATTTCAATCCATACTTTGGGAGTAGGGTTTACACAGGAATAATTGAAAGATATGTGTTCAAGTCACCGGAGGTTCTTCAAAAATTTCGACCGCGACGCTATCGAACTATTGAAGACTATGCGGATCTATTGATGGATTAGATATCTTTAGTTAAACAACGTAAAGTAGTAAACCTAGCTATCGACCTAACCTTCTACTCCTACGGCTATATATCTAACCCAAGAGGGTAGCGAAAATGTTGGAAATCAACAGAGCAACTAATTGCTTCAGCCTCATTGATATTTAACCGTTGAACATTAAAGTTACGGGACGGTCCACCGCAAGGGCCTATGGCTGGTCCAAGCCACCGAGCCGCCGCGACTCGTCTAACTTATCATTAAAGACGATGGAATAGTTACTATAGAAGCTATACATAGTTGACATGGAACACACGAAACGTAAGCCTTTTGACATTAATATTATCTTATTTGTGATACATATAACTATCTTACAGACGCTGGTGAAGCGAGTGATGCATTGCTTCGTGGTAATTATCAGTACAAAAGAGATGAAATGAGTAAAACCCGAAGGTAGGAACAAAAGACAAGGCAAAGAGGTATAAGGAATACAACGAGCGTCATATCGAAAGATGCCGAAGAAAAGATATGGAGAAGTGAAACTAAGCGAAGTAAAAGAAGTAAAGAAAATAGAGGGGATGAAGAAGCGAAGGAAAAGAAAAATAAAAAGGATAAAGCGAAAGGGAGGTTCAAACCAGCTGTACAAAGAAGCAAAAGAGATAAGAAGAAATAAAAGAGAGAAGAGGAGACCATGTCAAGTCCATTCATTCAAGGAACCTCGATATCACCGCGTTTCAGGGGCAGGACGTCAGCCGCAATAGCATTCTTAATCCATTCCATATCAGCCACTTCGTCAAGATGCATACGTTTACTTCCTCGTTTCAAAAGGGCCTCGACGCAACGCCGGGGGCCCTCGAGATCTCTACCTTTGACCGGGTCCCAGTCCCCGTCCGGATCGGCATAGCGGTACCAGCTCCATTCGCAGCGGGCGATGCGGTGCGGAGTGCGAGCCCGGAGCTTAGCTGGGTCTCCTCTAGTGCCTGGCAGAGGGTCGAAAGGCAGACGGTTCTCCATGATGGCGTAGAGGAGAACACCCAGGGCCCAGGCATCGGTGGAGCGGCCGTCATATGGCTGACCCATTAAGATTTCAGGAGCAGCGTAGTCTTCGCTTCCGCAGCGGGTGCGTAGAAGAGGGCTCTCAGGAGGCTGTGGGATGCGCCGTGAGAGACCCAAGTCTGTTAGCGTGACGACGGCGCGAGGGTAGAGTCGCCAGTCAGAGATATCCTGCATTTTTGCAAATGGCATGTTCAACAGCACATCTATGCGAGTCAGCAAATCGTATTATATGGACATGTATATTTGAAGGAGTAACTCACTTTCTAGCTTGATATCCCGGTGGACGATGTGGTTTCTGTGGAGATATCTGACAGCATCGACGAGTTCAGAGAAGATTCTCTCAATCAGCGGAGGATTAATCCGCTTCATCCGCATGCTGGCAAATTCAAACAGGTCGCCTCCAGGGCAGTAGTCGAGCACCAAGAGGGCTCGTTTCGGGTCGCTTCCAAAGGCCTTGAGCTGGACAATGGACGGATGGTCGATGGATTTGAGGATCTCAACTTCCCTGTTGAGTGAGACCTCAACACGTTCCTCGTCTGCTCCTCCAGCCGGCCCGTACTCAACAATCTTGACGGCCACCAGACGGCGAGATTGAGGGTTGACAGCTCCATCCTCCTCTCGGGCTGCAAGGACAACCTGGCTAAAGGCTCCCTGGCCCAGGAGCCTCTGCCAGTGGTATGTACGAGGTTGCTTGGATCGAATTGACTGGACCTTGTAAACTGCATTATCAAGTATACCGATATCAGGCGACTCTAGGGCGGAGGTGGGCGTAGGCAGCGGCGGTGGAAGGACAGCTATGCCACGCTGTGCAGCCAGGTATTCCTCCCTCTGCAGATTCGGTTTGGGGCACCCGTCTCTCGCGGCATCACTTTCCCGGGCCCGGGAGACTTCGGAAGCAGCGGCCTTCCGGGTTGACGGATGGACCTGGAGCGCTGGCGGGACGTACTCGCTCAGGCTGCGATTGCGGGTGTGTCGGTGGTCACGCTTGGGGGCAGCCAGCTGGGATGGGTTGGTCGCAGTCTCGGGCGAGCCTGGAGTCGCACTTGGTACCGATGCGGATGATGGCTGGACCAGTCTCGGCCGGGCAGTTGTCAACGGTGGAGGGAGATGCAGCTCGCGGCTGGAGGCTGTCGAAGAGACGCGAGACAGGGAAAAGGTGCTGGTCGAGCCCCATGGCGGCGATGCCAGCAGCTGTATGGGCGATGGCAGCGGCGTGAGGTCGCTGAGCCCGGCGAGCTGGGGCGACGAGAAGGCAGAGCCGGGCGAGAGAGAGCCGGCGCTCGAGTGCACTTCGGCCAGCGCATGGCGGATGCTGGGGATTCTGCGTGGCAAGCTGGCCGTTGACCGGCTCAGATGAAGATGCTGGTCAAACCCAGCTGCTCCCGGCTGGTGTTGATGCTGTGGCTGCTGCTGAGACTGACGCTGCTGGTCCTGGGCAGCCGGCTGATGGATATACTGAGACGGCTGGTGGTGGACTGAGGGAATGTCAGTACGCAGCTGCAGCAGCACCGGCGTCCGTGGCGTCGCTGGGCTCGAGTCGACTATCGGCGCCAATGGCGTCTGCTGGCCTTGCTGATGCTGCTGCTGGTGGTCTTGATGTCCTTCTACAGGCGCGCTGGCATCGTCTCTGGCCGGGGGACATATCTGCAGCGCTGGATGGGAGACGAAGGGCGCAGCTGTGGGCGAGGTCGCGATGCCTGAGTCACGAAACCTCAGCCGATGCGATGGCGGCAAGTCTTCGGGCTCAGCCTGCTCTGGACAGCCGCGTGGCTCTACCATGGAGGTGGAAGATGGCATCCAGCGGCGTAGAGGGCTCTGTCACTGGCACTGGCACTGGCAGAGGCCTGCGAGAGAGTTGATCACAGCAGAGGCCAGAAAGTGCAGGACTTTGGGCTGCTTTTCCAGAGGGGTAGAAGGAGTTTTTTTTTCACTCTCTTTCTTCTTCACTGTTCCTCAGCCACAGGAAGGGCTCGGAAGCGCTAGTTGTGATAGGATGCCCAGTTGGCTGCAGAAGAGGCATTTCTGCACATCATTTCGTATTCCTATATCACAGCATGTAAGATCACAAGGCACTCTCTGCTAAAATCTGCTAAATTTATTCTTTTTGCCTTGTTTAACCAGCCCGTTGACCACTAGTTAACTACTTAACAAGCTAATGCTAGGCTGGACTAATTTCCGTCTCTCCATCTGACTGCTGTATCCCTGCTTAGACTACTGTAGAACACAGACAAGGGTCCTCCACACAAAACCAACAGCTAGAGCTGCACAACCCCATCTTCCGCCTCATCTGCCTGCATCCATCTCTTTCTCTTCTTTTCTTTGCTTTTCTTTCTTTTCTCTCCCGTCTTTTTCGTCTCTTTTTTTCGCCCCTGAATATATAAAGTTTTTAAGGTTTAAAATAGCCGCGAAACCTTAAATACTTTATTTTGGGGAATTTTTTATTTTATTTTTTTTTTCTCCCTTTTCTCTCTCTCTCGTCAACCTCTCGCTGTTTCCACCCTCATTGTTTGTCGTGGTTCAGTTCGGCAGGGGATAGAGCATAGCCATCGTCGTGGAAGGGTCAGCGCCCTCGAAGCCGTGAGCGGCAGCCCATACATCAGCCTCAGCCTCGATGCGGAAGATCTGCTCTTGGTCCTCTTCTATCTCGCCACTCCGGGGTCCAAACAGGATTCTGTACGGCTCGAGCTTTGGCTCGGGTACTGGATCTGTCACCAACACCAGGTTGCGCATCGTCTCTTCCTATTAACTATATACCCCGTCAGTCACCCTACTTTGCTGCCAGCTTTATGCAGTGTACGGAGTAGAAAAACGTACATGGCACATCAGGACTGTTCTGGTCCTGCCTTGGATTTGCCTCTCCTTTAGGCTTTCAAAGTGCTCAGCCGTCTCGAGTCTCTTCCAGCCTTCTTCGGTCTGCTCAACCACGCTCTCATTGGCTGGTACAAGCTTGTAGAACCATTGACTCTCATTTAGACTCCCGTTACTCCCATGCTTGTCATCATCGCCAGCCATAGAATCAGCTCTGTTGCTCACCCATCTGGCCAGCCCGTACTCGTACTGTCGTGCCAGGTTGTCAAATTCAACTAGAGTGCAGCCGGCGTCCACTGCCAGCTCCTGGCTCAGCCATTCGCCGTCCCGCTTGCCAAACAGTACTCGGTATTCCCTCTCCTCTGGTGGCATGGTCCGTTTAGCGTCGACGAGTCTATCAAGCTTTGCGTATGCCTCCTTCTTCCCGCCGTCTCGTCCTTTACTCAGCCTGTCAACTTCTTCCTGAGAAATTCCAGCCTCTAGAAGCTGCTTGTCAATCTTCTTCAGTGCTCTCGGGATAAGCCTGCTGTGCTTCTCTACCATCTCTTTCACAAAGTCGGGAGGGAACGGCATGTTTGGAAAACACGCTGCTTCTCGGTCAAATCTTCGAGGTGCGGCTCTTCGTACCATTTTCTTCCAGATACAAATAAGTCTGGCCGCAAGGTCATATCTCCCTGTGCCACGTTAGTTCTCCAGCCAACGACTCCCTTGTAGAACCCATCATGCCAGAGCCATTTGACCATATTTTTGACAGTTGGCCGGTCGCCTGGCTCGGGCCCCTTGGTAAGTGGTTGGGTAGTTCTCGTCGGCATGTTTATTCTGAAGATATCTTCTTGATAATAATGTTGGTGGTTGCCTGTATTGCTAGGTTGACCGAATACTCTACTGGTAAGCAAAGGGAGATTCGAACGCAGTAGATATACCTAGGAAAGCACATTCCAGTCTCTGGGAAATGACGCCTCCACGAAGAAATGCAACAAGGCAAGCTCGAAGACGGCGGTTGGGAAACAGTTGAAACGTTTGGAAGGACCCTGAGGAACTGTATATATTTTGTATAATCAAAACACAGGGGACAGCGCAACCAACCGACCAGCCCCATTAACAGACAATAAAAAGAAGATGCCTCTATATGTACAAGCCAACCACGCATTAAACCACGTTTCCGTTTTTATAAAAGAGAGAGAAGAAACACTAAAGTTGAATACCGTCAACACACGCCAGAGTGGAAATGGATCCGCCATGCGCTCGAAATTGAAATATGGTAATACACGGGGTGGAAGATTGAAAAATTCGGTCGAAGAAGTAGTTGGAGTGTGGCTTTGTATCGCATGATGATCATGATATATCATTCACGTCTCGAATGATTTGTCAAGTGGATTGTTATCGTGTGGCGGAGAAACAAATGGTCGTTTGGATATGGGGGCACATATTATGGGACATATAGCATGGCGCATTTTAGTCAATTCTCCCCCTCAGGAAAAGAAGACACGTCGAGATACCTATGAAAAGCACGTTAGAATGAGCTGTTTCTACCATAGTAGGGTTAAATGGGCACTTACAGTCCATGCACCAGCAATGCTAGCTACAATGGCTCCAGAAATCATCATGGGCCGAACTCCCCTGGTGCTCTTGAAAAGCATGCCACTCAGAGCGCCGGCAACAATGCTGTTCGCCGCATCGTGCTTTCCTCTCACATGTCCGATCGTCGAGTTCACACCGTTATACACTAACGCAACGACACCAGCGGAGTTACCCAAGAACGGGCCCCGTCGGGTCACCGAGTTGAGTACGCTGTTAAGACGCAGCTTCGGCGAGGCCGCGGCGGGCGATCTCTTCAACCCTTCGATAAGGCCCCAGGCTCCTCCTGCCGTAAGAGCAACGAGATATGTCGTTCCGGTACCGTAACTAAGATCGTCAGACCATCCTCTTGATGGCAGAGCAGACTGAGAGCCAGGCAAATCGCTCAATGCCGAATCTTCGAGTGTCAGATAATCGAGGGTGTCTTGGTTTAGACCAGCCAGAGGGTGCAGCTCTGATGGGTCGGGAATGGCAGTATTAGAGAGAAAGGAGGTGACATCTGTAGCGGAGGTTGGATCGAATTCAGCGGTTCCAGCCGTCTGCTTTCGGCCTGAGATGGTGTCCCAGATAGACATGGCTGTGGATGTGGATTAAAAGAGTATTAAAAAAACTAATCAATGCTATAGAGAAATATGAAATAACGTCTCTGCGCAGGCCGCGCTCCTATTAACTGGTAGAAATGGCGGAAATGCTGGTTGACTGTGTTCTTCTTCTTCCTTTTCTTCCCTTTCTTCGTCTTTCGATCAAAAAGCGAAAGAAAAAAAAAAGTCGAGATGGAGTCACATGATGTTGATCTCTGTCACGTGCTCTTATCGCGTCTCCAAGAGAGAAAAAAGCGATAAAAAGAAGTATCGAAAATGCGGGATGAAATTTGATATTCGGCAGATAAAAGGGAAGATGGGTTCTTCGATGGCTGATCGTGGAGTGGAAGAGAAGGAGTTACCTGTGAGGAGCAAATTGGACCTTGATGAATATATTTTACTGGCCAAAGATATATCAAAAATTATACCAGAGGCAGATTTGAGAACCCTTACTCAAGGCCCCTTGAAACGCCTGCTACTAGAGACTGGAAGCTATGAGTGAGATATTATCCAGGCCAGCAAGGATACATGTTCAAGACCTGCCGCTAACCTGTCCCTAGAAAATCTCTTTCTCTATGGAGATGTCTCTTTCGTACGCTGGAGGACACAACACTCCCTATACCCCACCAAGCTTCAGTATGCAATGCTATCTGTGCATTTCTAGAGGCTGCTCTAACAGCAGAAGGCTCCGAAGTCTGTCAATTCGCTCAATCTGAAGTAACTTGGCTTGCTGTATTCGAGATATACCTCGATCGGTTCGAGTATAGCCCACCAAAGCCTATGAAGCAGCTACTAGCCACTCTCACAAATATCCTAGCCACACGTTGCGACCCAGATACTGCAGGCTCAATCCGCTCTTATTTGATTGAATCTGTGGTGAAAACCATTTTACTAGCTGAACCCTTGGCCAGGCTAAAGGCATCTGTGGTTTCCCTTCACTTTCTAATTCGAAAGGATGCTTTCCCTGTGGTGGATCTAATCGCCCACTTACAGAAATGGCTTCAAGACAATGTCAACAGTTGGACACCGGTTATAGGTGAACATGCAAATAATATTGGCCTGGACATATCTACGTTTACCAGTGGCGGGCATTCAGCGTCCGCGGCCGAGCAGAGTATGATAACTGCGCAACTGTTTTGCCTAGTTCTCTTGCTACATCTTCAAAATGCGAATGTAGTGACTTCGTCCGGTGCCCTCCTATCTCAGCTATGTTTTAAACTGAAAAAAGAGTCTGAAGATGGCCGGTTCCAGTATTCTGCGTCAGAAAATGGCGCGCCGTTCTGGGCTGCACCCCTCAAGTACTTATCGCTCCGGAACCTCGACAACCTCGATGCAACTATAAGCCTTGCGTTTCATTTACTATTCAGGGGACGCCCGGCTGAGTTTTCATCTTTCCTTCATGTTCTACCTCTAGAGGATCTAATATCAGAAAACTACAGCAATACTGGTACTGCTGAGTTTGCACTTCTAATTGCTGTACTTGAAACAGGAAAGGAGCTGGGGTTAGTGCATGAAGACCGTATGTATAACCATTTTTCCTTTCAAAATTGTCTATTATTCATCTAATCCAGGCGTAGAACCTCCAAACCTTTCTTCTTCCGACAAACATCTGGTCCTTGAAAGCCAAAAACTAAGGCTCCTTTTAATACATTCAAATGCTAAAATCAGAGTGCGGGTTTTATCATTGTTTGTATCTGCACCATCTACTACCAAACCTTTTTCCTCCGATGCTTTAACTATACTTAAAGAAATGTTCCCTTTTATCCACGCTGAGGCAGATGCTCACGTCCGAAGTGAGCTTGTTAGCCTAATTCGGAAACTTACTGTTCGGCTCAGGGGCGGTTCACCCCCCTGTCATCCAGCCTCAGGAGCGAATGAGACAGAACAGAGCGCTCCATATCTTGATGCACAATCGTTTGTATCTTGGTATATAGATTTCTTACAATCTGAGCTTAGACCCAACGCCTCTTATCAAACACACATTCTTGCATTGAAGGCTTTAGCAACAATTATTCAATCCGGCCTTGACCCCAGGATTGATCCCACGAAGCTCTCGAAAATTGGCAGTGATCAGAGAAATTGGCCATTTTCCAGGGACATCTTTACACCTAGCCTTTTCAGGGCTCTAGGAGATTTATTAACCAATCCTTATGAGGAAATCCGAATGACCTCTCTTATAATACTTGGATTATTCCCTATATCATTGATCAAGCCCCAAGCTACAGCGAGCACTAACTCTGGTATCAATGGCGGAACAGCTCGTCAGCCTTATAATCAACTATTGAACGCCCTGACAAGGGCGGAGGAGATGGCAGGCCAAACGAGCAGAGCTGACCATGCCGACGGCGTGGCTCGCATCTACCATTTCCTATTTGACCTGGCTGGCACCGGGCGTAGCCTGGAGAAGCAAATACGACTTTATGACTATAAGTACGATATAGTGGATTCGATACTCACAAAACTAGAAAAAATGGCCTCATTATCAGATGTAACGGCATTGCGTAATACCCCTATCCATGGTCATCTATCTGCACTAAGGTTCGTAATCCCAACACTTAATACTACCATCTGCACAGCTACTGATCATTTTCAGATATATAATGGCAACCTCTAACTTCCATTTACTCATATCATCTGAAAATGACTCCGAACCGGCCTGGAGACAAGTATTGAACCGGACTCTCCGTCTCTGCGAAACAATGTGGTCAGACGTTCAGGCAGTGCTGTGTGTTGATTCCCCGGAAAGGGAGCATGGTAATTCCTCCGTCGATCTACTAGGCCCTAAGGACATTCTATCGTGCTGTTGGCGTGCTCTTCGTGAATCCAGGTATGGCTTCCGTCTAAAACCCGTATGTTATGGAAGAGATGTTGACTGTCCCTAGCTTACTTCTGAATGCTATCCTATCAAACACTACATATGCTCCTTCAGGAACTCAGGAGGGTTTAAATTATGACGAGTTAGCGAGAATCGGTAGTCTCACGTTTTCTCAGCTGGCAGAACTACGACATCGTGGTGCATTCAGCGCGGTTTCCCAAACATTTGTCTCCTGTTGCCAGAGATGTAGTCTCTCAAAGGACAAAGCTGTTGCAGGTCTTCCTCAAACTTGGTTTAAAGTAAGCGTTTCTTTTACAATATCGTCTTATTCAATACGTTAACTTGACCGATAGGAAATATTGAGCACTATTCATGGTCAATCGGCCAAGCTTACCCGTCGGTCAGCTGGTCTTCCTGCATTAGCCCTTGGTGTAGCATCGTCTGCAAAGCGGCCGTTCTTCCATGAGATCATGGAAAATCTTCAGGTCATTGCCAAGATTCCGCCCACTTCTGTCTCGGAGCAAGTGGACGTGAGGCTTCCACAGGTACATGCTATGAATTGCTTAAAGGACATATTCACCGCGACAAATCTAGCTACAGTGACAGAAGAGTACTTAATGCCGGCACTAAGTATTTCTGCGGACTGTCTAGGCTCTGAAATGTAAGTTCTTCAGTTTAGCCCTTTCCTCTTACTGATGGATTAACTATTGATTATCTTTAGCTGGGCAATTCGTAACTGTGGTTTGATGCTATTTCGATCCTTGGTTCAACGAATGTGTCGACGAACGAACGGAGTTAACCTGGGGTTTGGTGTCCCCTCTGAATCTGAACCAAAGCAACTGATCCCCTTCCAGAGGTTTCCTGGCTTGATTCCGCTACTCACAGGTCTTCTTGAAAAAGGGGCAGCTAAGGGCTCCTCTGACAATACCTTGTCAGAGCAGCTATCGATTACCACGGAACGGGTATTCCCTGCCCTAGAACTGATTGGAAACAAGTTTCCTTCTCCTGCTTCAAGCGAAGATGAGCATATTCTAGAATCAATTTCGTGGCAGTTCGACAGTCCTGTATGGGGTATACGTGATCACGCCGCTAGGACATATGCTACTCTCGTTGACAGGGACGATATACTTTCTGCTGTATTAAAGTTATCACAGGTATCAGTACAGGGTCAGAACCAGCTACACGGAATGGGTCTCTGTATTAAATACCTTCTTCGACGAATATGGGCTGCTCCAGTGGCTTACTATCAGTGTAGGTTACCAGCTCACTCTCTTATATTATCCTACTAACAAACTTTCAGCATTACTTCCCGCCGTCATTTCTACCACTGATACGATGTTCACCAACTTAGGACAGCGGGTGTCGTCTCCTTTTACCCTCAGGGAATTGGTTGAGATCCTCAACGACCTCTTGCAGAGTGGAATAGCAAAAGGAACCGAAAGTAAAGTGGCCTACACGTCTCCATACTTATTTCCGACTAACTTGTACTAGATACTATTATTGAACATTTCGATGCTACCTCAACGGTCTTGCATCTGAACAAGGTCTATGCAAGCATCATGTCTAACGCTAAATCAAACACCTTAGTTGGGCAATCGTCATCCCTTCTCCTAGAGAGTATCACTTTTAGCTATTTAATGATGGGAGTGCTTCTCAGATCATCGATCGATGAGTTGGCCCAGTTTATCCAAACAGTCTCAAGTGTTGATATTGACGTTGGCGCATCGATATTGGAACGTTTCCATACAGCTTACTTCGGTCACTTGAGCTCTCGCAGTGACCGACTAAAACTGTATTGTCGCATTGTCTCAGAATCTCCTTCGAAGGATGCTAGGCTGGTTGCAATATCTAATCTTTCCGATGAACTTGAAGCAATCCAGGATAGCGCAGAAGAAAGTCACCAGACATTTAGCGAACTAGACTTCCTTATACCATGGTCCTCTGCGTTGCCCATTTCAGAAACTCCTGGAGAGCCTCTCTGGGGTCGTGAAATGGCTGATACCACCATCCGCCTTCAAGGATGTTTGCTTTCATTAAATATTAGGCGATATCCCAACATCCTCAACTCCGACTCTGCTGTTGCAAAACGCTTCAATAAGCTTATCAAGCAGTTATCAGCCTCAATGCGAGACGAGACAGTGAGTTAAATCCACATCTTGTAAGTAGAAGAGCATCTCTAACCACTTCTTAGGTTTTTACGACGAGACTTGCGGCTGTAACCTCTTTAAATTCCCTGGTTACTGGCCTTCGAGCTGCTAAAATGCTATTTACCGCAACACCAATACTGATTGATGCCATGTTTGTGCTGTACGATATGCTCAACGATGACGATGTTGAAATCAGAGAGGCAGCTACTCTTATATCATCCCAAGTCCTCATGGGTGATTCAACAATCTTCCGACTCCCTGCTGCTGCTGCCTCCGCCGTTGCAAGTTCGCTGACAAGCCAATACCCTGGGTCCTGTCAAGTATTTGAAGGCGCTCTTCAGCGCTTCCTTGGAGCATCCGACCAAAAGCGATTATTTGTCCCTGTGGCTGAGACACTGAACAGGGCTATGAAAGAATCAACAGCGTTGTTCGCGGAAGAGAAGCAAAATCTCTACGTCGATGAGGTTAGAGAGATCAAATTATGGAGTCAGCACCTCACCCTACTTGAAAATACCGCCATTAATAATCATCTATATCAGCCGTTTGGTACATGGGTTATGGAAGGACTGGGTTATCTAAACCAACAAGTGGCAGATCAAGCCAAAGACTCTATACTGGGCTGGACATCAAATATAGATATCTTTGTGACTGGTATTCGCGTTCTTTATGGAGCAAAAATGCTTTTACTCACAAATATACCAGGTTCCATTCAGATCAACACTACAGAACTGAACAACAAGCTCCAGGCCCTTTATGCCTGCACATGTTCCTCAGAGTTGCATCCTGCCTGGGTTTCTCTTCTACAGAGCCTGCTCGCAGAATTCAGGACAAATGCATCCTAGAAACATGCGGAAACATTGGGTTGCCACGGCGTTAGTATGCTATGACATCCTCTCGGCATTAAAAACATGAATAGCCTGATAGCATATATACCCACATTCTTACTGCATTTCCTACCCTTTGATTTTTATCTGCCACAAAGGTCTCAGATCTCGAATATCTACCTCCGGTAAGGTGAGCCGTACAAACTCTCATTAGCAAAGGCTAACCACAAGGACAGACAAGGGCTCAGCAAAATATTTCCACGAAGCAGAAGTTTTAACTCTTCCAGCAACCGGTAAGTGTCCTTCAATCTAACTGTAAGATGAAGCTAAAGTAAGTCCTTAATACGGAGTAGGCAAGAAATCTTAATATGACGGAAAACTATGTGATAGTTGTCCTCCTCCTGGCGACACCCGTGATGATTCTCGTGCTCTGGAAAATTGGTAGACGGATTCTAGAGGCAATCAGACATGGAATTCTCCTATCAAGGATGCACCAGGAAGCCCAAGCGGAAGAGGCAGCCCGTGTGGCTCGAGAGACCCAGCAAGCCGAGCAGCTTGCTGAGCTTAATGCGATCATGGCCGCTCAGCGTGGGTATCGTTATCCGCCGATTCGATATCCCATTCCTCAGTCTATTCAACAGCCTCAGCCAGCACAGATAGCTCGATAAATGCGATTTTACATTACAGCTACTGATATTGGAAGTTGGAATATGACCTCGTTGAACGTTGACGTTGGCTTTGACGGGTTAGAAAAGGAAAAGGTTGTATTTTCGAGATGTGGAGAATAGGTACAAGCATTTTGATATCTCTGGTGTGTTTTGATGTTCAAAGGGATATGAGGGAAGACACCCGTTTCTGTCCAAACAACAAACATTGGCAGACTTGACTTGATGAAATTTCTTTGAAGAGTTTTACTCCGCAAGCATCTCGATTGTCTACACCTAACAAAACAAGTTGTTTGTCCACCTGAGAGTTATTACGCACAGTCAAGTAGCATTCACTTCTTATACCCTTCATAGCACCGTCTCTTATTACATCCACGCTCGCCTTCTATGCCTTCTATGCATCACTCTGCTGTCCACTACTTCTCTGTGAGGGGCCTGTCTCATACTCCACATTAGGCTGCTTAAGGGCGCTAATATCAAGTTGATTCTAGCAGCGAGAAGACTGCCAGAACAAAGTCAACAAAATATGCCAGCTATTCTTCTAAGGCAACAACCAAAAGAGCCAACACCGTTTCCATCTATAGCACCGCGGGCTTCACCTACAGACTGGAACTCATGGACGCCATCACAGCAAGGAGGTGTCCTTGCAGCCTCTCTCCTACTGTTTCTCTTCTTTTTCGGTATAGGTATATTTCTCTGGCAACGTCGTCGGGGAAGGAAACGAAAGGAGAGACGGGGGTTAAAATCAAAGGGTAGACGACGAGGCCGCCGTTCGAAAAAGCGCCCAGTACCAGACAGCGCGTCTCCGCCACGAAAGAAAAAAAGAACAAAGAGAGTCAAACTCGAGGAGACAGGAGAAGAGGCAGACACGGATAAATTCCTGATGAAGGGAGCTGTAGAAACGCCCAAAAAGCTCACCACGGAGCAACCCGCAGAGAACCAGGACACGCCCGACAAGGTGAACGACATGGATCAGTGGGAGGGTATGGCAGCAAACCCGCTGCACGATACAGCAAACCTCCGGCTACAGAGAAGAAGGGAGAGAAGACGCGAGGCTCGTCGTAGAGCAGCTTCGGGGTATTCGTCTACTGCAGGAGAAGCTCTCAGGGGCGACGTTGATACCGCTACCAAGGCAAAGGAGACTCCAGAAACACCAGAAAGAAGTCCATGACACGATTCAAGACAAGATGTATCTTATCCATAGACTCAAGTAGACTGCTAGACATTGTAACTCTTGTCCACTGTGACGCCGTCTGTATCAGTTTCTTTTCCCTCGCCTATCGCGTCTATGTGCTCCGGGTGTTGCTGGTGATGTCATGGCTTGTCGTGGGGAACCGCGCGCCAAGAGCGTCAACTTCGACCTGTCGATACCAAAAGTCTTCCTTAACGACGAGCTATACGCAAAACTTGCCGGCATACATACTCTCACGGCCATCAGGTTATATATCCAAACATCTTACTGACATTCAAAAGAGGAGCTGCATTGGATATTACGCTTGCGACGGGCTCGTGGTATCATCTCGGCGAACTACTTATCGCAGCTGCCTGCATCACCATCTTCCAACCCGACAGACTTCGATAAACAGGCGATATAGCAACCAGAGAAGGCCCCTTAAGATGTGGAACGACGAAGATAATAATCCATATGGAGCGCTGGACCGCAACGAAGATCCTCTTGCAGGGTCCTTTCACCCTGCCGCAATGGCTCCCCGTAAGTCTGACCCTTACCTTGAGATTCTACTAGAGATAACAGACTGACGATATTTTGTTCTTACTATAGCCGCATATGAAGAACGCCCGGTATCCCCGGCCTCATCAAGGTCGTCCACTCGAGACCCGCCAGACTTTGTAACACGGACAGACACGCCCGATCTAGACGATGATGAAGACCAGAACGAGTACGGCGGCCAGCAGCACGGGCAGCAGCCATACCAACGCAAGAAGGGAATATACGATAGTAGAATAGAGCAAATTCTATACGAGAATCCAGAATTACCTATTCTTATCACTCATGCCGGAAAGAATAGTGAGACTGGCGGCAGTTTTATAGTATACACCATCAGGACCGGGGTGCGCAGCTGTCCTTTATTGTTGCTTCCGATACATTCCCTGCTAATAGCCGGTTTAGGACCTCGAGGTTAGGCGTCGGTATTCCGAGTTCAGCTCACTCCGCGCAACGCTAGTCAACCTTCACCCTACGCTGATAATCCCTCCTATCCCCGAGAAGCACACCATGGCAGAATATGCGGCCAAACCTACTAAGGCTAAGGAAGATACAGCAATCATTGAACTGCGGAAACGGATGTTGGCAGTGTTTCTGAATCGGTGCCGGAGAATGAGTGAAATCCGTGAAGATGGTGTCTGGTGGAGGTTTCTGGACCCCAATGCTAGCTGGGTACGTATCTAGCAGATAAATGGTTTTCGCACGGTATACTGACGACTTACCTAGGGCGAGGTACTGAACTCGCATCCAGCTGCATCTGTTCCTAAGAACAACCTCAAGGCTCCTCCACTAGACCCAGCTAACCCGACACCAGCTCATAACTGGCTGCCTGTCCCCTCGTCTTCTGCAAAATTGAAGCCCACGGCTTCGGAGGTTTCCTCCTCGGCTGGGGCTCCGTCATATATGAACAGGTTTCCGCCAACTTCTAAGACTCTCAGTGAACATGAATTGGATCCATACTTTGTAAACTTTGAAGCTTCTACCAGGGAGCTAGAGCTTCTTCTCCAGGGAAGCGTCGAGAAAGTGAACAGACGGACACTTACACATCTGACTTCCCTCTCGTCGGATCTCATGGAACTTGGCGCAAGGTATAACGGCTTTGCGCTTTCCGAGCAGTCTCCAACGGTTGCTGCAGCTATCGAGAGAGTCGGTCAGGCGGCGGATAACTCGTATATCGAGACAGAAGAGCTCTCGTCCTCCCTGGGAGCTACTTTCTCAGAGCCTATGCGAGAAAGTGCCCAGTTTGCTGGAGTTGTTAGAGGTGTCCTCCGTTACCGGATCCTGAAACGGATCCAGCAGGAGATAACCAGAGACGAGCTGAATAAGAAGAGCGCCCTATTAGATTCCCTTGAGCGAAGTGAGATAGAAGCACAGCGTATCGAGGAATACCTAAACAAGGGCAGCACAGGCACGTCTCCTAAGACACGACCAGGACGCTCTCTGTCAGAGACCTCGTCTGGCAGCAACCCCGAGCCAGCGCCAGAGTCTCCGCCAGCAAACGCAGAGGACACGGCCTCTATTGATTCTGATTTCCCTCCAACCCATGGCGAGCCCGTACACCGGCCATCTGCCTCGCAGGGTCTCCCCCATCGTCCCGTAGACTCAACGCCCAGCGGCCACCGCAAGTCATCAAGCGGCAACTTTGTCACCAACAAGATATTCGGGCGTATCAGCCATGCCATCCATGGCTTTGCAGACGTTGATCCCGAGCGGACACGTCGGGACCAAATCGGCAAGACAAAGGAGAGCCTAACGCAGGTACGTTGAGCCCATCAAACAAAAATATTAACCTCTCTCTAACACTTCCCCAGCTTGAGCAAGCCCTTAAGGTATCCGAGCAAGACGTCAAGGACGCCAGCAGCGGTGTTCTGCGGGATCTCAAACGCTTTCAAAAGGAGAAGGAAGACGACCTCCGCAGCTACATGGTATGCCTGGATGTTCGCCTTTCACCCCACCTGACTCTGATGCTAATATTCTATAGGTTGCGTATGCACGATGCCATCTTGACTGGGCGCGCAAGAGTCTCGAGACATGGACAGAGGCTCGAGATGAAGTCGACAAAATCGCTGTTCGGTAGCTGGGTTTCTACATGAGCAAGCCGAACATGTTATTCTTCGCCTTTAGCGTACGGAGAGGATAGCACATCGAACATTGGTTAATGTATACTTAATACTGTCAAAGCTTTGTGTCTATAACTGTTCCTCCTGTGTGACCGAACCTCCTGACAGCTTCCTACCAATAGAATAGGGGGTTGGCCTTATGTCTCTTAGCCAGCTCCAGGGACGACACTTAACACTGCAGGCCATCCCAATCACGAAGACAGTATCTTTATGCACGATCTGGAGATATACGGCAACATGCATGCCAGACCATAACATGGGTGCAGATATTCATATCCCTGGCTTATAGATGAATAGAGGCGGTACTCAGCACACCAATGGTCCATGTCCCGCCCGTCTATTGAGGATTATTCCCATTATTCACGCTTCTTGATACAGCCATGCCTATCTGAATGAAGCTTATAATAACCATGCCGCTTCAATAAGTAATATCAATCAATACTTGATGCGTGTTGACGAAGATACCATCATGACTGATCCAGTAGCTACTTTACTGCTCAGCACATCGCCTCCTTTTCTCGTCTCTAGCCACTCCGTACACTCTTCTTCTCTTCTTCTACTTCTTCTTTTCCTCTTCTGCTTTTCTTCTTCTTTTCTTCATCTGCTTCATCTTCGTCGCTTCATCCAAATCCACCCACGTGACCGGGCGCGAAAAAACGAGCAACACCGAGACTTCACGAACCTCGAGGCCGAAAAAGCACCAGAAAACATCGAACAAGAAGACGAGACGAAGGGAAACCAAGCCACAGCCTGAAGGACGCGAGAGAGCGAGAGAGCGCTGCGTTCGAGCCCGTCGCCTTGTCCCCGTCCAGCCTGTCTTTTCTCCTTTCCGGCCTTTCCTTCGCTTCCGCGCACCCAGCGTCCACGGATAGTTAAGCCAGCCGCCTGCACAGGTACATACAAGCACTTGCGACAGGCTCTTCGCCACCACCAGCAGAGGCTTCAGCAGCGGGAAGCAGGGAGGATACGCACCCTCAGCAGAGACTTCTGCCCCTTAGACCCGGAGCTCAAGGCTGTAAGGATGTCCTTTTGTCTCCCTTGCCATCTACACCTCGACGGAATCTCTGCGGGAGATGACCTTTTTTGTCCCCCCCTGCATGCATCCGCTGATATAGTTATGTAACTTCTAGGTGACCACCGCCAGCTAAAAAGCCCTCCGCGCCGTCTTCACGCTGATGTGAAACCCCCTTCTCGGATACAGACAAACAAAATCTTCACCGTCCATTCCAGAGCTGCCACTGGTTAGTGGGCAGCTCACCTTCACCACGCCTTCATCAAAGCGACGCAAGGTTGCCGCAGAGCTTCGCAAAGCTGGAGGCAACAAGGGCTTGTACTTCCTCAAAACATCCCCTCCCCGGAAGCCAAAGATAGGAAAGCGGTACGGCCAGTCCTCTTCGACGTTGGCCTTGTCCGCTCTGCCGCAGCCTGGCTTCTTCACCGAGCCGTCTTCGCCCTCTTCTCCGAGACTGTCGCCCGCCCGGTCCCTGCAGATAGACTCCTCACACGGAAGCGCAAACGATCAGTCGTCTACTGAAGACTGGAGGTCGACCACGGCAACAAGCTCTCCGACCGTTACGGACGGCGAGTCGACGCAAGACACCACCTGTTGGCCCATGCCATCGTCCAACAACCGAGCGGCCACTGCCGCCGCCGCAGCCGCCAGTGATCCCCCGAGGGAAGATGTCTCTATGACAGACGGCGGCGGCTCTCAGGACAACGGCAGTCCTCACGCTGTTCCACCGGCTGTTAAGAGGCCGGCTGCCGAGATGGGATCTGACGAACACGATACCGTGATGCAAACTGATTCGTTTATTTCCCATGAAGATAATGGCAACAACAGTAATAAGGCAGCAGGTAGCAAGAAACAAAACGAGCGTCTGAACCGGCACCAGCGTGAGGCCTCCGTTGACATGGTTGGAAAGGAGACCGAAACTGAGCCGCTCAAGGGAGGCTCCAAGAATGTTTCCGAAGCGAGCAGCTCTGGAACTGATTCGATCATCTACACCCCGTCGTCTAGCAGCGGGCAAACCCAGGCTTCACACGATGATAACAACCCTTCTGTCGACGAACAGGTTGCCCAGGTGATGCAGTTGATGCAGCAAAGCCCCACGGACAAGCAAAAGGGCTACATCGTATCTGCAACCTGGCTAAAGAGGGTTCTCTCCAGAAGTTCTACTCATCCACGCCCAGATAAAACTGATAAGCTGGCTGCGGAGGGGGAAATCGGCCCGGTTGACAATTCAGACCTTGTCCTTGTTACTGACCCAGATTCTATTTTCAACGATGAAGCGGGCGAGCCGTTTGTGCCCATGCGTCCGGGCCTGCAGATGGGCGAGGACTACGAGATCTTGCCAGAAGAAGCCTGGAACCTGGTGATGAAATGGTACGGCCTCTCAAAGCAGTCTCCTGCCATTGTTAGATACGCACACAACACCAACACCGAGGGGGACATGGAGCACATCCAGTACGAGCTCAACCCTCCCATATTCTCCATCCTCAAACTCTCTCCAAACGCATCAGAGGCAGAGAAGTCCAAACCCCCTGTCAGGTTCTTGGCCAGCCGCCATACCCCCTTCCAGCAATGGCTCAAGACTGCAAAGACCCTGGCATCCATCGACATGTCGACCAAGACCCGGGTCTGGCGAATCCTGGAGGGCCTCGGCAGTTCAGCCAATGTAACTCCGGCTGCATCACGAAGTGCATCCCCAGCGCCGGGAACTACCGTCTCCGCAAAGATTCCCAGCTCCATCTCTCTCAGCCTGGATGCGTTCGTCGGTCTGACCGAAGGCTCCCAGCGAGAGCTTGTGGACGTCAAGGACCAAACCGCGAATACAAAGTACAATGGCAAAGCGTCTATCCACGTCATTGGCCTGGGAAGTGACAACGTTATCGTCCTGGAGGAGCAAGTTGGTGGCCCAGCGGGCGGAGAGTGGCTCTCCGAAACGTCCAGGTCAAGCAACAACTTGACCGTCGGGGCGGGAACCAAAGCCAATGTCCAGAACAGGCTGAAAAACAAAAGCTCTTCTGGCAGTGGACGGACATCGCCTGCTCCTTCAATCGTTACTCGAGGACGACGGCGTAAGGATGGCAAAGCCCGAGGAGTGACTGGCCTGAGCAACCTGGGCAACACATGCTACATGAACTCGGCACTGCAGTGTGTCCGCAGCGTCGAGGAGCTCTCTCATTACTTTTTGAGTAGGTTCTATCTTAAAAATAACCCCCATGCCGTGTTCTCGGAACTGACGTTATATAGTGGGCGAATATAAAAAAGACTTGAACCCAAGCAACCCGTTATCTCACAACGGGGACGTTGCCAAGGCGTATGCAAATCTGCTCCATCAGATATTTGACGTCCAGGGCTCAGCTTCGTTTGCTCCACGGAATTTCAAAGTTACCATTGGCAGATACGGCCCCTCGTTCTCTGGATATGGACAGCAAGACTCCCAGGAATTCTTGCTCTTCCTTCTGGACGGGCTGCAGGAGGATTTGAACCGTATCCAAAAAAAACCGTATATCGAGAAGCCTGATTCGACTGACGAGATGGTTCATGATAAAGCAGCTCTCCAGCGCTTTGCGGACCGGTGCTGGGAGATCTACAAGGCCAGAAACGACAGCGTGATTACGGATTTGTTCTCGGGAATGTACAAGTCTACTGTGGTGTGTCCGGACTGCGACAAGGTCAGCATCATCTTCGATCCGTTCAACAACCTGACGCTGCAGATTCCGATTGAGAACAGCTGGAGCCACAAGATCATGTTCTTCCCGCTGCACAAGCCTCCAGTGAACATCGACGTGGACATGGACAAGAATTCGGGCATCAAGGCGGTCAAGCAGTTTATTGCGCAGAAGATGAATGTCGACGCGGAACGACTAGTGATGGCCGAGATCTACAAGTCGAAGTTCTACAAACTGTTCGACCACAGCCAGAGCATAGCCGACCACCAGATCAGCGACGCAGACACTATTGCGATGTACGAGCTTGATGGTGTGCCGACGAGCTATAACCCGGACAAGCCACGACGCTTCCGCTTCTCGTCCGAGGAGCCTGCTGTTGGATTCAACTCGCCCAAAGCGGACCGGATGCTGGTACCAATCTACAACCGCAGCCGGATGCGGCGTGGGTTTGGCCCGAGCCAGCGTGCATTCTTTGGAGTGCCGATGTACGTTGTGATTACACGTGAGGAAGCGTATGACTACGATGCGGTGCTGCGGCGAATCCTGGCACGAGTGGCCAACCTGACGACGCGTGACATCCTGCGAGAGGACGACGGGCTGGGCGTGACGAGAGGGAACCAGGCCGTTGCTGAGGATTCAGACACGGTTGTGATGAATGAGGATGACACGCAGGCATACGAGCAGACGATCAAGGCCAGTTCCGTCGAAGGAGAAGACGGGCTGGTGGATGTGTCGATGCGAGATGCCGACGATCAGGACGAGGCTGCAGCGGGTACCAACAGCAAAACCAACAACACCAACCACAAGGGTGATAAAAAAGAGACGGCGGAGGCGGATGAGCTGCCACCAGTGCTACGGCGGGGAAGCTTTATTCCGCCGATGCTGCGCAATCTCTTTACCGTGCGGTACATTGCAACGAACGACAGCGAGCCCACGGGATTCTCGACCATCAACGAGGCCCGCGAGTACCCCCTGATGGAGTCCCGTGTGCCCAACGGACGAAGCAGCAGCGGTGGCAAGTCGGTGTTTGGACGACGGTCAGACAACGACAGCGTGGTGAGCAGCAAGGACGAGCTGAGCGGACCCGCGCAACCGGTCAACCTGATACGGACACGAGCAGCGGCAGCAGCGGCAGCAGCAGACGACGAGATGTCGAACAACTCCAGCTCCGCCGAGACCAAGGACGACAGCGGCTCTGAGACGGACTCTGACCGTATGGCCGATGCTACGAGCCTGCTGCGGTCAGGCAAGGCACGCAAGCAGAAGGGCAAGAAGCAACCACCACCGGTCGTGCGCCGGCTGCCGTACGTGAAGCCAGGCGACGTGATCGTGCTGGACTGGAACGAGGAGACGTACGACGGGGTGTTTGGTGACGAAGACGAGCTGTACGGGGAGGAAGAGGGAGACGGCTGCGCGGACGACCTACATGGAAGAACGTGTCTGACGTGGTCGACCCGGAAGTGACGAGCAAACGACAGCTTCGGTCGCGCAAGAAGAAGCGCGGCATCACGCTGGACGAGTGCCTGGACGAGTTTGGGCGGGAGGAGATACTGTCTGAGAACGATGCGTGGTACTGCCCGCGGTGCAAGGAGCATCGGCGGGCGAGCAAGAAGTTTGAGCTGTGGAAGGCACCGGACATTCTGGTGATGCATCTGAAGCGGTTCAGCGCGAACCGGATCTTCCGGGACAAGATCGATGCGGTGGTCGAGTTCCCGCTCGAGCTGGACATGAGCGGGCGGGTGCAGATGGTGGAGGAAGGGGAGAGCATGATGTACGATCTGATAGCGGTCGACAACCACTACGGAGGGCTGGGCGGCGGCCACTACACTGCCTACGCCCGGAACTTTGTCGATGGCCTGTGGTACGAATTCAACGGTGAGTCTCTTTCTCTTTCTTCTACTATCTCTATCTTCTACTGTGGTGTTAACGTTGGTAGACTCCCACGTGACCATGAAGCGCGACCCGAGCAGCGTCGTGACAAGCGCCGCTTACTTGCTGTTTTACCGCCGGCGCTCGAACGTCCCCCTCGGCGGCTCGTTCCTGGCGAAGCTGACGGAGCAAGCGCACGACCGGGGCAGCGAAGACTCCGGCAGCGACAGCGAGTCACGAGCAGGAGGAAGCGAGTCTCGAGGAGTAAGTACCGGCGTGTCGGGGGAAGGCAAGCGTCTCGGTGGGCTCTCCCGCAATGGGTCGTCGAGCGCTTTACACGGAGCCGCAGCAACTCGCCAGTCGGGAGATGGTGGTTTGCCAACAGATGAGCAGCTAAATGAGCAGCTAGACGGGGACGAGGACGAGGAGGACGAAGGGTTCAGCGCACGCTTCCAGGCCGGCAGCGCCATGTACGCCCAGCAGCCGAGCTGGTCGTACGACCGACTGGCGAACCACGGCGTGGGGGACGAGGACGGAGGAGAAGAGGACGAGATCTCACGCGTCTTCCCTCCGCCCGGCTCGAGCTATGCGGACGACGGGGACGACGTGGCCAGCACGCAGGCGGAGAGGGGGGAGGCCGACCTGAGCGAGTTCGACCGGTCGTTTGAGCTGGACATGGGCGAGGGGGCCGACGAGACGGGCATGGTCTTCTCCAGCATCCTGGACGACGACCACCTCGGCCACCATGACCGGAGCGGCAGCAACGCCGGCCTGGGGAACGACTATGACGACTGTCCTGCGGTGGTAGAGGTGCGAATCGATGACGAATAAAGTAGAGCGGCAAGCACTCCGTAAGAGGAAGAGGACGTACGAGTAAAAAAGAAACGAACTTAAAAAGTCTACAGCATCATACATAGGCGTTAATGCTAGATCTCTCTTTTCTTGTCTTTTACTCTATCGATCTCTCTCATTTTCTCTTTTCTTGCCTCCTACTACCGACTCACTGACCTCATCGACTCGCTTACTGCCGAGTATCAGCCTCGGTGCCACCCCCTGACCATCCTTATCCTTATCTTGGTATCACATCCGGTCCGGCTCAGCCCTGTCCTGTGCTAGTCGATGACCTAGTCTCTGGCCTTGTCTCTGGCCCTTGTCCTACGCATCAGACTTTTCACTCCGAAACTTTTCTCTCTGCTTGCTTTTTCCCAACTTTTCTCCAACTCGACCAGTCACGAACCCAACCGGAGCATGTAAGGGGCAAAAACCCAAGAGGAAGAAGAAGAAATTTTCTGTTCCTTCGTCCAGCCAGCTCAGCCCAGCCCAGCCTCGTCCCCATCCATCTCCATCTCCATGTCCCATTTCCCCATATCCCCCATATCCCCATATCGTAGTCCGTCCACAACCCCATGGGGTAAACAAATAAACAAACACAAGCTGGGTTAGCTAGTGGTAGCGGTGGTCTTCCCTCCGGCAAAAGTGAGAAAGGGCACCAGGGCAGACAGGTCTTCTTTTCCTCCTGTCGAGGTACCTGTAGCTGTAGCTGTCCCTGTCGACGTGGCTGTGGATGCAGTGACCGTTGGCTCGTCCGGCATGCCAGGCGAGATCTTGATGCCCGACGAAGGCGTTACACCGGTGGAAGCAGGAGAAGCAAGAGATGCCCTGTTGAAGCCTCCGAGGGAGATGACGCAGCTTAGGACCAGCAGGACGGCCAGCACCAGCGCCAGGAAGAGTATCACCGCGTTAAGCACGTCTGTCCTCTTCTCTGGCTTCTTCCTCTTCTTTATCCTGTCTATGTCTATCTTGTGTACGAGTGTCCTGTCTGTGTCGTCTTCTGCTGTCCTGAGAAGGCCTCCTATCGAGGTCACTGTCGAGTCACTCGGAGCAGCAGCCAAAGTACCATCATTATCATTATTACCAGTAGAAGTAGAAGTAGCAGCATCAACAGCAAAAGGAGAAGGCCGCGAGTAGACAGAAGAAGCAGGACGCGCCATAGAAGAAGTAAACAGAAGTAGCAGTAGAAGGCAGCCTCTCTCTCTCTCTCTCTCTCTCCCTCTCTCTCTCTCTACCACCACCACCACTTCTACCACTTCTTCCCTTCTTCCCTTCTACTTCTCTACTCACTCACTACCTTCACTCTCCTTTCTTACTTCCTGCTCTAACTTCCTCACCGCCACTCGCCTTGACTAACTTTTGCCTTTTTGCTCCTGATCTTCCTCTTCTCCTTTTCTCCCTCGACTTTTCTCTACTTTTGTCTACTTCCAGCTACTTCTGTCTACTTTCCTGTACTTCTTGTCGACTTCTTGTCTTCCTCGGCTTTTTGGTAGGTAAAAAGCGGCACGAGATGGCCTGCCTCTTGCGGCCTAGTCTGCCAGCGTCTCTTCTTGGCATCTGGGGTAAAAACCTTTGCTTAGTCACTGCTGAGTCACTCCCTTAAACAAGCGAGCCCCTCCTTCTGCTTGCGGCGGGCGGTGAGCCGTTCTGCCCGCGGGGTCACTCTTTGTCACTTCTTGTACCGTCTTGTCACTTGCTGTAACATTACATGAGTCAGCCTCCCGCCAGCCAATCACAAGTCCAGTATCGCCCACCTTCCCCCTTTCGGCTGTAAAACTTTTGCTTCTTTTCCGCCTCGTGAAAATTTCAACTGCTGACATAAGCATGACCTCAGTGAAAATTTTTTTCTTTTCTTCCGCCGCCGAAATAAAAAGCGACTCCTCGACTTCGTCTTCTTCCTCCATCTTCACATCCAACTCTCTCTTTACATCTCTCTCTTCTCTCTATCACCATCTCTACTCTTATCACTTCTACCTCTACCTCTACTTCTACCTGCGAGAGGGATACTTGGCTTCGTTGCAGCTGTCTCGAGCTGCCGTGACCTGGTCACCGTCCACCACGTCTTCCTCGACTCCCCCTTCACCAGCAACCATCACCTCCACGATGCCTGCAGTCGCCGTTGCGGACTCGACTCCCGCTCAGTCGGCCAAGGAGGCGGCCAAGTCAGTCGCTGTCCTCGACGAGCTGCTCAAGAGCCTCTCCGTCTCCAAGTCCGCCGACGAGTCCAAGGCCGCCGCCAACAACATCGCCTCCCTGCTCAACGGGCCAACCGAAGAGCACGTAGTCCCAGCCAGGTAGGTCTATGATACTCACGATATAACTATTCAAAAGACACCTGCTAATGAGGAGTGTAGAGCCGTCGAGAGCTTGAAGAAGCAGCTCGCCAGCAAGAAGGATGTCTCTGCTCGTGAAAAGGCGCTGGACGCCATCCTCGCCATCGCACAGCACTCCTCCGTCTCGCCCGCCATGGAGCCCTACATCCTCGCCCTGCTCGGTCCTACCCTGGCTGCCGTCAGCGACAAGATGAACTCGGTCAAGGAGCTGGCCCAGCAGGCTGCTCTCGCCATCGTCAAGTCCATCAACGCCAACGCCGTCAAGGCTGCCCTCCCCGCCATCGTCAAGTCCATCCTCACCGCCCAGAAGTGGGCTGAGAAGATGACCGGCCTCGCCTGTATCGAGGCCCTTGTCGAGGCTGCTCCCACTCAGCTCGCCACCCGTGTGCCCGACCTCATTCCTGTCGTCTCAGAGTCCATGTGGGACACCAAGCCAGAGGTCAAGAAGGCCGCCTACGCCACCATGGAGAAGGTCTGCGCCCTCATCTCCAACAAGGATATCGAGCGCTTCATCCCTGAGCTCATCAAGTGTATCGCCAAGCCGGAGAACGTCCCCGAGACCGTTCACTTGCTCGGTGCCACCACCTTCGTCACTGACGTCCACGAGCCTACCCTGGCCATCATGGTCCCCCTGCTCGACCGTGGTCTGGCCGAGCGTGAGACCGCCATCAAGCGTAAATCCGCTGTCATCGTCGACAACATGTGCAAGCTTGTCGAGGATCCCCAGATCGTCGCTGCTTTCTTGCCCAAGCTCATGCCCGCCCTCAACAAGAACTACGATACCCTTGCTGACCCCGAGGCCCGTGAGAAGACCAAGCAGGGTCTCGACACCCTGATCCGTGTCGGTGCCGTTGTCGATGGCAAGATCCCCGAGGTCTCCAAGGCCGGTGACATCGAGACCGTCTCCGCCATCCTCCGTGACTTGCTCGAGGCCAAGCACAAGGCCCAGATCGAGCCTGCTGCTGCCACCATCGAATACATTGCTGCCATCGCCGGCCAGCTCATCGACGAGAAGGTCGTTGACGTTGCCGACTGGACTGAGAACATCCTTGCTTACCTGACCGCCATCGTCGGTGAGGCTGAGGCCCGCCCCATGGCCGATGCTCTCCGCAAGCGTGCCTCCCCTGCTGCCGCTGCCGAGACCGAAGTTGAGCCCGATGAGGAAGAGGGTGAGGATCTCTGCAACTGCACCTTCAACTTGGCCTACGGTGCCAAGATCCTCCTTAACCAGACCCATCTCCGTCTTAAGCGCGGCCAGCGCTACGGTCTGCTCGGACCCAACGGTTCCGGCAAGTCCACCCTCATGCGCGCCATCAACAACGAGCAGGTCGAGGGCTTCCCCAAGAAGGACGAGGTCAAGACCGTCTTCGTCGAGCACGACCTCGACGCCGCCGATACCGAGCAGACCGTCATCGGCTGGACCGAGAAGAAGCTCCGTGACGTCGGCATCACCACCGATGTCTCCTCCATCATGGAGCAGCTCGTCGAGTTCGGCTTCGTCCGTGAGCAGCTCGAGTCTCCCATCACCTCCCTCTCTGGTGGTTGGAAGATGAAGCTCGCCCTTGCCCGTGCCGTCTTCGAGAAGCCTGATATCCTCTTGCTCGACGAGCCCACCAACCATCTCGACGTCAAGAACGTCGCCTGGCTCGAGCAGTACCTCACCAACTCCCCCTGCACCTCCATCATCGTCTCCCACGACTCCAAGTTCCTCAACAACGTCATCCAGCACGTCATCCTCTATGACCGCTTCAAGCTCCGCCGCTACCGTGGTGACCTCACTGCCCTCGTCAAGCGTGTCCCCTCTGCTCGCTCCTACTTCGAGCTCGGTGCCTCCGAGATGGAGTTCAAGTTCCCCGAGCCCGGTTTCCTCGAGGGTGTCAAGACCAAGGCCAAGGCCATCGTCCGTGTCAACAAGATGTCCTTCCAGTACCCCGGCACTTCCAAGCCCCAGATCAGCGACATCACCTTCCAGTGCTCGCTCGGCTCCCGTATTGCCGTCATCGGTCCCAACGGTGCCGGAAAGTCTACCCTGGTTAACGTCCTGACCGGTGAACTCATCCCCACTTCCGGTGATGTCTACCAGCACGAGAACATCCGTATTGCCTACATCAAACAGCACGCCTTCGCCCACATCGATAACCACCTCGACAAGACTCCCTCCGAGTACATCCAGTGGCGTTTCGCCACCGGTGAGGACCGTGAGACCATGGACCGTGCCAACAAAATCGTCACCGACGAGGACGAGAAGGCCATGGACAAGATCTACCGCATCGACGGCTCCCAGCGTCGTGTCATCGGCATCCACTCCCGCCGTAAGTTCAAGAACTCCTACGAGTACGAGTGTTCCTTCACCCTCGGTGAGAACGTCGGCATGAAGAACGAGAAGTGGACTCCCATGATGACTGCCGACAACGCCTGGATCCCCCGTACCGAGATCCTCGCCTCCCACGCCAAGATGGTCGCCGAAGTCGACCAGAAGGAGGCCCTCGCCTCCGGTCAGTTCCGCCCCTTGGTCCGCAAGGAGATCGAGACTCACTGCAGCTTCTTCGGCCTCGACGCTGAGCTCGTCTCCCACTCCCGCATGCGCGGTCTCTCCGGTGGCCAGCGTGTCAAGGTCGTCCTTGCCGCCTGCTCCTGGCAGCGTCCTCACTTGATCGTCCTCGACGAGCCAACCAACTACCTCGACCGTGACTCCCTCGGTGCCCTCTCCAAGGCCCTCAAGTCCTTCGAGGGTGGTGTCATCATCATCACTCACTCCAAGGAGTTCACCGAGAACCTCACCAGCGAAGTCTGGGCCGTCGTCGACGGAAAGATGACTCCCTCAGGCCACAACTGGGTTCAGGGCCAGGGCTCCGGTCCCCGTCTCACCGACAAGGGCGACGATGAGGAAGACAAGTTCGACGCCATGGGCAACAAGATCGCCGCCTCCAAGAAGGCCAAGAAGCTCACCTCTTCCGAGCTCCGCAAGAAGAAGAAGGACCGCATGGCCCGCCGCAAGAGAGGCGAGGAGGTCTTCTCCGACGAGGACGACTAAACGTCTTCTCCTTATCATCTCGATTGTTTCCTGCATCATAATCATAGACGGTCGGAGGCGATTCTTACACCAATACCACGGTACCCTACAAAAAAAGAGGAGCGTTATAGAAAAAGTTCTTTTCTCATGTTGATGATTTCTTTTCCCTTTTTCCTTTTCCCTTTTCATGTCACGGTTTAATGCATACATGTCCCCCGCTAATCAATCGGCATCCATCAATTTCTTGTTTCTTGTCTCTAATTGATTGACCTGTTTTTTACCCGGCGTCATTGGATGGATGCGGATGGGATTTTCTATTTCATGTCTTTTCCTTCTTTTTTTTTCTCTTTTTCTGATTGATGAGATTAATTCTTTTTCTTTGATTATTACTTCCCCTTTCATAGAAGAAAATTAAACGATACAATTTCATTTTTCATTTCTCTTTCACTTTGTCTCCTTGTGGGTGGTGGTGGTCACTGACTTGATTGGATTGCTGACTAGAGATGGATAGAAGAATTAGATGGTGATAGAAAATAGATAGATAGTTAGATAGATATCTGGATGATGAATACATCTATTCACTTCATTACATCCTGTTCCTGTTCTTGCTCCTTTCAATTCTTCCTACGCTCTTCAGACCTGCAGCTTTATGCACCGTCTATCTCATCTCATCTTATCAATCTAGTGGGGCTCAAGTGAGAAAAAGCCCTAAAACTTTAAATTTTCATCCCTCCTCGAGCATATCAAACACCATCACCACGCATACACGCATACATACATACTTGCATACACATGGAGTAACGCCGCAGCCTATTTACAGCCACTGCCATACTCACGATAAACGGTAGCCAGGCAGCTAGGCAAGATGGCACCGGCTCTACCAGCAACATACGATACCCTCTTCACATCCCCCTCCGCCCCTCCCTCTTACGACTACGACTCCCTACACCCCACAGAAGAAGAATGCATAGCCATCCTATCCCACGAATTCACACAAGAAGTGACATACCACGACATACTAGATGATCAAGCACAGTGCTTAGCGGAGGGAACTACGTCCTTCGCCTCCCTGATACACACACGCATATCAACCCTCTTATCCGCCGCAGACAGCCAACGAGACCAACTCAGATCGAAACTACTTCACACAGCCTACGCCGCGCTCTATGCCTTCTTACAAAGCAACGTCACCGGCCCCCCGCTGAATAGCGGCGCAGGCGTTGCTATTCTATCTAGCAAGCTTGATGCAGCCGCTGTACGAGCACGTATGATTCGCGATCTATCCGTCGACGGCGAAGCAGTATATAAGCGTATTCCAGCCGTGGAGCTATTCGTTCTAGCAAAGAGCATATTCGCCCATGAAGACGTTGTTCCGAACCAGCTTAACCATGGCGCGGACCTGCTTGGTTTCACGGGCCGTATGCGAGTCACCTTCCTACATCAGAAAATGCTAGGAGAAAACTCAGATAGTCTCTGGGAAGAGATAAGTGCGGACCTTGAGCGGGTTGCTGGTGTTGTGCTGGCGGGTGAAGGGGTGGCGGAGAGGGTACGGTTCATGCTTGAGCGGGCAGTGATATATACGCATCATGGACTTGATGGGAAAGCGAGAGAGGATCTGCTACGAGCTGCGGGAGTGAATGGGTTTGAATTCGCGTTGACGGGGAAATTGGGCCGACGGACGAAGTTCCAGGATAGGGATATTAGCCAGTTGGTTGTTTTGGCTAAGAGCGCTGGTACGGATGCAGATGGGTCGGGTGAAGGTGGGAAGAAAGAACCTAAGAACCTTGATCTGAATGATGATACGCTTCTGGAGTCTATTGCGTTTAAGCAGGATATAGATACACAATCCCAGTCCCAGGCATCGGTGGATGTGAAAGATAGCTCTTCGCTACCTGCTGGTCTGGCTTCGTTGGACGCAGCGAACCAACCCCGTCTTAACCCGCTAGACTCGATCATTTTGCTCTCCCTTGCTTCAGCAATCACGAATACATCCCCTGAAGACGGGCTGACGCGTGAAGAAACAATTCCCTACGCCGTACGTGTTCTGGAGGGAGGCAGCTCGAATTGGCAGGTCTATTCACAGGCTCTACTCGTTCGAAGCAGGATAGAAGGATACCGTACTCGAACCGTTGAGCGGTCTGTACTTCAGCTGCAGGCCCTGGTTGACCAAGTCATCGCCGACACAGCCAGTGATACCCCTATTCCAGCTGCGTCAGGAGAAGTCGCAGAGGCATCTACAGAGCAGCCAACAACATTCTTACCTCGGCCAGAGGCGTCTGAGTCTGCCCACGCAGCTGAAAGATTACAATATATCTGGCTTCTCAACTTTTCTACCCGGTGGAACCTTGAGTCTGAACTGGCGCAGCGATGGGTTGGTCTAGGTGCCCTACGAACAGCGCTGGATATCTACGAACGTTTACAAATGTGGGCTGAAGCAGCACTCTGCTACGCCGCGACAGACCGAGAAGAAACGGCCAAACTCATGGTCAGAAAACAGCTTTACCAACGCACCAATCCTGACTCCACAGATAAAGATGAAACAGACACATGGCAAGGCGCAGAGCTAGCTACTCTGCCACCAGACGCTCCACGACTGTTCTGCATACTAGGAGACATCGACCGAGATGCAGCAATGTACGAACGAGCCTGGACGGTATCCAATAAGCGCTATGCACGCGCTCAACGTTCTCTGGCCAGACTGTACATGCAAGAAAAGCCACCGAACCTAGTCAAGGCGGAAGAAGCGTACAAGCTCAGTCTGGCGGTGACCAGACTCAACCATGCATCCTGGTTTGCCATTGGCTGTATCCAGCTCGAGCTGGAGAAGTGGGAGGATGCAATCGACTCCTTCACCAGGACAGTTCAGCTGGAGGAAACAGATGCAGAGGCCTGGAGTAACCTTGCCGTGGCGCTGCTCAACGCGCCCGCCAGAACAATAGCCACGTCGGCACTACGAGACATCCCTCGTCCGAAACCACTAGATGATGAAGAAGAGGAAGCTGAAACAGACCGGCATGATGAAGAGCTAGACATCTACAAGCAGAAGCGGGATGCGCTAGCCGCTCTGCATAGGGCTGCTAGATTCAAACACACCGACCACCGTATTTGGGATAACATCCTTACAGTTGGCGCCTCGATACCACCTCCCGTCACGCCCTTCCGTGACGTGCTACTTGCTCAAACACGCCTGATTGAACTTCGCGGTGAAAAGGACGGCGAGAAATGCATCGATATACCCGTTGTAACAGCTCTAGTTAGGACTCTAACCACCCCACGAGAAGGAAGCAGTATATCAATAGCCTACGATCCGTCCGCCATCGGACCAGGCTCGATACACGCAAAGCTACTCCGTCTATTCGACGAGAAAATAATACCCCTAATCACCCACTCTCCTGAACTATGGCTTTTAGTAGCTGACCTCGAGAGATGGCGCGGTCGACCCTCGCAGGCTCTAGCGGCTCATGAGAAAGCATGGCGTGCTACCATCGCCTCATGTGCGCAGGGAGCATACCAGATGGGTGAAGAGGGGAAGTGGAACGACATCGTCAAGGCTACTGAGACGCTTGTTCGAAAGGGGTATGCTGTTTATGGCGGGATGGATAGGGAGGTTGAAGACGGTTCGAAAGATGCCGAACCTGAACTCGTTGCTAAGGACTGGAGATTCAAATCTCGTAGTGCAGTTAGGGGGATATTAGGTAAAGGCAAATCTTTCTGGGACGGCAACGAAGGATGGACTAGACTCGATACCCTCTTGAAGGAAGTCAGTGGCCATTAGCCTTCTATATGGGCGGGTTTAACGGGTAGGCCCACTACGCTGGGTTGGACCCGCTCATATGGAAGTCTAAAGCCAAACTACACAAAAAATAGATATAGACACACATACAAACAAAAGAATCAAAGACAGCAAAAAAGATACCAGCGACAAAATATACACTACTTCCTATACCACATCCTCGTCGTCCTCTGTCTCGAAATCTTCTTCTGCAACTGCAAAATTCCATACATAAATGCCTCTGCCGTCGGCGGACATCCAGGCACATACACATCCACAGGAACCAACCTATCCACGCCTCTAACAACACTATAGCTATAATGATAATACCCTCCTCCATTCGCACAACTGCCCATACTAATCACCCACTTCGGGTCCGGCATCTGGTCATATAGCAGCCTCAGAGCCGGGCCCATCTTGTTCGTCACCGTGCCCGAAACAATAAGCACATCTGCCTGGCGTGGCGAGGCCCGGTAAATGATACCCATACGATCTAGATCGTAGCGAGGCATGGAGAGAGCCATCATTTCTACACCGCAGCATGCAAGGCCGAACATTAGGGGCCATAAGGAGCCTTGACGAGCCCAGTTGGTGATTTGGTCAAGCTTAGTACTGTGTATGTACGTTAGCCGCGTGTGATTAGTTTAGGGCGAATAGGGGTTTATGCGTACACCATATGCCGAAGAGGTGTAGGCTCTTCTCCCTGACTTGGTAGAGGGACTTCTAGTCTTTTAGGACGAGGTACCAGGGCCTTCGAACAGGTTGCATTAGTTTGTCCGGCGGTAGTAGCTGGCATTGTGGAGGCTCTTCTGGCCTTCACGACCACTGGAGAGACGCATTGAGGCTGAAAGACGAGTTGGTGTCCGGTATGTCGGCAGAGGGCTATATAATATCATCTTGAGACGTTAGCAATGTTAAAGACAAACTTGACGGTTTGACCTAATTTTGAGAAAGGGGTGCTAGCCTTGTGCCTTGGTAAGAGGCCTCATCCTCATGGTAGATCTCATAGTTATACCAACCAACCTGCAATGAAGGACAGTAAACAGTACCCGCAGCAGTACAGAGCGGTTGGAGCAAATATGTTGAGAAAATCCTTCATTTCAGCTGCATTCCAGTATATATGGTAGAATACCTCGCAACCGTTACCGAATATGGTAATCTTTGCGTATTCTCGGCGTGTCGGGAGATATCGGAACCGATATAACAGCATTGAGCCCGGGGATAATATGTGAATGATTCGTATATATAGAGTAGTCGGGAGACTGTTTACTCCGTCTGACTAGCTTCTGTATCATATCTCTCGCAAGCTAAGATCCCCGATCCGCCGATAAAAAATGCGGAGAGCAGTCTTGGCTATGTAGTTATATAGTTATAGATGGACCACAGACGATAGATATATTACAAAACACCAAGACAGAAGCTCCACCAACAGTTCAATTATTTAGAAGCCTTCATGTCATTAAGCATCGCCTGGCTATAAAAAAAGACATACAAGAACGGACCCCAATTTTAATATCCAAAACCCCATATTCTCAATTATCGTCAAAGTCTTCGTCCTTTTCACCTCGCCATAGGAGAAAGCACACGGTTACAATCGCTTTAATCCCGGTAGCTAGCCACAATGAAGCAGACAAACCACCTACTTTCGACAAGCCACCAGAAAGCATGGCACCGGAGAAGGCTGCTAGTAAGGTTAACAGCCGTCGAGTGCGGAAGTCAGTTAGTTTCCATCGTGGGCGGAAGCTAAAAAGCTTCTTGTCCATGAGCAAGTCACATAGCAGCGTCGTCAACACAATAGTCGGTATCTCATCTATGCCGAGCAATCGTGAAGTGACGATTTGGCCGGCAGCCTGGAAGGCCAGGATGGTGATGGGTAGAACTTGGATCCAGTGGACTCCGTGGGTGGAGGCCTCGATGTTTGAGTCCACCACTCCTGTCTGTACAAGGATGCTGGATATGAGAATTGCAGTGGTTTGGAGGGTAAAAGAGGCAACTAGTGTTGATCGTCGAAGTGGACGCAGAAAAGCAGAAGCGTATCTAAAGAAAAGGACTCCGATAGCAAAGGCTCCGATAGCAAGCAGGGACTTGGCCCATCTGTTCGGAGGAGTAGGTGGTTGGCCTGAGACCCCTAAGGCAAGAAATACAACGTTTCCTGAACACATGGGGTCAGCATAGTGACTAGAAAGCATTTATTAGGGGGCAAAAGCATACCTGTCTGCATATTCGCAAAACTGCCCCAGGCATTAAAGGCGGCACTATCGATAACACCAGAAATAAAGGCACATGCTATCAATAGTATCTCGGTGCCAGCTGTGTTTATATCTCTCTTGAAATGCCGTACTATGCCCCCCTCTGATCTCGATGATGCCTCTACGTCATCCGCCCAGCCGGTGACCATGGTCAAGGATGAGTTCCCTGACGGGATCGGCCCAGGACGTACTCGAGCAGGTGGGGACTGTAGAGCTCGTTCGACATCATCGTTGAACGTCTTCTCGTTTATTTTGGCTGGAGGAGAGTTCACGGTGACGACTGAAGGGGTAGAAGTGGTGTCAAACCTCACGGATTGTTCTGTTATTATTATCCTTGACATCTTGATAGAAAGCAGGAGAAAGCAAATGTCGATGGAATATGAAAAGGTCGTTTCTTCTTGATGGAGGAAAAATGCTTCTTAAGTAGTTGATTCGCAGTGGTCAGTCTGCATCAGGTCATTTGGTATATTCTATTTCCAAGAAGATCCCCCTGTAAACCAAGAGACCAAGGGGTAATATATATATTGACCTTCTCAAGCCAGCCAGTCCCGACGGAATCATCCATGACTGATGATGATGAACAAAAAAAAGCATACGAAGGAAAAAGAAGCTCCTTCCCGGGCTTAGACGATCGAACCTGAAACTCGCCAATTCTCCAAACGGAAAGAAACGAGGACGAGCCAACGGAGCGGAAAGGCGGGCCAACTAAAATAGCTCCTGAATGGGCCAAGCAGTGCTTGAGTCGAAGCCACGCGGGTTTAAGGGGCTATAATGTGATGGGGGCTCCCGGATTTTCACCACACTGGGACCCTTCTGTTTATTCTGTGGCTGGACGAAATACGAAAACTGATGACCCAAACTCAGCAGAGCGCAGCAACGGACGAAGAGGAAGCAGGCTGAAGCTGTCATTTCTCTCACACAAGCACGGAGGAAGAAGAGGTGCGTCATACCTATGACGCTGATTTCAAAGCATTCCTAGTTGTTGCAAGGAACTGCCAAAGTTGACAAAGGGTATAAGGTTCATCCTGGCCTCTGAGCCCACGATCAACACCCCCGAATAGCTATTCCAAGCCCGCAGTGATAGGGCCAGATCCAACAATAAGCTGATTATCAACTCCCGGAACTTGAGAACGAGATCTCAGCCCAACCGATAAGCAGATCAACACCCCCAAGCGGGGGGGGGGAGACCGCGCGGAAAAGCCACCACCGTCGATTTTAAGATGGGGATTTTTCTATCTTTCTCCCCAACAACGTGGGGGGGGTGCCTGGTTCGGAAGAAAAAACTGACAGGTTCGGTGGCTGAAGATTGGGCGAGAATCGGGAGCGCAGGCGCGAAAAGGACCCATGACTCGGGAAACGCAGCCCAGGGAGCTCCTATAGCTGAAGAGTTGTACTCCGTAAACCACGTTGGACTGAGGTTTGTCCTGGCGGTGTAACAGTTTCTCAACTTAAGATGTGAGTGCGATAACGACAGCTTGGCTGTCTGCCAATAAGAGGATTTCCGGGCCTCTAGGGGCCAAGGGCCAAGATGGCATGGATGGCGGTGGGAGGGAGCACCCCCAAAGCCTTTTCCGCCAAGGGTTGCACAGAGGGATCTTTGGCGTTTCCTCCGCTGAAACGAATGACCCGGCCGGGAGCTGCAAATAGCAGTTGTTGGTGGGATTATATGGTATCGGAGGGATGAAACCTGATAGCTGACTGATCCCACATCACGCATGCTGCTGTTATGACGGTGTGAGCTGGAGATTGGCAACACAAGTGAGCGTAAACACGAAGAAGGGCAGCAGCACAGGAGGACGAACAGATCGTATACACGATAATAGTAACGATCATTAATCATAACAATATATACATCAATAGACAAGGAAGCGCTTAGTGAAGGTCTTAGGGTGGACGCTGTGATATCCCAGGGTGAAGACTCCTATGCTAGCCAGCTACCATCGGCTTCTTCCCTAGTCGCTGTCGCTACTATCGGAGGACGAGGACGAACCGTGGCCCCTCTTCTTCTCCTTTTTATGCTTTTTGTCCTTCTTGTGTTTCTTCTCGCCTTTGTGTTTCTTGTGATGGCTATTTTGAAGGAGTCAGTATACATATCATTATCGTGTTCTGGAAAAGCACAATAGATAAACGGAAACCAAGAAGACTATCCAAAACTAGGCGCTTCATATATTTTCCAACAAGTAAAGGGGAATAGCTTACTCCTTAATGGCATGTCCAGCGACATTAGCTCCAACAGCACCGATAACAGCGCCACCGATGGTGCCCAACGCCCCTCCGCCAAGCTTATTGCCCATGAACCCACCTCCAGCAGCTCCGATCAGTGTGCTTCCCAGACCTCTTTCACCTTCAGGTCCGCCTGGTCCGCCTGGCCCACCTGGGCCCTGGGGGTAAGCGGGAGCCCCTTGCATTCCGCCATGCTGTGGTGGGCCCCCGCCTCCATAGTACGCATTGCTCTCACCTTGATGATGCTGCTGGCCGGCCGGAGGGTATCCGCCGCCATACTGATGTTGGTCTCTGTTATCATACTGCTGAGGAGGGGCATTATAACCATATTGCTGCCATAAACAATCTTAGTTTAGCAGCATGTCTCATAACCTCAGCAGTATTTGGGTATAAACAATTTCTTAGTTACCTGCTGTTGAGGAGCGCCTTGGTCGTAGTAGCCACCTTGTTGGGGAGGCCCCTGATGCTGGCCGCCGTATGGCTGCTGCTGCGGATGCTGCTGGTATTGGTCCTGGCCCTGATAATACTGGCCTTGCTGTTGGCCGTGGTTATCATAGCCGCCGCCCTGAGGGTGGCCTCCGTAGTATCCGGACATGTTTCTATGTAGATATGATGAGGGGATGAAGGTCAGTAAGTGTCTTAGGGATTCAAATAGTAGTCTCCACGGCTTCTTGACAAGATATATGACACAGAGAGAGGTTGGTCGATACGAAGGATTCCAGCGACGTCGTTGAAGCTGTAAAGTAGTTGTTACTGCGGGCGCTTGTCAGCGTCCCGTGACTTCTACTTTCCGGCGGGGAAACGCGCTAGTCCGTTTTTAATCATCACGTGGGGCCGGCGTCCAATGTGCCAAGCCTTTTCAGCCGCACTTTCTTTTCTTCCCAATCAGGCAAGTACGTCGTCTTACCGTTTCTAGGAAACATAGCACAGCCCGAAGGTAGTTTATAAGATATAGGGTGGCTGTTTGCGTAAGAGGATAAGAGGGAAAGTTTCAAGAATTTCAATAGAGTATCATTATTGAATTAGGCCAAGCCAAACAGGGGAAATATTCACAAACAAGCCGGGAAATAAGACTACGCCCAGCGCCCATAGCCTCAGTACCGCGTCATAGATAACAGTAGACAGTTGCAAAGCAGAGATAAGAAGTAACGAAGGAAACAAGAATAAGCACTCAGCAAGGTCGTGATATTCGTTCAGTCAAGATGGCAGAGAAAATGTGTAAACAAACAACAAACGTAATTTTAAGACAGGGCCTGGGGTTACCAGTCCTGCCCTCGGTCCTTCATCAAGATCTCAATAGCTTGGTCTTGGGGTACTGGATTCTTGTTCAGGTCTTTAATGCAGTCCGTCAAGCCATCGGCTGCATTGTCGACATCTTCAGCCGACCATCCCGTACAGGCCATCACCATGCGTCTATAATTTTCCCCCAGGACAACGTTCTTCGTCTTGAGCTTCTCTACCTCAGCCAGTATCGAGGCAGTTTGCTCTTTGTAACATTTCAAGCGTGTCTTCAGCTGCTCAGGGGGCGGTAGCGAGAAGATGAATCTCCCCTGTCCAACAGAGATTGCTCTTAGGCGGGTGTTACTCGGGCCGTCTGGGAAGAGATCATCAATCTTGCGCTTATCAAACTTGACTCTATCTTTGCCTGCCAGAGTCTCACTGGCTTTGTCACCATTCTTCGCCTGGCGCAACTGCTCCATAAGAGCCTCTGATGACACTGTGAGATTTTTTATCTGCCTCTGGAGTTCTATCCGCTCTCGCGTCTTTTTCTTAATTTCATCAAGGCGATTTTGCTCTATCTGACGAGCCTTTGCGCTTTCTCTGATCTTAGAGTGCCACTCGTTAAACTCTTGTTGTTTCTCATTGAAACTGCTGGCCAATTCCTTATCAAAGGAACTTATCGAAGCTTCGATAGCTGTGCTTATCTGAGAAACAGTTGCTATTGTAGATATTAGCCAAAATAAATCTTCAATGCGAAAGAAATAGATAGGAAATGGAGAGGGGTAGCGCACATTCAAGAATCTCTTTCTTCGTTCTCGCTAGCTGGCTCATGTATACATCACCGCCACTGCCAATCTGGAGCCCTTGACTGTTCCCATTGACCATGTCAACGCCCACACCGTAATCTGCAGGGCGAAGGCCAGTGTTATTAGGGATATGAGGGTCCGCTCCAACTTCAAGAAGCTGGGGAACAAGGACCGTCCTGGCTCTTCCCGCCAAATTGAGTGCCGTATCTCCTTGATCATCCTGAATATTCACCATCTCGGACATAAACCTGCCTAGGCCTATGATTTCAAACTTGGGAGGCTCTGGGAGTGCATTCGCTCCATTGGTTGTCCCGCCATGCCGTACAATATACTCCAAGAGTGATTCAAGATAATGTTTAGCAGCTACATGGCCTCCTCCACCAGTCGCTGCCATCATGGAGATATGATGTAAAATTGTGCGCCCATGTAGATCAATAATTTCAATAGTTGAGCCAAGAAGGTTTAACAGCTTGGGAAAGCTGCGATAGTCAAGATTGTTTCTCGTCCCAACGGCTTTCTGCAATGCAGTTTCACCAGCAGCATTCAATCGGAATATGCTTACACCCTTGGATATAAGAGCGGTTACCAATGGCAGTCGTGCAAGCATCGCGGCCCAGTGTAAAGCGCTATTCAAGAATTCATCAAGTGGGGTTTCGAGGTCTTCAGCTGTGAGTGTGAGGAAGGCAGGGTGGTGTTCAAAATCTTTCATGCGCTTATCCAAAAACAACGTCATGATCAGTTTCATTTTCTGGAATCTCTCGGGTGTCGTCGCGGCTGGAAGTGCCGGGATGCCATGTCTGGGGTCATCAGGTATCCTATTGCTGGGCTCCTCTTGGTAGAATGAATCGTTGGGCTCAGTGGGTGTCGGTTCGGCCATGGAACTTGTGGGCTGTGTGTTGTTGGCAAAAGATCTCTGCTGTGCGGTAGAAGAGGACCGCATCCGTTTTCGGGGGGGCTCTAGGTTTTCATCATGAGTATACTCGGCAAAGCTGCGTTGACTATTCTGGAGGTTACTACCGAAACCACTGTCGGATACAACAGTTTGAATGCTCTGCTGGCTTGCTGATTGGTATGGGGCTTCCTGGCTACTCATCTGAGAAGACTTCCTCGTCATGCTAGGCTGTCGTCCATCCGGCCCTCTCATAGAAGAGTCAAATCTAGCTCTGCTGATGGCATTTACTGCAGTTGCTGCAGTTCGAGATATGCTCTGGAAGAATGTGCTGCCCTGCTGTGGGCCACCATGTGCATCCAGGCCTTGTGCGAAGCGTTTTCTCTGTACCGCCATGGCTTGCTCCTTGGTAGGTGTGTCCAGTTGTCCCTGTCCGGCTGCGCTGACTCCGTCTTGACCCATGTCATATTCCAGCAATGGCCGCAGCAAATCTTCAACCTGGTACCGTCTGCACAGTTCTAGACCACGCTCGTAACTGACCCATGTACCTTGATATTTCCCATATCCGCCCTGGACCTTCTCGTGGTCACCGGCAGCGACTTCTTTTTCCAGGGTTTTAGTTCTGCGTGCTTTAGCTACGCCGGCCACCTTAAGAATCTGAGTAGCATTCAACCAGGAGTCTGAGCGACGACGCATCATGGCCACTCCGTTCACTTCCATTTCGTACACCGAAACATTTGAATAAACAGCCTATACAAATATATCATTAGTTTACCGCCAGCTTTTTTTAATCTTTCTTCGGCTATGATGTGAATCAAGAGGACAGACGAACGGTGTAAATTTGTGGTTTGTATCCATCCTGATAAGGCATAGGTCGGTATCCATTCCCTTCATTATAGCCACCATAACTGCCTCGGGCCATCGAGTTGGTCATGCCGTTGGTTGAAAAGCTAGCCGATACGTTAGAGTGCTGGGACGCCCTGGGTGGAGGAGACCCAGCAGGCGTGGACGCATGGGATTGGGAAGCATGGAACGAATTGTGTCTAGACTGAGAAAACGAGGCACCGTTTGGCGGGCCGTTATGAGGGTTCCTCGAGAACGACATCGGGGGATCGAAACAGTCACCCCTTGGCTATTCCTGTGTCAAGTCAAAGGACCCGAAGCCTGATCCCTTGGAGGGCGGGATCAGCCGTTAAACGGCTCTGCGGCCTCGTAAGAAGTGTAATTGAGCTATAATCACAGCCAGCGGCCCATATAGAGTGAGATATAGCCAAACAGAGCAAAATGCGGCTATGCCAACAGCGCTGTGCTGACTATCAATTTAATTCAACGGGATTGCGGCTTTTTGCTGGCGTCGCGACCTGGCAAAGTTGTGAGTGGTTCGCGTAGTCACGTTACCCGCGACCTTTCACTCGCTTGGAACTGAAGAAGAAGGGGCCAGGCAAGAGCTGGTGAATAAGGACAAATTAAACAGGAGTCCTGTATATGTGCCATGCAGAGACACGGAAACCTGCCGGCAGAAGCGCGATGAGGCTCGTCGAGTTGTCCTTCTTTTCCTTCTTTTTCCCTTTTCGTTCGTTCGTCCTGCCCACTTTCGCGTCTAAGCGCGCGGTTGATGACTAAGCGCGCATATTCAAACCTCGTCGTTTCTTTTTTGTATGCAAAAGGGAGAAAACTGCAGGCAAAGACAGCAGCCAGACGAAGGGGAGACGGGCGAGACGTACAGAGCGCATACGAGGAGCTGGAGGCAGGAGGACGTCTAGGTATACCACCGACGCATCGATTGAATTGCACAGCCCAGCCTGTCCACCACCATGGCGAGCCCAATCCCATGGAAGAGCCATTACCGGTCTCTGCTTCGAGAAGCCAGCTACCTCCCTGATCCTGTTGCGAAGAGATACATGGCCGAGTATATCACGTCGAGATACCGCAAGTTCACCTCGCCAGCTCAGCAGAAGCTGATGAATGCCGATAAAATTGCCCGACTACATACTCGCGTTAAGAAAAACTTGAGGCTCCTACAACTCGCGAACCAGGGATACACAAAGTCGCTCGAGCGTGTTCTGCTCATTTCCTACGGTCGGATTGGACGAAGGAAAAGAATTTTACTACGACCGTTTTTAGAGTCTGGAGCCGGGTCAAAAACTGCCTTTTCGCAGCATTGGAAGCCGTCAGAACTGCTTCTTGCGCTGTTGCAGAGTCAGAGCGAGAACAGCAATATCGGTGCTCAAAAGGTTAAAAGGCCGGTCAGGACAACTGATCTGGAACCTCGCATACCGGAAGTCAATGCCCTTGCCCGTCCGCTGGCAGATATAAGGAAAATACACATTCGCCAAAAGTGGTACGCCCATATGCTTGATAAGACATTTCCTCCCCTTCCGCAACACGATTGGGAAACTCTACAACGTCTTGTAGATGGGAGTGAACCATGGGCGCCACCTATCAGGAGAAAAGGCCTCGGCCAAGCCACCCGTGCGGATTCTAGTAGTGATTTCGAGGAAAGCTACCTAAGTACCGAGTTCCTTATTAAAGGTGCTACCAAAGATCCCACATTTGCGCAATATGTCCGAGGCCGGCCGCACCAGATCACTAGGCGACTTATGCGTCATATTTGGGAGCGTGTCTGTGCCCTGACACCGCTTATCCGGTGGGATTCTAGCAAAAATAAATGGTGGTTTTCTTGGGGCGTACGGCAGGCTCCCGCTCCCATTTATCGTCAAGTAGATCCAGTGAAGGGGATGGCTTTGTTCGAAGGCGTTCATCAGAAGACTGGAAGAATAGTTATGCCTCGGAGGCAATCCAACAAACCTGGGGACGGAGATAAAACGTTGAGGGAGGATGGGAGCAAAGCACCTGAACCCTTTCCATCAACCACGTCAGAGTCTGGGGTGCTAGCATATGCTAGTAATTCTTAAGTTCCTTAATACTCCGTTTTTTATCATACATTCATAAGAAACAGGAAATCCCATAGACTTTCTCCTGTTCACTGAGATGAAAGCTATCTTCCCCCTACTTTCCTCTTCAACATACCGCAGAAGCTCTCAAAGATGACTGAATCAACGCCCTTTACCCATCTCACAGTGACATCAGCAGTTTCGAGGCCCGGGCGCCTCACCTGAATGATAAACCCAAACACTGCATTCTCGGTATCGAACAGAGCTTCTGCCTCGCCAGGCCCATCCTGAGCAGCTTCCTGCTGTTGTCTCTTCCTCCTTGCGTGTCGAGACCAAGCGTTTTCCATTGTGAACCCCAGTCCGCTTGACCTTTGGGTATCCCAATTCCAAGGAATCCGGAACGATTTGATTTCAGCATTTATCACTTCGATCAAAGAGTCCACGGATTTACATGGCAGGCTGAAATGGAACTCAGACGGGAAGGGTAGGTGTTTTTTGGGAACGTTGGATATGCTTCTCGCAACTCCCTGCACGTGTGATGACCTGTCAGTATAGCGGCTGCAGTATGTATGCCGACCGGTACCAGTCACCTACCATTGTCGGTCGTATATCCTTCCATGACCAGGCTATAGCCCAACGTTTGGTCTTATCCCCCTGGATAAATTCCGTGACCGCCCAATTTTTGTTATCGAGCCTCTGGAGCTCGTCGATAAGTGAGAGGAGACTGCTGCGTTTGCCTAGCATGGAGGTGTACCATCTGACAGCTTCTTGCAAACGTAGACTCTCCTGGATCATCTTTTTAACAAATGCAACTTCTCCTCCGGGCGTAATCATTTCCATCTCTGCTCCAGTACAAACCTATAAGCTTGTTTAGTTTTGGCATCAGGATACATGTTTGTAAAAAGTAGCGGCGTACAGAAAGTGGCTCATGCTCCTTCTCTTCCGCCAGTTGCAGCATCTCCTCGTGGGATTCATAGAACGGAGGATTACACATGGTGAAGTCTAGCCTAGAAGTTCAAGTTGGAAATGAGTATTAGCGAGGATTGGTAGTTTCCAGTTGCTTACATCTTTCGCTGGATTCTGTCAAGAGGGATTAAGGGCCCGTCTGGCGTGGAATCTACCACCTGGATACGCGATTGCAAGTGGTTTCGCCGCACATTTTCCCTAGCATGTTGTAAATTCTTTTCATCGATATCTAGATAGCATCAGCAGGGGCTTTCTGTATCGTCTGTCATCGAGCTTGCACACCTGTTGCCACGAATGTCCATCGCTTCCTGTGCACTGTTCCTAGCAATGGATATATGCAGCTTGATCCCGTTCCGCTACCGCTCGACATAACGTCGTCAGCCACGCCAGGGTATGCCATGAAGAGAGAGTATCATCGTACATGTCGAGACCAACAACATCTCTTTCAGCGTCCAGTTTTTCTCCGTAGTCATCGCCAGTGCAGGCTATCAAATCCTGCAGCCACAGTATGTAGTTGAGACTGCAATCATCTGTCAGGCTCTACTAAACGCCCACATAATCATGATAGCAGCCACGCAGCACAACCACATACCGATTAGGGACCTACAGGCCAACGTTAGCATCCCGCCAAGGTCGGGACTAGCATAGATGAGACTCACCGGCGGACAGAGCCTGTCGTCAGGAAGCTCGACATCCAAGCCAAAGTCACGACGAAGTAGGCTAACGGTCAACTGTCTATGAAAGCTCCGGTATCAACCACCGCACCGTCACTACAGGCAGACAGAAGAGAGAGAGAGAACCCCCTAGACAAGGTGCAAAACAAAAGAAGGCGTCATTTTAATCATTTACCTAACGGCATCTGGGTTGCTGAAATCCAGCTGTCCCTTTGCACTCAAGCTATTTTACGAGACGGACCGTCAGCCACCATGCGGCCACATCCAGATCGAGAAAATGAATAGGGCCGTACAACTCCTTGAAGGCCGGGTCTTGTAAGGCCAGGGCCGCGAAATCGACCTTATGCCGATAGATGTTCCCTGCAGAATCCATCGTTTGCGTGTTCTCAAATCTGGCGGATGCAGGGTGTGTTTGTGTCAAGCCTGCAGCGATGAAACGATCTTATGCACTTCACACCACAAGGCAACAAATAACTCCCAACACTATAGCTGTTTTCGCCAAATCTACGGTGAGCCCGCTGGTTTTACGATGCTTGCCCGTTTGCTTTCATGTACGTGTGAGAAGGCCACTAAACGGTATCTGGGATTGCCCTGCAGCGTGTTTATTCCCTAATTAACCATAGCTGCATAGGTATAGCATGAGATTTAATATAGATCTAACCAACTGCGAACACCATCTGCCTGTTGTTCCTCAGCTAAAACTACCTAGTCAAACGGGAGTTCGGCCAGATCCATGCATGTAATATCGGGATAATCACGACAGCAGCGGCTGCAGGTCTCTCAAAACATCTGCCGTCTTGACAACCTCTGCAAACTCTCTCAGCGTCGCAACCGACACGCCATGGACGGTATCAGCATCAAACCGCCCGCAGGGGAACGAGGCAGTAGCATCTTCAACAAGGATTACCCGGCCGTTTGCACTGCCGTCTGGGGCGTTTGTAACACCCAGGTTGGCAGCCATGCGAGTTGTGGTAGATACACAGTGTTCGGCCGTCAGGCCCAGGAGCAGCAGCTGTCTCACGCCCTTTGCCCTCAACGTCTTCTCCAGGTCGGTTCCGACAAGAGCCGAGTTGACATTCTTCCAGAAGACGAGCTCGTCAGGGATCGGCTCGGTGAACGGGTAGAAGACTGGACCGCCGTCTGGATGATTAGGATGCAGGACACTCTTGACATCGGTGGATGAGTGGCCAACGTGGATGACTTCGATATGGGACTTTCGATCGTGGACAGCCCGGAATGAATTTATGAGTGCAGTGACGTTTTCCTTGTACTCGGGATTTGATCTCTTGCCCCAGTAGGCTTCGTTATCGAAAGCAGTGTGGTTGTCGATAATGAGAAGGACGGTAGGCAAAGAAAGGTCAAGGGCTGCCATCTTGCTGGCTGTGATAACTATCGACACTACTGTTCTGGCTGTCTATCTCTTAGGTATGTATGCATTCTGTATGTTCTTCTATTCAACTTCTTATCTCAATCTACTTATGAGTCTTACGGCCATCTCGCTAATACTCTTATGCAGTGATTGAATTTGTCAGCACAGTGATTGAATTTGTCAGCACATTCGTATCTTCGGAATAGTTACAACTTACGCGGGTCGGGAATTGATGCCCTAACTATCTTCAGTAACTAGTTCATCAACTATCCGTCTGCAACGAATTACAGGTCGACGATGATGGCATTATTTGGCTTCTACTCTTTTACGATAATGTCCGAGTTAAGGCCATATCGGTCATGCCCCGGGTCCAGGAAATTGGATAGATCGAGATACTTGTTAGCTAGGCGAGCGGGAGAGAGCTTTGCTGCACCTCGCCTAAACTGAGATCTCGATGCTGGCTTTCGCCTAGTGCTCGGTGGCGTGGCATCTGTGCTGAGATAAACTCTGTGCTCAGGGCAGCATGTGGCCAGGGGTAAGGGAGGCTTCTCCTACTGCCCAATAAGATAACTACTTTGTGTAAGTGTTTATGCATGAGAATAAGGCTTTCTGAGCTCTGCTGGCTGGCAATCTTCAATCTTTCTCATACATTTTGCACGACGGAAGAACTGCATGTCTATGGAGTAACTATGTCGTACTCTACAAGCTCCCACGAAAATGCCGTTTGGGCTCACAATTTATATTCCGATAGTTAAATAGTCAGGCCAATAAATTCATATGAAAGGTGAAACGCTAATAATAACTATAGGTGGGGAGGAGATAATGGAATAGCACAGAAAAAGGAAGGATGCATACTCCGTGAAATTTGCAGGCTCATTATTGGGTATCAAATCAACTGACTGAGGGAATGGGGAAAAAGGAAAAAGAACGTGGTGGAAACAGAGAAATGAGGAAAGGACAGATCCTCAAGTGAGAAGAGAAGTATAACCGTGAGCGCGAATTCCCGGACTGAGGTAGAAGACGTTGAGAAATAAAGATGTAGAAAAATCGATAAAAACGGGACGAGGGCGTAATCTATAGGCCAATACGTTAGTTAGCACGGTCTGTTCAACATACGCAACCTGTATCTACATGGATGATATGAAGCGAGACATCTCGTGGCGAAGGATATGTATGCGTCCATGCAGGGCAAGATGATCAAAATGCCCTGAGAATTATGATCTGAAGACAAGGGGAAAAAGGTGCGGACGTACCAAATTGCCTGCATGATGCAAGCACCTTTGCTCCCCAAGATCCCTGCAGAAGGAAAAATGAAAAGACCAGAAAAAAAAATAAGGAAAAAAAAAAATTGGTGGCGTTCGTCAAAAAAGGAAACATGATAGCACCAGTGTGGGTGGTTCGAGATAACTTTGTTAGCCGGTTATTACTTTTTCACTTGGTATAGCAAGGATTGCACTTCATCAAGCCGCACATCTTGCAGCGCCAGATGCCGACGAAGGGGCCACCGTTGCATATCGAGCAGCGCCAGGTCAGGATGCTGCCGTTGCTAGTCTGGACGATCCCCCATTGGTGAGGACACCGCGGGTTAGCCATGGTTGGTGGTTGGGTGTGCGAGTGACGTAGACGGTGTCCCAAAGGGTGTGGGATGTTTGAACTCGGCAGAGGGTCTCCGAAAAGGAACAGACGCTGTGCTGCAGGCTACAGCTCGGCCCTGAGGGGTTGGAGACGTAGGGGTTGTCAGGGGGGTGCGCGGGTGCTGGGGGGTTGGTCACTAGGAGGCCTGGGAGCAAGGGCTAAGCACAGCCAAGGCGTAGGGGTGTTCCAGCACGACGGGTCGGTTAGTGGAAGAGAGGGAGGGAAAGTCAAGGAGATCCCAGCGAGGTTGAGAACAATGGATATGTTGGGTGTCTCTGAGAGTTGCTTTCGTGCTTGCTTTTCTTTGTCGAGAAGGAGATTTTGGTGATAGCAAAGAAAGAGAGAAAGAGGGAGTTTCCGAACTGGAAGGGGGGGGAGGGTCAGTATTTATATAGAGCTGGCACGGTCACGGTATGACTTGCGCACCTTTTCTTGCTTGCTCCTGGGTGTAATGAATTGCAAAAAAGTGAGAGACACAAGGTAGTGGTACACCAGGGATATCACTTGTGGTGTATAGGTGGTTGGTGGTCTGCGAGTCGAGTGAACTTGCACGAAGTAGTGTGATGGATGAGTGAAAATGGCCAACGATCCGGGCAGTTGAATCGGTATATATACACACCCCAAGGAGCACAGTTAGCAGTGACCTTGTCTTGTTCGTTTGCTTTTCCTTTCTTTTTTTTCTTGTCCCTTCTTCTCCCTCCTCGTCTCTTTTCTTTTCTGTTGCGTCGGGAAGAAGCAAAGCTGAGCTCTCCCCTGAGGCCCGTCCCGGAACCCCGTCTGCCCTTTTCTGACGGCCAGAGCTTAATGAAAAGCTATGATGAGAGGGCTGTCTGCCTGCCTGCCTGTCTGGTCTTTGTCTCGGGTTTTCTTTTTCTTCTTTACTTCCATTTTTGACCTCTTTTTTTTTTCTTTTTCTCTCTCTTTTTTTTCTTCCCTTGCATTGGAGGGGAGGCCGCAATTTTTTCGCCCTTCATCTTCCCTTCTGGCTTGGTCGTTTAATTGGCAAGATGGTTGAGAGGGCCCGGCTTTTGTTTCGTCCCCATGGTTGTTGCAGATAAGATTGGCGAGTCAGGGTGCTTGATACATTGGTGTTGTAAGGGGCGCATACATGCTTTCCCCGTATCTATATGCAGGGCGACAGGTCGAGAAGTTGAAGCTGGGGATGACCTCCACGCTTATGCTCAGAAATCCGTATTCAGACTCCGTGGTTACGGGCACAGGAGGGCCGGCCCTGGAGTTAACTTAGTTAACCTAGTTGACGCCCTGTCTATGTAAGTATATAGCCGTTCCGCGATTCTCTATATATCAGATTGCAGGCAGACAAACGGCGCATTGGCGTGAAGATCCCAGGAACCAAGCTACTGGTGCCTTTGCAAGCCACATCCTGGTTGGTTCTCGTTCGCTTTTTTTGCCCTTCCTCATTCCGTTTGTCGAGATAGTTATCGGGTTCTCAGCTCGTCATTCCTCCTCGTATACTCATTCAAACGGACACTTGTTGGCTGCCAGATAGAGTAAGGCAGGCAAGCCAACGCCCACCGCCAAGTGTGCTTGAATGCATCGGGATAGTCGAGAGAACCGTCGCAAGGGATATGTATGGATGCCAGCGCGGACCAGCCGGATCCATGATATCACCATCACCACGCCCACACCCGTCTATCGTCGTCAGCCTTTCTTCAGCGCCTGCTTCCTTTTTCCTGGTCTCATCTCCAGCAGCAGGCTTGCCCAATCCATGGACAGACGTCTAACCGGCCCAATCACCAAGCAAGAGATGCAAGGGAACATCCCCGCGGAGCCGCGAGCTGGTAGCCGTAACTGGACATCCATACCTCTGGTGAGCTATACATAGTATGCATAGGCAACTATAGATATGCACTCTGTAACTAGCCTCCCACATCCCTGGCGGAAATCCATCCCGCCATACCGGCGCCCGTCCTTCTGGCGTGTGGCTATCCATCCCATCCCCCCATCACCCCTAGCCCTGGCCCTGACGTACGTCAGTCATCGCGGCCAGTTGATTTCGAGTATTTGTCTCTTTTTTAAATTTCAAGCGTCGCTACCAAATAATTGGTCCTGCAACGGCTGAGAACAATTGAGATGGATGGATAGGAAGGCTGCTGGCGCAGGGACTCAGGCCCCTTCTGGAGATCTCCTTGTCTCCCCCAGCCTGCGCTACGATATGTACCTGTACAACATCGAGGTCCCTGTGCGAAGTTCGCTGCATTATCTGGTTGAAGGCAGCGAGCGAACAAGCAAATATGATGTATCACGAAGATCCGATCTTCATCGCCGTGCTCCCTAGGTAACTAGCTGTATCTGGCGCGTTTGCTGATGTTACTGCTTCAATCTCGATCCGTGGCGGTGGGCTGCCTGGCCTTCGTTGGATACCCGCGCCTAGTTCTTGTTAGAACAGAGGACATACTAAATACTAGGAAGAGAGGACGGCAAATACGAGGATGTCACTGTTCATATCGCCCTCGACGGGCTTTGAGATGCTGTCCTGTCTCGCAGCCAGCTTGCCGCTCTCGAGCCGCTGGCACAGTCTAGATTGTCGATCTCCAGGTGCCTAACTAGCTAATATTTATGCTGAACCACCTGACGACGAATACACGGCGCTGCAGGGAAAAAGAAGAAAAGACACAGGCTGGCCTTTGACGTCGCGTTCCCGTAGAAGCTAGCAAGCCAGTGGCTCCGTTGGCAGAAGCAACGTTAGTGGACAGTTGGCTATGTGTAGATGCTGTGGTGTAGATGCACGTTATGCATATTCTCTGCATTCCTAGGCTACCATTCCCCTTTTGAGCGTTGGGCGTCTATATAACACTTGAAATAGGCGGATAGTTATGTGAATAGCTATATATAACACCGAACAGCTAGTTAAAACCACTAGATAAACAAGGAAAAATACAGGGACACTCAAGGCGAGCTGCATTTGCGGCATCGCACCGGGTACATTCGATTCTGCATGCCAATTTTCGTTGTTTGCTATTCAAGGTCCATCCCATGCGAGTGTACGCAGTAGCCCCACGATCGTACGGCATACTCCGTGCAGCATTACTCTGCGACAGTAACCCTAGACGCCCAGTAGGAGTAATCGAAAGGATCGACAAAGCTGTCTCTCATATGCCCGTTGATTCAGCTGCTGTCCATTGGCAATAACAGGGGTCAAGTAGATGAAAAAAAGGAAACATTAGAACGAAATCCGGAGGTATATGGATGTAGTCCCTGGGTAGAAATCAAACGATAATTAATCTGGTACTGAGAAACCCTAAAATCATAGTCAACCGAACGGCGGTATTTGGCCAATTGGAATGGTGGTGACGATAAGGACGAACGACCCAGTCGCCATGCCGTGTACGGTAATCGTTATCCGAGCCATGGGCACAGCAATTCATAGATGTTGACGCTCCTGATGGTGACCCGGGCTTTCCACTTGCAAGATCCTCGCGTGATTGATACGTCTGTGGGATGGCAACTGTGACAGAGTCACCCTCACACGCGAACGGCGGGTTGTAAGGGGAGGGGCAAAAAGAAATAAAGAAGGCAAGAGAAATAAGAAGAAGAAGAAAATAAGGGTATGGCAGGGCAAGGCTGTCAAAGAACGAGAAAGTATAGTTAGTTAGGAATGCTAGAACGGAATCGGATTAGGGTGGTTGTATGGCGGGCGAAGGCGGACTCTGGACACGACTTAGGAGGGTAAGATGAAGGGAAAAGAGACGCCACTCCATAGTATCGAGGGTCATGCAGCCGTGGAACATGCAATAATGAAAACATAGCCAGGACGTCTTTCCCCCACATGCTGGTACCCGAACCGGTGAAGATCTTGTAACTCTGGGAATGGTCAATGTGGGATATGTTTGGATCTTGACTGCAGTTCTTTGCTTTTCGCTCTCTTCATTTTTGCTTTTCTCTTTGTCATCGCTCTTCATTCATGTGGTTGCTAGTTGCCATAAAAATGTTGATGATAGTTGCTGTCATTGATTGCCCTAATGGAGTTGATTCGTAGAACACATACATATTCGTGCTCCAACATATCATGTTGTGCCGTGAGCTGCAAATCAGACGGGATTTGCTCTCTATATTGGGTCCATGTGTGATGAGGGAAGCTTTGCATTTTTTTTTATTCTTCAATTTTTTTTTCTTGGGATGAGGGGAAAGGGCTCCATGATACGGAACACTCTTGAGTGATGGTCGTCTTCAGCTTGAGCTAACCGTGCAATTGGAACAGGGCGGAAATGCTAAAAAGCAAAGAAGTTAGCAAAAGTGTCAAAAGCAGTCAGGTACAGATGCAGGTTGTGGATAGGACTGAGGAATATGCATCGCGGTATTATGGAACCAAGGCTGCTAACCTTTCCCCATTGTGATGTCTTCTGATACTTTCAGAGAGGAGAGCAGAAAGATCCAGCACGACCAGTTTCTTCATGAGCCTCACTTTCTCTATGGGAAGAGGGAATGAGTTGGTCACAACGACATAATCGATACTGGGGCAATTTTCCATTTGTTCCATAGAATCATCCCCGAAGATACCGTGAGTTGCGATGCAGTACACCTTTTTGGCGCCACCTTTCTTGACGACTGTCTCTGCGGCCGCAATCCAGCTAGATGCCCGGTCAATCATGTCATCGACAATGAAGACGGTTTTATCCTTCACGTCTCCAACAAGGGTAATCATCCGTTCGTGACCGGATCGCTGTGGGCAAACAGCATCTTCCTCATCAGAAGATGCAGCAGCGTCGAATGAGCCGCCTAGAGCATGTCCAGGTTGGTAGCCTGAGACGTTCGACACGGCGGACATGCTCATCGGATCTGGGATTGATCCCTCATACGTGTCGGCTCCGTGGTTGGAAGCGGATGCAGAGGTAGATGCCGTCTCTGGGGACGGGTAGTCATCATCAACAAGGTGCCCCTGAACCAGACGGCCGGTGATAACTTCCCGAGCTCGCTCATCGGTGTATTCTGAAGAAAATCCGTCAGCGAGAGTAGACGGGGCTAGCATGCTATCTGGGTGTGGCGTTCTATAAGACTCCGACTCTTGTGCTGGATTAGCAGAGGAGTCGGAAGTGCTGTTGCGGGGCGTGAGGACACCGCTTTCAGCTGTAGCAGAGGCAAATGAACGACGGATGTTTGGGTTTGATGTGCGGTCAAACTTTTGTTCGCCATCATGGCTAGTCGTGAAGCCTTGTTCAACAGAATCGAAGAAGATGGCACTATCGGTCATATTTCCGGCTTTTGCTTGCCTCTGTCGTCTCCTATCAGTAGTGACGATTCCAAAGTTGAGTTTCAGCGCATCAGCCAAAGAGGTCACCCTCTTGCTCCCTCCGGCGTTTTTGGTGACTACTACCGCCTCATTCCACTGGGGAACATTCATTCGGATCCATCGCGCAATTAAGGGTTCAGCAAAGAGGTTATCGACAGGTTTGCCGAAGAAACCTTGCATTTGAGAGGCCTTGGACAGAATGGTCAGTCACCAGTCCCAATCCCCATCTAAAGCTTTATTTATCCTTACATGTAGATCCACGGTAACAACATGGTCAACACCGGCCACAGAGAGCAGATTGGCTAGCATCCGAGCTGTAATGGCTCCTCTATGGCTTTTCTTCTTCGATTGCCGCGAGTATGGGAAATATCTTTAGTATGCCGAATGGTTAGTTGAGCCGGTGCCGGGGATATATAGAGTAGATGAAGGGACAACCTACGGCATAACAGCTTTAAAACCAATTAGTTAAGACTTCTTTTAACAATATCTACCCCCTTTACAACATGGGAGAAACACACCTGTTATAGATTTCGCCGAACCTCCCTTGCAGGCGGATATCATGATCAACAGCTCCATTACGCTATCATTGATCTTCCTACTCCCACTCTGTACAATATAAACGTCCTGATTCCGAACGGAGGCCCCGATATTGACGCTGGTTTCGCCATTGCTGAATTTCCGCAGCTCACACGGAGCTGGTAAAGTCCCCAGTCTGTCGCATATCGCCTCAGTCAGGGTGGGATGCGAGGTCCCCGAAAAGACTAGAACGCCTCTCATGGCTGCGGTCGGAGATTTAGGCACGGATCGTATGGGATTCCAGGAGCGTCAACGAGAGATCTTGCGAGCTTTTATCAAGGCAGCCTTCCATGAGCGTCCTCTTTCTCCCGGTCTGCTCTTCCTCTGTCCCTTTCTTGTGCTTCGTCTGCGTCGTCTTCGCTTTTTTTCAGGCGGTCGAGAAGATGGAAGTGATTTTAGAGTTTAACTTGCGCCGCAGCTTTTTTTTTGGTGAAGAACATGTGACCTGCGCTGGCGCGGGCGAGAGACAAAAACTCGCAACAAAAATCGAGATTTGGCTTGTTCAATATTTAATTCTTCATGCACCAATACTTGCAGTTCCAGAGTCCCGACCTTGATTATGTCCGGTGAATTCCCTGCTATTCAACCAGGCGGTTCTCTCATTGTTGCGTGGCAGGTGAGGGACAAGCGTGTCCTTGTTGTTGGTGGTGGTGAGGTTCGTCTTCCCCTGTTGAACTATTCTCGAGGCTATGGCGGCTGTCCCAAAAAAAAAAAAAAAGGAACGAATAAATATGCGGCAGTAAATGAAAAATAGATTGAAGAAATATATTATTAATAAAAGTACATGGACTTTCTAGGTAGCTGCCGGTCGCATTGTACATGCGCTGAATGCAGACGCCAAGGTCGTTGTTGTCTGTCCAAAGGCGTGTTTGAATGCCGAAGTGGCTTTTCGCGTGGCCGAACAGCAGGTCGGCCATGTCGATCGAAAGTTCCTACCTGAAGATCTAGTGGGCATCGACATGGTCTTCGTGGCCGTTGACGATCCCGGGGCTTCCACACAGATATGGAAGCTGTGTAGGGAGCAGCGTATCCCTGCTAACATTGCAGATGTACCGTCCGAGTGCGATTTTTACTTTGGCAGCGTACATCGTGATGGACCCCTGCAAGTCATGGTCAGTACAAACGGGAATGGCCCTAAATTGGCCAGCATCATAAGGAAGAAGATTGCGGATACGCTTCCTGATAATACCGGTGCAGCCATCCAGAATGTGGGGGTGTTGCGCAAGAAGCTGAGAGTAGTTGCTCCAGCTCCTAATCAAGGGCCAAAGAGAATGAACTGGTATGTGATTAGTATAGTATGGTGTGTTTTCTTTAGGCCCTTGACACTGATTTTCTATGTAGGATATCTCGGGTCTGTGAAACATGGAGCCTGGACGAGCTTGTTAGCATGACTGAAGAAGACATGGACAATTTGCTTCGGCATTACGAATCTGGTAATGTTCCGAAATTTGAAGAGGTTCGGCTTGAGCAAGGTGACAATGTCGCTTCTTTTGATGGAAGCATGGGCTGGAGCTCATGAAAAGCCAATGTGCACGCAACATGCCAGGCGGTATATATATTACACTAATCATCTAGGTAACATTGGTCATTCAAGCCTCTTTATTTGATACCTATTAATGTTATACCCTGCTCGAGCACAGTGTTGCTTCCATGGCTATAGTCTTAGTCAAGTGTAAAAGTAATAAGCATATTTCGGATGGACTGGAAGAAGGTGCCAACTTACTGTTTCCGGAATTCGCGTACCCTAAGTCTACCACGATGCGACAATAACATCGTAGAGTTGAATAAATACCGGGCTACCGTCATACAAGCGTTTGGATCCTCCTACTACATACGGGTAGTATGATTGACTCTTAGAATATACAAACTCAATGGTATACTATAAAAATTCAACCGGCTACGTAGCCAAAGGAGCCTCCTTATGGTGGCAATTTTCTGTAGTTCAAGGACCGCCCGCGTATTGAACCTTGGGGAGCTTTGCAGATAATCAGATAAGATAAGCATTAAATGCCAAGCATGGGACCCAGCATCCAATAATAATGATCCAAGCTCAAATATTGCCTGAAGCACGTAAGTACATAAATAAACTTAAACTTCGAAGCAGCACGAAGCCTCCTTAAATTAATCTGCAGAGCGGAGCTGACGAGTGAAGGAAAAGGTAAAATTTCGCTCTGATTAGCTTTTGATTTTCCAGAATACATGAACCAAGGAGCTGAAATATCAGACAAAAAAGTGAAAGAAGTTAAAACCGGATATCAACTGGAGGGGTGGGAAGCTTGGAAAACCCGTCTAAAAAAAAGCCAGGAGCGCAAAGATACAAAAGGTAATGTTAGAGATATAAAAGACACCGAGTTTATCGCCCCACACTCTGTCTTCGGCCGTTGAAATGGCTATATGAAGTAGAGCTTCGAGGGCTGGTAGGTGAGCCTATAGGGGTTTGCGGGGTGATACCAAGCCGACACTCCCCGACTCTGCGGAGCAGGGCTTGAATAGCAAGTCGAATCTCAACGTTAAGGTCGCGGGAAAGCAAATCAACCGTGATAGGATAGAACGTTTCTATGTACTTTTCGAAGGTTTCCAGGGGGAAGCCAGTATATCCTTCAACGATATCAACTACGACGGGACGCCAGGCAGTGATATTTCGTTGTTGGGACTCTTCATCTAGCTGAACATATCGTCTTATAATGTCCGCACATAGACTAACTCTTGAGTTAGTAAAACATGCCTGGCAAACCTAGATAAATATAGTAGTGGAGATGACTTACGGTATTAGGGCGTCCTCTGTCTGGGAACGGCTGTTCTTCCTCTCTTCGCGTTCATCATGGTACATACGGAAGAGAATGTTGATGTACGTAGCTGCACTGCCACTTTCTTGGTTAAGAAGGTTTGGCGGTTGCTTCATGAAACCTTGTTTCCACAGCTTGAGCCTCAAGTCCTTTGCCCCGTTGAATTTCTTGGCGAATTGATAACTCTTCTTTAACAGCGCCATCAGCCGTAGTAGCTCCTTGCTGGGAATCTGTGAGTAAACAGCATCATTGGAAAAGAGTTCGTTCACAGTCTCAATCATCAAGATCTGAAGGACACAGTTAATGATGATGCGGTTGAAGAATCGTCTTCGGGCAGCAGTAACGACAGTTGGAGGTTGCTGCAAGTCAGGTTGAGGGCGGTAGTCCTCGAGCTCGGAGGAGGCGGCTGGGAGTTGCGCTTGGTGAGCTTCGTCTCCGTCTTCACTCGGTCGGGTTGATTCTTGATCCCGATCGGGTTTAGCCGAAGGTGAACCGGGATCGGCCTGAGAAGTAGCTTCTTCTATGTTCCTTCGCTCAGGAGGCATGCCTGGGGCAGTGTTCGCTGCAGTGAAAAGCTCATAAGCAGTGGTTCTTTCGAAGAGCTCCACAAAAGCCCCGACAATTTTTTCCCAATGTTCTGGAGTAAATTTGTTGACGTTTTGCAGTATTAGTTGCTGGAGACAATTACTTCCAATCCTGGCGATCGTATCATTTTCCTGGCATATACACAAGGTCAGGAGGCCCAAAAACCTATCCAGCATGTACTCCAAGGAGTCAAAATAATGCGTGAAGAGGGTAATCATGTTTCGCAAAGCTTGGATCATGGTGGTAGACAGCCAGACCGAGAGTTCCTCATGGTTTGGAACCTTGGACATCTCAGACTTGGACTGTAGTACGACGAAAATAGGGTAGAGTAGTTGACGCCAAAGTACATCCCAGAAAGCCGGCGGGAAGTCGCCGCCATATCTGATAAGTGTTTCGAATAGATATGTGAGAGCCCTGCCACAACATTAGTTACTGGTGAGTGCTATTAAGGAGATGCGGAATTATTACCTTGATCGAACTTCCAAGTCATCCCCTGTCATAAGGACATCCTGGAAGGCAATTAATAACGGATACCAGAATTGTTCCTCAGGAGACTGGCCAGCCGCCTGAGCAATAACCTCACTCTGTGAGGAACCCGAGTCCGTACGGCGGTGGGAGAGGGGACATTCCGGCGTTTTTAACATCTTAGGGATTGTAGACTTGAGTGTCTCGATTGCCTGAAGGGATTTCTTTTGGAACTTGAGATTCTTAGAAAACTCAGTGAGGCAGACGACCAAATCAGCAAAAGCTCCCTGCGAAACAACGACGCTAAAGCGAGTCTTGTAAATTTGAGTCACATGCTCGAATGCCATGTTTACAATGCCCTCTATTAATAAAGAACCAGTTAGATAATGGGACAAAGGGTTACGTGTTTGCAATAACATACCGTATGGCTCTGAAGCTGCAACCGAGAATACTCTAAACATGGTCTTCCAGCCTGAGCGGATATTATCCCCACGGGCTTGGATCATTTGAATTAAACACCGTAGCACCATATCCTTGACGTTTACGGCAGTACTGTTTGCCATAACATGTTCGAACGGTTTCAAAAAGTCCTTTTGGAATTTAAAGCCAGGGAGCTCCTCGATTTCCATGAACCGCATTGAAAGTTGCCGTAGAGAATCCAGCGCAAAGAACACAACAGCCGTGTTAGCATTGCAACCAACATGGTTAAAATGTTCACCTAGAACCTCCCAGATTTTGCTCCACTCGATTCGAACTCGAGTCATGTTGTAGTAACTGATCTCTACTAGCTTCTGAAGACTGTAGGTTCGTGGGGATTCACTTTGGCCAGAGGACTGGATCTCCTGCCAACTTACAGCGTTAAGTGCGCGGACGAAATCGACAAGGGCTTCTTGCTTGAGGTTGGCGGTATTGGTGAAAATCATGTCTACGCCTCTGACCATTTCGGCTGAGCGGCTCTCAATCGCAACGTCTCGTCGGAAGGATGCTGGTCCATTACCAGAGCGAGGCCGGGGTTTCTTTGGAACTTGAAGGGACTTTTGAGAGCGTGAGTCTGTAGACGGCGATACCCGTGAAACATCGGGCAACGAGCCTTCATCCACACCGTCCGTAAGCAGCTGGAATCGGTCAAGTTGACTGATGCAAGTGAGAATCTCTCTCCAAGAGCTCTGCAAATGATCACCCTCGGTGATAGCAACGTCTAGAAGAACCTTAAGAGCCTCCACATTTTTCGCAGCCATCTCGCGCAAGTTGCCCAAGTTGGTGAACTTGGCAAGCGCAGTAACGAAAGCGACCCTTGGAGTCTCGAGGTCAAACATACACGAGATACGGATAGCTAGTCTGATTCCATCCATACATAGACGAATAGTTTCCCGGTTTTGAGTATCTTGCACTTGCGCTGAAAGGCCAGAAAGGAAGGACATCCAGGTCACGTTGAACATGGACCCGACGTGTCGTACCGATGTAGCGGGGATAAAACGAGACAATGCTTCCTTCATGGCTGATTTCCGTTGTGCTCGAATTAAACTTCGATACAACTGTTCTGTCTTGCTGGAAATTTCCTCAGATGCCTGTGCGTATTTTTCACCCTGAATATCCCTACCAACAGTAGCCAGTGCCTGACCGGCTCTCGAAGCTAGTCCTGGCTGGGGAACTGGCAAGTGGCCCAGGTTCGCAGCAGTCTCACGCTCAGTGCGTAAAACAATCTCATTATTCAGAATTTCGTCATAGATGCCGCTGAGATATTCAACTGGCAGATCAGCATTGTCGTTAATTCCTTTGTTATTCTTAATGAAGTCATCCTTGGTCATACGGCGGCCCTTCATCTTTGTGCTATGCAAATCTGTATTGAGCAGGATTACCGAATAAGCGAGAACATAAGCTGCGTCTGCTGAGGCGAACGCGTTGGGGTTTTGGGTCACATATCGCTGTGCGAATTTGAGCATAAATCGATCGATCTTCTGCGATTCTCCAGGTAATCTGAAGCTTTGCAGGAAATCTCGAAGCGCGTCCGGGAATCGGCGTTTGGTGAAATCCATGCAGTCGACAAACGCATGCATGACAGCGATATTCTCTGCATCGCCTTCTCCAAGATATTCTCCTAGAGTTGCCTTGTCCAGCCTATCATTTCTGAAGATAAAGTTTGCAATATCAGTGGGAGAGTTCGATGGAATGAACCCTTCAGATAGCAAGATCTTCATTCCACGCTTTGGTTTGAAATTGAATGTCCGAATTGCGTTTGTTAATGCAATCTTCCGTTGCTTAACTTTTTCAATTTCATTGGGATCATCTTCGGGCACCGGTGAGGATGCGCCTGTATCTGAATCCGCATTGTCGATGCGGGGTGATGAAATGTTAGGGCCTCCCTGGCTAGTATCTATGGAGTCTCGGGAAACATCAATTGAGCTACGCGACACTAGTCCTCGGCCTAAGGATTTGGGCTCGCTGTCCTGAGAAGACCATATGTCAAGGGAGCGGAGTATCTCCACAAGGCATTCTAGGGCGTTTTGTTTCATGCCATACTCAGGGGGAAAATTCTGGTTGTTGGTAAGTGGAGTAGGTTGGTCAATCTTAGCAGTGGTCAGAGAAGGGGGAAGAGTGCCGCGGTTATGCCAGTCATTAGGGGTAGAAGGAGTTTTGGAATGCTGCTGCTCATACTGCTGTTGTTGGGATGCAGTAACTGCAACAGGCATACTTGACATTCGAGAAAGCTGTTCAATGATTCTAGTTTTGCAATATTAGCTATGGTCATGGTCCAGAGATAATTGACATACCCTTGGAATAAATTCTCCAACGCAGTACGGTCACAGTCATAATTTAGATATATCTCGACAAGTGCTCGTGGGTCGCCAGAGAGACGTTCTAAGATATGCATGAAGCTCTGTTTCTGGAATATAGGGGAACTACGCTTTTCAAGAATGGCCAGGTATATCTCCTTAAGGAAGACTTCCAGTTCTTTCTGCAGTGAAGAATTAGCAAATCTAGATAAAACGGGGAAACGTGGGGGAGGTATATTGAAGAGAATCTAACCTTCAACATCACCCTCATATGCTTCAACATAAGCCAGAAGATTTCACAGCAGACATCAAACACACGGGGAACAGAGCTGGCACCATTCCTGCTCAAACTGAGACAAAGATGGGGCTTGATGGCCTGTAATAGCGTCATACTTTCATCTGAGTTTGAGCCGTGCCTGATAGTTGCGATAGGTGATGTGAAAACAGCAATATGGTTATTTAGGAGGTGTTGCATTAAATGTAGAGAGAGTAATTTCGACCTCATATTCTGTGCCTTGAGGTCTTGCTGTTGCTCGTGGGTGAGTACCTTATGGCTTAGTTTGCACAGAGCCCTGAAGACCAAAAAGGCATCCTTGATATATATTTCATCCTCTTCATCGGCAGCTAGATCAAGTTCTTCACCAGATTTTGATGTCTTTCTTGTAGCCTTCGCTCTTGTAACCATGGTAGGCGCACTATCGTTGACCATAGTGTCGTCCTTGTTGGTCTCAAAACTTTGTAAAGTCAGTTCTCGTAGGTTCCTTGGCGACAGGTTGGTCTACAACGTTTGAAGACCCAATATCAGACTGTCCTTCTACGTCTGTAACAGCACCGTCCTCCACTGGGGTAGGAGGTGAGTCGACAGCAGAGCCATTGCGATTTTCCCGAGTCTCGGTCTCCTGTATACGGACCTCCTTGAGATCGAGTCTCGTGCGTACACGGTCGTAGACAGTGCCAATCATCTGGGTTAATGAGCCCTGTGCTATCTGCTGGTTCTGGGCAGACTTGGAGTAGATGAAGATATTGTAAATCTGTCGAACGGCCTTCAGCAAGCCAGCACCATGAACAACAATTTTATCATTAAGTACAGCTGCCAAGAGAGATTTAATAATCTGTTGCTGGATCTCTATAGCGGTATGTTCATTCTCGAAGCAGTCACATATTGTCTCGATTGCGCGTTCTATCAGCGGAGGTTGGTCAGCGGACTCGCTTCCGTCCGGAACGGAGGGAAAGGCAAAGTAAGAATAGGTTATCAGCTTTCCAATACAGTCCAGGGCGGTGACTTGTAGCGGGATGCTGTCGGTCTTGCTCGCCAATTGCAAGGGTAGGAAAATCGATTCGGGGTCGATCGGGTACTGATCGGACTGCTTGATGTTGGCCTGGGCCTGTTTGACTGCGTCATCCAGCTCCTTGCTCTTCCGGGCTTCCTTCGAAGCAGCAATTGCGTCTAGAGCCGTGACCACGAACACAGCTGAGCTGAGAGGGGTGGAACGATGCTGGCCAGACTGCGTTGCAACAGTTGACCGGGAGTCAGACCGCGACCTCGATTGTTCTATAACGACCGAAGGAGCCTGATCTGAGCCCTTTAGCGTGGCATTGTCATCTCCACCATCAACATCAGCGCCCTCGCGGGTATCTGTCTCGGTGGCATTGTCATCCACCTCGTCCCTGTCTTCCGGGTCAGGCTGCTGTTCCCCCTCGGACTGTTCAGCTTCGTCTTCGACTGTATCCTCTCGTGGTAGATGGGACTCTTCTTCCACTGCTATTTCATCGGCAGTCGTGATATCCGGCTCAGCATGTGTTTCCGGTTGCCGTACCGCCTCGGGGGAATGTTCTTCGGAATCGGCCATTGAGAGTCGGGGGCCTGTTGGCAGGTCAGATATATCCTTTAAACAGACAAGGGCCCGGTCCGAACTAAACGACGTTGAAAACCATAAGCGCAAGGAACGGCAAACGAGTGAGAGACGAGGCAAGGGGCGTCTGCGCAGTTCCGAGCTCCTTTGTCGATGTAGTTCTTCAATGTAGTTCGCGGATGCATCTACAGCCAGCATCCTAACTTTACTACATCTGGCCTTCTTGCTGCCCTTTTTCCCCAGGTGATTACGTTATCTAAGTTACGTCAGCACTTAGTCATGAATAATATTATCAACCAGCGGTATTTGGTGATTTTGTCTGCCGTAGCCACTAGTCCAGATGCGTCGATCATTACTAAGCTATCGGCCGTGTTTGGTGGGAAAAGCCACGTGACCCGCGGCCCCGAAAGAGGATCCGCTTTCCGGCGAAGCTCAACAAAATCATCTCAGTTTCAGAGCAGACGCAGAGAAGACGAGAGATCTCACGCCGTCCACGATCTTCACATCTCCATCCCTTCTAGCCACCATCGACCTCGCTCCCTTGGGTCACATTGCCAGCGTCCTGCTGTCGTCTTTCTGATTACGGATTCAATTGCCCGTTTCTTTTCTTCCAGAGAGATATCAACAATGGCCTCTGCTGCTGTACTCTCGCGGCGGTTGCTGCTCTCCAAGACCGCACAGCATGGACTCAGGGAGTCGCGGAATGTGCTTCGTCTTTCTGATGCGCTCAGGTACGGCTGTCAATGGTATTAGGACGTGCTGTCCGTATTGATTCCGACTAACATTGGCCTTTTCTAGGTCCCAAGTGCCAGCATATGCCTCGCTGGCCAGATACTACGCTTCCAAATGTATGCGAACGCTGACTTATATCATACTCCGATATCACGCCGAAATGGATCTTATATTGACTGTTATATAGCCTACCCTCCTCACACTATCATCAGCATGCCTGCTCTTTCGCCTACCATGACTTCTGGAAATATTGGGGCTTGGAACAAGAAGGCTGGAGACACCCTCTCTCCTGGAGACGTCCTGGTGGAAATCGAAACCGATAAGGCTCAGATGGACTTTGAATTCCAAGAGGAAGGTGTTTTGGCTAAGGTCTTGAAGGATGCGGGTGAGAAGGATGTTGCTGTTGGTAACGTAAGTCTTCGACTCTAAGGAGGAAAAAATATTCACCGTTAGTATCGGAATAATGCTAATTCGGTGTTCTGGATAGCCAATTGCTGTCATGGTCGAAGAAGGAGAGGACATCACTCCATTCGAGTCTTTCAGCCTCGAGGATGCAGGCGGTGATAAGACCCCTGCTGCTGACAAGTCACCCAAGGAGGCTCCCAAGCCCGAGGAGTCTGAGACCAAGTCCGCTCCATCCCCAACTTTCGAGGAGAACAAGCCAGAGGCTCATGAAGCAGATACTACCGGAGAGAGGCTACAGCCCAGTCTCGACAGGGAGCCATTCGCCAGCCCAGCTGCCAAGGCCCTCGCTCTCGAGAAGGGTGTTGCGATCAACGACGTGAAGGGAAGTGGCCCCGGTGGGCGAGTCACCAAGGAAGACGTCGAGAAGCACCAGGTCGCTGCCCCAGCTGCTGGTGCTGCAGGCCCAGCCTACGAGGATGTTCCAGCTTCCTCTATGCGCAAGGTTATCGCCAGCCGACTTGCTCAGTCGATCCGTGAAAACCCACACTACTTCGTCTCCTCCACTCTCTCCGTCACCCGCCTGCTCAAGCTTCGCCAAGCATTGAACGAATCCGCTGAAGGCCGATACAAGCTTTCTGTGAATGACTTCCTCATCAAGGCCTGTGCCGTTGCCCTCAAGAGAGTTCCCACCGTTAACTCCCGATGGATTGAGCAAAACGGCCAAGTCATGATTCGCGAACACAAGACCGTCGACATCAGCGTCGCCGTTGCCACTCCATCCGGCCTCATCACTCCCATCGTCAAGGGCGTTGAGGGTCTCGGCCTGTCTAACATCTCCAGCCAGGTCAAGGATCTCGGTAAGCGCGCAAAGGAGAACAAGCTCAAACCTGAGGAGTACAATGGTGGCACCTTCACCATCAGCAACATGGGCATGAACCCTGCCATTGAGCGCTTCACCGCCGTCATCAACCCACCTCAGTCCGCCATCCTCGCCGTCGGCACCACTCGCAAGGTAGCCGTCCGCTCTGAGCTCGAGGAAGGCACCGAGATTGAATGGGACGACCAGATCGTGGTCACTGGCAGCTTTGACCACAAGGTTATTGACGGTGCCGTTGGCGCTGAGTTCATGCGTGAGCTCAAGAGAGTCGTCGAGAACCCTCTCGAACTTCTTCTCTAAGCTTGTTCATCTCTCTCCCAACGCATATCTATCTGTCTAACCTTTCACTACCTTGCCGACATATTCCCATAACCTGATTCCCTTCCCGATCTTTCAATTAGATTTGATCCTGTATTTCATATATCAGATTTTTACGGTTGGGAAGCGTCCTCTTTGCCCTTTTCCACCGTTTAAAATAGTGTATTAAAACATGTACTTCCCCTGACTCCCTTTATTTTCTTTCCTGACATGTTCTATCTTCCGCCCTCATACATCACATCCCTTTGCTCTGACCTTTCTTCCTCTCTCATGTGTTATATACTACGTCTTTTAAGCGAATATTCCATTTTGGATTTCCTCCTTTTCTATCTTCGAACTCGTCATCACTCCCTCAGTAGATGCTGACCCTAGCCGTTGCCATCGCTTCCACTATACGGCTCAAGCGGCGCCGTCTAATGTGAGGCTAATCCACTCTCTACAGCCCATATCCGCACCTATCCTTTGAATAACACGCTATATCGCCCAATCCCTACATATATCATGTGAAAATCCCATGCAATTTGCCGCTTCTCCTTTGCCTGTCTCGGTGTTGTGCCTTGGAAGTGCTACCTTGCAGGTATGACGTAATAGCGCCATCTAGAAGCAAAGCTCCAAAACAACATATATAAAGAGTACATCCGCTCCCAGGTCTTCATTTGCCTCTCTCCCCTCAGTCCAGGGTACACAGCTACATTGTCTACAAGCCCGATATCTACTATATTAACTGTCCTTCTCTTCGTCAATTCCTATCGACACCATGTCGTACGCCAAAGCCGCCGCTCAGAATGCCAACCAGACCCCGGAGGAAGTGAGTATCCTATATCTGTTCCTGGCTTGATCACCTTACTGACATACCGATAGGCGTGAGTAGGCCTATACACCTCAATTCTGTGGAATCACAGACTAACTAGCTCCTAGACGAGCTCCTCAACCTCCACAAGTGAAGAGAGATGACAACAATGTCTCGCCTCTCGTGGACGTCGATTCGCCACACGTTTCTACTGTCCCATCAGACTTCAATTCACAAGAGATAAAAACAAAGACGCAAGAAGCCCGCATTGAGCTCGAGAAAGAACAAGAAGAGCTGAAGAAGAAGTATAAAGAGGGCAAGCAGAAGGCCAAAGAGACCGCTAAGGAAGTCAGCGAGCGCGCTCAGGAGGCTGCTGCGGGAGGATACGACAAGTTCGATCGTAACAAGTCTAATCCTGTCGTTGTTGGAAACATGGTTCTTCTCACCGCTGCCAGTGCTGGATTGGCGTATGGTGCATACCAGAAGCATCTTCGTGGAGCATTGACGTGGGAGTTGGTTGCTGCATGGACCGGTGGCATTGGCGCTCTAGGCCTCTTTGACTACTACGTCAGCAGGTATGTTGAGGTCTACCGTATGATTATTACTATGGTCAGGTATTAACTTGACAACAGGTGGTTCTTCCAGAACAAGTATCCCCCAAAATAAAGGCTTAAAGCACATGGAGTTATGTTCTCGGATGGTCCCTTTCTAGTTTTCTGTTTGATGTCTTACTACACTGGGCTTCGCTTCCTTGCCAACGAATGCTGAATAATACATGGGATTACTGTTTGTACATTGACTAGGCTAATGACACTTTCTATTCAATCAAATTCTACTTTTCGCCTCATATTACTACAGCTCATGTTAAAGACGTAGCTTAGCTTTGAGCGTATCATATTACGGTTAAATGCCTTAAAAGCAGGTCTGCGTATTTAACCAAAGTTAAAGAAATACCTAGGCAGGCAGCCAAGGATGCTACTTTTCCAAGGCTGAGCCTCAAGATATCATGGCGAATATCCTCACGATAGAGCCAAAAGAAAAAATAGAAATAAAAAGAAAAGAAAAAGAAAGAAAGGAAATGACCAAGGCAGCTGCATGCACCATGCAGGCCCCTGTCTAGCAAGAGGCGTCGAACTCAGCGCTGCTCTATATATAAGCTAGACTCTATGAGAACTATCCTCGCTGTTTTGCCCCCAGCTGGCTGCTCGCAGATCCTAGCAGTAGGGAAAACCTCAGTTTACAAGCCCAAATACCTTGAGAGTTGTTCCTTAAAGCAGCCTTCATAGGGATGAAGGGTTTGAAGATTACGATCCTCGATAAGCTGTTGTCACAAACTTGGTATCTCCCTGGCATTATGTTGGTGTGAAATGTGTTCCAGCATGGTGGATACTGCTCCAGCAGTTGTCTTTTGGTGCCAGCATTGGTATATTATATCACCACATATAATGTCACTGGTATCAGGGAATTCTCCTTCCATAAATGACTTTTCCACTTCATCACTTGGCGTCTCCTTGTATGGATAAACTCCAGTCATAATAAAGTAGATCAAAGTCCCGAGGCCGAAAACATCGTCTTCAACTGTAGGAGGAATGTCCCAGTCCATGACAGGCCACCTAAACCTTGTTCCTGCAGTAGCAGTTGGTTCAGCACCGGAAATAGAAACACCGCCGAAATCAGATATTTTGAGATCCAAGTTTTCATCCAACAGGAAATTCCGAGGTGAGATATCACAGTGAAGTACATCATGAGAATGAAGGAGGGCGATTCATTCTGCAGCTTGCCTCGCCCATCGCAGGCGAAGCTTATGAGATACATTCTCCTCATTCTGGAGCATGTATTCCTTTAAATTACCGTGGGATACGTATTCCATCCTGATGCAACACGTCTCTGGGTCCCAGCTAAGTAAGTAGCTTCGGTATACGCGGATGATCGCCTAGTATTTTATAAACACGAGCTTCAATGCGCATATCTCGGCAGTTTTCCCGGTAGCATCGCGGGTCTGGATCTGGAATGGGTGTTTTAATCACTTCCCCTGAGGGAGGACGTTCAAGATATGCAGTTCCACCGATATCCAAAAGCACTCCCTTAGACACATAGATATTATCTGCCTTTGTGTTGGCTGGTGGATGAAAGTAGTCGTCTGCTAGATCGGGGTTTACTTCTCGCATCCATAGACCCGGGATAATGAGAGTTGTGGTATCTTTGGAGTAATTCGAAGGAACAGTTGGATGAGCGGCTGCTGGAGTCTAATATTGTAATAAGAAAATAAATTTTTTAGACAATTAACTCTTTATAGTTATTTGGGGGTTATTGGTAAAGGAGGGTGTTAATTACTTACCTTGCACTGCTCTATATCTTCGTTGAGTTTCTCACGTTTCCTGTCAGGGAGTCCGAACAGACGACTAAGGGAGTGAAGGAGAGTTGAGAAAGGGGACCACAGAATGGAGAGACCTATTAACCATGGCCGCCAAAAAATGAAAAGGCACGGCTCAACATCAGCTATTTATTATAAGAGCTGGAGGTCTTCTCTTCTCAATTCTCAACGTCAAGTTGCTCGTGGTGATAATCTTCATTGATCTGCTTCTCTTTCTTTTGATATTTCTAGATAAGAAATTGATCGCCTGGTACTCCGTATCTTGTTGGTCATAGTTACCTGGTAACACAGGCCTGGGCTGGCGCTAAGAATGGTCACGTGCTTATTATGTTTCGAAGGTTTATCATACTTGTAAATGTTGTCGATAGTGTTTTCCAGGCTATTAGGAAGAGCTATCGCTTTCTGACCTTTTGGGTCCATTCTAGCTAGAATCTTTTGCCTTTCCTTTGTATCTATTATCTGGCCTTTCCGTTTCTATACCACTATGGCCGCAAGCATGGGCTCTTGTACTGGTTAGCCTTCTAAACAACTCTGGATTTTTGTTTCATCCTGGCATATTATAATCGAGGGAATGTAGCACACTAGTACTAACGAAGCACTCACTCTGGCCTAAAAACTTCCTCGTTTGTAACCGGCGAGAATAAGCCATATCTACAAGAAAAGGTATCGATGCAAGTCTACCAGTTGGTATTGCCGACGACACCGATATTAAGGGCAGAGCAAGGGTCAGAAAATATGGCATGTTCTTGAAAGGTCTTGGTTTGGTTTCCGGCCACCTTTGCAGTTCATGAAATGCTAGAGATGACCGTTGGGGCGGTAATAGAAGGATACATTGGCGGAAGCCAAGGTCAGCGCTCTAGCAGCCACAAGGGAGGCCGTGAGGCGGTTTGTATGGTTTATTTGTCCACCAAAGTATTGCTGCTGCATGATGTTGATGCACTGCGTGCGGACATGCACATCTCGAGGCTACAAAGTGAGGCTCAAAATGCCCTGCCTGCGTTTGGATGGGACATGGGTATCATGGTATTATCAAGCTGGGGAGCTTCTATCGCTGACCATAGTTTAATATCTGATTGGTATAAATAATTAGCAAGCCACAGCGATAAACCCTGCGTGTACTCTGTAGGTCCTTTGCAGTAGTTGCAGCAGTCGTCTCCCTCATCGCCCTGACGAGGGTTATCGGGTTCAACCTGGGAGGCGATGTTTCGCATCCAAACTGGACCACAGCTAGCGTCAAGCTGATTTGTAACGCTCAAACGGATAAACCCGCAGCTTCGTCAGGCCATCTGTCTCTGAATCTCGCCATCCCGACTGGGGTGAAGCCGCGTCGGATCCTGTTAAGCGGAAGTTCGCTGGTGGGCTCCCAATTTTCGCTGGTGGAGCAAGCGTTGAAATTTTTGTTCCTCGGGTGACTAGTTAGCCAGGCCCGCCATCTCAATCCAATCCCCAGTTGCACCAGCTCCTGGCTTCTAGATTTCCCCCAGAGAGCGGAAAAAACTCAAAAAGCAAAGAAAAGAAACGCAAGATTGACGTTTGTTCGTTTCCTGCGGTCAACCTTCGTGGCTAGTTTGTAATGGCATATTATTTATAAGAGGGAGCAGGCCGGGCCGGGTTGAGCAGGCAAGCAAGCATAGCTGTTTAACTAGTTGATATAGCTGCAGACATCGCCAGTGGTCCTTCTCAACAGTCAACGGTCAACACCAGCGTCAACCCTTAACTTAGGTTATACGGCCAGTTTTTCAGCGCAAAGATGGCATCCGGGGAGTCTGGTCGTCGCCAGTCGGTGTATAAGATATTCGGGGAACCGGTACGTATACAATGTTTGCTTGCTGTCTCTTCCCTTACTGCTGTCACTGCCGCCGTCCTTGCTCTCTGTTGATCTGGTTTGGTACTCTTGCCAAAGCCCACTTCGTCTCCCCCACTGTCCCCGTCAGCTTGTATGGTTGCCATTGCCGCTGTCAAACACACATCCTCGCCTCTTCCACGCTGTGTCTTATCTTCTTGCTGCTTGCCTTTGCTGTCTCAATCTTCGTCGTCGTCGTCTTCGTCGTCTTCGCCCTGAGAAAACAAAAAGCACGCCGCGGATTTCCTAATCGGGCAACCCTGGCAGCGCGCACATGACGTTGCGGGTTCTCCCGACAAGGAATCGCTTTCGCCGAGAATTTCCGACGTGGAGATTCGGAGGCGACAAGCGACGGCGGCGGCGGCGACGACGATGATGAGAAGAGGAATAGAAGACGGTGGAGAGAAGCTGGAGAAGAAGAGAGATGGAGACGGAGAAGTCAAGCCACTTTTGTCAAACGCAGCCTCCGGGAACATGGAGTCTGGAGTTTATAGGGTATATAATAAGGGGTTGCCCCTTTTCGCCAGCATGCCACAGCCGAAGGAAGAAGCAGACAAGCAGACAAGAAGACAACATGAACATAGGAAGGACACAAGCAATTCATGCAAGGAAGGGGCTCCCTTACTCTGGACGACTAAGCGGATGATCCACGCTCTATGTGAATGAAGACTGCTTCTAAATGGCTATATCAAAGCTGCTGCTCTATACCCCGGACTTCTTACTCTATACCTCTCCCTAGCCGTTTCCATCTTCTGCCTTTGATTCTATTGGCGTCCAACTGTCCCTGCTATTGTGAAAAAACACTGCATGATAATGGCGGGCCCAGTTAATGCATCCTCTGCCTACCACCCGTGCCCTATAGAGTCCCCTGCTGTGCATGACAAGCCTCATACTATAGAACGTCCAGCTAACAGCTGGCAGAACGATGATGCAAAGATATGTGTAGTTATGGTTGGCCTTCCGGCCCGGGGGAAGAGTCTTATTGCTGGCAAAGGTATGATTATCGTCTCCTTCTACAATAGTTACTCTAGCTGACAAAGGGTAAACAGCACTACGTTATCTCTCATGGATCGGTATTCCCGCAAAGATCTTTAACGTTGGGCAGTACCGCCGACAAGACACCCCTCGGCCCACAGCGGCATTCTTCGACAAATCCAATCCCGATGGGGAACGGTTACGCCGGGCAGCGGCTGAAGCTGCAGTCACAGACATGCTTCGCTGGTTCTCAACGACCGGCGGCCAAGTCGCCATCCTTGATGCAACCAACTCGACAAAGGAACGCCGCAAGTGGATCCGTGATGTGTGCCAGGCTGCTGGGATTGAGCCGCTGTTTGTTGAGTCTAAGTGTGATGACAGGGAACTTATCATGAGCAATATCAGAGAGGTCAAGACAACTTCTCCAGACTATGTTGGACAGGACCCAGAAATTGCCGCACAGGATTTCATGAAGCGGATCAGCAACTATGAGAAGGTATACGAAACTATAGACGAGGACGAGGATGTATCGTACATCCAGCTCATCAACGTTGGGACATCCGTGGTGATCAACAATATCAAGGACTACCTGTCTAGTAGACTGGTATACTATACCATCAACCTTCACATTAAACCCAGATCTATCTGGCTATCCCGGGTAAGTGCCGATCTACATATTCTGCTAGTGTACAATCAACTAATACTGGGATTAGCATGGTGAGTCTGAGTTTAACCTCTCAGGCCAAATAGGCGGAGACGCCAACCTGTCTAGCCGCGGCGAAGCGTACGCCCGAGCCTTGCCCTCTCTCCTGAAGGAATCTGGGGTACCCCCTGGCACCAAAATAGTCATCTGGACCTCGACATTAAAACGCACTATCCAAACTGCCCGTTTCCTCCAGGCAGAAACAGGCTATGACAAACTAGAATGGAAAGCCCTTGACGAACTTGACTCGGGAGTCTGCGATGGCCTCACCTATGAGGAAATCGCCGAAAGATACCCTGAGGACTTCAAAGCCCGTGACGACGACAAATACAACTACCGCTACCGGGGCGGAGAATCATACCGTGACGTAGTCATCCGTCTTGAACCAATTATAATGGAACTCGAACGAAGCGAAAACGTCCTCATAGTCACTCACCAGGCTGTACTTCGCTGCATTTACTCTTACTTCCTAAACATGTCTCAAGAGCAGAGCCCGTGGATGGAGGTGCCTCTTCACACGCTGATTAAGCTTACCCCTCGCGCTTACGGGACCGAAGAGAAGAGATTCAAAGCAAGCATCCCAGCCGTCTCGACCTGGCGCGGTAAAGGATCGTCTGCAAAACATCAGGAGCCAGCTAGTCTTCCTGTAGCTAAGTAAGCTGACGGCGACACTCGGCACTAGGTAGATGATTACTATCTTCTTCATTTTATTTCCCCTCGCTCGGTTGCATTCCGCATGGAATAGAGGTATACACGATGTCGGCGTCAGATGGAATGTGAAACGGTCCCTGGTCTAGGAGGGAATTCAAGGAGTATGCATGAATGGTGGAAGGAATGGAGGCCTTGATTTTGACCATATGGAATTATACTCCCCTCTTATCGGTAGGAGTGGGAGATTATAACTGGAGGTTATTAAATGGCCTTTGTATCCATTCTTTACTTTCATACTATCCATCTGATATAGCATTTTTTTATTCTAGAAAGAATGGACTCCTTTGCATTATAACTATCCCCTTTGGACCTTCTCTAGGCAAGTCGAATACCCATGACGTCGATGTATGAAGCACACACCCGCTTGGCTGCCGCCCATTTATGAGATAATTAATGTGCACACTAATCGAAGATACACAGGATAGCTCTAAGAATGTATCGAAACGACTGAATCAACAGAGCGAGCTCTAGGTTGGATCCATATGGTTGACAGAAGGTTATCCAATGAAGGCGAACTTTGAGAGTGAATTTTGTTGGCTCAAGCTTAATATTAGGTTAACCAATGAATGATTTTAAAGTCAATCACTAACCAACCATAAACAAGAAACTTTCAATACTCAATGTTAAAGGAGAAAGCGTCTCATTCATTGGCTAGTGCTACATAAGGTTACACGTGACTGCGCTCCCAGTATCTCTGGCTCGCCGTATCCTGCAGCATGACATCTTCGCGAACGAGCTTCAGCAACGAAGAGGCGGACAAGCGGAGACGAAGAGACAGCTCGCCCACAGGCCTCATGGACATAGCAGTGCGGTCCACGAGCGCCGGCGATACCATCAAACCACCCCCATCCCTCCAGCCATGCTGACAGCATTTACGGCGAGGCCCCTCGTGGAGTTTCGACCTCGCGACAAGTCGAAGATAGAGTCCATCCTGACGTACGGGGACAGGCTGCTGGTCGGGCTGAACACAGGATCGCTGCGAATATACAGGGTTAATGAGGTGAACGTTGAGGAAGCGGAAACAAGGGCTGGTGATGACACAGAGGCGCAGGATGGAGGTAGTGGTGACGGCGGTGGTACCGTCCAGCCATCTACAACGACCAAACCAACAGACCTCTTGCGGGAGCTAGAGAAGTTCTCTCGGTACAAGATCGAGCAGTTGGCGATTATCAAGGAGGCGAATATCCTCCTTTCCCTGTCGAACGGCCATGTTTCAACGCACGATCTGCAGTCTTACGAGCTGCACGAGCAGCTGACTCGGACTAAAGGGGCTACCACGTTTGCAGTCACCTCCAATATCGAGAAGGATCAGGACACCGGGGTCCCGTCGATTGTGTCTCGGCTTGCTGTTGCGGTAAAGAGGAAGCTCATGTTATGGACATGGCAGGACATGGAGCTTGAAGATGATGTCACGGAGATAACGCTTGTTAGCGGGATAAAGACTATTACTTGGGCAAACGGTACCAAGCTGCTAGCCGGACTTAGCTCAAGCTATGTTCTTGTTGATGTTGTGACCAGAGAAGTCACGGATATCGTGGGGCCCGGAAGCATTGGAGGAGCTGGCGGGTCGGAAACAGGACGTCTCGGGGGTGTGGGTGCTAGTATGAGCTACATAGGCATGGGCGGAGCAACACCCAAACCGCTCGCTACAAGATTGTGTGAAGGACAGATGCTTCTAGCAAAGGATGTCAACTCACATTTCATTGACACGGACGGGAACGGCCTCAAACGCCGCCAGATTCCTTGGACGGTAGCCCCCGAAGCCGTTGGCTATTCGTACCCTTACCTACTAGCACTTCAGGATGCATCCAAAGGTATACTTGAAGTGCGTAATCCAGAGACCTTGTCACTTCTTCAATCAGTGTCACTCCCATCTGCTACAATGGTTCATATTCCCCAGCCGAATATCAGCCTTGCCCATGCAGGAAAAGGATTCCTGGTGGCTAGCGGCCGTGTGATCTGGAGAATGAGTGCCCTTGATTATGATTCCCAGATTGACGGCCTAGTAGAACAAGGGCATCTCGACGAAGCCATCAGCCTTCTTGGAATGCTTGAAGACGCACTTCTAAATAACAAGGAGGGCAGGTTGCGGGAGATAAAGCTACTCAAGGCCCAGACTCTCTTTGAAAACCAGAAATACCGCAAGTCATTGGACCTTTTTACAGAAGTTTCGGCCCCTCCAGAGATTGTTATCCGGCTATTCCCTAAACTTATCGCTGGAGAGCTATCTTCTATCGAAGAAGACACTTCACAGGAAAGCTCAGAAAGCTCAGAGGAGAATCCTTCCCAGCTTGAAAATGGTACCAGTATTCACAGCGCTGAACCCACCACGCCAGATGAGAAGCCGAAAGTCAAGAGTGTAGCTTACGCACCATCTGTGACCTCATTTCTAAGAGGGAGGCCCGATGATGCCAGCGAGACTGGTAGCATGCGTGGTAAACCAGCAGATATGAAAGAACCTGATAAGAGACTTGGTATGTAATCTGTATTGGCCTTTTGTTATTATGTACCACGTAACTAACTCGCTTCTAGAAGGGAAAGATCTGAAAGCAGCTGTTTACGAACTGCAGGGATTCCTAGCTGATATTCGCCGAAGGCTCTCTAGATTCATTAGTCCTGATGGCACACTCAAAGAGCCTTCAGTTAATGTTGATAAATCAGACGAAATTACCCAATCTATGCTGAAGACTTTGGGTATCTCCCCTGACGATCTAGAAAACGTCGACATGAGCCAGAAGTTGAAGGAGACAGCTACATTGGTAGACACCACCTTATTCAGGGCTCTCATGTTTGCAACGCCTACGTTGGCCGGCTCACTATTCCGCATTGATAACTTCTGTGATCCTGAAGTGGTGATGGAGAAGCTGGAACAGACCGCTCGTTACGGCGATTTGATTGACTTCTTATTTGGCAAACGCCTTCATCGCTCTGCCTTAGAACAGCTAAAGAAATTTGGCCAAAAGGAGGAGGAAGAGGAGATTTCGCCTGACCTTAGAGGGCCCAAACGCACAATTGCCTATCTACAGAATCTACCACCTGACAATCTCGATCTGATCCTCGAATTTGCTGAATGGCCTCTTCGAAGTGATCCCGATCTCGGCATGGAGATTTTCCTTGCGGATACTGAGAATGCGGAGACCCTGCCTCGTCAGCGGGTTCTAGAGTTCCTTAATGGAATCGATGCAAAGCTCGCAATTAGGTATTCGGAACATGTCATTAATGAGCTTAATGACCTGACTCCGGATATACATTTCCGATTATTAACGCTGTACCTTGAGCGGATACTGAAGAGTAAACAATCAAAGGACGTTTGCCCTACTGAAGATGAGCGAGAGGAGTGCAAGCGCAGGCTGTTGAAGATGTTAGAGACGAGCGAGCAGTACTCTCCAGCGAAAATGCTGGATCGACTCCCAAGAGATGGTGAATATATATTCTTTCCAATACGCCCGTATCTATAGAGAGACTAATCCCTATTGGACTGGTAGATCCGGAATTTTTCGAGCCACGGGCCGTTACATTGAGTAAGATGGGACAGCACCGTCAAGCTCTTGAAATATATGTGTTCAAGCTGGACAATCCAGCAAAAGCAGAGGAGTAAGTAATTCATAAGTGGATGCTAGGCCGATTGATATGGGTATAAACTGACTGGCTGTTTGCAAAGGTACTGCAACCGGGTCCATTTGAACGATGCCACAGAGACCAAGCAACGTGCAATACCATATGGTAGTTCTCCCGTAGTTGAAGACGGGGAGGCCCGCCCGTCTATCTACCATACACTTCTTTCCCTTTACTTATCCCCGCCCCATGACTATAAACCACGATATGGCCCTGCAATTGAGATCCTTGCACGACACGGTTCCAGATTACCTGCCAGCTCCACTCTCAGCCTCATTCCAGGTTCATTACCAATCCAGGATCTCGAGTTCTACTTCCGCAGCCGTATCCGTGCAGCCAACAGCATCCTAAACCAGGGTCGAATTATATCTTCGCTGCATAAGATTCAAAGCATGGAAACAGAGGCATCATTGCGTTTGGGCAATGACGTTGGCAGCAACAAGGGCAGAAACCGGTGCATCACAGTCAGCGAAGATCGAGTATGCAGTCATTGCCATAAGCGGTTGGGTGGGAGCGTTATCAGCGTATTTCCAAAGTAAGTTCGGGTGTTATCCAACGCATCGCAGACTCCAGTCACTAACATCTCGAACCACAAGTAATACGGTAGTCCACTTAGGCTGCGCCAATAGATTGGGCTCTGCGACATAAATGGCATTATAGAAGCGTGATGATTCCAGTCCATCCGACAGCATATGGCGTCTCAGCACCGTCCTTATCCTAATCTATTCCCCTTCCCCGCCATGTTTCTGTATATATTGCGTTTTTGCTATTGGATACCCCCCATCCCGCCTGTCTGCACCGTAATAACGTAATAATGAAGCCCACAGTACGCTAATGCATCATTCATCATTCATCATCATTAACAACTTCTTCGCCATAGTTATCTTCCTCTGTTTTATCATCTGTTGTGGCGCCTCCTTGCTGTATGTCACGTAGTTTGTCTTCCTCCATTTTTTCCGTAAGAAAGGTGTTAACATCGGCTTGCAGAGATACTATTGAACCTCGCAACTCTGCTAAGTAAGCTGTCCGTCCTGCAGGGCTATGTTCGTCTGATGGGGGGATAGCGGCCGAGAGCTGCTTTGTGAAGACGCGCGCAGGCGGTTCTGTCGTTTCCTGTGAGGTGCGGGGAGCTTGATAGATAGCCTTGAGAAGGGCAGTTTTGCCCATTTTCGAATCCGAAGTCATGATTGAATTCTCGCAAGGACAGGTCTAGCTCGATCAATGCCGACTCTTGTCTTCTTTCTGTCGTATTGTTGATTGATGTTTCGTTCTCATATCGAACCTTCACAGAGCTGTTTGTTTGGCGGCGGGATGTCACGTGGCTAACTAGTTAACTAGTTATTTAGTTAGGTATTTTCTTAAAAGGGAATTTTGTTACTTCAACATCGCCTTCGTTGACTTCATCAACGTCTGTGAAAAAAGAGACACGATGAGATGGTCGATATGGAGAAGTCGAATATATTCTTAGCTTGCAAGAATTCGTCCTTGACAGGATAACTAGTGGCATCCTGGTGATGATGCAGGTGTTCTCGTCAAGATCCCGCTACGGGGCTGAGTTCCCGTTTAGCACAGCCTCAGCCTCAGGACGGCGAGTTAAATAAGCCCGGCTGGGAGTATTACAAGGATAGATGCTTGTGTTTGTGTAGGGCCATATCGCCTTAAAATTCCTAGGTGAACTCCAACGTTCTGTCATACCTTTTGTCGCCTTTATTTGTCTTCAGGCCGAAATGCTAGAAAGGCGACCAGGCGACAAGCGGTTGATGCTCCAGTCATTCGGTCGCCCTCTTTTCTCCCCCATCTAGCCAGACCAATCTCAGCCAAAAGATACATCCAAGGCAGCTGAGCCTCAAGCCGGCGGGAAGCCCACGCATCGATCCAATGGATCCAGCATCAGCCTTTGGCATCGTCACCGGTGCCATGCAAACAGTGCAGATTATTGGCAGCACACTTCAAGGCCTGCGTGCCTTGCAGGGCAAATATGCCGATGCGGACATGACAATCCATTCGCTTATTGTCCAAGCTGCCACAATCAAGTCTGCTATCACACAGCTCCAAGAGTGGGCAAGTTATGACTCCGCTAGGGCTGAGCATCCAGACTATTTGGATGGGTTGGATATCGCCATAGACGGATGCAAGACAAGCATGGAATGCCTTCTTGCGCAGGTCTCCAAAGTCACGAGTGTTCTAGATGGCAGGGAAGTTCCTGAGTTGCGAGTTGCGGCGAAGCTACGTGCGGTCTGGGATGACCATCTGATGCAGGACTACCAGCAGCGGCTCCAGTCCCAGGTTCTAGCGTTAAATTTCCTTTTACAGGTCTGCCAATGGTACGTTTGAAACTACTATTTGTCTATTCAGTCCAAAGAGAAGACTAGGGTGTTAACATAGATATCCTCCTAGTCGTACCGTCACAGAGCAAGTTGAACTCTTACGGCGGGAAGAGAACAGACAGCTGCTGAAGAAAGTTGAAGATGATACCGCGACCTTGCGGAGTTCGGTTAGACAGCGAGGAAACCCGTCGGCAATGAGTATTTCTCAGTCTACAATCAGTGAGACGGCTTTGGATGTGGACGACATCATAGTGAATGCAACTGCGTACAGAAGAGTGCTAGCACATAACCGTTCAGTTTCAAATCGTGCCCGTACGGAAGAATCCAGCCACAATACAGGTACTCAACCACAAACTCCAAGATCCACCACTACCGACGAAGGCTATGCGAGTGGGACCGTCCGGTCTCAATCATTTAATGGCAGTAATACTCTTTCTGCCCCAAGTACATTTCTTGAACCACCAGCAGAATCAGTACCACCGCAGGGGAAGGGGGACATGGGACGAAGTTCTTCAATGGCTGTATCGCAGACATCAGCGAAACCCACAACTCCTGCAATGCGGAGATGGCAATCAAACCCAATTCCTCTCCACAAGTCGGGCTCAAAGCGAGAGAAAATTCGCCAGGTGCTTGGAAGGTTGGATACTTCAAGTCGAAGTAGTCTCAAAAAGACATCGCCACGTCTAGGTACAAAACCCTTCAGTTCCTTTTCTCCAATACCAGAGCGGGGCGCAGCCCCGAGATTTGATCGAAGCCGCCCAAATACTAGCATTGATCTTTCTTCAACGGATAGCGTGGCCATTCCGCCCATCATAAAAGCAGCTCAAACTGGGTCACTGGTCCAAGTTGAAATGCAAATTGGCGAAGGAGCCGATATTAATGATCATCACGCACTCACAGGTAGAACAGCTCTGGCGGTGGCCGCCCATTGTGGTAATGAAGAAGTGGTGGATTATCTACTCCAACAGGGGGCAAAGTTCGACACTCAGGAAATAGATGGCTCGACGCCTCTCCATCTGGCAGCCTCTAGGGGTCACACCGGCGTTATCCAAGTCCTCCTATCAGTGATCGAGAGCGTGGATGTAAAGGATGGATTGGGTCGAACGCCGTTCTGGGTGGCTGCTGATGGCGGTCACATAGATGCAACACGGATGCTGCTTGGTGCGGGCTGCAAAATAACGGCCCGAGCTAAAGGACAAATAACCGCCTTACACAAAGCGGCAATCCGGGGCGACAGCGAGATGGTGGCATTTCTCTTACAGTCCGGTGCGGACATTGAAGCCAAGGATGCTACCATGAAGTCTGCCTTACACCATGCTTGCGAGAATCGCCAATATACCCTCTGTCGCTCTCTTTTTCAGTATAAAGCGGACATTGAAGCCGTCGAAATCAATAAGAAAACACCACTAATTTGTGCTGCAATCGCGGGCGATGTGCGCATAGTGGAATATCTGATTGGGAAAAGGGCTTCGATGCTGACTACGGATGAAGGCGGGATGAATCCTCTACATGCTGCAGCTGCTCATGGCCATGTTGAAGTTGTCCAATTCCTACTAGAGAAAAAAGTCTCTATAAGCTCCACGAATAAACTTGGGATGACCCCTTTACATCTTGCCGTCATGTCTAGACAATTTGCGGTTGTTGAATTCCTCCTGCGCAGAGGAGCACCTACTGAGATCAAGAGCTCAGGCGGTTTCACACCACTTCACTACGCCTGCGATCTGGTAGATGTTGAGATAGCCCAACATCTTGTTGGGTGCGGAGCAAGCATTGAGGCTCAGGGAGAAGGACAGCAGCGACCAATTCATATTGCTGTAGCTAGAAATTCGATGGAGTTGGTTCAATTTCTCTGCCAAAGGCGAGTCGAGGTTGACGCTGCCGATGCATCCGGCACACGACCTTTGTGCATAGCTTGCCGTAAGGGTAATGCACCTATCGCTGAGCTCCTACTGGATCAAGGTGCGCTTACATTATGCCCGACCTCATGGAATGGCACCCGGGAAGAGCACTCGCCGTTAGCGATAGCGTCGAGATCCGGTGACGTGCGGATAGTATCCCTTTTGCTTGGGAAGGGAGCATCTGTTGAACAGTATGATGGCAGGGGCTGGAACCCTCCCTTGTACGCAGCACACTACGGGCATGTACAAGCTCTACGGTTGCTACTATCAAAGTGTAGTACACTCGCAAAGATAAAGCTGGGACAAATGTTCTCACAGACTAGGTTCCATCCAGATATTTCAATCCCATCGGAAACAGCGCACATGATTCAAAGGCTTATCCTTGAGAACGCACAGCCACTGCATGGCCAGGGTATTGGGGGCCCTCGGGTGATGCGGGACTTCAGCGGAGGGTTTGGTGGTGATAGTAGACTGCTGCAGGGACAAGTACATGTTCAACAAGCTTTCTACCAGCCTCCTTCCTCCTCAATAACTCCACCAATACCATCGTTTCCCCAGACTGCCATTGAACTTCCAGCATTTGAACCCATTATCCTACCTGGCCGTGAGATTAATGAATCGATCGAGTCGGGTAATCAGGGTACACAGCAGCGTCAGTCTATGGCAGAGGCGACCACCCGTCCTGGCTTATTCGAAGCACCACAGGATCCTGTCACACAGGACAACAGCCACAACAATCATGTCTCTATAGAACAAACTTACGATAACTACAACCACCAGACTAGCGCTCGTTCTGGCCCACGAGAGCCACTTCCTACTATACCAAGTCGAACAAACACACCACTGCCGATATTCGAGTACCCTCGCCATGAACCGCCCTCTCAGCCGGTTTCCCAACCCCAGGACCTGCCACCTAGAAACTTTCCAACCCGTGGAGATATCAGACCCTCTCCCTTCGACACCTCTAGTGGAAACGTCGCCATTAGCCCTGCACATCTCGAGCCAGGAGAGCTACCAGACAACAGACAACCGCAATATATAGGAGGACTAGATAGACAAGTACCGGAAGACGAGTCCGATAGTGACTTTGAAAGTGACTCGGACAGCGAGTCTGCTGTTTCCGTATACACTGCCCCAGAATCGCTCGAGCCCGAGGTATCAGAGCTATCTTCTGCTGGGCTTGGAGCCGCCATCTACGAGCTTGATGGAACCAGCATATCAATGCATGGAGTCTTTATATAGCCAGGTGTAGATCTGTTTAATGCTGTCAACGTAATAATGCGCCTGATCTCCAAACTCTGCTATGGTCCAGAACTATATCTAATCTATCTATATATCAACAATCAACAACTCCGTCTGTAGACTGGCTGCCTCTTCGCTTCTCTTCCATCTCTTCTCTATCTTCTGTCTTTTCTATCTTTCCTATTCGTCTTCTTCGCCTTCATCGCCTTCATCGTCTTCACCTTTCGTCTCATCTCCGCCTCATCCAGCTTACTAAGCACTTTTCTGACGTCGACGTCAACGAAGAAAAGGCAGCAAAAGGACTAACAAAAAGGACTGAATAACGAGACGCACAGGAAAGACGAAGACGAGGACGAAGAGGACGATGGAGTGACGGCCATGCGAAGATGAGCTTCACGATCGACTACGAGACTGCGGTCCCCCAGGTTGCCCGAGCCCTCGCCGACTGAAACACGCCCGCCAGAGACAGTACCACCACCACGACAATAACTACTCCGTAACGAGCCAGTCGATCACCCGGAGGACAGGATCATGAAGTCCTCAAGCTCCCCCAAGCGCCCTCAAGACCGTCCTCCCCAGCCACCGACGGTCAAAGAACCGCAGTCAAGGCCGGAGCCGCGGCGGTCCAGCTCGTCCAGCAGCAGCGCCGCCTCGTCGACCACCTCCAACCAGACGGCCCTCAACGTCTCCAAGCGGACGCTCTACGGCCTCACCCAACAGCAGCACGAGCAGCAACTCCAGCAGCCAGTACGATCTCCCGCGATGGCTGCGGGCAGCGTCAATGGCAGCAACACCTCACTGGCGCTGCGGCCCCAGAACGAGCCTGTCCAGCGGCGAGCGTCGCCTCTCGCCCAGGGCCCATCTGCGTCCTCATCCTCAGACACTCGAGGTTTCCGTTCACGCCACCATTCCCAGGGCTTCTTCGAGCCTTCGCTGCCGACGGCCTCCCAGGGTTCCTCTGCTGCCGTCTCTGCCTCACGGATTGCGGCCCAGGCGGCAATGCAGCACCAGACCGAGCAGCACCAGCAACAGCAATACCACCACATCCGAAACAGATCACAGACAATACCCCCGCCACAGGAGAGCGGACTCGCCGCCAGGAGAGGCGCCAGGGACTCGCCTCCCCCAATCCAGACGAACCTCCTCCGGCCGCAGATGTCTGTACCTAGCCAGATGAGCTACCAAAGTAGCACCAGTGGAGGGCGGGCCGCGGGGGCCGCGACAACGGCAGCCAACGTCGCCTTTCCCAGGACTCCCACGCCGCAGAGCGCGCTTCTACCAACCACTAGCAACACAACAACGACAATAACCGGGGGCACGGCTGAGTCTGGCGGGCAGAAGGAGAAGCAGAAGAGCGAAAAGTCCAAAATGAAGCTCTTCTCAAAACCCAAGCACATCGGCATGTCCAGAGACAAAGAGGACAAGAAAGAGAAGACCATGCCATCTCCCAGCAAGCTCGCATCTAGGCTTGTTAACGCGTCGACAGTCAGCCTGAATGATCCTGCTGGCGGTGCGGGTGCTGGCGTTGGTGGTAGCGGTGACCTCAATATCAACAACAGCAATAATGGACTTTCCGCAAACAACCTGTCACTCTATTCTCTGGCAAACTCCTCTGCCACCACTGTTGTGCCTATTGAGAGACACTCCCTGGATGAAGACAGAGGCAAAGAAAAAGAGAAACACAGACACCACTTCCTGTCACGCCAGAAGCTCAAGTTGAAGGACAGGGAGGATTTCCATCTGCCCCTGTCCTCGGCCAGCAGCAACTCCCGACCCCTGGATCCCAGCGCGCCCCAGTCTCTCTACAACTTTGCACCCTCGTCCCCGGCTGCGTCGACGTTTGGAAAGTCTATGAGTGGTCTTGATCTCCGACACGGCGGTCGAGCGTTGCGAGAGAAGAAAAAGGAAGAAAAGGCCTCTGCTGCCGCTGCTGCTGCCGCCGCCGCCGCGGCTCAAGCTCAAGCTCAACAAGACGCGATGATGCGCGAAGGAGGCGATCACCAGGCCGACTGGTCCGGTGCTGCGTCGGTTACTGGCTCTACCGTCACATTCGGAGGCCCGTCGTCTTCCGTGAGCAGTGTTCAGGGGACCGGCATCCTACCCGGAAGCAATACTGCAATCCAGGAGATTCTACAGGGCTTTGGGCTACAGAACATGACGCCCGACGACGCCTGGGACTTCCTCAAGGCTAAACTGCTCGTCTTGTTCGAAGGAGAAGACGTCCGTATCGCGTTGGAGGACCTTAATAAGCTGGTTAGAGTCCATATCCATTGCTGTGTCCAGAAACAAGTCCCCCACCAGGTCATCGAGGACCTCCGTGACCTGCTCCAGACGGGTTTTGCATCTCTCAACTACTCACTCATCAAGGTTCCCGAGGAGAATATCATTCCACATCTCGTCAACGTCTGGGTGTTCGCCTTTGGCACCGTCTTGCCATTTATCCAAGCTACTTTCTTACCCTTGGACCTTGAATTCAAGGGCCACGGCTCAATCATGAACGCTCGCGAAGCAAAGGAGTTCTGGGGTGCCCAACCGGGCTCGAGCGATGCTTCTATTTCTGCTGGTGATGCCCTGGATGTCCGCAAGATCGTCCTCACCTCGTTCCGTGACAACGTCATATTAACCCGCTACGATGTGCTCAAGGCAGCCTTCTCCCGCCTCAGCCTGGAGAAGATGAACGCTAATATCAACGGACCCCCAACTGCTACTATACACAGCGCTACTACGGCCAGTGCCAGTCGACCAAGCACCTCTGCAGGCTACGAGACCGGCGGCGGTGGTGGGAGTTATGCCTCGCAGCCCTCGTCCCACCTCAACGCTGGTAGCTTCTCCTCCGAATCAGCCATTGCATCTCTCACCCGCGCCCGCGCAATATCCAACACGTCTTCCAACCCCGAACACACATACCCATCCTCTTACTCCTCTTTCTCGCCATCTCAGCCTTCGATCCTCTCCCAGACTCACTCCCACTCAACCAATATCCCCCCACCTCCTCAGCTTCCACCCACAGACCCCTCACAGGTCACCGAGACTGCCGGCCGAATGCTCCAGTGCATCTGCGTGCTAGCCAGCGTCCAGAGCGACGACGACGCCCAGCAGAAAATCGAGGAGCTCAGCAAATCCCTCAAGCACAACTGGCTTGGTCGTGGCCGAACTGGCCGTAACCGTCGAGGCTTCATCGGCACCAAGATCCGTCCGCCTCCACCACCTCGCAAGGACACCAACGAGCAGGCCGATCACCAGTCTGCCGATGACACCCCACGAGGCACGGATGCGACTGGCTGGTGAATGAATATGAATACCCTGCCTCGTTCAGAAGCCAGAGACACGTCGCTGCTTCTTCTCATCTCACTTTTCCACCTGTGGCCACGATCACGACGAGAACCGTCCATGCTCCTCCACCGCCTCTCTGTACTGTACTGCATTGCATTCCCGGGGATTTCGAATATGATTCTTTCTGCTTTTTTCTTTTTGTTCTTTTTTTATTTTACACGGACGGTGGGCGTGGGTTGTTCAACTCTTTCTTCTTCCCTAAATGGGCCTATGGATTGTCCCCGGTAACGTTCTCTTCCGTGTACATATACCCTTATCTGCTTCTTGTTTTTCAGTTTTTTGTTACTCTGGTCAGAGCAGGCCTACAGGTTACAAATGAATGAACGAATTTTGACTTGACTTGATTCCTTGGAGTTCTCAGTACATCAGATACCCATATCTTCCTAACTTCCTGACTTCTTGACTTCATGATACCCCCATACACATCAGCTCATCCCAACCTCTCTAGGCAACTAGATAGCGACGTGACAACAGACAAGACTTCTGGTCTAATCTACTACTTAGAGTTGAAAGGGCACCAGACGATGTTAATGGCGGCACCACCTCTCTCAGCAGCACCACCCTTGGGACCAGTATAGCACTTGTCAACAATAGAATTGGCCAACTGACGGCAGGCAGCCTCGCTTTTGAACACGCCGATATGGCCGATCTGTCCCATGCCGCCATTGCTGTCCTTCCAGGGACGCCAGTTGGTGGTGGTCTGGCGCCAGTTGTTCTTGCAGTAGGTGGTGATAGCAGTGCCGAGACGGGCTTTGCTCAAGCACTTTCCGCTGGCCTTGTCGGAGAAGCAGCCTGCGCCGATGACAGAGTCGATGAAGATGCTCATGAGAGCGACGAGGATGACGTTGAAGAAGCGCATTCTATATTCTTGTTAGACTGGTATATTTTTACAGATGAGGGGTACTAACTTGGCAGCAGCTGTAGAAGTGTATTGAGTCTAATAGTGCGATGTAGATGGTGATGATGATGATGATGATATTCCAACAAAAAGCAGGAGATCAGGAGAGATTCTTCACCTTTTTATATTCGTATGTTCATCTACTGCTCAATACTTAGACATCTAGAGGATCATCCTACTTACGTCGTCCTATTTTTGAGATTCATGTCCTATATTTCATTCTGGCCTGTGCCGCCCAAGTTCAGAGACGTCGAGGAGGAATATGTCTGTCTGACCATTAAATGAGACAACACGATGTAGGAAACGCCATGGCAAGCTTCATCCCGTTGTCCAGGCAAGCTATAGGGTATTTTGACCGGGCACTGCAGATCCTTGGAAAGATCTTTTGAGTCGAGATGTACGGAGTGTACCATTGGTTGCATGGTTTCTTCTTCTCTGCGAGTTATTGGTATCATGCAGCTGTTTTTTGTTTGCTTTCCAGCCAGCCTCTGTCACTGATTCGCGCACATCTTCCCACTTTGATAAAGCGAGCCCTCTTTCTCTTTATTCTCTACTTTGTACTCCGTATTTACCTAGCGATATATACAAATGTACGGAGTACATGGGATGTTCGGAGTCTTTCTGACCTAGTACAGAGTAGTTACATTTGTGGCTGGTTGGACGTAGGCATGTGCGATGGAGACAGCAGGAAAAAGACCAGTTTAATTGCTTGTTAGAAGATATTCAAGTACATGGACGCCGAGTAACGACGGGACAGCGGAGAAGTAATCCGTAATCGAAAAATAAAAGAACATGGCAGGATGCTTAGACGACGTGTATCAACGAGGGTTGATAAACAGGCCCCTGTCCTGCAAACCAGGACGGCGCCTCCTGACCCTATGTCGAGCCCGTATCTTGACCCTGTCTCGATGTCCTCCTCCTCCTCCTCCTCCTCCTCCTCCTCCCCTATCCCCATACCGGTCTAGAATATATTCTGGAACCTGCAGCGATGGCAGACCACCCAGGTAGAGCGGTATCACACCCATGTAGCGTACTAGTTCCGCCTTATCCGAGCTTCGCAGCTGTTCAAACAACGCCGTCATAAGGATAGTAAAGTCTTCATGGAAACACAGATCAACGAACTGCAGCGATACGCTGAGCGGAGCATGAAGCGCGAGCTCCCTGCAGTTCCTAGCGATGAAGCTGCTCATTCCGCGGTGCAGGGAGGCAGAGGCCTTGAGAACAGCGTCGTCGAACAGGTAGGCGAAACAGGCAAAGTACCTGAGCAGGCCGGGCCAGTCGTAGCGGCTGAGAAGGAGCTGCTGTTCCAGGCTATCGCACAGGATCGAGCCCGGGTCTTGTAGGGGATGGCGCTGGTGGTCTCGCAGGACGCTGGCGAGGAGAGCGAGACACTCCCGGAATAGGGAGACGGGGAAGCAGAGCGAGTCGACGAGACGGCACCGACGGACGGCTGCGGTCAGGTCGATGTCTACCGTCACTGTACCTAGGGCTGACTGGGAGGTGGCTGGCCGGCGAGGACACTCTCGCAGATGGGGGATGTGGTTTATCACGGTGGTATACTCGAGCGAGCCTGGGATGCGGTGGCCGTCGATGCAGATGTTGTAGTAGGCGGTTCTCCCGCGAGGAAACAGCCTGAGAGCCATGCTATGCTCGTATATCCTGGTATCTATCTGTATTGATTCTCCGGCTTCCTTTCTCCTAAGGCAAGAGAACTGGGGGTATATATATAGCCCGTACTGCCCGTTTGACTGCCATCTTGTCCTGTCTTGCCCGTCCACTGCGATCAAAGGGCGGCTGCGGACAGTGATATAATGACACAATGGGATGGTCAAGGCCGGCTGACTGCAGCAATCAGACGGCAGCAAACACAGCAGCGGACGTCTGATAGAGATAAAGCAGGAGTTTGTTTGCCATGCGTATCGTATATTCTGTTTGCTACCCTCTCTCTATAATACAAAAAAGGAGGTATAATCAAGGGATGTAAAAAAAAAAAAAAAAGCCTGTGTATCCCCATATGGTGGCCGTCCCTTCAAACGCTGAACCTGCACTAAATGCAAGGTCAGCATCACTGGGCTGATTTTAATGAACCAGCGCAGTGTTTGTTCCTCTCCGTTCACTTTAGTCCCGGGAGGCGATCGAGCGCGAGTTAACGACGGAGGGCACGCTCACACTTCCGCTCCGTGTCCAATTTTTGGGTTTTTTCTGATGGCAAAGTCCATCCACGGGCGTCTTAATCAACGGCCGTGGCTGGCGAAATACGGCGGGATCGAACGAACGACGTCTCGGCGGATGCAAGATTCTCACATACACCTGTGGCGAGCGGCGTTTCGTCTTACCAACTACACCAGGAGGCATACACAGGCAGGAGAAGAGGGAGAGACGCTCAGGAAAAGGTCGGGATATCTAGATTTGGTGGAAGGTGTATGTACATACTCTCTGTATTTTATATTAGACCTCAAGGGACACTAGCCAAAGTGGAATATCCCAAGAGGACAGCCTCTTTTCTCTCTCTAGGTCTATAGCCTAACTTCTCCCTTACACTCTCCCTTACCCTCTCCCTTATACCTCTTCCTTAATCTCGTAGATAATTCCTGTGTTAAATATGTTAAGTATCGTAATAGCCAACTTCTTAGCCTCGCCCTACCGTTGCTATCAGAACCTGATCTATTAGTTATAACTACCGAAGACGTTGTAAATACGTACTAGCTCTTGTTCGTCGCTGCCCCCGGACATCAGTGAATGTGGAATTATGTGGGCAACGTGCTCACAGTACTCGACGATTTTGCCGACAGCGACTTCAGCTTCTCTTTCTTGATTAAAAGAGTCAGAGAAGCGGGTTTGAGAGGCTCAAAGACACTTTTGCGGTCGGTAGCCAGGCGGCCTTACATTCATACCCCATTTGATCGCGTCGTCTAAGTGATATGCCTTCTTGTCCATCTCTTCGAGGAAAACTCAGACGGCCAGGCCGTCTTTGGCGATCGCTTGTCTTCCAGTCAAGTATTCCCCAGGAAAGACCTATCCCTGTGGTAGGATTCGTTTGACAATGACCAATCTATACTGGCGTAATTTGGGTTTAGCATATATACCTCAGTAAATGCACTCCAGTTTACATCAACGAAAACTGGTCGATGAATGACAACTGATTGTATTCCCTCCCATTATTGGACTAGTTTCTTCCTCGTATCGGCTCGGGTTGCCCCAGAACAGGCAGTGACATAGTCCAAATTCATGTTTGTAGGCTCTGTTGTAAGGTAATATTCGATCGCTAGGGCTGCGATTTCATGGGTTTTTGTAACCATTGTTTCGATAATCAGGATTTTGTTTTGCAGGTTGGCAGATAATCCTTGGGCCTCTATCAGGGCCTCCTATTCTACTATTATAAGTAGACGTAGAATCTAAACCAGGCGGCCCAAAACTTCGCTTTTTGGTTGAATGGCGCTGAATGGCAGGTTTTTCTTAAAAATATAGTTATCGATACTTGCAGATTTATTTCGCAAGTCGGCGTCCTCTTACTTTCTATTCGATAACTACCTTCTTATAGTTACCGTTGCTATCAGACACCGGTTTGTTAATAGTTATATGGAGAGAAATAAGACAAGTACATACTTGTTCATATTCATCGCGGCCTCTTAACATCGGAGAATGCGGCATGTTGTGGGCAACTTGCGGGGCCGAAAACGAGTTTTCCAGCCCCTCCAGTAACGGCGTTTCCTTCGTCGTCTCTGCAGGCAGCGCCATCGCTTCTATACCTCTGTCTCCCTTTAAGGATATCAAAGGCACGGGAAACAACACAACGATAATGATCCTAGATCAAACAGTCGCCTCGAAGAGTAGCCAGCCTTGACTGTGTGCACACAGCGTCTGGCAGTCCACCAGACAGGGCAGCTGGGGCTGCTGACGTGTCGTGGTGCCAGCTGCTTTAACTATATATTATTGTTAGGTTGCAACTGATTTTTATGTAGTTAGATCGAATTCTGATAACTTACGAGGAAGTAGCAGTTTCTCAAAGATGAAACTGGCGTGTTCTTCCAGACTTCTCACGGCATCTTTCTTCTTTAGCTTCGTCTATGCTTAAGCGAACAAATCCAGCCTGTCGATATAGTCCTGCCGAGAAGGCATTCGGCTCGCTGTCAACCCCCATGTAAACGAATAAGTGTTAGAGAAGTATATATATATATATATATAGCGCGAGATAGCTTTAGCCGTAGAAGTGTGGCCTTCTTGCATGGCTTGGCTTTGTGTGAGTCTCCCGGTTGTAAATTTACTTGCTGGAAGTAGATATAGATACTTGCCAGGAGCCGGTGAATAGGCTCCGTATTGGTAGTGAACAGCCATCTGGGTAGTGACTACTGGCCAGTTAATACAGCACCGTCACTGTATAAACTAGCGTGTCTTACCTTTGGCTACTTCGTCGACTGTGCCTCTTGATCAAGTCCGTCCAGCTCGTTGGCTTAACGAGTTAATATTTTTGAGTTAACAAGCTTTTAGCGGCTTAAAAGAAAGTTCGGTCGGTCAATTTACTATGACGTTATTGTTATTGCTTTACTAACAGGGTCTGCCTCAGTGTAACTTGTCAAGAAAGCGATAATCCTAGCTCTAAGATCGACAGGAGTAAGGAGAACCGCCCATAGCATAAAGGAAGCAATAGAGATTTCCCCATATAATAACACTTGAGCTCTGCTAGAACATTTTTATCATGTTCAGGGCTAGCCAGGGTTATTAACCGATAGGCCAACTAACTCTCCTGCGGCCTACTTAAAAGCATATCAAAGTACAGACCTAACATTACGACTTAATATCTTGTTGTTTACTACCTAGGTCGATGGGCATGGAACTCCACGATGCTGTAGACAGGCCCCCTTAATTAAGAGATTAGATGGGGCCCAGCAAGAAGTCGATGACGACATCGACATCGAATATTCTATTACTACTAGAATAACCAAACTTGTTTAGTAAAATGCGGCAAAATAGTATACTACTGCATCACAATAGAGTATTCAGCTACTCTAGAGTCTTCTATATTCTATCTCAGGTATATCTCTCCGTGATGTTGTTTAACGTCGTTAGATGAAGCTGGAATGTCTTCGACTATCGCGTTTAAATGAATCTATTAACTAGGTAGTTAGTTATGTAAGCAAACCAAACCTAAACTTCCGCGGGAAGTGGGACCTCCTATTTTAGGTTTTCGACGACGTCAACAAAATTTATCGACAACATCAGAGTACTCCGTATTAAACGAAGGATATGGAGAACGAGAAGAACAAAGAGATACCCATCGAAGTAAACATAGTGCATATACTAGGAATAAGTTACTTGAGAAAGTAGCTTATATTACAGTCATGTATACGGTATATACCTGTATCGACGTGGTTGCCCTGTCTGGAGTTTTCCGGCCCTTAAAATGTTGATTCCTCCTTTTACCGGAAGATGCTATCACAACAGAAGATCTCATAATGTATACAATCAGAAATGAAGTCCTCACCTTGAGCTATATGAAGATGTGCTCTCTCTTCCTGTATATGGCTTTGTTGGAAGATCTCAGCTGAGACGCCTGACGTAGGCGAGGAAGTGAACATTTGCCCGCCTTATCCCTCAGTTTGTTTACTGGCTATCCTTCTCTTAATTCGCAGATACAGCGAAGTATTTTCACCAAGCCATTTTCTTTATCTCTTTGAAGGAAAGTTCTGAAATTAGCCTGTGTAGCGTTCTGATATCGCACCATCTGGGCCTGCAGAATTTTCCGCCGCTCTCTTCTTTTTCTTCAACTTCTTCTTCTTCCTTCTTCCATCCTTCTTCCTGCCTCGCCGCTGTTGTTTACATTTCCTTCTTACACCTTCTCATGATAAAAACAACTACAGAAACACCACTACAAACTATCTCATTTCCCGAAACCCCCCTTACAACCTGCAGTATGCCTGAATTTACCCCCTTGAACAAGGTGGAGACCGAGCCCTTAGACGTCAAGATGGAAGACGCGAGCGAAGGCGAAGTCTCTGAGGACAAGAAGTCCACTCCTGCCTCCGAGATGTCTGAGGAAGCCCCCGAGCCCAAAGACGCGAACGTGAAGCTTGAAGACAATGGAGACGAGGCACCTAAAGCCAAAGCTACCAACGGCAAAGCGGCCAAGGGACGCGCAGCCGCCAATGGGAAGAAGGCTAATGGAACCGTCAAGACCGAAGAGGTTTGTTTTTGCTATATCACTACGAGAAGCAAATACTATGATGGATGTCTAACTTTACTGTAGGAAGCCAAGCCTCCCGTTACTCCTCGCAAGAGAGGCCGCAAAGCCAAGGCTGGCGATGCAACTGGCGCCGCCACTGCCGAAGAGGCGGACGACGAAGGGGAGACGCCATCTAAGAAGAAGCGCGCCACCCCTGCCAAGGGCACCCCTAGCAAAGCCGGCAAGCGCACCTTGCCTAACAGCTTTGAAGAGGCTAGTGAGGAGGACAGGATGCTTCTTCGCATGAAAGATGAGGAGAACAAGCCCTGGGGTGAAATCAAGGCTGCATGGGAGAAGGCTACGGGCGAGTCCGTGGGCGGCAGCACCTTGTCCAACAGATACCAGCGTATCAAGGCGAATTTTACCGTCTTTAGCCCTGAGGATGTTAGTTTTTCCCTTTTATCTCTCAGCTTGGTTGTGCTGTATGCTAATAATATGACTAGGAGGCCAAACTGCTCCAATGCAAGAAGGACATTGAGGAAAAGTTCGAGAACGAAAAGTGGTGTCGTATCGCGGATGCAATGGAGGCAGCTAGCGGAAAGCGGCACCCTGCAGCCGCTCTGCAGAAGAAGGTCAAGGATCTTGGACGGAAGATGGCAGCCAGGGAGGCTGACGGGATGGACGAGTGACCAACTAACCGACCAACCAACCAACCCAACACATCACCGAATTAGTAACTACGCCAATTGGAAAAGCAGCCACCCTTTACATGCATGCGGGAGAGATATGATGACTAGGCTAGGTAGACGAAACAGGAATAGAATCAAATAGGACAGGGGACGAATGAATACTTGGAAGCCCTCCAGCGTGTCACTGCAGCGTCATCTGTACCCCTGTAGGCCGATCTCGGAGTCGTATATTCTCGTTGCTATCGCCTGGAACTGCGAGTTAATAGTAACTGACCATGGAGTTTTCCCCTATAAAGTATTGTCGAGTAGACTGATTATCACCAGAGCCTATCTATACTGCGATACCTGTTGACAGGCCACTTTTGCCGCACTGTCAAGTCCATCGCCAACGAGCTTTAACTACGCCGTAAGATCGACTATGCGACTCCATCATCATGGCTGTGCGTGGAGCCGAGCGGGCCAGGCCTTGGACGGGACAGGGGCCAGGGTGCGTGCGTGGAACAGCGACCAGCGTTGACGCGAGGCGTGGGGAGGAGCCACTCAGGGGCCAGCCAGGGACCTTCCTGAGGCCCGGCGCGGCCTGCTTTAGGGGCTGCTTCGGCGTCTTAGGGGCAGACCCGGGCCTGTTTTTGGGGGGCGCTAGGGGGATGCGGCGCTAGGCATGGGTTGGGGGGCGCTGGGGCGTGGAGAGGCCCACCGGCCCCAGTTAAAGCTGTTGACATGGAGCAAACGGCGAGCGCACCAGGGGAGACGCAGACAAACGGGAGACGAAGCAGACGGCGAAGTCGAGGACAAAGTCTCCTATTCAGTCCTCCTGTCACCACCATCCCTTTCATCCTCTCGCCCCGTCTGCATCGTCCCTTTTGTTCTGCTGGGAGCTGAGCTGTCGCAATCCCTGCGCTCCCCCAGGGCGGCTGCAGCTCCACCGCCGGCGCTTTCGGCGCGCCTGACTGGCTGCCCGGCCGCTTCACTTTCTCGCAGTGCCAGCCAGGCCAGCGTCACCTCTCACCAACCACCAACTCAGCCGGCAGCTCTGGCCCAGCTTGTTCGCCTCTGCCAGCGCCTGCAGAGAGGACTGTCTTGTCTTGCCTCTGGGTCCTCTGGCCTCTTGTCGGACACCGTGAACGGTAAGCCAGCAGCGTCTATCTAACCATCTGTCTGCCTGTTTGTCTATCCCTTCCATCCCTGTGCTGCTGCCTGCCATAAGCTGACCCTGACTCACAGCTTGATCGCTTCGTAAAAGCTCCCCTGTCCCCAGTCTCCGTCTCCAGCTGCCAGCTGGACCTTGAGGCTTGCATTCTCACCGCTACACTGTCCTGCTGCCTGCTGGGCCGTTTTCTTAGCCTTTTTGTTGAGCTTGGTTGAGTGAGCCCTCCCTTGGGTCCCGGCTGCTGCCTGCTCGGCCTGCTCGATATTTATATCTCTGCACATCCTCTCTCCGGCTGCTTCCAAGATGGCTGGCTCAGAACCTCTACCGCCCCCCCAGAACTCTACGGCTGCTTCTTCTACTATCGACGGCTCCAAGAGAGATACTCCGGCAGCTACTCTCACACCGTCTACTCCCTCGACATCTTCAGCCATACCAGACGACTCCAACTCAAATACGAATACCGACAGCATGGGTGACAAGGGAGACAGCCTCGAGATTAAGCAGCAGGACCGCACGGCGGAAAACCTGGCCGCAAAGACAGAGGTCAACGCTTCCCTAACGACAGACGGGGCTAATGGCACTGCTACTGTCAAGAAGCCCGGCTGTGGCAAGCACACTCAGTCCCACTCCAAGTCAGACAAGTCTAAGAAGAATAAGAAGAGCAAGAAGAAGAACAAGAAGAAGGCCGAGACAGATAGCTCGTCAAGTGACAGCAGTAGCGATAGTGACAGCGATCTAGAGGATGAAGATGAGAGCGCTGACTCAGATTCTTCAGATTCAGACAGCAGTTCAGACTCAGATTCTTCGGACTCTGAATCTGAGCAGAAAAAGCTAAAGAAGAAGAAGAAGTCCAAGGGCCGGACCAGACGGGTGAAGGAGAAGAAGAAACCTCGATCTCGTAAACAGGAAGAACCGGAAGAATCGTCCGATAGCGATGACGAAGGCTCGTCAGATGAGGACCAGAAGCAAAAGGAAAACCAGAAAGCTGCAAAGAAGCTCATCAAGAAACTGCTCAAGAAGCAGCAGCAGCAGCAGCAACAACAGTTGCAGCAGCAGTTCGACAACCCACCGCACATACCGTCTGGCCTTGACGGTGATACAGGTTTCGATGTCGTCAACAACAATCCCAATCTTACCCGGGACCTACACAAGCGCGTTCAGCAGATTAACCAGCTTAACAGAAGAACGCTCAGACGCACACGCCTCAACCCACCCGTTACAGATCCCACTGCCCAGCGTCAGCTCAAGGTCAAGCCCAAGAAGAACAAGAGAGCCTCCAAGGTTGCCTTCAAGCGGGTTGATCAACGTAAGTTTCTCTTTTTTTTTTTTCTTGTTCAACTCTCCATATCACCTGCCAAAATAGCCCATTATACATTTGATAAGCTGTATATCTGACTTCATGCGTCACTAGTATGGGACAGCACTATCCACAACTACAAGCTCACAGAGACGGTAAAGGATCCCGGAGCAGATGAATGGGATCAGTACATCTTCACAGTTCGTCGCAAGTTCGACTGGGAGAACCGATACACCGATACCGTTGTCGATATTAAGAGTAAACCCCTGAGAGATGCCCTGGCCCACATCATGGATGGAGTCAAGGGTGTCAGCCTTGTCCAGGATACCCCCGTCCTTGACCCAAACCTTCTCTTCCTCTACCTTGAAGAGACAAGGGAGTACATGCACGAACTCAAGGCCCAGTCCAAGTCAGAGAAGAAGAAGAGAAACAGGAAGCGAGCGGCTACCAAGGCAGCTCATTTGAAGATTCTCGTCAAGTATCTCGACAGGGACTATGCCGAGACGAAGAATGCTCTCTACCCACTTCTGGACAACAACACAATCACCTACGACCTGCTGTGGGCCCTGTTCAAGCCAAACACAATTGCATACACGCAAACATACGGCACACCCGATGAGCCACGTGCCTTTAAGATCGAGTATGCTACCAAGGAGTCCTCCTTTATGAGAGGGCAGTGGTATGCGATTGAAGGTCGATATCTCGAATATGACGGCAAGTCCTTTGGCATGGGCACTATGTCAGCTGAAGTAGACCATTTCAAGGGTCCTCGCAAGATCTCCAGCTTAGCATGCTACCCGCTCAAGTACCACCGCGATCCCGAGGCGTTGCAAGCTCAGCTCATCGAACGTGGAAAGAAGTTCGTTTCCCTTCAGGGCATGAACTATAGGTTCCACAAGGGCATGGCGTTTGTAAAGCGCAAACGGAGCATTATCAAAGTCAACATCAACGGACGTGTCATGGTAGACCCAGCTTTGCATCGCCGTATCAACCCCAACTATGCCATCAGCACCGTGAAACCTAAGGAACCCGACCTGGTCATGGAAGTAGGTGGAGATGGTGATAGTGATGACTGCTGCTGCGGCTCTGATTCTGGCTCTGAAGGCGGCGATGCCAACGACGAAACTTTCAAACCCAAGGCCAGACTGAAGGTCGTCCAGGATAAAGAAGGCAAAACCCACGTCGTCGAGATGGAATGTGATGAGAACGGCAACGAGATCCCTAAGGAAAACATCACTAAGCTCGAGGACGGCGAAACAGTCGAGTATGAATTCACCGAGGAAGAACTGCTGATAGCCTCTCCCGTCGTCTTAGGCTTTGCATTCAGTGAAAAGCTCTGGCTTGAATTCACCGTCTCTGGAATCACGGAAATAGACTGGAACTCCGGCGCCTTTGACTCTCTCGTCTTACCTGCAAATCAAAAATCCATTGTCAAGGCCTTGGTTGAATCTCACACTTTCCACGCTGCTGAAAACATTGACGATGTTATCCAGGGTAAAGGCAGAGGCCTTGTAGCCGTCCTCCATGGTCCACCAGGAACGGGCAAAACCCTCACAGCGGAAGGTATCGCCGAACTTCTCAAACGACCCCTTTACATGGTCAGCGCAGGCGAGCTGGGAACCGACTCACGTACCCTCGAGGGAGAACTCAATAAGATTCTCGACATAGCTCACTCATGGGGTGCAGTCCTGCTGCTGGACGAGGCAGATGTCTTCCTTGAGAAGCGTACAATTCAGGATATCCACCGCAATGCTCTGGTTAGCATCTTCCTCCGTCTATTGGAGTACTTCCAAGGCATTCTCTTCCTTACTACGAACCGCGTCGAGACCTTCGATGATGCCTTCCAGTCGCGTATACACGTTGCCTTGAGATACGGAGACCTAACTACCAAGGCTAAACGGTCTGTCTGGAAAATGTTCCTTGACCGTGTCCAGACCAAGGATGGGATCGATGTCGTCAAGTTCACTGATAAAGACTACGATACCCTTGCTAGACATAACCTTAACGGTCGACAGGTATGCATATCCCTAGTTAACTCTACATTTACCTTCCTTTGCTTTAAGAGCATTCCTGCTAACGACGTAACAATAGATCAAAAACTCGGTACGCACTGCTCAGGCCCTGGCTATCAATGAGAAAGTACCCCTATCAATGCAACATATCATGCGCGTCCTAGACGTAGCAGAGACGTTTGAGCAGGATCTCAAGGGTGGAACAGGCTACTTGGACGCCATGAGAAGCTACACCTAACCTATTATCCCTTTCTAGTTTCTTCTTCATACCATTCATCAATGTTTCTCCTTGATTCACTTCGCCAGTGTCATTACTAGTTTAACCTCACCATACCTTTTCCGCTATTTTTCCTCTTACATTCCAAGTTAACTACGGTTATGATCATCCTTCTGGCTTTGGTTCTGGTTCTGGTTCTGGTCCTGGTTCTGGCCCTGGTACAATTCCCCCGGTGCGATTTCAGTTTTATCTTTCCTTGTTTCTCATTCGCTTTTGTTTTACCTACTATTGCAATACCATATACCTACCTACACGTCCCGATGTTACCAATATCGTTCAACTCCACTCGATCATTTCCTCCATCGATGCACTTAAAGCAACATTAGACATAAAACACTTCTTTACTTCGGCCTTCCTTTCTATCCACCCTGTCTTCTTATTTCCAGGGGTCTTACGATGAACTCCCGAAGGGAATAATACTGGCAGACTGCCCCAGTCAGTGTCTTTTTCTGTTTTATGGCACTGCCTTTCATTTGATATTAGTACTTGCGGCGGGCAGGCTTAACTAACTGATTAGTGTAATGGGTGAGAGGAGGTAATGGAAATGAAAATTTATACCCAGAACATATCTACAGAATAGATTGAGGCATTAAGCAGGATCTAAGTCTACCGCCACGGGAATAGATGGATGATATATAATCATAAATTGGCATTTAAAATACAAGCTAGGCAGGGAAAGGAATTTAGATCTGCAACAGGCCGCTAACGTTCAATACGCCACGTAAACTAGAAACCCTTGGGAGATCGTAGACAGGATTGAGGTGAAGGATAAGAGAACATAGTACAGTAAGTAGGGTAAGGATACTGATGTGACTTTATTGGACGGTGGGGAGTTTCATCGCAAAGAGGAAACAGTCTAAGGGTTGGCCTTGACGAAGTCGACACCTGCAGAGCAACAAGTTAGCCATGGTCTAGAATGAGAATAGCTGACATGAGAGGTAACATACCCTTCTGGATGTTCTTCTTGAGATCAACAAGGCATTTGTCGAGGAGCTTCTGCTCATACTCGGAGATCTTGCCGATGGGGAGGATCTCCTCAACACCGTTAGGGCCGAGGCGGACGTTGGAGGCGACGAACTCGATACCCTGGCCCTTGTAGATGGGGCTGTCGACGAAAGTTGGCTCGACGACGTTTTGCTCGCCCTGGGTAGCCTTGAGAAGGCTGTCGGCGAAACGGGCACCAGCCTGGGCCATGGAGAGGGTGGCAGATCCAGCACCGGCCTTGGCCTCGACGACCTCATCACCGCCAAACTGGATGCGGTGGGTGAGCTTGTCGAGGGCCTCACCAGCAATGTCGGGGTGGTTGGACTGGGAGATCAGTGGGATGATGGTGATACCGGAGTGGCCGCCGACAACGGTGACCTTCTCATCAGCTGGGTCGGTCTTCTTGATCTCAGAGACGAAGCGAGAGGCACGGAGGACATCAAGAGTGGTAACACCGAAGATACGCTTGGGGTTGTAGACATTCTTGCTCTTGAAGACCTCGGCAACAATTGGGACGGTGGAGTTGACCTGAATATAAGTTAGAAAGTAATTCGATAGCTACAACCGCAAATCAAGTACTTACGGGGTTGGAGATAACGAGGACGTTGGCGTTGGGGCAATGGTCAGCGGCAGCCTTGGCCAAGTCACGGACAATGGATGCGTTGGTCGCGAAAAGGTCTAGCGAGCAAGTCAGTTTGTAAATCCTCGCCTTCTCGTGATCTTTATTCAAACAGTAGAGAGTAAACATACCATCACGGCTCATTCCTGGCTTGCGGGGAACGCCAGCGGGGATAAGGACGATGTCAGATCCCTCAAGAGCCTCCTTGAGGCCAGATGGGGTAGGCTCATGGCCGGAGACAACGCTGTTGGTGTTAATGTGGCTCAAATCAGCGGCAACACCTGCAATTGGGCGTCAGTTATGAACCTTTCATCCATCCTCAACTCAAATTGTAGAGTTGGTAGACGGCAATTTAGATGTTTCATAGCTACGTACCAGGTGCACCGCGGATGTCATAGAGAGCAAGCTGAGAGACACGAGGGTTCAACTTCATCAACAGAGACAATGGCTGGCCAATGCCACCGGCGGCACCGAGGACGGAGACCTTGGAGGCCTACAGTACGCAATTATTCATTAGCAACGGGTTCCTGTGATGAAGGAGTGCTCCCTCCAGCTGTACCGAAGCTCCCGGAAGCGTTGGGACCGGAGCAGCTTACCTGGGAGGCAGTGGCAGAGAAAGCTCGTCTCTGGAAGAGAGTGGCGGTGCGGCGTGCAGCGAACATTTTGAATGCAATTGAATGACAGATCTCAACAAGGGGAGGGTGGGAAGGCGGCTGTGGTGCTGGGCTTTTGGCTGGCGTTGTCTCGTGTGAAGATGAAGTTTGAAGTTGGAGTCGGAGTCGAAAAGTTGTTGATGTTTTTTTCTCGGGCGGGAAGTCACGTGAGATCGGGTTCGGCCGGCGGTTTCGCAAATAATTTTTGATTTTGATATCAAGAAAATAGACGAAGACGAAGACGAGGAAAGAAAAGCAAAGAGAGACAGCGATCAAACATCAGACAGCAGGGGAGATGCTGGCCCTGGAGCGCCTGTTATTACTCAGTTACTGGTCTAGACTAACTACATAGGGCGATCTGGGGTAATTTTCTTTAATGGGGAGTGTCACGGCCGTATATATGCCTTGGGGGAGTGCTTGGGATAGTCTTCGAGCTCCGTGTGCAGCGTCTCCTGGCGGCTGAATTCTCGCTCTATAACCCCGATCTCTTGATGGTGATGATGGCTATGATGTCCGGGCTTCCGATCAACGTCTCCAGGACGCTTTCTGTGATTATAGACTAAAGGACTAACCGAGGTCTGCGATTCACATGTCTGCGAGCAAGACCAGACGGGCAGTCCAGAGTGAGGATCGGATGACTCGGCTGCCTTCTTCTGCTCTTTCAGTATCCGATGGCGCTCGGTGAGTTGGTTGATGACGGCAGCGAGGATGACCAGTGCTGCGGAGACCATGGGAGACCACTGGCCGATTGAACGCACGCCTTCTTCGACGGGGAAGCCGTTGATCATTAGATTGATCTCGTTGATGAGGATGTTTGCAATGAAAATAACGGGCGTTAGGATGTCGAGAAGCAAGTCGATGACGAGCAGCGGACAGATAAGCAAGATGGCTATAAGACGGCGTTTGTTGGGTTGGAACTTGGCCGTGCTCGCATACCGCAGCAACAGAATGTACCCGCCGTACCAGGTCGAGCAGGCAGCGTTGTAGATATGCTGTGACAGCCGGGAGTTCAAGGAATGGTTTAGGTATCCTAGCACCCAGTGTGCACATAGATCTGAAGGCGAGTGCAGCGAGAAGTTCACCGACATGCTCTTATGTGCAGCAGCGAGGATGGGGCCCATCAATGCCACCGTCAAGGTCGAGTATGTTCCGACAAACACTCTGGCAGGCATCACTGTGATCTCAGACGGGTCTCTCAGCGGCGTCCGGACCCCAAAGCACTTGTATGTGCAGTTAAACATGCCGCTATTTAGCTCAGACTGCGCCATCAGAAGCGTCCCGTTCGCGGATCTACAGGCCGGCTCAGCCTGTGAATTAACATCCAGCAGCAATGCCCTCCCCGTCACGCAGCCTATCCCGACCAACATACCCCATAGAATCAACACAATCCTCGAGTCCGAGTTCCTGACGGATGAAGACCAGTGTATCAGTGCTGCAAAAGCCAGACATCCCGTCGTCAGTATCGACCACGCAGCAAGAATGTCCAGGTCAAACGCGGGCGCCTTGGAAGTGACCAGCGTCAACATATGGATAGAAGTCGAGCCCGCAAAAGCCAGAGCAGACGCCAAAGCTCCTAGAACAAGCCATTTATGGGTTCGTCCGATGATGGCGAAGACAAGCGAGCCGTAGTATAACAGGCGAGATAGAAAGCCATATTGCCCGCTTATCGGGAAGACGCAGAGGACAGAATCATCCTCTGCTGCCGTCTCATTAGGACCAAAGATTCCACGAGGCTCTAACTCGACTCTGGCCGCTGGCAAGGTCGAGGTTGGTGCTGCTCTGCTACACCCGGCCAGCAGCAAGATGCATAGCATATATAGAAAAATCGACAGCCATGGCTCACGTCCCGGTCTCATCTGGCGGATCATCGGTATATAAAACACATTCGAGCTGATGGCGCATCGGTAATCATTTCACTTGGCCCACGGCTTCGCTTCAACCCAGCTTTGATACTGAAGTCGAACGCGGAGTACCTATAAGTCTTTATAAAAATATCTCTCTATCTTCGCCTTCAGATACGTTCCACGAAGACGTGGCTGAACATCGTATTTATGTTTATTCTGCAAGACGTCGACCCTTGAACATAGGGTCTTTTGGCTGATTGGCGGGAAGCCAGCATAGCCCCAGCTGATACGAGGATTTAAGCGTCATGAACGGGACAGACGCCCAGCAGCAAAGTCGCTCCATCAATGATTGGCCTAAAGATGGCCACCAGACAGCCTACGCAGCGCTGTTTCGTCTTTGATATTTGGCTTGGAAGTGCTTCGACATGGGTAACCAAGAAGATCGAAACAAAGTGATGGAGCGGGAAGGATTCGACCCCCTTTTTTTTGCGATACATCCCTGAATATACCTCAAAGGAAGCTGCCATATATACGGTGTATTCTAGCTATCATGAAAGAGAGAGGATGCAATGTTTAAACAGTCTTATACGTTGATATATACAGGAAGTAGTAGTATTTCCCTTGTTATGCAATAGCCTTCTCGTAACAATATAATAACCTTTGTCATGTTACTCGAGTGGTATTTGACCATCACCAATTAAATGCTTCAAGCCTCGTTTGCTGTCGGTTTCGAGGTGTCATCAATTATAGATCGTGTTTAGAATGACGATGCACAGCAGAAGGCATTGTTAGTCCATAAAATGGACCATTAGAAGTTGCTTTTGGCTTCCGGGAGCAGGTGCTAGGTTCGGGGCTTAGCTGGTTAAAGCCAATATAAGTCAGTGGTGAAGTATATCGAGACAGCCATCAACCAAACGCTATACTTAACCAATCACTTTCTCCCCGTCCAACAGCTCGATGGCGCCGATGGATTTGAAGATTCCAAGGCCAGTAACCTTTACTCTCAGCGAAGGAAATGAAGCACTGCCCAGCAGAACAAAATAAATATCACGAGTCCGGCCCAGAATATCCATTTATCTTGCTTGGCTCTCCTCTCGATCATCCGTATCGTATCTCCGCTTACACCTAGCGTGTTCGCGACACTGTATAGTCTCCTTTGAGTACCCTTTAGCATTTCACGCTGCTGGCCAAGATCAGCCAGGACAGCTCTGCCCCTATCGAGGAATTCATCTATTTGGTTGTTCGTATTGGCAAAAAACGATTGTTCCCGCAGCGCATGTGTCTCTCGGTTGTAATCTGACGGTGATGCGCCAAAGCTGAGTCCGCCGCTTGTATGGGCTTGCTGGCGATGGGGGCTCGCGAACGCTGAATGTTGGGCAGATAGGTTCGGTTGGGCATATGGGTTCTCTGGTGTGGCTGCGTTGTGAGGTCTGCGGCCTAGTAGTTCATTTCTGTTTGCAGTAACTTGCTGTTTTCCAAATCAGCTTCGGAGCATCTCAACCATCCATCAAAGGTTATACGCACAGCTTCTTCCCTCTCTTTACGCAACCTATCGAATTGTAACCTGTAGTCCGCCAACTCGGTTCTAAAGTTCTTTACTCGCTCGAACGCTTTCTCTTGTTTGGCAGGTATGAGCTCCTTTTTCGAGAGTGAGGAGTAATCATCTATCGTTCGTGAAAAAGATGTGAGGGATGCAGAGATCTGTCCTGTTATACCATTGTATGAGGTTAGTCCATGATTCCTTTCACCAGTATCTAGTATTTCCGGGTCGTGAGATAGTACCTTGTAGAGCAGCAGGCCCGCTGGTTGGAGACTCTGCAAAGGTGTCAAGGTCACGGCGGACCGCCGCTGACTGTTTCAGCGCGGCGTTAAATAGAGAGTTCTACAAAAACGCTGGTTAGCTGGGAATTATATATCACAGGGTGCTTAAAGACTTACCATGTTGAGCTATGATGTGCACAGGGCAGAGGAGACCAAAGGCGAGTGTTTCAAGGCTACGCGACACGGGTATTAGGCGGTTATATATCAGCTATATAAAAACAATCAGGGTGCCTGATCTCTCCGACCGCTAGTGTAATAGTAGACAAAAAGCGACGTCGCCTGAAGTTGTTGTCTTTCTTGTCTTCTTGCAAGCTGTCAACTTTCTGCCGCCTTCACCGCCCTGGCTTGCTGACCTCATCCTCTCCTGAGCTTTTTTCAACGTCAAGCATCAACTTTGAGCATCAACAACAAACAGAAAGTCATACATATTGATACACCGGTTACCGTCATGATTTCTACAGAATAATTATAGGATATATATCTTATCCTCTTTTAGATACCCTTATATACTTGAATAATAGTACCCTTCAGTTTGACAAGACTACTGCTAAGCAGGGTCTGGTCAACCACATTAGACATGCAATATATTTACTCCATAATGACTGAGTAAATAATGATATGGTTAATAATTCACCTCCACGCGCGCGATACCATCCTCTCCGACGAGCTCTCGCCATAGGTTCTGCATCTCCAAGAATGGAGACCAGTGAGGTAAATCGCGACCCAGCCATACCTTCTATCGCCGAATACCCTGCTCTCATTCTCTGTTCTCTTCGGCTTGCTTGGTGTTGGTGTTAGGCATGCCTGGATTTGACCGCTCACCTGGGCCTATATTGATAGTCACCCAACACAAGTTATCAATTTGTTAAACTAAAAAGCAACGCTGCTTAGTTAGCAACAGCAGAATGAGGTACAGTAGGTACTTCTGACACAATTGAACGAATGCGACCGAAGCACATATTTAATACTCGAAGTTTTGGCATTTGCACTATTAACCTGGATATTGACTATATAAGGGAGTCAAATAATGCAATATCCAGTTCGCTACGCCATATGTGCTGCGGCATAAAGTCGTTAAGCCACTTAATAAGCTCTTCTCTTTCGGGACTGGCAATTAAGACACGCATATATTCTTCATCTGATGATACTTCTTATCAGATAATGGATCAAAAAGGCCCTAATCTCGGCCTTAATCGATTGACACGCAGTCTGGGTCGCCTATATAGTAGTATCTGCCGTCTGGAGCTATAATACTTGGCTCAATCTCAGAGTACTCAAATGTGAGCCAAAATGGAGTAGGTTCACTTTCCGTACGCCAGAATAATTCCAGAGAGACCACCCAACCTCCGGTAAGTTTGAGGCTAGTGAGCGGAGCGGTTTGTGGCAGCTTAATTAGGGCGACATTTAGACACACATAGTCTGTCAGTCAACATGAGAACATTCCTGTGGCGAGGTCAAATATGCTTAAGCAATTTGATGACTAGGAGAGTCAAGTACCGATAGAGAACACCCAACGAGGAGGCGAATGGCAAAGGGAAAGACTCTTTTTGACTCGGAGACATTGGGACAGAGGTATAAAAGGTATAAATAACAGCAGGGATTTTAGGTGGGTAGAGACCGTAAGCACAGGGTTAGTTTTATAGGCCTTTTAAACAGGAGAAGAACGAGTCGAGGAGAATCAAAGGAATCAAAGGTCTACAAAAGGGGAAACTCCCATGTGGTTAGTCCGGCCCAGCGGAAAAATATCAAAAAACAGCAAAAAATACATACGATAGTCGGGATTCGCTGGTGGTCACCCACCCAACTACTAACCGACCGGCAAGTGGCTTAAGTACAGCTGAGCGGACGGGAAGCTCTGTTTTCCACTTCCTGTGACCGTATGTGTTTGTCTTCTTCTGCAATGGGGTTATATAGGACATATATTCTGCATAGCTTGCTGGAATACCCCATGCCTGCGCCCCGATAGACCCTCTGTTTACCTGGCTGGCGGTACAGGCAAAGTCCAGCCAACGCGAGGAGACTCGGATAACTACCAGTGTGGCCCATAACTATGGACGACATCGTCGGCCGTATTTCTGATCGTTAAGCAGCGTGGCCGTAGCCCTTCGAAATCTGCTGCATTATCACCTACTGGTGTGATTGACCGTGGTAGGCACAGTTCGACCATGAATCCGCAAAATAAACTTCTCGGCAATTCGGCAAAGCCGCTTCTTGACACCAACACATCAAGCCTCATCAGCCTCATCATCATACGAACATACCTAGTATCTATCTACCTTACTATGATCAAGGAAAATAGCATTAACGAGTGGCTACAGAAATGAGTGGGAAGGGGAGCATGCAGCCTTTATTTTTCGATTAGCTAGCTTCGTTTGTTGAGCTGGTTATCCCTCACCTGCATTGCCCCGAAGATCATCATCATAGCCTTTCAGGACCGTCTTATTTGCGCACCCTACATGACTCGACCGAGATAGGAACCCAAAAGAAGAAGAGAATCGACAGCAAACCAGGATAGCTTACTCAGTAGGCTATGGCATCCAGCAAGGGATCGTGCTGCTTGCTGCCAATGGCTGCCTTTTCCCTGTCAACTTTCCCTCTTCCCCGGCTGGGCTGAGGAGGAATACTGGATAACTGAATCTTTTAATCTCGATTGTAGGGGGATACAGCAACATGTTTTTGGCCTAGAATAAAGCATTGACGACCACCTATTAATAAGTCAAAGAGGGCCATTCTATTCCATGCTGTTAAGAAAAACGCTGCAGTATCCCCCTACTACCAAGATTAACAGATTCAGTTATCCAGTATCAATTTATTGAATAAATAACCGGTTATCGGATCATCTGCAGCCAAAAAACCAATATGGGTGAACCGACAGCCAAGTCAAATCCGGAAGTTCCCCCAGCCATTGTAGCAGATGGGGCAGAAGTACAACTCGAAGCTGCAGGGGATACCGACCAAGGACTTCGCGCCTGGACGGTCGTTGTGGGCGCCTGGTGCGTCAATCTCTGTGGTTTTGGCTGGGTCAATGGTGAGCAACCTCCCTACCGACTATGCTATATAGAATAGTATCAACTTTAACATAACGAATATGTAGCCATCGGGGTGTTCCAGGAGTACTATCAGTCTCACCAGCTACACTCCTACTCTACCTCCAGTATCTCCTGGATTTTATCTCTACAGCCGTTCGTGCTCTTTGCCGCCGGCCTCGTTATCGGAAGAGTTGCGTGCTTCCCTTTTCCCCAATACTTGGCTTGAAACTCCTATTCTAACGCTGAGTTAGATATTTGACAACCATGGACCAAAACATCTCCTCCTCGTCGGCACAGTGCTGCAGGTCCTCGGATTAATGATGACCTCTATTTCAAGCCAGTATTACCAATTCATACTTGCACAGGGTATCTGTGGCTCTCTTGGCGCAAGTCTTACGTTTTACTCCTCAATCGCATCAACAGCAACATGGTTTGATAAACGGCGAGCTCTAGCATTTGGCATCGTTTCCAGTGGCTCTTCGTTTGGTGGAGCCATATTCCCCATCATTTTATCCCGATTGCTACCCAGTATCGGATTCGGATGGACTCTCAGAGTCATCGGATTCCTAGTATTTGTGCTACTAGTTATAGCTGGCTTAACTATCCGGTCTAGAGTGGCTCCTGTGCTTCGACCAGTAAAGTTCCAGGATTACCTCAGTCCATTCTCGGAGCTTCCCTTTGCCTTGCTCACAGTTGGCTCCTGTCTTGGATTCTTTGCTACTTTTGTGCCAATAAACTATGTCATTCTCGAGGCTCAGACAGGTGGAGTAGACCCCGACCTAGCCGGATATATGCTTACCATCCTCAACGCTGCAAGGTCAGCTATCTTCTACTTCTCATATCTCCGCACCTAATGCTAACTCCCAACTAGTCTTCCCGGCCGTATACTACCAGGCTATCTCGGTGATAAATGGGGCAGGTTCAACGTAATGGTCAGCACATGTGGCCTATCTGCAGTCACTATCCTAGCCCTTTGGCTGCCAGGAACACTTGTGAACCCTGGTTCTGCAGCAATATATATCGTCTTCTGCATCCTATACGGGTTCTTCTCCGGTGCCTTTGTAGGAATGGTACCCGCCCTCCTCAGCCAAGTATCCCCTGATGTGAGCAAGATCGGAGTTCGTCAGGGCGTGTTATTTACTTGCGTCAGTGTTGCAACCCTCACTGGTAACCCTATTGCCGGAGCAATCTTGAATCAGCAGAATGGAGCATTTTGGGGGCTACAGGTGTTCGCTGGGTTGATGATGGTCGGCTGTGTGGTCTTTTATATTATTGCAAGGGTCGTTATAGGCGGGTATTCTCTCACCAAGGCAGTCTGAATAAACACACAACGAAATGCAGAAGGAAGAGATATGCTTAACTTTTGGGGAACACTATATATAATAACATTCTGAAATAGAGTTAAGGGTGGGCTAACTAGCGGGTACGGGGCTTTAAGCTTAAATTAATACAGATTTAGTAGTTACTCCATAAACCATTGCTTCGTAGAAATTAGAGGAGTGGGGGCCGGGTATAAGATAAAAACGGGAATTCTCCCTCTTTTCAGGTCACTGCTGATCATAGTATAGAATCCGCGCACTCTACACATTAGCTATCTGAAGGGTAAGGTATGATAAAATCATCGAGGGCGCCAGGGATTTACGACCTTACTCTCATCCTCTTCGCTCCACCATCCTCGTCCACCTATTAGCCAGATCTCCGTCCTCCGTCGATGGGATTGAAGTACCTTCTCTCTCATGTCCCGCGCAACTTCTGGTGGCTCAACTGGCTGCCGTTGCCATGGAGTTTTGAGCAAGCCCCATTTCGAAAGCCTCTCATAATCCCACATGACGTACCCCCTTTCACGGAGAGGGAGATGATCAGGAGCCATCACAAAATCATAGCTGGCCATTTCTAGATGAGTGACCCACCACACTTCAGGTGGACCTCGACTATCTCGTACAGTGAGTTTTTGGATGTCACGGCTCAGTCGCTCTCTGCTATACTTCGATAGGGGAACCCGGTCTATGTACGGCGACTTATATTGCTTAAGTGCCCGGTCAATCGTACTGGGAATTCAAAATTTCTCGACGACGTTTAAACCCCTTTCTCACCGAGACGAAGAATAAACTTCAAACCAAGCGATAGCTAGTGGATATGTGTTAGGGTCTGGGAGCCAACAAAATGGTGCTTGGGACATACATAGTTGCATCTGAACGTGTTGATCTCCAAAGCTCTGAATCCTTCATTGTAATAGATACCCCCTTCGCCCCATTCCACGTCGTGTGCAGCAACTTCATTAAACGCTGGACGAAAAGTAAGCCCAGGACACCTTAAGTGGCCATTAGTGGTTAGTATTGGTTCAGGGACTTACGCCCGTCGACTATCCTCAGCAGAAAATCCTGGATACAGATAATTTGCTCGTTCTCCCATGGGGGAAAGTGGTCAAAGTAAAGCTTGGAATGATCTTGCAGGGGAATAACTAGCTCGAAGTATCTTCGAGATCGATCTTTTTTCTCTACTCTCTTAAATAGTTTCCAGTAAAGCTCGAATCTGTACAGTGCCCGTTGAATACGGTACTGTTCTCCTTTGGTAACCATCCATGGAGGTTTTACCTCAGCTCCGGTGATGGGATGTTTAGACAGCGAACTAGAAATGAAGTCCCGGGTAAACTTTCGGATAAGCCGATGATACTTTTCTAACGCTGTTGCGTCGCTCAGTGAGATATTTGGCCGTGGCTCCTTCTTTTCCCCGGTGATGTAAAGTAATCACCAAGAAGCTCCTGGACGATGCCAACACTCGTAGTGGATGGTTTCGAGGCTTTAAAGAAAGTAATTGCTTCAGGGAACACTTCATCAGGAATACTCGATTTTAAAATCTGGTCAGTAATCCCCTGCGGATGGTATAAGACAAGGTCTCTGAATGCTCTGCATGTCGTGGTCATGCATTACAGAGTGCGAAAGCTGTCAAGCTGGGAGAGGATTGTCTCTTGAATCTCGACGGGGAGGGAAGTAAGTGTCAGGGACATCTGCTGTGAGAAAGTCGGAAGTTCGTTCATAGCTGATCAAGTAGCGGTCCGCTGATTCTTCCAAAGGATTGTTTCTAGCATATAACCAACTTGATGAGGAGAAGTGGAGGAGGAATATTATACGGAGTACGGAGTAGTTATACAAACTGCCTTTGGGGTGGAGCTAATTAAGAGTAACAGACACCGTTTTGCTACCAACAATGACGCTGACCAATAGCTGACTTTAACGCCATTGTTTCTTTGTCTTCCTATTCAATTGAAGGACTGGGCTCTAGTGAAGTAGAAAAGATATATAGGCATTAGTAATTTGTATATTGATCTATATTGGGATTTGGTAGGATAGGATATTATCCTCCTATTACATCACAAGAATTTCTGGGCCACCTACACTCTCCTAGCTACCTCTTCAAAGATAGTCTTGCTAATAATAATGTCATGCTCTTTGGAATTTTGCGGCCCACGACCTGAGATAGCCTTAAAAGGTATGACCATTCCACCTGTGGCCTCAGCGATAGGGTGGTTGTAATGGATTTCAACTTGCTCTACCACTTTTGCTTGTTGTCGTGTTGACCGTGTAACTCTTTGCGGTTTGGAGTGCTGCCACCTCTTAAAAGATATATGTGGGAGATTCCGGCCGACTTTTATCGTAATAACAGTTTCTGTCTCGGACCATTTTGTTTCTAACCACCGTCTTGCATCGATGGTTAATCTGGCTTCTGTCTCTGACAGCCCAGCCTCGATGGCTAAAATTGGCCAATTGTGGTGTCTTAGCATAAAGCAGCCATCTGGCTGTTTGACAAAGCTCTTATCTGCGTTTTCTGTTTCCCTAGCTCCGCTAATTACTATCTCCTCTCCTAATTGCATTTTGACGACTTCGCTGTCGATATAACCGACCAGCGCCAAAAATGCGTTTGTTTCGCCATAACCTCGAGAACAAGGATGTTTCCTGGGATATCTCTGGTGATTTTTGGGATTTTATCCAGGTATTTATTGCCAAGATCCTGGATAATGGTACGAGGTATGTCTCGCGCCACGATGAAGGGCTCTGAGTGTCATCTGAGCAACACGCGGCTGCCCTTTTTTCCACTGAATTGTAGAGTTGATTCATGGTGGTATATTTGATATGCGGGGGGAGGGGGTGGGGGTGCGTTCCGGAAGCCCTATCAATAATGTCGAATCATTCTCTGACGGTCCTTTCTTTGATAAAGCCATGCTATAGTGCTGTCTACGTTGTACATGCTGGGATAATGCACAATAACCGCGAGGTATGCCTGAGTTGATATATACCTAGTAGCTATGATAGGACTCATAGTCAGCATTTAAAGGGTTACTAGTACTAGTGCACGATAGGAATAAGATCAAGACATAGGCATCTATTATTGACTGGACTAACTAATGCAGTGAATTTTTGAGTTCTTAACATAATTCCCTAAGATTAAAGCGGTCAGCTATCGAGCGAGGCAGTAGTCTTAAGATAATAATCACGGTGAGGGGAAATGATATCAGAAGGAAGGCAACAATGCTGTATCCACATTAAATGTTCGGATCAGGTCTGTGTATTGTATTCATCATGTAGTGATGTGCTGGGTAAACATAACTGGGAATGGCATACCTTTGGGAAAACTAATGCTTCATGGTCGACGGCGGAAGAAGGATTCCATCCTCCGTTGTTTTGGGTCATGTTTGGAGCTGCTGATGCCCCTGGTGCGCTTCAAGTTAGCTAGATGTTGACAACTGTTGATAGCCATGACGCGGATGGTCAGGCTGGGCGGTAAGACCGCCTGGTCCTCATCAGTAGCCGACGTCATGCTTAGATCAAGTTCCAGATAGCCTGTATTTGACCACATGACAGAAGAGTGGTCCACAATGGCATGAGAGCTGGAAGGCAACTGCGGGACACGCATTTGCTTCAGCGTCCGCCAGATGACAGACAAGAAAACTCCGTGGGACACGACAGCGACAGTATCATGGCCACGGCTATCGCATAGAACGGGCAACAGAAAGTCATTGACAAACTCCCTCGCTCTCAAGGATAATTCGTCATACGACTCTGCAGGAACAAACCCGGCTTGCTTCTCGATGGCATTGACGTTGGTTGACACCCACGACTTGCCTTCGAGAGACCCGTAATCCTTCTCGCGAAGACAGGGTACGACGACTGGCTTTCCCACAGCATCACGGTAAATGTCTTTCAGTGCATCAGCTGTAACCCGAGCGCGTTGCAAGGGAGAACAGAAGATGCGAGTGAACTGCACACCCTGCCGACGAAGGTAGCCGGCTAGCTTCTCGGTCTGAAGCATCCCATGGTTCGTCAACGCCGAGTCCGTGACGCCCGCGCTGCAACGAGAATGAAGGTAAGCATTGAGCCCATAGATAGGAAACAAAACTATGTCTTCTTCGTACTAGACTTGGGCGACGTTGTGTTCGCTCTCAGCATGCCGGATCAAGTAGAGTCTCATCTTTTCATGGTAGCAGACTGCGGACTACTCCATTGACTAAGGATATGTCTGCAGAACGCAACATCACAGCACGAGTGAACAGGCTATGAGGCCAATTCGACGGCAGCAAGGCTGGTTCGTAAACTGTTCAGTTCGTGAAGTTGAAGTTGAGAAAAGAAAAAAGCGACAAAAACTTCGAAATTTTTTCTTTTTATTCTTAGTGTTTACGTAAGCGAAACTAGGGCAAGCAGCTTGTTTCACGTGACTCTATCTTGAATCGCGGCTTTTTGGTTTCATTTGATAGAGTTGATGATGATAGTAAAGAGGCACAAGACGCAAAGGGGATAGTGACCCTGTTTACAGCTAATATTTGCCTTGGCTCTTTAGGCAGGCTTGCGGTTTACTTGGTTACCGGCCCTAAAGTCACAGCGAACGGTTCTTGTACAGAAGGAGCTGTCTCCCAATCCCCTCTACCCCATACCCTCACTCCCATTAATACACCGTCTTTACAATGGTAAGTCTTGCGTGAACTGTTACTATATATGCGTTGGCTTTACACTACTGATTCGGCTTTTGTATAGCTACCGCTCGGCCTTTTGAATGCGGCGCAAGGCCATCCAATGCTGGTGGAGCTGAAGAATGGAGAAACGTTGAATGGTCACCTCGTGAACTGCGACAACTGGATGAACCTGACACTGAAGGAAGTGGTGCAGACAAGTCCTGAGGGCGACCGTTTCTTTAGACTACCAGAGGTTTACGTCCGGGGAAATAATGTATGTCTATATCAAGCGCCAAATCTACAATTGTGAACCCTGTGACTGACTGTTGGTATTTCACTTATTACAGATAAAGTACCTCCGAGTCCCAGAAGAAGTGGTTGATTTAGCCAGAGATCAACAACAGAACCAGCAGTCAGGACGTAGTCGTGGTGGTGATAGACAGCACAGGGATTCAGGGCGAGGTGACCGGGGAGGACGAGGCGGCCGCGGAGGCAGAGGACGTGGCAGGGGAAGATAGGATGGCTGCTGGGATACCGCAATTTTCAAATTATCCTTTCAATATCATAATGCAATAACGCATACGCACGCCCACGCCAGCAAAGCAACCACCGACGTACCTTTCTCATATCGAATTACAAGCAATGACTATCAATACCAACTTCTACGGTTACCTACCAACCAACGAACACCTGAGATCAAGGCTAGCGGGAGTTATACGGCTTAGAATAGGATGCATACCATAGGTCGGAATCTATAACTCGGGATTACTGCTGCGTTTAGAAAACGATATAAATATAAATACCACTCGCTGGAGCAGGTTAACGCTAAGAAGTCCCTCTTAATATACTTGTATCCATTCTCGCTATCTATATACATACCGACCTTTACCAGTTTCTGTTATTATATAATATTAGTAACCGAAATCATCCCCGTGTCAATGACATACCCAATTGCCCCTATATATACCACAATTATCCCTGAATCTGGTTTATTCCTTCACCGTAGACGGAGCAGCAGTGGAATCATTCTCTTTTTTCTCATTTTCTCCCTGCTCACGCCTTGGTTCTAGCAATTCTCTGTCTTCTTCTCCCTCAACATCATCATCTTGTCCTCGCCAATCTGCAGCATGGCCTTCGGATACTTCTTCTCCAGGGCCAGGCTCAGATATGACCTTTCCAGGCGGAGGAGCGCCCGGAACCCCAGCTTCAGGTTCTTTGCCCTCCGAAGGCTCTTCCTCGGCAGGTTTATAGTACCTCCAGACGACCTTGAGACGCTCAAGGGATCTGATCCCTTTCCTTGAGGTCCCCTTGATACCATCCATAGCGTCCCAGTCAATTTCAAATACCCCGGAGTCGTGATCATAGCCACCTTCGAAATATGCGTTGAACCAGACATGGCCGACAGAGGTAATCATAGACCAATCTGTGTATGATACCACGGCCCGTCGCTCGAAGTCGATGTTCACATCTGAAGTTGGAACGACAACTGGCTTTTTGGGCCGGAGGACAACATTGTCTGTTGAATCAGTCGGAGAAGAGGCGAGAGCTGACCACGCTGCCTCCGTCACGGGCTCCGGCTCTGTAATGTCCGGGGCAGGTTTGTCTGGAGTAGACGATTTGCTTGAAGACGAACCACCTTGCTTGCCCGTTCCTTTTTCTTTCTCCTCCTCCCCAGAAGAAGCAGAAGAAGAAGAGGCATCTTTCAAGGCTGCACCACCATTCTGATAAAAGAACTCATCTTTACCAAACCTGTGGAAGCGTTTTATTTTTCGGCCTTCATCCACATATCCTTCCACATCGATCTTGAGCCCCTTCCTTAGGCCCCAGATATGAATCTCAAGAATCTCAACAGGCCGTTCGACGTATATCTTGTTAAATACGTTCTTCCATCGTTCAACATAGTTTACCCATCGGACTTGACTCGGTATACTCACGCCAGCGCCGAATCCAGCTCTCATTCTGCGCTCCGTGAACTGTTTCATTGCATCTTCTGCACTCCAGCTCTGCTCACTGATAAGGTAGCTGCAGGCAACAGTTCCACTTCTACCCTTTCCTGCTTTGCAGTGTACCACAGCAACTCTCCTACTCTTTCCCTCACCATTTATCCAATTCCGCATGCTGGCCATGAGCGATGGTATCAGGGCGAATGGGGGTGGGTGGTGGTCAGGCCATGGGAAATGGTGGACGCGCCCGTATACCTCGTCATCAGGATACCCAGTTCCTTCAGCTCGGAACTCAAATATTGACCAATCCTCTCCATGTTTTGAGTCGAGGAAACTGACTAGATCCTCTGTAGGGTTCCGGTACGCGCGTTTAGGGTATGTCGACGACGGGCCAGATGTTGCTATTACTGCGCGGTATAAGTTAGTCTATCTGTGTCCATCGGTATACAGAGTCCATTGACCTTGATATAACTGTAATAAGTGGTATACTTACTATCATCAGTAACATAGCACAAATCAAGACTTGCTTCAGGATGCTGATTTCGTGGACCTGCCACGATTCGCCGTAGAAAGGATGCCTATCGTGAGATGTTAGAGGGTATGTTGCCGACCTAGACACAAATTGAACACCACTCACCATTGTATGTCTTACGATTCGACTTGTGGCCTAACGCGCGCGTCCATCGCCGTCTTCTCTAGCTTAAAGATGTTCAAGCAAGGAAGAAGGATGCGGGATGATGTCACTTGCATTTCTCGCTGGACTTGGCACAATGCTTGGCCTGTGGCTTCCCCTTGTCAGGAGTATATATTGGTATACTACGCCAATGAGATGATGGAAACCAGTTGATAGTTTGCTATTATACATTGGATATTGGACATTGATATACACAATGAGGCCGTACTTAGTCCTCACGTTCCTATTGATCTGTTCCATCCCTTATTTCCAATATCCCTTTTCCTGCAGACGGGATAGAGAATGACCGCCGTACCCGATGGGGTCTGATAATGCCTCGGGAGGCTGGCTTGCGGACAGCAGAGTCATGTATAAGTTTGAAGGCATGTGGATCCTCCTGTCCGTCACATTTGGCACGGATATCCTCCTTTGCTGGTCTTGACAACTCGAATCCAGAGCCAGACATCTCAAGGAGATATTTATGTGCCGTTTCAAAACGAGAGAGCTCAACACAAAGCAGGACTAGGTTTTCATAAGTTTTCCGGTCAGGGAGTATCTTCATCTGGATCATTTCCTGCACGAAGTAGCCGGCTAGATCAGCATCGTTGGACCCGCGACATGCCTTGAACAGGATGTTGAAGGTTGACGTCTCCACAGCAGAGGAACACAGTGTATGAAGCTCCCGGTATAAGTCCCATGCAGTCTTTGCCTTACCAAGATGTGCACACAGTTCTAGCGCAACATTAAGAAGGGGCAAGGGAAATACTAGATCTTCTTCTTTTTTTAGACGCTTGAATGTGTTCCAGATCTCTGTCGGCTTCGATTTGGCCATTATGAGATGGGACAGGAGAGACCGTGTAGAACCGGTCTTGACGCCGATACTGCTGCTATCCATGCTGCAAAGAATGCGAATTGCCGATTCAATATCATTAGCCTCGACGTAGGTGTCGACAAGAGACTCGTAATCGTTCAAGGTCAGAACACCATTGCGGTTTCCAAGTACTTTAAATACGGAGGCTGCCAGCCTAGAGTTGCCCGTTCGTGCGCTGATAGCGAGCACATTGTCACAGATACCGTACGGCGGATTCAAATGGCCCAGCTCAACCTGTTGTTCCCAAATATATTGGGTTAATTCCGGATGCATTGCAGCACTCGAGATATCCAGTAAACGGTGCCATAAATTCGGTGACAGAACCAACCCAGCTTCAACCCTGGATCGTAGTAGGTGTAGTATCTCGTCGAATTCCCCGTATTCCGCAAGGTTGTAGATAAGAAGCGAGTGAAGCCATCCCTGAACAGGCACATGCTGCAGCTTCATATGCTCCAAAGTCTCCAGCGCCATTTCAAACTGTCCTTCTCGAATATATCCCGCAACGATATTATGCCAGCCTGTTGGGCTAAGTGATAACCATCTCTCTCGAAGTTTATGTATGATTTCGGAACGAAGCAGGTAATCAGGGTGTATCGCTAGTGCCTAACAGAAAACATCGGGTTGTAAGCAGGTTATTCTAACCGGCAGGCAGAGCCAAATAATAAACCGACCTTTAACGCAGCATGCAAAGTTCCCGAATCCACCACTATTCCATTCTCCTGCATGTCATTTAACAGCGCCTCTACCTGTTTAGCTGACCCTCTGATGCACTGAGTATTTGCAAGTATCATGGCGCGATAGTGGCGGGTCTGCGGGCGAACATGTCTCCTCCGTACAAGTTCCGTAACAACCTCCAAGGCAGCATTATGATTAGGTAGTTTATCAACCGCATTCTGCAATATATTTTCCAAGTTGGCTTCTGTCTTTTGGCTAAGGTCCGACGGTATTTTGCTCTGCCGCAGGAGCTTCCGGACTGTCTTCTGTTCTCTTGGCCGGAGTGATCTATGAAGGGTGGTCGCTGAATTCAACTTGGAGCTAACATGTTTTTGGCCCTGGCTGGCTTCTCCGGTATATTCTCCTGATGAGGAGGAATTGGCCGGTTCAGCAACACTCCGCAGGTTGAATGTCGTGGAAAATGCGCATCTAGGGGAGCTGTGGAAAGTTCTGCGCGGCGACGGAGCAGCATTGTCAGCCGGAAAACGCTGTCTCGGTGACTCAGACAGCCAACGGCCTAGCGAAGGTCGAAAGCAGAGCCATAGCCCGTCTATGGCCACTGTTCTGGTCGACATTCTTTGCTCTTCGCTTTCTCTGATTTCTTCATCTATTCAAACGAACGAAAGAAATTGGCCAATTGAATTGGTCACGTGATGCTCTATCGGCCCCAGGTTCTCTTGCTCTATGTAGAAGGGGGAATATAGGAATCAAATGCTATGTAACTCTATGTTGCTCTATATACACCTATCTGGCAAGCATCTATGACATATAGCTCGCGCTTATTCTGGCCGCATCCATCTCACGCTGAAGCCGCTCCCTCTTCTTCCGCTCGTAGATCCCCCTGACGACTCTTTTCAACTGGTCTTCACCCTCGGAAAAGTTGCATTTGGCAAGATGAACGGCGGAATCAATCTGTTCGGCAGTATATATAAAGTTCCAAGTACTTAAATAATCCTCCTCCAATGGATCGAGGATCTTGCGCTCAGCGTCAGGTTCGTCTTTGTTGGGATCAGGAAGAGCCAGGCACGCAGGGTTCGGCAGAAGGGGGAAATAAGCAACTGCAATACCAGCGTGAGGTTGCGTGAGATGGAATTCGGAATCCTTCTCATTTACTCCCGATTCATGGAACAGGCGCTTGGATGGTGGCGGTTCAGCAGACGATATTCTCTCTTCTGTAGTGCCGAGCCAGATGTTGCAGAAGGTCAGGTCGGGGTCGTTTCCACGGGAGTCAGGAGTGCGTGCTTTGCTTGCTTCTTGCGCAGCAGCAACTTTCTTATCTGCCTCTTCCTTTGTTAGTTTGGCTTCCTCAGCCATGATGTCTGCTGTTTCCTCGGGGGATGAGTTTGATTTTGGCCATCCTGCGCCAATTGGCCACCCCTTGATACCTCGCTGATGGGCATAACCATCAACAACGGAGAGCCAGTTAGCTTCTTTGCTGTCAGCTGAAACATCAAAGGCAACGATGAGATCGACATTACGTCCTGGTCGAAGTAGTGGATAGATGGGCAGATTATTACTCATGCCCGCATCCATGAGTCGTAAGTGGGAGTCCTGGAAGACAGACTCGGGGCAAGAATCAGGCAGTTTACTCTCCAGTCCCAAGACGAAGTTTGGTACGGTAGCAGGATTAATTGGGTGGACACGAGTAAGGTCCTCACTTTTACCTTCGATTAGGGCATCAATACTGCTGAACCCAGCGAGACCCAAGAACGCAGGTCGGACCTCCCTATAGTAGTGAGCAAGGGTGGCACAAAAAGCACTTCCCCAAACTCCCATGAGAGCGGGAACCCGTAGTTCAGGAACGGCGTAGCCATGAGCTGCGGCAACACCCTTCCCATCCTTGAAGTTTCGGCCCACGGCCCATGTAGGGATACCTGCTGCAAACTCTTCACAGAAAAGCTCGTAAGGTGTAAACTCAAACCACTGGAACCAGCTCTCACGTTTGGATATTTCTTCAAGCTCGTCTTCAGAAACATCTGTCTGAGACGGCTTTGGTATTTCGTGTCGAACAGCTGTGTAAATCGGCATAGGGTTTACTCCTCCTTTAACCACTGCGCGTTGATTGGAAAGCTGCAGGTCACTGTCCGTCAAAGCAGCGGTATCCTGCGGGACCATGAGTCTAGCCGCGAGCAAGATACCGTAAACATCAACGAGACCAAAGTCAGCTTTAGGGTCTCCCTTAAGCTTCTCAATCACACCACGTAGGAGGTACTTGTTTGTAGGCGGAGTAGTCAAGATATCAAGTGCTTCAGGAGGGAAGGCAATATGTGTGTGAAGCCTTGCCTTCAGATGGTCAATCATCTTGCCAAAGTCCTGACCTCCGATAGATGAATTAAAGAGAGTTTGCAGCCAGCATGAGCCACTCACGCCAGCAGTATACGTCAAGCAGTCCCAGAGTCCGGCCTCCTTAGCAGCCATGTACGATCCCGTCCCAGCAATGAGAGCTCTCAGCCCTCCTCCAGACGCACACATGGCAATCACAGGCACGTCATCAGGATGCACTTCACCTTCCGGCAGCCCCAGATAAGATGCGAGATTCCTTGCAACCACCTGACGACGGTCCGCGAGAAAGGCTTCTTCCTCCTGACACAGTGTATTCCCAATCCTGACGTTGGCTTCCTCAACTATGCTAGGGTTAAAGCTGGGGTCACAGGCTTCTTTCCAGACGTCGTCTGCCACAGATCCGGGAGCCATTGAGAGCTCACGTTGCAAGTTTCGAAGGATATCAGGCGAGAAAAAAGTCCAGCCAGGCGAGATGTAGTCCTTGAAGACGGCCGACCAGTCCGCACTCCAGTCCGAAGAGCTAAAGTAGCCCTCTGCCGTCCCGAGTTTGTCCGTCATTGTCTCCCATGCAGACTTGGGCTCAGGATCGCCACTGGCATCAGCATCGTCCGTCTTCTCCTTCTCCGCTGATTTGACCCCCGATTTGATCAACTTATCCAGTGCGGACTCCTCCGGAGTCTGGGGCGCCTTCTTCGCATTCCACGCCGCCGTACTGCGTCCTGCATCACACCGAACACTCTGCTTCCCCAACAGCGCAATAGATGCGCTGCCGGACACAAACAGCGCTCCCTTCAGCGCCTGTCGCCATCTCGCCTGTAGGAACCTAGCGACAACCATAACAGCAAAATCAGTGGCCGATAGCAATCAAGGGCTACTCTGAAGCGGCTGCCATGTCGCTGCTGTAGAGAAAACGCCGTTGCCCTTGAGGTTTGCCGTTTCCAACCAACCTTTGCCCGCGGCAGCAATTGAGTTTCTATCGGCGCTTAGATATTCCGGCATAAAGCCACCCCGGCGCTTATCACGGCTTGTATAGACGCCCCGTCATGGCTCTATACTGCGTTCTTAGTGGTTATTCTATGGTGGTCTGGTACATAGTTATCCCATCGCATTTGCCTGGTAGATAGTTCCCTTTTAAACTGCACCCGGATAATTGCATAACAAACCAGGGGGGTTCCTTGTTTCTACAGATAACTTACGGAGTAAGTAGTAGCTCAACGATACTACATAGGTTTGACATCCTTTCCTCAGTTCATTAAGCCTGTACATTTTTATTCCCTCCCATAATATTGCTGTTATACCGGTCATTTCGCACTTCAACTATCACCTCACCGTCGCTTCTGTTGCTAACTCTACCGCAACAGATCAACTTTATATCACGTGGTTAATAGTATGAATAGTATTATTCCGTGCTGAACCGGAAAATTGGCCAATAAAACACTAACTTGATCTGACTAATTCAACAGTGACTATATATGGATGCAATTGGTCAGTTAATCCTTATAACATATATTATTGGCTAATTTAAGCATTGGTGCCTAATCTTAGCAAAAGGAAAACCGCCATGATATCATCCGTTTATCAAACTGCCTTGTCCGCACCAACGCTTATGTGTTTCCATCTTTTGACGCAGATTTGACTTCTAACCATCGTCTCTTACTACGAAAGACTCTAACAAGGAGAATTTGCTGGTTCCAGTTGTGAAATATCGCGGGAAGGTCATCGTTACTCCCCACCTCCGGGCCGTTGGAACAGCCGTTACCCCTATGTGAAAAGGACACTCTTGTGCTACCACCGATGAACTGAGGAGCGGGAGTTTGGTATTGCCATTTGCCCTAAATATCGCTGCATAGCCGCCAATGACTGACTCTCTTCAGATATACCGGCGCAATGGGCGCTCCAAGAAACGCCATCTACGCTGAGGAGAGCGCTGAAGTAGAAGTGCTTTATGCGGACCTCGAAAAGCTCAACACCCTCACCAAACGGATTCAAGGCTCTTTATCTCGGCTAGAGGCTAGCGGAAAGGTGGTCAAGAACGCGATCGGTCCCATATACGGTAACACACAGGCTCTCCAGGCCACCAGCACAAACATCGACAGAGTGAACGATGCTATCGAGCGGATGCGCCGTCCGTTAGACGTAAAGGGCCAGGAAGAGAGCATAATACGGGCTGGGTGCGTATTTTACTTGTCAAGGACAATTTGTTGTAGCCTGTTTGAGCTAAACTGTGATTCCCTGCAGACCTCAAAACGCGGGCTTACCTCAATTCATTGGGGCATTGAAACGTATCGACCTCGCACTCACGGACCTGAACGCTACGAAACTTCGATCAAACCAAAAGGCTGTCTCCGAATTTAGCTCACTGCTCAGCTCAGGCAGTAGTAAGCTACAGGATCTATTCCACTCGACCCTAAGCACGGAAGCTAATACTATCGAACCACTCCATTACCTTACTAAACGTGAGCTACCTCCATCTATGAGAGATAAACCCGCGTGGCTTTTCTAAGCTAATTGTCCCTTTAGAACTATCCTTTCCTTTACTGTCGCCAGATGCTTTTTCTGAACTCACTCCTGTCGCCGGTGCAATTACTGCTGCTTCCAAACATATGCCCCAGCAGGGTCACATAGAAAACCCTGCAATCTCTATTTACGCTGAAGTCCGCGGCCCTTACCTGACGAACAGCTTACAAAACCTAGCTACCGCGTCGATCAACACCGCAAAACGCAGGCCAGTCGATGGGCCTTATAAACAAGGCACCAACGGAATCGGTGTATACTCAAATGTCATAGAAGGAATGTTCCTTGCGGAGTATGAAAACATTGTCAAGATTTTCCCTCCAGATCAACAAGGGAAGGCTCTTCAGGCAACATGTCGACCTGCCCTAGCAGAATTCTCCAAAACCATGCGTGAGCTGAACATGTACATCAAATCGAATCTGATCAACGATTGTTTCCTTGCCTTTGAAATAATCGATATCGTCACCTCACTATCATACCGCCTAGATTCGAAAACAGGTGACCTTAAAAATCTATTCTTTGAAGCTCTACGGCCCATCAGAGAAACAGCCAAGTCATCTTTGACAGAACTACTTGAAGAAACTAAACGCCGATCAGCATCCCTTACTACGCTACCCCAGGACGGCTCTCCAGTTCCCCTGGTAAACGAAGTGATGAGCTCCCTATCCACACTAACTGCTTACTCAAAGCCTCTCGCTTCTATTCTCACATCACTAGGAGATGGCAACTGGAAACCCTCTGCAGCCTCCAACGCTGCACCCCTTGACGTGGGACCAGATAGCTCTACCCTACTATCCCATTTCATACTCGACATGATCGATGCACTCTTATCTTCCCTTGAAGCTCGCGCGAGAGCAGTACACAAAAGCAAAGCCACCCTAGGCGCCTTCATCGCCAATAATGTCCACATAGTCGACAGGGTCATACGCAGTACCCCAGAACTATTAAATTGTCTTTCAACGCCAGAAAACGCCAGCAGACTTGAAGTGTGGCGCAAGAAGGGTGTATCGATATACCTCGATGCATGGCGCGACCCGTCCTCACATCTGTTAGACGTACAATATACAAGCAGAGGCGGCGCCCGACCTACCTCAGGCGGGCCTGTTGATTCCGCTGCTATTGTGAAATCACTATCATCTAAAGACAGGGATGTGATTAAAGATAAATTCAAGGCTTTCAATTCTTCATTTGATGAACTGATTGCGAAGCACAAGTCACTAAACATGGAAAAGCCAGTTCGCACGTCTCTTTCGCGTGAGGTACAGGCTGTCATTGAGCCTCTGTACGCGAGGTTCTGGGATAGATACCATGAGATCGACAAGGGAAGAGGGAAATACGCCAAGTACGACAAGGGAAGCCTCTCTGCGCAGCTCTCCGCTCTAAGCTAGGATGCGCTCTCATTGGTTTGCTATTCCGATCTATATTGTCAAGTATATGCTTTGAGCCTGATTTTTGCATCTAGTATGAAATATACCAATATATCGCCGTAATATTCTTTTGACCCTGAGCACAGCCTGGTTTATAAAGGCTGTGGCACATTGCCACCAGTCGTGGCGGACGAAGTAACCTTAAACTTTATTCCAGCACTGAATGGTTGTTTAAACAACTCATACGTCCAACTAACAGGCCTCTGTCAATATAGTATTTACTATGCGATTATTGATAAGTAGCTTGCAAGGGTACGGCATGGGTCTCCTGAACTAGCCCCATGCAAGATACGAGGCAGGGCGGAGCAAATGCAAGCTGCTGCAAGGCTCCCAGGTGCCTCGCATTTACCCAGCCCGCCCCGATCTACGATCCATTCCCTTGAAGAGACTTTCATTCTCTCCATCTAGCCAGCAGCGTCAGGCTGTCTACATATATACTCCTTACACCGGCTAGAGGATAACTAGGTATTCAACTTCCGCATAGGTAATAGACTAACAGTAACCTCAGAAAATGGATCCGTTATCCATTACCGCCAGTATTGCTGGACTGATAACGCTGGCAGGCGTCATTATCTCAAAAGGCTTCCAGCTCTCAGACAGATTCGCCAATTCGGAGAAAGAACTAGATTCACTTCTTAGTGAAGTTTCGATCTTCTCCGGCCTTTTAGTCGGCGTGCAGTCACATTTTCAACATGATCAAGCGTCGAGCAATGCTCCCTCCAGCTCCAGGGTCGTACCAGAAGGTCAGAGTGGAGTGCAAATGCCAACGGCTCTAGTCAAACATATTCAAACTGCTCTTAAGGATTGCAATGCTATATTGGAAGACGTTAAGAAGCTAGTTGAAAAGGTATCCAAAACACCTTCATTCCAATTAGCTCTCCGCCGAGATACATTTCTAGGTGAAGCTGTCAGGCTCACTGCAAAAATTGAGCGTTATCGGTCTTTTTTTATACTGGTTTTTCAGATAAATAGCTGGTATGGACTCCTTACTATACCTAAATAAATGCTGGCAGTTGGTAATATGCATTAGTGCGCACGAAGAGGAATCCAACCTAGTTATCTCCCTTATGAAGGACCAATTGGAGGTGATCGGGTCTGCACAGAAGCGTCTTGAAGAGAAGCATGAAGCCGAAATACAAAGTAATACTTCACCCTCCCCTCCAAATTGACTGTTACGGAGAAATTCTTACCTAAATCATAGGCAAAATGAAGGACGAGATCTTTGAGTGGCTGGGGGATGCCACAGTAGCAGCTCACAGTGACGCTTTAGAATCAAGGCACCCAGAATCAGGAACTTGGTTCCTTAGCAGCCCTGAATTCACCGGTTGGATATCAGGAGACTTCTCCTATTTCTGTCTTGATGGAATAGGTATATACTTCTATCGCACCGATTAGTTATTTGGAGAAAGCTAATACTAGGCCATTATAGCTGGTTCTGGGAAAACAGTTCTCATGCAAGTTTTGGTTATCAAATGCCCTCATAGTATCCAAACAGGCAGATTGCTAACATCCTAGTAGGTCTATGGCTATTGATTACCTTCAGGAACTCTCAGAGAATAAGAATGAGTTTAATGTTGCTTACCACTATTGCGGGTCTCCATATACACGCCAGGACTCCGTTGGAAAGGTGCTTGGCAGACTTGTTTCCCAAATCCTCCGACAGGCTAAGCCAGGATCTTCCTTGATAGATATATTCGAGGAACTAAGCCGTCTCAAAGCACGGCACAGATACCCCTCCCTAGAGCAGATAAAAAAAATCTTGAGTACCGTAGGAAGCCACTTTTCCACTGTTTTCCTGGTAATCGATGGGATTGATGAATTCGCGCAATTTGGTGTCTTACTGCGCATCATTCAAGACATCCCTCTCGCTTCTGAGACTTTCAGGGTTTTAATCTCAAGTCGAAGTGATGCTACTCTTATTCATTCATTGTCAAACTTTCGTCACATAAGCTTGAGCTGCGACCGTATCCACAATGATATTGAACGATATGTCCGATCTCGCGTCTCAAACTTCCGGTGGCATGACGTCCCAGACATAGAGGAAATAATTGAAGGATTAGTGAAAGGTGCTGATGGAATGTAAGTCGTGCCATTATGGTGGGGCTCTGTATTTTATATTACTTCTAACATTAACTTGACTACATAGGTTTCTATGGGCGGCTTATCAACTAGACTCTTTATCGCGGATACGGACAGCAATATCAAAATCTGCTCTTAAATCATTACCGCGAGGGTTAGGACGCACATACGAAAACATTCTATCCAAGTTATCGGATGAAGACAAACGGCTAGCCATCAAAATATTACAATTTATTCTATTTTCTGAGCACGGTCTACATTCCGCTGAGCTAATAGAAGCGGTTGCCATAGAGGCCGGCCAGGTAAGCCTACAACAACTCAAGGAGAACAAGCTTCGCAGTGAGGACGATATTTTTGAAATTTGCAGCAACCTTATACGGCGCTCAAAGGCTACTGGTCACATCATGCTAGCCCACCACTCTGTTCGAGAATTTTTAATATCCCCTTCTTTGGAGTCCGGAGAGTCAAATCCTTTTTATATCTGCGATACAGATACAACTGCCGAAATTGCAATCTCATGCCTCACTTATCTTAACTTTAAGGATTTTGGTGCTCTATCACTTTCCCAGGACATTACTGATATTGTTCTTGATGGTCTTGTCGTTGAACATCCTTTCCTTGGCTATGCTACATGCAATTGGTCTCACCATATTTCCGACTCCAGCTTCAAGCCCCAGTGTCTATTAGAAACCCTTATCACAAAATTCTTCGATCCAAATCGTGGAAATTTTGAATTTTGGGTCACTTTTGCACAGTACACCTACGGACATTTTCGAATCCCCTCAAAGTTGACACCGCTTCATGTCTGCTCTATAGTTGGTGCTTGCGAATGTGTTATCCGGCTTGCCTTACTGAAAACGGATGCAAACATGCAGACTGATAGAGGGCAAACAGCACTTCACCTTGCTCTGGATAATGACCATCCTAGACTGGTTAAAAGTCTCATAAGCGCTGGGGTGCCAGTCAATGCCCTGTAAAACGACGGCCAGTCAGCTCTACATAAGGCGATAGAGCTTGGAGATAAAGATTCTGTGATATCGCTCCTGAGTGCTGGAGCAAATGTTAACGTTGTATCGCATGACGGAGCTACGGCTTTTAGCATTGCAGCAGAAAACCACTGGACTGGAATAATGCATGAAATTGCAATGATGGCTGAAACCAATCGTACTCTCCCAGATGGCCGTACAACCTTGCACCTTGCCGCTCAATCTGGAGACATCAAAACCGCGGCATATTTAATTGGGAGGGATAAATCAGTATTACATCGAAAAGATCGAAACAAATGGACGGCTCTTCACTTTGCGGCTCACCATGGGCAGGCCCACATGGTCGAATTTCTATTAGAACAAGGTATAAAGCCAAGTTTGGATATCAACGAATGGTCACCAGCGCATTCGGCCATTCAGCATCGAGATCCTATAACTCTAAAACGGTTACTGAGAAGCTCCTGGTCAACTCACTATGTACCTTCACCCGACCCTTTTCATAAACCCGGCTGGCAAGCTCTCTTACACAATAGGAAATACGGATACACAGGCAGGTTCACTCAACGAGAGCCTAGAGTATTAAGTGGATCTCCATGGACTACGCCTACACATGGAGACCAGATGCAAAATATCAGCCAGGATAGCACTTTAATATCGGGGTCACCCTTTAACGTCGAAGAAAACTTGGAAACATTTGGATATCCAAACGACTCGGCTGAACCAGAATCCTCATTACGTTCGGATCTTAGTCTATACAAAGATGCGGGACGTAATCTACCTAGTGGAGAGAGGTTCGGGTCACTAGGTGGCTTAGCTGAACGAGGACTGGGCCTATCAAACCCTCCAAGTTTAACCCAAAGTGCATCACCAAGCCTAGCTGGGGCTTCGCTCTCAGTGTCCTCACCACTTTCTTCTAGTAGAAGAAGAATTTCTGGAGCACATAGGGCGCGTATTCACGACTCCTTTCCGCTAGAGTTTCGCTTCGTTATACGCTCCCTACTCGAGCTTACCATATCCTTGAACTATCCCGACGCCTTTGAATGCCTTCTGGAATGCCAGGCACAACACATCGTTGTGGAACTAGATCATCTAGAACTCTCCATGGAGGTCTCAGGAGGGTCTGAGTTGTTTGGGCTACTATTATCGAATTCGAGGCCGAGCGTCTGCTTTTCTATTTTACAATTCATACTGAAGGAGGGCCGCAGTGGCTTCTATTCGATTGTTCGAAAAGCGGTCAATTCTCTAGCCATTAAAGGCTGTTGTGGTGCCCTCTTAGACCGTTCAATCCGTGAACGCCAGGGCAACCTTGCAGTGTTCCTAATCGAGACTTGGGATCCAAGCAGGAGATTAAAGGCACTAAGAT